CGGTGATAAATGCAAGTGTCTGCCTTCATGCATGTGAAACTGAGTTCTTCGCAGAATATTCTATTGATCTTTTGGTTCCATACACATCCGGCCTGCTTTAGTCCGTAAAGTGCCTTGTGGAGTTGGCACATGCATCCAAATCCATCATTGAATTCCAGTGGCTGGGCCATGTATAGTTCCTCCGATAGATCACCATTAAGATAAGCACCAACAACGTCCATTTGATGGACTTCTAGGTCATTGACAGTGGCGAAAGTGAGTAATGTTCGGAAAGATTCTAATCGCATGACGGGAGCGTAAGTGTCAAGAAAATCTTGTCCAGGGATTTGAGAAAAGCCTTGTGCAACTAAGCGGGCTTTGTATTTTAGGATGTTGCCTTGCGTATCACGCTTGATGAGAAATACCCATCGGCAACCAATCACCTTTCAGCCATCAGGTACAGCCACGAGGCTGTAAGTACCCAGTCATTGGAGTTGATCAATCTCTGATTTCATTGCCTTCTCCCATTCCGGCCAGTCGGGATGACGCTCTACCTCTGCCAAGGTTCTAGGTTTGTCCGACATTTCCTCACCTAAAAATACATACTCCACTAGATTGGTGTCTTCTTCAGGCTGAGGGATCTTGGCGTGTTCTCACTCTCATGCGCGTGAGAGTATATTACTCAGTCATTGCACTTCTGGAGACTTTTCAATTGACGGAGTGAGTATGGCAGGTTTGCAAGCTTGTGGATTGTTAAGTAACTTGTAGTCCAGTCATAAATTGGAGCGCATTTGGCGTCCTTGCGGAATTTCATCTGGTGATGATGTCAATGATGTCGTCACATTTCCAGGTTGGTCCAAGGAAGGTTCTTTCTCTTTTTCTCCCTCTTTCTCCCCCTCAGGCTGGAAAGATGGCATAAGTTCCAAATCTGGAAGTTCCGGCGGAGTGCAGTCAGAGGGCTTGAATATGATGTTGCATGAAGTAATGATACTATGTGTCTTCAGGTTGTAACAATGCCAGGCACGGCCATGTTCGCCAAGGCCAACAAAAATATGTTGGACGGACTTGGGTTCTAATTTGTTCTGCTGGATCTTCGGCTTCAGGACCCAGCATTCAGTGCCAAATTCTTGGAGATCCGAGAGATCAGGATGCTTGCTCCACATGGCCTCATGTGACGTCTTCCCTGGTAAGGCATGTGTGGGTGATCTGTTCTTAAGATAGCATGCATAGTGCAGTGCTTCTTCCCATAGGTACTTTGGTAAATTCTGAGTGAACAGCATGGCACGAATGTGCCCGAGTAAAGTGCCATTGAGTCACTCCGCAATGCCATTTTGAGGGGGGGAATAAGGTGCCGTGGTCTCGAGGAAAATGCCATTCGCATTGAGGTATTGTTTGAATTTCCCTTCAGTAAACTCCTTTGCATTGTCGACATGAATGTGTTTGATTTTCTTCCCGGTCTGCATTTCAAAAAGTGTTTTGAAAGTGACGAAATATTTGAGTGCAGTATCATGCGTCTTCTGCCCAAAAACCATGGACTAACGTTCTCCGACGTCGGTCATGGAAATGAAATATACATTTCCAGTAAGTGATCGAGTGCAGGCAGGTCCCCAAATGTCGATCACGATAAGATCTCTGGCCTCATATTGAGTGTCAGATTTCTGAGGGAAAGGGCATACAGATTGTTTTGCCTGTGTGCAAAAATCACAGTCCCAGTCGAGGGAACTGCTAGTATCGATGTTCATGCCGTCGACCATATTTTTGTCCTTTAACTCTTTAAGTTGGGCCTTGTTAAGATGTCCCAAAGCGCAATGCCATTGGTACCACGTGCGTTCAGTCTGGGCAGCATTGATGCGAGCATACCTGGGAACCGTATCAAGATGATACAAATTGCTGACCTTTCGGCCTCAGCCAATGATTCGATCTCGATCGAAAATGGTCAGGATGCTTCCAACTCCAGTAAATCTGAGTTGTTTGGAATTAGTCAGGCGACCAAGGGAGATGAGGTTGTACGGCATAGTCGGTACATACATAGCATCTTTGAGGATAATCTTGGTATGTTTCCCATTTGCATTGAAGGTAACTGTGGCATCGCCACAGCCAGGGGAATCACATTTCCTCATGCCAACTACTCCCCCATTAGGTGTATCATAGAAAGTGGTGAATAACTTTTTGTCTACAACAACATGGGAGGAGGCGGCACAGTCGCCCAACCATAAGTTTTTGTGCGTGACGAAAATGGACTCGGTAGCGATGTTGGCTTCCAGAACAGTGAACGCATATTCACTTTCTTCCTCGGCCTGATGGACTTTGTCCTTTCCTTTATTGGAATCCTTGGCGGGAGAGCGGCATTCAGGTTTGATATGGCCTTCTTTTCCGCAATTGTGGCAAAAGACTCCCTTCCTGAACTTCAATTTCTCCCCCTTCTGATTCCCGCCCTTCTTCTTCTGCTGAAAAGCAAAAGCCATTTCAGTCTCAGATTGAGACTTGCGGCAAGAAGCCTCAGAAAGAATTCAGCTGATGATGTCAGCCAATTTGATATTGTCCTTTTGGGTTTGATTGTTAGGATCGACTGATGCAGCAATGTCGATTGAGGAAATGAAGGGATCCCAAGAGTCCGGTAATGCCGTAAGGATCGTAAGGGCAAAATCATGATCGGTGAGCAGGTGGCCCATCACTTTCAATTGTTGTTGATGGCCTCGCATGATCCTGATCTGTTCCTCTATATCGGTTCCTTCTTCTATTACGTGGCGCAATAGTTTTCATCGAGTGAGGACCGTTGCAATGGGTCCCTTTGACATGAAGATGTTTGCTAGTGAGTCCCAAGCTTCTCTTGAGTTCTGGGCAGACATCACATAGCTGAAAATATCCTTGGATACTCTGAGATGAATAGCGATGAGCGCTCGTCTATCTTTATTTCCCCACTCTACTCTTTCAGCGGCATCAGCCGGTTCAGTCTTAACTCCATTTACGTACTCAAGAAGACTGAGCTCGGACAGTATGTCTTGCATCTGGACACTCCAGATGCCATATGTCTCTTCGCCCGTGAGTGGATCGATTCGGTAGTGGCCTGAAGTCGCCGTCGCCATACTGGCGTATTCTCACTGAATAACCTTACTGGTGCGTGACTTTTGGCTTTGCTCGTACTGAGCTAAAAATAAGAATTTTGATTGATCCAAAAATTTGTTATGCTGATACTCGATGGTAGTGAAGTAGGCGATGAGCGATTTGATTGGTCAGTGTCTAGTTAGGCAGCGGGGCCCATAACCTGTTGTTCGAAGATGGGGTGAGAGGTTAAAAAGTGATGACATTTTACGGTCTCGCATACGTGTATTTATACTCTAGCGTAGGTACGAAAATTGTAAGAAAAATAAACTCAAACCTTGTAAGATGGAAGTATATCTACTGAGTGGGACTGAGCATGGAAAACTACTACTGTAAGTATGTTAGTTGCCTAATCCAGTCTTCCATTCTATAGCTACTAATGACAATCCAAGATATGAAAAATAACATTATGGGATGACTTCGAGGCTAGTAACCCACCTATAGGTCAATACAGACAATGCCATAAGAATGAGACTGTACCAGCGAGAATCTGTGTGCATTTTTAGTGCTTGCTTGATTCCCATTCATTTCGCTTGCTCATCAAGCTGCCCACCCCAGTAGTGCGAACTGTTGAAGAAGGTGACAATGCATGTCGTTTGCGAGATAACCACCTTAATGGCTCGATATCCAACGATATGTCCAATGATGGTGTTTACCTTGTGTAGGAAGCACCAAAATACCTGACGAAAGGTGAAGGTCAGTTAATTTCAGATATTGATAAAGAAGCTTACCAATATCCACCAGAAATCTTGTTGATAGATACGGCAAGATGCTTGCATAGTAGTCGGGTTATCAGTTGTACATGCAATGAAGTTATTTTCATCGCCAACTTCATTACGCTGCATTGACAGCTTGGCAACATCAAGCAGTCTCTTTGCAGTTGCACGTTGGCCGGTCAAGTCTTCCAATGCAAGAACCTGTGGAAATTTGTTGACACCTGCTGCCACTGTGCCATACAAGCTCCGTCTTCGAAGATCTTCCCATCCATCCATCAAAAGAGTAAGCTCTGTACGTGACTTCAATCGCTTCAGCTCCTGTACTTGAACACGAGCATATTCTGCATCCATTACTGTGTGAGATAACACATAACGGCTACTCGGAGTATAGGACGGCCAGATTGCGTGTACGAATTCAAGGAAGTATGCATCCTCAGAATGTGAAAATGTGCTGTTCGTATATATGAGGTACCTGTTTTAATTGTCCATGTCATGTTCTAATTAAATATTTCACTTCAAATCAGATCTTACCGAAGCAACTTCATGTTGGCTTCATCTTTGGCCAGCTTGCTCATTGCATGGTCAACATAACCATCTAGATTAGTTGCCCTCCGCTTCTTGACAGGTCTCACGGTGACAGATTCCTGAGCCTCTCCGCTTTCCATTGGGGTAGCTGCTTTTTCTGCGAATGGCTGAGAGGCTTCAGTGATGCCGTTCTTGTCCATGAGGCTCTTGAGAGCATCTTGCCGAACATTGTCAGGTGCATTTGGGCACTTAGCATGGTCACTAAGGTGCTGGAGGAGTCGGTTGTCCCGGTGTTCAATAGCATGTTCAGAGCTATCATCATCGGGATGACAGTGCTTGCAGATGTAGTACTTCCGATGTGACCTATTTTCGACGTGACCTGCCTCGCGGAAGTTTTGAATAATGAGTCTGTTGGGCGGCCGCCCACCCCTGGCACTCATTGGATACAAGCTGAGTGGGGAGGTGAATTCTTGAGATGTTCAGAACAAAAAAACCATTGTATTGTAATTCCGGCTATAGTAACTACCTATTCCCAATCATGCTCGAACGGTAGAACACTTTTAGGATTTGCCAAAATTCGCCACCTCTATTCTCGGACCTCCCTGGCGATCGCCGGCAATTGCCATATTTGCCAGGTCAAATGGCAGAAGTATTGCCATGTGCCAACAACACTAGCACGCCGCCGGCGCTTTCAATTTCCACATTAGTATACACCTCCCCAGTCACCCCCTCACCTAGTCTCGCTGAGGCAGAGTACTTACACAGAGACACGTTAACCTTTGTGCTTCAAGGGCATAGAGTCACTGGTTCAAATTCTCCATGGATTCCGAAGACGAGAGAGAGATGGAGAAGCAGGATACAGTTTACAGTATGTCCTACCCTGTCATTCTAGTACACATACTCATTGACGTCTTTGGTGAGGCTTTTCTGGTCTGGAGATGCGCATCCACCAGAACGAAGAACGAGAATGTCTACGGGATGCTCGAATCGCGCGCAAGGATCCGGAACGCGATGAGACAATTACGATGAACATTGCCAGGGCTTATCGTGTTATGCGCTTCTTTGAAACTATACAAGGATTCCATAAGGTGAGCGTGATGCTTTCGCACGCCCAGCAGCTTGTACTGGTGTTTTGACGCAACTGCTTTTATTATGGGCAGGGCTCTCTAGATCTCACTGGTCGTCATCGAAGGCGATATGATTCGATTCTATCCCGCTGGAAAGATTTCTCTACTGAGCTAGGGGGTGTATTAAGGAATGCGCAAACGTCTGTTACTGCTGTCGAAATCGGAGGGAAGCCGTTCATTGTGAGCGGTGAGCCGATCTTACGCACAGAATTGGAACCAGAATCGCCGGAAAGACTCGATACGTTTCTTACAAAGTGGCATGCTCATGATTGTCTCTCTCTGCATGAGTTATCTACTCGCAGAGGTATGCCCTGTCCATCTTTACTTAACAACTGCCTTTTTAATTCATTTCTGTTCTCACTTCCAGAGGATACACTGAAATGTCTAGCATTACACCCCACTCCCAAGTTTCAATTGTTGTGCCTGCGAGATCTTCCTCCGGAGCTTATTCATTATATCATGGACATTGCTGGCGTAGACGGAGCACGAAGGTTGGGTGCGACATGTCGCTTGCTGAGGGAGATCTCTTCATCCTACATCTTTGAGGTACTGCTGCGGCCTTATCAAGCACATGACTATCTATTGACTTGGTATGTTTTAGCATCGGTCGTTCCGCCTGGATTTTATGCCAGACTGGGATCAGGTCCGCTCCATGGAGTCCATTGACGAGAAGACCGCATATATGGACTCTCTAATCACTCAAAGGAGCACGAAGCTCATCAGTGGAATTGACTTTATCAAGCCTCGTTCCGACATCCTTACGGCAGTGCGTACGCTGTATGTGAGCGATGAGTGGCAATCATTCAATGCTTGGGAGAGGACAACTGTCGCCGCCGATGAAAATTCTCGACATTCCTTCTATGCTCCGCTCTACGACGGTATCTCTGACCTGCTTCCTCGCCTTTCGAATCTCCAGACTTCAATATTGGCATACTGGCACATTACGGAGGAGATGATATCAAATTTTGGGTGTCTCAAACAGCTTCATACCTTGAAGTTGTTCTCGTGCACCTCTGCGGTCCGCTTCCCATACGCTATCCCGAAAATCCCCTCGCTCTTAAACTTCCAGATAGGTTGGTCCGAGGAACACTGTGACTCTTGGCTTTTTCTTGGAATGTGCCCCAACATTCAGAACCTGTTCATTTGGCCCGCTCGTGGCGGCCAGCCTGACCCAGACATCACGATGCCATCTATTCAACTCATGGCAGCGTTCAACCCTTTCAAGACGCTCCAGAGGTTTAATATGTCCCACGTTCAACCAGAGTGGCTTCCGCTACTCAGCGCCTGGATCAGGTCAGCTCGTGATAGTAATGAGCCCGCCGGTCTTCATCTCACGCATTTCAAACTGGACATTGAGGGTGGCTTGCATCGACGAGAGATTTTCTCCCTCCTTGATTCGTTGAGTGGTGCTCCTATACAATTCTTTGTTTTGGACGGCTTGCGCTACGCAGCACCTGACCTCTTCGACCGAATCGCTGGCGCGCTACCCCAACTGGAATACTTGACGCTTTGCTACAGAGAGAGCGACATCCAATTCCGCACGAAGGACGCTAGTTGGCCTTTTGCTACCTGGGAATACGCCCCGCATTTTGCCAATTTTCACCATCTCCGTCGCTTCTCATGGAACTACAGGACGGATATCAACGAATGTGGACCCTCGATACTTCAATACTTTGAACAAGGGTTTCCGGACGAACAAGAATTATGGAGGATGAGAGCCGATGAAAATGATAGTTTCCACGATTGGGAGTGTATTGCCAAGCTTTTTGCAGTATTCTGCCCGTCTCTTGAGACTCTTGGTTTCGATTGTATGTGGCTAGGGATACGCAAAGAGCTTCGTGAGGACGGTCAGGTCGCTTTTGTGAGGGACGACAACAACATGGAGGCGGAACTTTCCTTGAGGTGCAACCCTTCTCACGAGTCCTGGCCACTGTGCTTGCCTGCTTCCCACGGCGTTTGATACTCTCAACGAAGTTTCGAATGTCGCGTTTCTGGTCGCTGTGATGCTGCCTGTCGTTCAACATTAAACATCGCGGGGTCTATATATCACATGGTGACCGCCGCGGCGTCCAAGCTATTGCACAAGATCTACCGTGGCTCATACCGACTCCTCGACAGTCTAAGTACGAGCATCAAGAAATGGAGAGGTTGAGGTCGACCCATCAACTTTCAGTATCGTAAAGCCCTACTCTAAACCACCTATTTTTGAACGTTACCTCAAATCCATAAAGATTCATTCCTCTAGCAAATACCGAACGAGCTGCAGTCCTCCGAGAAATCGTTCAATACAGTTTCTTTTTGATAATTTTCAAACTTCACAGCAGAGTAACTTCCTCCACCTCGGGCTTGATGTTGTATTGTATTCTTGGCCCCCCAACCTATCGATCGACCCCCGATTCACGCGGCAGCGAGAGTAGTTATAAGCCCACCATGAAGCTATAGGCTGATACTGTAATGAACACATTCTGGATCGGGATCGGGATCGTTTCGCTTATTGGCACACCGATTCTCTCGGAGTTTGTTCCTTCCCGCTGAACTCCAATCTTTCGCTTTCAACTTGGCGGTTTTTGGAGGGCCAGTGGAGCATTTCCAAGGACCTCTTTAAGCTCCCCTATGGCCAAAGAGCTACAGGTCGTAATTCCTTGATTTTGAGTCACTGATAGCTCATCTAGCCTTCTACTTAATGGTGTGTCAGAGGCCCCCACAAAGCTGTTCGCATATGATTCAGCAGTATCATAGGATACTTGGTATGAGCCAGATTGATCGAACCTATTTGCTCGTACGAATAATTCTCCCAACGAGGATGCTTCAACAACCCGCCATGGGTTCAAAAGCTCCATGATGTACATCAGGACGGGCATCAGGATTTGGAGCACGCACGATGATTGGCAATGTCAAAGGTTACATCCAAGTCGGAATCTTCAGAGGTGCCCGACTGAGGGCTACTGGAATCAAACTCATCGGAGATCCTCCTTACATTTACCCTCATCACCCAATCCAGCCTGTCTATCAGCCGATCGCCAACACCTTTGATGACGCGTCTATTAAACCAGTCGCCCTCAACCCCTTCCATCTCGGCCGCAGCGCCAGGAAGTGCCCAGTTGTCATATGGCTTGCCGTGAGATCCGCTTGTCGTCCACAACATACGAGTGCTGTCATTGAATGCATTGATCCACAACGTGCAACAAAGGCAGCTCCGTTTGCTGCAACCAATTGGCAGTTGTCTTTTCCGGAGATCCGTGCGCGATCCCGATAGCAATGATTGGCTAAGGCGAAGAATTATACGAAGTTCGGTGTGAATGCATGTATTGATGGTTCGCCACCGCGCCCAGTTCTCCCTCAAGTGAGGAAAATGTTCACTGATGGTGCCGATATCCCATTTCTGCTCACCCTCCCCCTCTGCCCGTTCCACAGCCTCCATCGGGGTCCGCACAAACCTCAGATGTTCCCTCTCCCGTGTCAGTGAACTTGTCCGCAACCCAATGAATCGGAATACTTCGCAATCGCCTTACCCTCTTTAGAAGGTCCCCGATTCTCATGTATTGACAAACCTTGCCCAGCCGTCACTCCAGTCTCTCTGCACGACATTTGATCGCCAGGTAGCGACTACTACTGGTGAGCTCGCGTAAATAAAGAGAGCGCTGTAGAATGGTGGCGGAAAGGGTAAGTTGAACATGATGGATGAACGATGTCTCCTCATCTTGCACTTCGAATGCGGATTTATCCATGCAGGTACGGATAAGGTCGTTGAGTATGCGATCGACTGTCGGTTGCCCGTCCGGGTATTTGAATTCGAGATAACGACGTGACTGGGGAAACTCCTCTTCCACCGCCCTGAAGGAGTATTTCTCAGCTGCCGACTCTAAAAGAAGTGTGTAATAGATTCATGTAGATTCCTGATTCGCTTGTCCAAGTTTTCCTTGCCGTGTCTAGCTAGGAACGGGAGGAGGTCTGACCAACCTCTGGCCGCCACCCAGTCCGAAAAGAATGTCTGTGCGGCCGCATAGTCTGCAGGGAGGACATCCCCGTTCTTTGCTAGAACGAGACTGACATGCTCGCGTTTGTCGAATGCAGCAGCAACAACGTCGCCAGGTTTTCCAGTGGTTAAACAAACTGCGATGAGGTCGAGGATGCGCATGTCGTCACGCGTCTCGCAGTGGCGGTTGTCCTTCTTACTATGAATCCCAACGTACCGGTAGGACATGGAAAGATCTGAGGAGCAAAGCTCATCCAAAAGACGCAGTTGCTCTGAAAGGTGTGTTTGGATTATGGATATTCCAGGCATGATGAGGGTAAGCTTCGAAGTGAATCTGAACACGTACATTGAACTGTCAACCTGAGAGACGAACTTTCTGCTGAGGTATATAGGCGGCGGATCCGAGAATGATCGATCGTTGGATCCTCTATGTATTTTACCGCTGGCGGATTTCACGTTTACCGTCAATATTAAATCCAGTCATACAAGATGGCGCAAAAGTCTGCACTTACCGTACTCATCCTGGGACAGTCCCACCGCTCAGTACCTCAATCCGATCGGCTCAGCTCCCTGGCGGCGGCTTGTTATTGACTCACCTTGACGGAGGTTTTCCTCGACATCATACATTTGACTTCCTCGACGCAGTGAACGGGCGTGCCTATTCAGTATCTCGCCCTGGACGGCTTGCGCTATGCCTAATAGGATATCCTCGACAAGATTGGCCCAGAACTCGTCGACGTGCTCTCTCCTATGCTACTTTACCGAGAGACACTCAGTTCTAAGAAACTGCCTTATTTCACTTGGGACTTCAAGATGGAGTTTTTCTGTTCCACACCATGCAAGTTGCTCGGGTTCGAGGTTGGGTTCTTGGAAGACTCGATGTCGGCGTGACCGTCGTTGTCAAATAAGCTTTTCTGGATTCCTTGTCCCTCGTTGGAGTCCATGATGTTCATGACGTATGGGCCTTCGACGGCGAAGACGGACAAAATGATTTCAAGATCGCCCTGTAGACGTGATGAACGAATTTTATGATTGATGCAATCTTAACGAAGTTTGACCATTCTGTCCTCTACCTTCCACTCATAACCAATAGGCAAATGGCGTCTGGATTGCGATACTCTTACGCTGCATGATCGTGCGGTGCCTTTGGCCGATTGGAGTTGCTTTGAAGAATCTGGTGTGTTACACTGCCTGTGTTCAATGCTGGATACTTGCGATAATGCTCTCTCTTCTGGCTGACGAGTGGATGCAAGACTTTCAACCCAGTTTGCCTTCGGTCACGCCTTTTCCTTTGCAGAATACTTCACGAGCCGAATGGGGTTGGCCATATCTTAACTACATCACCGTACGAGGGCGATGCCCATGCGATATCTATGCAATTCAAAGTCCTTTCAGACTTATCAGTCTCACGTGGTTTCAAAGGTTCGTATACAGGTGAAGGCTGTGGCTCTGGAACCACTAGGTCAGCGTTTAGACTCGGCTTTCAACGAATTGTGGTAATTGAGCCCGCGCCTGTACCTGTCATGAGTATCGCCCTCACAGCCTATTTCTCACATATGGGCACACGTTGATCTTCCCCATGGATACAAAGGCTGAACCTCTTTGGGTAAAGCATTGCAGCATGTAGCCAGCTTCCTTGCCCCAAACCCCTCCACTGTATACACTCACATGTCGTTCGCATTCTCCTTCGGTTCCTTTGGGGATATCCTTGCCCTCATCGAGCTCGCTGCCAAGGTCGCTCATATCTTGACCAGCACATCTGGCGCATCCGAGAGTTATCAGGCTCTAATCTTGGACGTCACCCGACTGCAGCACTTTCTACAACAGTTAAACAGTTTCTCCCGTCACCGCAATGTCACGATTCTGAAGAGTCAACTTCTTTCTCCCGAGGATGTTGCTTCGGCGATCAAAGAATGTACTCGTAGTCTAGAGCGGATTCTGCAAAGGGTGACTTACTACAGGTCTTTTGTTGAATCTCGATGTGGTTCTTCTGTTCATAACTCCTGGAGACGGACATGGATGACATCTGGATGGATGCTTTTGAAGAGTAGGGAGATTGCAGAATTCCGAGCCGAGTTGTTGCAACACAACACGTTGCTTGCTAGGATACTGTCTGCCATGAGCTGGTGTGTTCACCCTTGAATTTACTCTTCGTGACGGTGTTCATTAATAGCTTCTACGTCGTTAGCGAATCCATACAAGTTGTCCAGAATGTTGCAATGGAGACAAGTAGTCATGTTGGAGACGTCTTGAGCAACACTACGATGATTAACTCCAACTTGAACGTCGCATTGCAGATCCTCCATAACCTTGACCAGAATATTTCGGCCACGATCGTACGAAACTGGACTGCAGATGGTGCATCACCCGTTCGAGTCCAAGACTACTTTGGAAAGATGTCTGTGCTACCCAGGCAAACGTGTTTCACACCAGAAGTAACTACTCTCAGTTCCAATTACCCTTCCCCCTTGCTCATGTCTTGTTGTCTATGCAGGAACTCTGCCAATTCATCATACACTGTAACAACACTTCACCAGAGAACACAGGTGGATGTCATGCACTCGGCTCAGCGATATCGGGATGTTGGGGTCATTGCGATGAATGTGGTCATGTCTCACACGACTGGTTCATGCTACAAGATTACTTAACCTACCATCCAAACGCGCCATTACTGCTGGAGATTTACTTCCGTGCGAGTGAATGCAGACACGAAGGGTTTGTTTTACTTTATTAATTGCCACGCAAGTGGTTCGTTTCGGCTGATGATACTATCATTTAGGCCTCTCCTTGCCAAACCGCCCAGTGAACTAGGCTGGAGGTTATCAAGTACCGACAGCCACTCACTTGGATTCCTCCGAGACTACCGTGGTCCTGTCGTGGAGCTAGGATTCTATGGCGATTAAGATCGATATCGCCCTACCGTCATTCAATACAGAGTCCGATTGAGACTTCCACCGAGGCGATATTGGTCTTCTTAGATCCAGAAGGAACACTGCTCCGAAGGCTATGTTCTGTCTCTCAAACTGCTACGTTGGAGGTTGCCTTCGAGAATGTGGACATTGTCCGGATGTGGAAGTAAGCATTGTAGAACAGGCTACTTATGCCGCCCTGCAAGGATGATCATAATTAATGGTACTGCGATAGTATCCATTAGGCTTTAGTATGATAGATAGAGTAGCTAGTGAGACATATGAAGGATATCATTTCATTTGGGTTCCATATACTTCTACATGAAATCGTCAGGGCCTTCACCAAAGTCATCTAAAGCCTCGTCATAGATGCTGGTATCAAGCCTGAAAAGAAAAAAAATCGACATTAACGGAGAACACATATGTAATGGAAACAAACAACGTACTTGCTCGAAGGTTTCGCAGCTCCCAGGGCAGGCTTTGCCGTAGTCTTTGGCTTTTTCTTACCAGAAGCCTTGTCCCTTTGCTCCCTCTGCTTCTCGTTTGCTAGCGTCGTTAGACCGCTCGCAGCCTTGCGAACCTCGACATCACGCAGAGGCATGGCAAGTTCTCTAACATGGTGCTCTACGAAGGAAGCGTACAGAGGCTGGTCCTGGTGACGCTTGATGATGTAGGCGATGATGTTATTCGAGAAATTGATGAAGTCCTCCTTGGTTCTCGGTTGTGCTGATATGAGGGAGTCAAGTTCGGACGAAGATGTGCCTGAGGTAAAGGATAAGAAGGTGTCCAATAAACATGCAAAAGACTCAAGAAAAGACACACCTCCTAACGCCGCAGCACCTAGAAGATCTGCAGCATTACTCAGATCTGCCTTGAGTTCCTTCTCCCTGTCTCTACGTGCTTTCTCTCGAGGGTCAAGGACGGCATCCTCATCGTATTCGTCCTCTTCATCCTCCTCCTCATCATTTCCTTGCTTTGCTTTCAAAGCCGACTTTTCGGCAAGCTTAGCTTTCAGTGTTCCCTTCTTCTTCGGAGGTGCAACAGGTGCAGCCTTGGGTTTCTCTTCCTCTTCGGAAGACTCTTCCCAGTCGCTCTGATGATTCCGATGAGCATTAGGTGCGAGAATTTGGGGATTATTATATCTAGAACATACCACAGGGCCATCGCCATCTTCGTCTTCTCCCTCCCACTTGCTCTTCTTCAGTACGATCGGTTTCCGTGCAGCAGGTGCAGATGGCGCGGCAGCGGCTGATTCAGATTCGTTTTCTTCTACAATCTTTCATCCATGAGCTGGTTCATTGAAAAATCAAGGAAAACACATTACCCCAGTCAGACATGGCTACAGAATAAACGGAAGCTAAGGATACAAGGAGATACACTGAAGGATAGAACTCAAGCGAGATGGTTAAGGGCAAAGTTCTGGCCGGTAAATTCCGGCCAAATTGATTTATAACACGTGACCTTGGCGCGTCCAAGTCGCGTCCAAGTCTCCTTTGCTTGATTGGTTGCTCCCCTTGTCTTTCGACATTGACTATATGGCAGGTGTAAGGTATATTCTACGCCTTTATCCATGATTTGAATTCAGAACTTACACGATGATAGAACGCGTCTGCTACAACTCACCCTACCTTTAGTGAGGTCCCACGGCTTCACCCGACATGCGCTAGCACAATCAGTGCTGGCTTTGCCTGCTCCACATCCTGAACCTCTCTCAGATACAGCTGTCTCAGCTCTGTTTGGAGAAGGTGACGAGGCAAGGCGAACACTCATTGAAGCATGGCTGGACGAAGGACGGAAGCAAATGAGACATGCACCATCTCGGAGCATCAAAGATGTCCTCGCAGCTAGGTTGAGATACAATGAGTCTGTTGTTGATCTGCTTCCCGAGGTGCTATATTTGAGGATCGTATAATTCTGCTTTTCTACTTACTTAAGGTGGTACTATAGGCCTTCGCGACTCTTGTAACTCCTGAAGGCATTCCATTCGTCGACCCCAGGCCCGCTTTAAGTCATGCTGCCAAAGTGGCAGATGAGGCTTGTAATGTCGTAAATGACCAATCTGTTGGCGTAAGTACTTGATTAATACCTTCGAAGAGCTGTCATAATCAATACTTTTTAGCCGTCATGGTATGCCCGACGAACGTCGATAGCTGCAATCTACACTGCCGCAGGTGTGTGCTCAGTGTCTTTATATACAGCTAAACTCCGATCATAATGGCCTGATCCCTTCCCTTTGTAGAACTACACCAACTAACGTCACCAAAGACAGCAGAGGATTTCCTTAGCAGCCTCCTGGAATCATCCACTAAGGTGGAGTCTGCAGTGAGCGAAGCGTCCCAGTTCACAGACTATATAGCCAAAAGTTGGGCAGGTATTATTAAGAGTCGTGGTATCATTTAAGCACTCCGTACCCCGGAATATGTGCTCGGAATATTGCGTATTGTACATGCTAATACACAAGACAAGACCAAGACCAAGGCTTGATAAGATCGAACATTCGTAGCCCCACCGGTTCTCTAGCAGTGACCTGTGCTTCCAGAGAGACAAGGGTTCTCCCTGTTTCGTTAAGTCTGCTTGACGGCAGCTTTGATGAGGTCCGCAGCCTTTTCAGCAATAGCGATAACAGGGGCAGCCTGTCCAATCGCTTTAGCATCATCTATACCTATACTACACAGTATTCTCCACTCACCGTATGGCCGGAAATGATCGTAGGGAACACACTTGCATCAGCAATCCTCAAGTTCGGAATACCGTATACCCTCAACTGTGGGTCAACGACACCTCCATCTTCGAGAGGCGCCATGCGCGCGCTGCAGCAAGGATGGTACAGCGTCTCTGCTCGCTCGAGGATGAGCTTCTCCAGTTCTTTGTCAGTGACAGTATGCAAGTGATGGTGAGTGCCTGGTGAACCATCCCCTGTATGGTCTACGACCGAAGCCAAAGGTTCAACCTTGACGAGGTCTTGGACTAGTCGGGCACCACGAATGAGAGTCTTCACATCATTGGGGTCGGTGAAGTAGCTATAACATAGTTTGTCAACGTCAACCGCGAATCACACAAAAATGACAACAGCATACTTAGGATCAATGATGGGCGGATCCTCAGGATTCGTCGATCTCAGCCTAATCTGGCCAGTGCTCTTAGGTCTGTAGTCCAATAAATTCTCAGTAAAAAAAACCTTGCCTTCGCTCATGATATTTATTCACCTGAGCAAGACCGTGTGCAATCCGAAGTGCGATTCAAGAGGGGTCCAACCGAAGCCAAAGTCCTCATAAATCATAGGACTGCCGAAGATTTCGAGGTGAGGTGCGTTCTTGCCGGACGACGTATCCTCAGGTAGCGCCGTTTGGGAATACTTGTTCTCCGGAAACACTCTGGGATCGTCCGCACGTACAAAGGCCGCCACTTCTGCGATCTTGATTTTAAGTCAGATACGTCAGTAAGTATTCCCAAGTCATTCATAACACAGAACTGACATTCGAGGTCAGAGGTCCTTTCCTCGTCAACTTATATTGCACCAATGCTGTGGTCAACTGGACCTTCTGAGAGAAATTCTTGGCTCGCAAGAAGTTAATTCCGGTCTTAGACTTGTCTTTGAAGTGCCAATCGACGACAAGGTGATCCATGAGGTGTGAACCGACGCCTGGCAAGTCTGCGACGACCGGAATTCGGAAGTCCGAAAGGTGCTCTGCAAGCCCGACTCCAGACAGCATCAGAATCTAGTCAATTTGTGCTCAGAAAGTATTTCTTTGAAGGCGAGAGACTCATATACCTGAGGTGTACTGACAGCTCCTGCGCTGAAATAGATTCAGTCAGGAAAGATCAGTATTTACATGCTAAACACGACGAAGACACTCACGCGACAACCACTTCCTTCCTGGCCTTCACTTGGTATTTAGCACCTGTTGAATCTGCGAATTCCACACCAACCGCACGAGGCTTGGATGCATCCTTAGTGTCAAACAGGACTCGGGTGACATATGCCTTCGTCGCTACAGTGAGGTTAGGGCGTGCCAACACCGTTGGTGTAAGGTAAGCTGTCTCAGTTGTCACTCGTTGACCCTTAGAATCGATGTAGGTCACTGGTTCATCACGATCAGTGATCTGGAAATGTACTGCGCCAAGAACTACGCACTGAGCTGCAAGATGAACTGTATCAATGGCACGGCATTTAGTATAAATTAGCACGAGAACCTCACCTTCGTAACACCAAGCGTTCCTTGTGCAGTGTTAACATCAGGATTATGAGGTATACCAGCATTGATACAAGCCTTGATGAATGCCCCGGGCGAATGAGAAAGATGGCCAAAGTAGCCAACTATACACAGTGAAGATACGCGTGAATACAGTAGAAAGGATCAACATACTGTCGACGGGTCCCGAGGATCCTCGTTGAGACGCATCAACTCCAGGGTAGTCCTTGCTCGGAGTAAACTTCTCGAACTTCCCGAAGTACCTGAAGTAACGATAAGGATAACGTATGGAAGATTGCTTCGTAGACTGACGGGAGGAATTCCTTGTACGACCAAGCTTCGGCACCCTCCTGATTCTTCTGCAGTTGAGCCCATTCGTCGTAGTCAGAAGGAGCACCGAAATGATAACTTCAATGGACATGAATACTTGTAATCGTATCGTCAAACTGAAAACAATATATTACTTACCAATTTGCATTGGTATTGGTGCCTTCACACGATTGATAGTCAATAACATGGTTAGACCAAACTGAAAAACATTGATACTTACATCCACCCAGGATCTTTGCTAAACAAATATATGAGCAAAGGCGATTACCAGCTGGGACTGAAACAAACCTCGAGGCCAATACCGCTTTCTACCATCTGCGTTCTTCTGTTCCTCAGTCCAGAAATTGAAGTCAAGAGGGGTACGGAAAGTCCTGGTTCCGACGGCAGGAACGAGTGCAACTGGGTCGTCTAGATTGCTGTGTACAGATATTCACAACGGAACTTCAGATGGGGATACCGTATGTTAACACACCTCCTTCCGGCTTCCAGAAGTAAGACACGGATGGTAGGGTCCTCTGAAAGGCGTGCGGCCAATACGCAGCCACCAGTGCCTTTAATCACAACGTATATGTTCTCTGTTAGTCTGCGCACGGGTCTACGCGAAAGTTTGCGTAACATACCCCCGCCCACAATAACGACGTCGTACTCGTCTGGGTCGTAGCCATACTCATCTTGTTTCACTCGACGTCCAACTTTGCTCAAGTCCGTCACGAGCTTGGATTCTAGCTTCTTCGCCTTTTTCGGGTCTTTCTTGTGCCAGAACGTCAGAAAGAACCATAAGCCAGCAAGAAGACCGGCCGTTCGAAAGGCCTTCAGCGCTGCAGGAGAACGAGCCAACGCAACCACCGATGCAAAGCCGGGTTGCGAGACAATACTCGACGTGCTTGAACCACCAGCCATGATAGTGGGGTAAGGGTAACAGAGTTGACACGGGGAGCCGAATCACTCATGCTGAATGAACTATGGGGTTCTTATGAAGGGGCTGCGCCAAAGAACGACGTCCAGGTGACCAGGATCAAGGGAGACTAGTTCAACAAAATAATTTGATCAATCACAAGCATTCCCTGACGAGCTGGTCGGATTGCTACACATGCCGGAACTTCACAAGCTGAGGACTAACTCAGGACGGTAGTGCCTTAGTCTGCGGTGTCTTTACTCCCAGGCAGCAGCACCCCTATCTCTAACCTTCCCACTGCGAATGTACGGTACCGTACGCAGTATGGATAGTAGGATCTTTGTTGAAAATAACTTAGTATCTCAAGTGCAGTCGTTATAATGTACCATCAGACTGGAAGCGAATGAAGTTGGTTGTTGCGAATAAAACTCGGAACTGTAGGTCCGTTTTGACAAAGCATCAATTGGACATAGAACCCCGCCTACGTAAAATGGAAGATTGTGAAGTCCATCGTGCTATGTATTCGAATCGTTATGAAACAGTACATACTATAATGAACGAAAGAAAACAGCATACAACAATTTATGAACGTCATAAACACGAGGGTATGTATATCAGTACACGGCGTAAGTAAAAGGGTCATTATATCATCAAGAAAATGGAAAACATATGAACATCATAAGGACGAAGACGATAAATGAGAGGCATTGATGTCATCGTATGAAGAGAGGAAGAAATCGAAATGGATTGGCGAAAGCAAGGAATAAGTCAAGACCCGGAAGAAACATCTAACCTTCTCACAACAAGCTCCGTATGAAGCGTTGTTAAATTATATATCTATTTGCGGTTTTCTTTATTATCAGGTCTTCACTTTCCTTCGAGTTTTGTGCCTCCTACGGTCCCATTCCGAACATAGGTGTGACTTTCCTCGGAGTAGGAAGTTGAGGCAGTGAAGGGGTGCCAATCACAGCATTGCGCTTCGTAGGCGATCCTCCTACTGAAGAAGTGGTAGTCGTGTTCGCTGAGCTCGGGCTCCGACCACTTCGACTTGATGACCCAGGCTTTCGCATAGCAGTTGGAGGTGAACCTATGATTCTCGCAACGGACCAAGGTAATTCGTATCCTGCTCGGCCAGCGGCGGTTACATATCTAGCGATTTCAAGGTGAAGAGTTGGGTAGTAAGTGGTCGATGCTTTACGTGCAATCTAGGAGATAACGCGGACGGTTGAGTAAGAAGGTTTAGATAGAAGTAGCTGGCAAGATAAGCTCACCAAAAGAATTCGATCGATGCCTGAGAGGAAGAAGTCTGAGTGGAGTCTGTGTGGCGATAACTCATGCTCCTTTGGCAGGTTCAATTCTTGTGCAGCGTTAGCAATCGCATTGATCAACCTGAACTGAATAGTCTAAAGAAGAGGCTCTCGTCAGCACGGGAAACCACAAGCGACCAAAGGAATGTCCTACCATATAGGACATGGCTTCGAATTCGACGCCTCCTGTCATCCCTCCGGGTGCTCTTGGTCGCTCCACCTTCCCTTCATCTGTCTCGTCTAGGTTCCATATCGTGTTGTTCGGATGACAGAATACCCAGAAGTAATCCCGACACAGATCACTCAGTTCCTGGAGGTATGTCTTATAAATTCTCGGGATATGCAATTCCTCGATGAATTGGTGGGGAGAAACGGGTATCCGGGGGTCTTCTGTAGGTGGGGGAGCAGGTGTAAGTAGGACTGAACGTATGAATGAGAAGAACGTGGTGTGCGAAGGCGGAAGAGTGATAACATTGCTTGTGGATGGTGCGACCCCCCAGGGGATGGATTGTGAACGATGAGTTGGGTATCCATTATTCGGGCTACCGAGTGAAGGTAGTGATGAGGGAGGATACAAATCAAAGAGTGCTAGCAGGAGTTCGACGATGAGTTGGCGTGTAGCGACTTCACCAGGCTTCTTGTCCGAGTAAAGTAGAGCGATCAGTTGTGTGTATGGAGTAGGAGCACGGCTCCGGAGCGCGTTGCATCCTACGGCAGAGGTCGAAAGGGCCTTGAAGCACCGGAGGAGTTCATGAAGTATTTGATCATCATGTTGCTCTTCTCTAAAAGCACTTTCGTATCGATTTAATTTCAAGTGCGTTATTTTGAACTCACCGCCACTCCACCTCCAAAATCTCACTCAGTCTTGTGAGGAGCGCTGAGTAGCCTCCGGCATTGACGAAGTCTAACGTCCAACTGCAGTAGCAATGTAAGGACCATCATTTCTATGATATAATAACGCGTAAGCTTACCTAGCTGCTTCGTTTCGCAGAAGAAGCCTAAGCTTCTTCACAGTCTCCACGTCAAGTTGAGTAGTCGAACTCCCAGTAAGGATACTGCAATAACGAGAAGCCGATATCGCCGCTGCTTTCAACTCTTTCTTCTCCTTTCCTGGATTGATTGCTGAAGTTGCAAGAGACACAGTCGACTGGCTCGCAAATGCGTTCTTGCGCAAACTTAGCGACACGCCTCGAGCATGCCCGGCAGTAGCAAACGGTCGTTGCGGTTTCGGATATCTAGTTGAAGGAGCCAGTTCAAATGGAGGTACACCAGACATTGAAGTAGGTGCTCGGAATACGTCGTAAGTACTGCTGTCGATGGGAAGCATTCTTGGTGAAGAGAGTGATTCACTGCTATGCGACTTGCGCAGTCCTCCCGACGGCGAGTTAGGTCCTTTACGAGCCAATGTGTGTGAAGACTTCAGCATAGCTGCCTTCACAGAGGGCTCCATGGTAGCCAACTTGGGCCTGATTGTCGAAGGAATCTGGAGTTCATCCTAGTGAAAAGTTGTAATTGTTGCACAATCCGAACCAACCAAAGTAACCTACTAGCAATTGACTGAAAGCCTGCTCGGTATCTGGAGAGTCCGTCCCTTCCTCCTTCGAATTATGCTTGACCTTTACCTTCTTGGCTCGCTTCTCTGTTGGTGGCTTTGCGGTGTTGGTCATGGTTGCTAAAGCGGGATAGTTTTCTTTGCCATTTGGCGCAGTGTCACCAAGGTCAGTGACCATGGTGAATTCAGAGGAATGAATCCTCCTCAGTGGTAGAATGCTCTTGAACATTTTCAGTGAGTTGTCTGTTTGAGTCGGAGGAACTGGTAACGAAATGAACTGCGCTGCTCAAACGACGCGATTCCAACTGAGGACAAATACTCGTAAATTATGACCACGCGCGATGGCGACGCGTCGCGGTCACGTGTAGATATAAACCCTAGATCGTGGTTATCTTTCTCTTCTTTAGCCTGAGGATTTCGGAAAACAGGATGACTTTGACAAAGTAACAGGAGAATATACATGCAGAAATGCAGTGATACGAAGGACCATAGTCGAGGTGACGTCTAATAGTTGGTATGGACTCCTCACGCTCGAAAGCAATGGCGGCAATATCAGGTACTGTCTCGGCACAAGCAATGAGAGATATATGAACAAGTAGGATAGGGATGAACAGTGGTACCTCCGTGAATGTCATCAAGCTGGAAAGCAGCCGTCACACATGTGTCCATGGAGTCGAATCAGGACTAACTTTTACGCTCGGCTTTGCACGGTTATGTTGTACAGTCGTGCTAACTCCGGGATAGTAATGTATGGAACTGCACATGATCACATATAGGACATTACGGGTAAATTCCATTTGCTTGGCCTTTATAAGTACCAGACTGCGCAACCCAGTCGACAAGCAACTTGATGAAATGTTGTGTGAGGCGTAGGCGTCTCGTCAAAGAGCTTGACAGTATCCGTCACAGAAGTGATACAGAGGCGGAATCGGCTCTCCTCATAGTTTGTGTCCATGGTTCCATTATGAATTATTGGAGTATTGCACCGATGAGCGACCGAGACGGCAAAGGAGTCCGATCGAATAATTTCAAAGACCTCAGAGGGTGGTCAGCGAGCCGCCCCATGAGCAGGAAGTGGTAGATGCGGAACGATGGCTCCGAAAAAAGCCTCTCAAGAGGCCGTTGAACACCGAACAAGAGGCGTAGTCCAGGGCGTTGTCTTGAGAGATGAAAAAACAACGCGCTATGCTGATGGTGAGCCGCCCACAGCAACGACCTAAAGATATGTCAAGAGAAGCAGATGTGAGAAGGCTGACTCCTGCGCAAACCCGTATGCTGAATATATCGTTGAGGGAACTCCGCTGAGGTGGGTGAGTCAGTAAACCAGTACGCCAATGAGATATGTAAGGTCCTCAACATTGTAATGATCGACAGGCGTTATGATGTCCAATTACAAGGTAAGGTACTGACGCTGAGACGGGTTTGACAACGACCGCAGTTATCGGAGAAACTCCAGAAGTATGTCCAGAACCGCTTTACGGTGTTAAGCATTCTGCTGGGAGTGTGCGCCGCAGTGGTTCCAATTCATTGCATGGCAACTACACACGATGGCTAGCACTCACCTTGTTATTCGCATGTCACATAATTTGCTGCGACTCTACATTGGAATGTACAGTAAGTATCTCCCGGCGATAGGCGTCTGATCATGGATCATATGTTTCCGGAGATGGACCTTGTGAGTGCACTAAAAGAACAATCTCTTGGAGATCGTGTAGCTTGGGCGTCGTGATATAGCATCAAAATTGCTTCAACCTCAGGGTAACAAAACTTCTCTTCAAGAACACACCAGCACGGATGTCGACGAGTGGCCGTGAAGGACGAGAGTGCTTCCTGTCGCTGTCAAACGTTGGCGGTGCGGAGAAACGCGTTGGAAGAAAGAGCAAAATCGGTCTACACGTGAGCTAAACGCCCGGGGCGTGTATCAATCCGCGGGAGGCGCCCAGAAAACAGCACTGCCCATCAATCTTGCCGCCCACTCATTGGCTGGATCCATTGACCGAGCAGTCGGTATATAGTCGCTGCAATACCGCCAAGGCGCCTCCAAATTCCTCCCTCCTCCCCCTCTCCAACCCTTGCTCAAACTCACTCTCTCCTGGCCGTCGGGCTCAAAAGATGTAGAATTCGCCTTCTAACTTTGTAAGAATCAGTTCCGATAGATTTTGCTCTTGTCCGAGGAGTCTGAGCTGACAACGTTCGCAATAGACACGTCTTCCCCGTGGGTCTCAACAATGTAATCATTGAGTTCGACTCTGAGGTTACTGTGCAATCTCATTCCCGCGGCTTCAATCGTAGATAGGACTCTATGATCTATTCGCAGCATCGCTAGTGTTTTACCCTGACGAACGTGGGCATTGTCTTTCAGTGGCACCCCCTTGTTGTCGAAAGACTGTCAAGAACCTCAGCCACATGGGAAGCTAAGTGCCACACCTCGTCCCCGATTCTATTGACTCTTGCTCCATGGTTCTGCTCTGGTTTCCGTTCCGCAACGGACTTCCTTGTCACTCCTCTTCCACGGTTGCCCTTTTGTCCTCACCACTTCGGCCGCCTCTGCAAACGAACGCATCAAGGACATTCCTCAAACATAAAAAGTACATTAAATAAACAATCATTTATCAAAGGTGTGCATTTGTTACAAAGTTATCTACTTGAGTACCTAATATAAGTGCTAATGCACTATCGACACAGAAAGGGCAATCATAAACATTGGTATATATCACAACATGAGAACCAAACTCTATAGGTATAGGTAAGGATTACACAAAAAAAGATATCCTGACAGCATTCCAATGAGAGCTGCGAGGGGACCGTGACTGGCGTTGCTTATAGCAACAACAGGTGCGACCAACGGTCGCGCAACACTCCTCTCCAATTAATTGGGTCCATTCGATGGTTCATACTGACGGCTGCAGCACGTCGGTTCCATACAGTTTCCATAAAGGTGCGTGCTTGATAAAGATTCCCAACGTAATCGTCATTATGAGCCATACAGCGTGTCTTGAGGAAGTCGTGAAGCAAAGGGTCGTCACTCATGCTACCAGCGAGGCACATGGGGAACATCACGGCGCGATCAAAGTCTGATGCTGGAAGCCTCTGAAACAGATCGGAGAGCACGGTTACAGAGTTTGAAATTTCTGGCACCCCTGGGGAAAACGACAGATTGCAATCAGTGGGTGTGCATGGGCGCGACGTTTCAAAAAACGAACGTACCGGGGTGTCCATCGTTCAGAACGGTGTGCAAGTAGAGCACCGCGGTCTCGCGGTAGACTTTCGCCACCAGCTGGCGGACCTCTTCCGTTGGTGATGCCCCGTCTTGGTTTGTGCATCGTGATGGCGAAGTCATGGCTGCTGGTAATCCCGCGGCCAAAGACAACGTCGAGTCCACCATGAATTGTTGCTCTGGAGTTGTTTGGCCTTCTGAGAGTATTCGCGTGGAGTTGAATTGTCGGAGACCCTGTTCAATTTGGTCCCCTCGACGAACGAGGTCTCGCACGCTGAGAGTTCCCTTATGCTGCTCGCTAGCCTTCCAGTAAGCAAGATTGGCTGTTTCTGCTAATGCTAGCATCGCCTCGTCGGGACAACCTGTAAGTCTGTCCATTCTAACATCGAACTGCTCGTTTGCGCTAGCCCAGTACCCTGCACCGCTCCCGAACAATTTGCGATACAACGAAAGGAAACGCGGCGAGCGCAGGAGTGTGATGCTTGACATGACCTCTACCCACTAGAAAGAAGTTAATTGTAAGCAATGGACTTCAGCTGAATCAACGAGCGTGTGTCGCCTTACCATTGTCGCTTGCGCCGCGAACCTGGACATGTCGCTCATGTTCCTTAAGGTTAGTTTGGGGTTCTGTTCGTCCTGTATCCCAGTTTCTGAGAGCCATTCACATGCGATGTCGAGCATCGTCAGCCAGTTCGTACTCCCTCCGGAGAGCATCGAGAATCCGACCAAGTATAGAGCGGCGATCGCATCCTTTTCGGAGTAATGCCCGCCCATCGTCTTCGACGTCATAAGTTGCATTGCAGCTTGGTCGTAGAAGTACTTTGGTATAGAACGCTCTGGATGAGGGTTGGGCACCTCCAACCCCCGCGAAATACGCAGACGGGCCGAGTGTAGACTAGATAGAGCACAAATGGCATGAGTGACCGCGCCTTGTGGTTCCGACAGCAGAATCTACGATCGACGCTTCTTAGAATGATTGTCAACAATGTCATCGATCGAATAAAGACGTACGCTGTAGAGCAAGTTCCCTAACGCACTGCCTGCGAAGACGAACTGGAGGTTTCGGACCTCTTGGAAGTAGTAAAGTATATAATTATCTTGAGATATTGAGGGAGAGATGGATGGTGAGAGTGAGGGCTCTATAAGAGTGGCCATGCCAGTGTGTGGTGCCAAGTCGTTGGAAGGTAGCAATGTGTCATAAGGTAAGGTATCATTACTTGTCATGGATATAGTAGGACCGCCGAAGAACATAGCATCCGATGATAGAGAGCTATCGACGAAGGAGTTCATGGGTGTTAAGTCGTTTGTATTAGGAGTAGAACCTGAACGGTGAGGCATAAGTTGAACGATCGTACTGAAGATCAAAGCGCCTTGAGACTTACTTGGTACAACGGGGAGCATTGGGGAGCCTTGCGAAAACGATGGAGAGCCTCCATAGGACCGTCGATACGAGAAATCGGCCGTACTACCGCTCCCACTACGTTGAAGGCTAGTCGTACTGGGTCCAGGTCCAGCAGGGGGTGTCGTTGATTGTGTCGGTACAACAGTACTGTTCGCATGTTGCAGGTACGCAGCTCGGGGCTGTCCACGGATCAAGCCTGCTCTCGAAAGTTGGTCCTTGATGCTAGCTTTGTATTCAGCCACCTTATCTTTATCCTGCAGAACAATCAATCAGTAAGCTAGAAGCTCAGGCTAGCAAGTAATGTACGTACACGCATCCATTCAGGACGTTTTGGACCCCAGCCTAGGCATTTGATCCTAAGGCGGAGACACGTTTTACAGGAGTCGCCCTCGCGCTCCTCATCGCATTTCTAGGGTGACACATGTGAGAACGTGACCGTCGAAGGTGAGGCACACAACAAACCTTTCGTCGAACCCGACATGTCCTGCAAAATCAGAACTGATTAGCAAAAAGATACGTCAAAACAACCGCTATACCTACCAGCATCCGCCCTTGCCAGCAGAATAGGAACGTGTCAGCTCAGGTCGTGCAGTAGAGCTGCTCGTTGTGGCACGTTCTGAATCGCCCTCTTCTGAACGCGACAAGTTTGAAGGCATGGACATCGGTGACACGTTGCCTGAGGCACTGGGAGAAGGAACTTCGGGTGAGGGCGAGTGACTAGGAGTGGTTTTCAAAAAAGCCTGCGCCATCTTGGAATGGTATATGTCGTAGTTCTGGACGGGAACGGGGACAGGCATGTAATATACGAGAGGAAACACGAGCGAGGCAGTGGGGGAACAGGCAAACAATTGTGGCTGGAGAAGCAGGGATCTCTTTTAGCTATGTCGGCAAAATCGCATGCACCGAGATTCCATTGGTGGGTGATGGCTAGATCGTCACCAAGGCTTTCTACATATGCCCCGACAGAGCATCTGCGAAAACGCGCAAAAGGGATGCCGCATCATTGGGTCAGTAAAAATGGAGGAAAATATGGCATTCCTGTGCGTCCAATGTAGCGCAGAAAGCGAAACATATGTTGGAAATTGCCAAATCGGGGTGGTTCTCACAACTCCGATCCACTGACCGACCGAGGCGTCTTGCGGCATGGACAGTCCTCCGATGCATTCTAACAGCCCTTGCACATCGGCATTCTCAAAGCTGCGAGCGGATGGCTCTCCTGTCCGTCAGATAGTGCACACACCCTTTGGCACGACAGACAGCTCTTCAGTACTAATCTACCCACCCCAGCCGTCATCGGCATCAGTTGATCTCTTGTAATCGACCGTGCTTGCAGGACATGGCAAGTCGACATCCAAGCTCTATCTTTTGCGAGCCTAATCCTCCAGCATCTCCAGCCTAAGACCGCCTGGCAACCCGAAAATGCTTCAGACAAACAGGCTTCAATTTCCTTTTGATTTTCAGTCTAGAAGTGCAGCTTCACGAACAGCGGCGTGCCTTGGGATAGCCCTTCTTGGCTATGACAGGTCGATCGGCGTGAGAGCCGTCTCCAGGTCTCCCCGCTTTGGAAGTCATGGTATTCACGAACTCCACCAATTCACATTTTGAGACTGCCCTTTGCAACGTGCATCACCTTGCAAAGTGTTCAAACATCCCCTGCTTCGGACAGCGTTGAATTATTTTCAGGATTATTTTCGGTCTGTCTCAGGATGATGGCAGGAAGCCCTGCGGTGATGAGTCGGTGGCACAGCCCGAAACCGGTACAGTTTAAAGCCTCATAGAACTAGCTAATTCGGTGCATCCAGTACTCAGCGACGTCTGCAACTGACTCAAAACCTACTAAGGCACTACTGAACACATCATGAGAGTCATCACGATTCAAGATAACTCGTATCTATGTACAAGGTATAGAGTCATAGGTATGTCGCTGGAGTCGACTTTCAGACGTCAGGACAGCTGTATTAATACGGCGTGCTCGGATTCGTACTGCCCCTACCTGTGTGCTCCACCGGCTTTACCGAGGGTGGTTGAGATGCGTCCACCCTGCCTCTTCGCTTACCGCGAAGAAGCTCCGAAAGCGTTCGTAAGCACCTTCCTTCTCCGGTTTTATCGCACTATAACTGTGAATCGGTATTTGTTCAATTAAAAGCGAAAGTCTCTGTTACAGGCTAACATCTTGCTTTGTGCCTCCTTAGAACACGCTTGAATCTTGAAGCATGCAATCTACTATGTATGTCTCGTTCGAGTGGGCGGAGTTGACCGTATTCGCATTGCATTGATGCTGATCTGGGTCTTTCACAGAACCCGTCGCCGTTCAAAGCCGCCCCGAACCCCAAACCTTTTGCACGCTTTCCTTCCATGGTTATCCATACTCCCTTAAAGTCGCTTGTTATCGTCGTCCTTTTTCACTGCTCCAGCTGCCCCATTCACGTATCTTCAAGTCGGAATATTGCGGGGCAACAGTACAGCGTCATCTTTGTGCCGTCTGGTAATGATGGTGTCTAAATATGGCAAGTTTGATGGAACACCCGAATGCCACGCCGTCAAGTCAAGGCGTCCCCGATACCGATATCTCTCGGACGGTTGAGATGCCGAAGGGACAGTGCGCAGTCCGACGGCCTTTTCACTCTCGTTCTTGGGCAGCGATGCTCCCTGCTGGCTCAATCGTATGACCGCATGACAAACAAAGTTGTCGTCAATTCTTCAATCGCCACAATCAGCATATTATCTTTCCGCTTTGTCCATTTCACCTGAAGCTGTTCACCGACTTGCCCTAATATCATTGTCAAGAACCTTGAATCCTTGATCATGTGCTTATCGAGCTCTTGGACCTTGAACATGGCCTACGGGTTTCGTTTCATGATTCAGCTTCTCAGGTTCTTACATTCTTTCGACTCCGCATCTACAATCTCCGCGCAACCATGGATACCTTGCTTGTTAAATGGCGGAATGACAGAACTCTAATACATTACTACGTCCTGTCAACCCAAGACAACCGTGAGGATCTTCGTCGTCGGGAAAATCGGGTGACTTCTTTGCCAGACTCGGAAGACATTCCAAATCATCAATGATCTGAACTACTTACTCACTGATCATGATGGTGGAGATCGTATTGACCGTCATACTGATACCTCCGTCTGTCGCTTTGTTAGCGTCCGACATTGCATGACGGTGCCACTAAAGTTGGAGTTAATGTCCGGTATGCCCTTCTTTTTCATCGTCTGAACATTGCACTTACCGAGACAGCTTGCGACTAGACACCCTCTCGCAGAGTTTTGTGCCCGCTTTGGCCCTCATCTTTTGTTTCTTCCAAGCCTCTCTTGACACATGCGAATCACGGCCACCAACAAACCGGATGTACACGTCAGACTCAAAGACGCATGTGCAGAGGATAAACGGTGCAGTGCGTCTGTTTCACTCATTAGATGGCCTCCGGCGACCAAAGATTGTGGTACACTTAGTCTTGGTCTGGCACACCTTGTTCATATGTACATCACAGCGATGTATATAGTTCTTCCCGTGTCCCAGTGCCTCGATCATGATTTGTCTAGTCGGAACATAGCAAGCGACGAGGTCTTGGTTTTGATTGTCTGAGATATACAGATACTCGCGGGGTGATTGTTGTTTCTTTTTTTCAAGTCCAGCTTAACTCCTTCAAGTCAACAACCCGTGGTCATGAAGGCTCCCATCTCTTCACAGTATCCCATTCAAAAATTTCGTACCATTCTTCTATACATCTCAATCGTACATCTTTTGGGCCTCGTGTGGGTACAATGCATATATGAGGCGTTGATGAGTGTTGAGAAACCTCCGAATCGGACGGATGCTTTGAGTGAAAGAAGCAAGGCTAAGAGAAATTATTGAGGACGGAGCACATGGAACCCAATCGCATGTGTCCTCGTCAAAATTGGTGTACGTATACGCCACGATGATGTCGATGACGACGGGGGTGAGAAGTCTGCTAGTGTCCAAGTCGTGTCAAAAATGTTCAATGTTAGCACGGAAAACGTACTGTGTATTGATGATGATAATCTAAGGGGGTTGTATCCGAGGCTGCTACAAGTACAAGTACATATTACTGTACAAGTCGAGGAAACTGCGACGAGAAGCAAAGCTGGCAAGTATACGCGTACGAGATACAAAGAAAACAAGCGGAAGCGATAATGGACTACGAGAGCAGGGGCAAATGGGACTAAGAAGGAACGAGGATGGAAGCAAGGATAAAAGCGGAAGCAGATACAAGAGAAATGGAGACGAGGATGAGGAAGATCGAGCAATGAAGAGTGCATATCCATAGTGTCAAGACGAATTTTTGAGCATGAGCAGACTGAAAGAAGGCCGGAAAAGGGGATCATAAACCGGAAGAGGCATAGACCTAGCCAGAGGTATCGTGGTATGTCATGAGAGTGATATATGATTAGGGTAATGGGGTGGAGTTGGAAGGTATGAGCGATAGACAAGATGGTGGAGTGGGGGTTTTTTTTTTGAAGATGAGGAACGAAATACAGACGGTCGAAACCAAGAAAGGACCAGAGAAATGAAAGATGGAGCACGGAGACCAGATCCAAACCAAGAACAGCAAAAAAAAAACAAAGACAAATCCAAACCCAGACATTTGAACGTGAAAAGGAACCAGAAAGCGGAAGCGAGTAGAAGAAAGGTCAACAAGGAAGTGATGTGAAGATGGCACGATAGGAGAATCGAACGCTCCGATGTTGAGAACAACACGAGATAATGAGACGACTTGAAGACGACCGGTGGAACGATTGGGGACAATACTGAACCGAGGATGGAAAGACGAACCCGACCGCAAATCCTATGACCACAGGAAAATCACAGTCGGGTATGAAGGGGGGGAGGGGGGAGGTGAAGAAAAGGTGACGAACAGGGAACGGGAAAAGAGTGGAGGAGCCCAAATCTCAGATAGAGTTAGAGAGGATAGAGGGATAGATAGAGGGATAGATATCAAAAGGCAGGCAGGCAGAGTCCGGGGAATTTTCGATAGATACGATGAAAACGGAAGAGCCCATGAGCGCGGAGGGAAGGAATTGGCGATTTGACCGTAGCGCACGAAGTTACTGTATGTAGGGTTTCTCTTTTTTTTTTGTTTTGTTTTCTTTGCCAATTGATTGGGAGGGAGTGAGAAGGAAGTCGAGATTGAGATCGAGACTAAATTATTGGATTGAAAGGTGAAACGCAGAAACCGGATCCTCCCCTTGCCCTTGTCAAAGCGCGAAAAAAAAAAAGACATCCAGCAACAAATTGCGCACGATTTTCTCTGTGTCCTATCGTCTGTCCGACGACGCCCAAGGTGCCGCCGCCACCGTGCAAGAATAGCCATTGCCATGTGCCAGCCAGATGACGGGACCGTTCCTTGGCGGTGACCTGCCAAAGCAACGAGGAACACAACAATTCAGCAGCAAACCCATAAGACTCCAAACCACGGAGAGAGAAAGACGACGAGATTCCGACAGATAGAGAGAGGGGCACAGAGAGGGATTCAAACAAGCAAAAGCAATTCCTTCTGCCCCTCCCTCATAACCTCCCTCCAATTAACAGGCCCCCTCTTATCCCCCCGTCTCTGCCAAACCTCCTCCATCAAACACCTAACCTCCGAAACGTTCCCCACCGTCTCCTTCTGCTGACTATCCAACAAATCCAACAAAAACTTGCGCTGCCTCTGATCATCCGTCAAGCACCCACAAATACAAATCCCAAAGACCACACTGCGTACGACGCCTCGATGGACTGAAGGCGTATCCCGCGGGACGCGTGAAAGACATTCGATCGTGTCTGCCACTGCTTTCATGATTTCGGGACAGGAGGGGAAGTCCCCGCTGAGGACGGTGTGGAGGTAGACTCGAGCTGATGCGCGGAATATGTCGTTGGTTAGTCTTCGTCTGTGGGCGACTGCGATATCACTTTCGTTCTGGTGCAAATTGGCGGTGGTGGTAGTAGTGGTAGTGGTAGGGGTAGGAGGAGGACGATGGGCGGCGCCGCCGTTAACGCCATTATGTCCATTGACACCGTTGACACCATTGATCCCGTTCACGTTCACGTTAACACCATTAGCATGATGCCTGGCGCCATTCTGAGATCCCAAGCCCAAACTTCCGAAATTGGTTTCTATATGTGCTGGGAGGGAAGGAGGACTGGGAAACGGCGATGCCGTCGCCTTCAACCATTTCTCCTCGATATCCAACCCGCGAGCGACCAAGTCAGGCATGCTCAAAGATCCTCTTTGTTGTTGCACGCTTTTCCAGTATGCGAGATTCGAAATCTCCGCGATGGCAAGAACGATATGGTTCTCACAACCCATCACAGGTAACATTGAGATTTCCGGTGCAGGATCATCGATGTACGCGCCCGTGCGTCCGAATAATTCACGATAGACCTTGAGGAAGGTGGGTACTTGTTGTGTGGTGACCGACGCCAAAACGTCGAACCACATCGTCGTCTTGATTATGAACCGCGTACTCTCGGAGCAAGTCTTGAGAACGTCCTCCGGTCCAAAGAACTTTGGGTTACTTAGCACGTCCCGCACGTACTGACTAGCAATCCCGAGGTATACGTTCCACGGGCCTCTACCACCTGAAAACAAGTATGTAGAAACGACATGAAGACCCGCCATCGCATCACCTTCCGCGTAGCTTTGTTTATTCGCCAGGCTACCTCTCAAACGTTCAAAGAACGCAGGCACCAAGGATTGAGAATTATTGCTACTGCTGCGCATAGAGTGCACATGGAACGCTGCTAGCATACATGCAGCGTCTCGCGCAGATGCACTGGATTGCAACAGGTTGTACATCAAATCCGAGATTGAAGCATCGGCGAGCATGTACTGCATGGGCATCACGTTTTGGAGGTAGTGGCGTAAAAGTGGAGTCTGGTCGGAAGGAATCGAGGGGCCCATGATGGACCAGTCGTAGATAGAGGGAGAGATGGATTCTGTAACAGGGTTGGTCGGCTCAAGCTCATCGTCATCAGCAGAGAAATGATAAGGTGGGTTGTAAAGGGAAGAAAAGGAACTGATCACCGCAGGGTTTGTAGGTCGATGATATTGCTGTTGCTGTTGATGATGATGATGAGTATATGAGGGGACCAGTGAGGATGTTGGCAAAGATGAATATGTTCCATTAGGCCCTGCCAAACAAGGAGGGCTTGAGCACAATACATTCCAAGAATACACTAATGACGGTACGAAGAAGGATTCTTACAAGACGTAGAAGAAGGAGGCACTAGACTAAGGGACGGTAACATAGGATCGGTGGGATGATGAGAGTAAGGGAAGGCAACGGGCTGCAGCATGCCAGTGCCCCGAGGAGGATTCATGCCAGTATCAGGATGATTGCCTAACTCTGGTACACCACCTGGCCAGCCTGGTAGCCGTACCCGTTACTACTGAATGGCGGATGAGGATACACGGGATAGTACATACTTGGAGGAGGTGGGGGAGGTGCGGTATAAGAAGCCTCCGGCGACATTGGAGCGTAGTGATGAGGCGGTTGATGAGGGCCGTCCCTTACGTACGGCATCTGAGAGGGGTGCTGCTGAGGCGGACGTTGATGATGCTGAGGGCCATCACTGGAGGTGGTGGAGAGCGTAGGCGTGGGTGGACTAGAGGGGTTACCGTGGGGGTGAAGATTGTCGACGAGGACGAGAACGGGAGGGTCACCGTCAGTAGTACGAGGACCGGAGCCCGAGTGACCCTTGATCATGCCCTGGGAGGCGAGGAAAGTCTTAATCTTCTCTCGCAGTTCAGTCACGCTATTGTTCTCCTGGAAGCGACGCGTATAAGCAAAGTGTGGCGCAAGAGAAAATAGAATAGAAAAATTTACCCTCATCCACTCGGGGCGTTTTGCACCGAAACCAAGGCATTGGAGCCTAAGACGAACGCAAGTCTCGCAAGCACCGGCCTCATTGGGCTTCTCGTCGCATTTCTGAGGGAAGAGAGGTTAGTGGTTGAGATTGGGGATGGAATTGCGCCACAGATGGGAGAGGGGGGTTCGCAGGGTTGATGAGTCATCATTTGTGACCCCTAGGCAACGACCCCCGCTGGCCATGGTGAACGACGAGCACAGTACGCACCTTTCGACGAATCCTGCAAGTATAGCAGCCCGACTTTGCTCTGACGGCGCCTTTTGGCTTGGGCGCTCCGGGTTTCTTTTGCGGCTGCGATCTGGCGTTTGCAGAGGCAGAAGAAATGGATTTTCGAGGACTGGAAGGGAGATCGGGCATGATTGGAGGAGGGCCGGGCAGAGGGGGAGGAGGCTGAGTGTTTAGCACGGGCTGGATAGCAGGAGTGGCGAACTCGCACGACGATGAACGGGGCATAGGCGATGGAGGACGAGGAGGACAGGTATATGTACTCTGGGCGCTGGGTTGGTCGTGCGAAGAGAAGAAACACTACCCCTCCTTGGGCGGCAACCCTCCCCCCATATACGGAGAATGAATCTTTCCCTCGGGCCCCCTGCCACCCCTCCCTCCACCGACCCCAGTCACCAGCACCCGGGGTCGCACTCGGGTCCAGCCATCAGCCGACTCGACGTGGGAAGCGCCGTCCTAACGCCCGCACCACCGGCACTCTCTCCTGCAGCAGCGTCGATACTCTAGTAAAGCATGCATGCACTCCCGGTCCTGGCAGCCATAGCACTGTGCAGGCCAGGTATGCCTCCGAACAGGCCACCTACGCACGCACAGCCGCTATCACCAGATCGCAGCCCAGATTATTCCAAGGCACCCGCATCGGTCGGAATTTCTCAGCATCTCGCCTCAACACCTACTTGCCCTTTCCTGGCCTCGTCCCCTTTGGTCGCCGCATCTCCTTCTGTCCCTCACCAAGCTCCTCGGCCGCACGCTCAGATGACCTTGACGCCTCTCAAACAACATCAAACTCCCTACCTATAATCCCTCCACTCTCCATTGCTTGCTGACGCTAGTCCCAGCCCTCCGTGATTCTATCAACAACTCTAATCTACTCTATCGCATGCTATAGTTCCAGCCTGCTTCTTCAACTCCATTCGTCCACTCCTTGCTTGCAAATCCCTTGACCTATCCCCGCTCTAGAACGCGTCACCCGTACTTGTCACGTCTACGCTTGTTTGTACACTCTATTTGCTATACACATGCCATTAGTGCACAATAACCCATCCTGTCATTGCTTGCTTCCGGGTTATTCGCCTCCAGAACACACATGTGTCGGACGATTGTCCTGTCCAATAGAACCTCTCGATAACCACAACTTCGGATCCAACAACAACTACAATCTCTCTCGTCCCCCTTTCCTTGCGGCAGCGGATAGCCTTGCCTGCCTCAAGGCCGCATGTCGCGATGGAAGCCTTCAAGAAGAATCACAGGAATTCGAATACAACAGCAACAATACCACGTTACTTCGAAGGTTCAGTACCTTCTTTCCATTCATAGAACGTCTCCCGTTTGTTTCGAGTCCTCTTGTCACGCATGATCAGCAGATACAATAATGATGGCTTGCATGCACCAACCAAATCGAACTCGCTATCCTCCCGCTCCTTCCCCGATCGCGACTTGCGTACTGCGCACTTATGCTAAGATAACCATAGTCCATCTTCTGTCTCTCTTGTTCCCCTAGCTAGTCTGCCTAGTTTCCCGACTCCCGTCTTCACATCTCCCGATTCCCGACCCTTACTCATTCAATATCCTCATAATCCACAATCCTGATCCAACAAACCCAAAAACAGCATCGATACCTTTACACTTCTTTGATTATGATTATCGCGAACTGCCAAAAACCCAAAACCCACCTTACCTAAACTTACGATTTCAATCGGACCATCTTTTTGTCACTGCCCCTTGGGCCTTCGCTGAGTTGGAGTCAGTCACTGGGTATACCGGTCCTCACATTTGATCAAACAACAACAGCAACAAAGTCATACCACCTTTCTGTCAAACTTTCTGAACTGTCCCTTGATTCGTGTTTCGAAACTTGAAGCTTGAAAGTTGACGGGTTGATGGGTGAGTGGGGGCGTCTTTGACAGATTCCGAACCTCTAGATTCTTGTCAATAGATCTGTGTCATGATCTTGACTTGTACTTCCAAGTTCCTTCCTGAAGCTTGTCCTAAAGTTCAAGTTCGAGCTCGAGCTCGAGCTATACGATATGCGGTCACTGAGCATGATTGTGCCTACGTACGTTTCATATCCCCATATAAGTATATGTACTCATCATCAATGTTTCGCTCGCATTTTCAATATGTTCGTTCTGATATAGAAGATTAACATACAAGGCAACGTAGTAACGTAGTCGTAGAAACCGACTCCACCGTCCTCACAACTGATATCCATATAATACTTATAACAGGTTTTCTTTCATTGTGCCGAGGAGTCGAGACTACGACGCGAGCGTGGTTATGTTACACTCTGCTTTCCTCACAGGAATGATAGCGCAGTCAAAGAGCACCCCGGGAGACCCAGGGCATAACCTGGTGATATCTCGTACGCTTTTTTTCCGCATTCAAAAGATGTTGATCAACGCATGCAGGTTAATTACAACCCAACCGACAATCACGTCCCAAATCCTCGTATGTATCTCCGTCCTCCTTCCCGTACCTGCCCATATGCATTTTGCTCTGAATCCCGGTAACGTCTGGGTTCTCAGTCTCAGTCTTCGGGGACACTACTCTCACTAGGTCATTCTAACCCGGAGTGTGTCAACAAGATCACAAAAGGAACCTTCATCGGCCATACGTGGATAAGTACGCTGACTACACCAAAACTCCAAACGGGAAAGGACGGCTGCAGACTTTCGTAAGAGCTTACACACTCATCGTGGTTCTTCGCGAGCCCTGGACCGAAGCCCCAAAATAGGACTTAGTATTTAATTAGTAGTGACGATTTGCCATCGGCGTCGCACAATGTTAATGTAGACTGTACCCACATTTTGATGCGAGACGTGCAAGTCCGAGCTTCAGAAGGAAAATGAGGAGGAAGAATGCGACCATTGAACGTTGGAACACGTAGTAATGTACATTTATTTCTTTGTTTCGGTATGAGCCAGCAAACCGGGGGATATACGCGAAATGGATTCAGAATGAGCATGGGCCGAGACCCACTAGGACTAAAAGCTCAGTATACTTAGTACCGCAGCAGTTTGACGTTCCGTGTTCCGTGCGGGTTTCAATAACACACCCTTCCTCGCACGAGGAAACCGAAGACAGAAGTAACAAAAAAAAAGCGAAGACACAGGATATAACAACCAATGACGGAACCGGGAAGATGTCGCACATGAACTCCTTTCAATGACTCGATGAGTTATTGGCAATTGAAGGAGATAAGACGGCGGGGAAAGGATGCGGGGTGTGGAGGTGACATGACGGAGGACCGAGCGCTGAGTATCGAGTATGGCGAAGTGCTAGAGAAGAATTCGAAGTCAACGTCGGTGCCGTACGTGCGTTCCGAATCCGCAGGAGGAAGGAGTTCCTTGCAAACAATCGGAACGAATGCGAAAGATACATACACGGTTCATTGACTTTGTGACCTCAGGACTTCAGACGGGCAAGTCGACAGTGGGATGCAAGAGTAAAAGAAAAGGAATAGACAAGACAGAAGCTATAAATGACGAATTGACGAAAAACATAGCAAACGGTAGGCAAAACGCAAAACGGGGTAACACGGCGTCTGGTGGGAAAGAAACGAGAAGCAGAAGAAAGTAATGAAGAAGATAATAGACTTACACAGACACGAAAAAAACAAAACAGGATCCACGTTTTCGAAAGACAAGCATGGGAGACAAGCCGGGCAAAACGAATCAAGATTGACGCTCCTACGCCATCTCCTGGTGAGGCAAGCTGGGAGAAGGAGCAGGAGATCCGCTGGACGCGAATCCTCCCCCTCCGCTCAAACTCAGCCGTCTCGCAATAGAATCTCTCCGTTTGCCCGTAACAGTAATCCCACTCGTCCCGGAAACGCCGGCCTCGTTCCCACCCATCCCCTGCGCAGGAGGCGCAGATTTCGAAGATGAGGCAGGCACTGACGTCGCACCATTCTCTCCTGGTATACCTCCCGCACCCGATCGGCGAGCAATCAGCGCCCTGACCGCACTCAGCCACTTGATTTCCTCTTCCTCGCTCGGTGCGCAGAGCAAAAGAGTTTTCTTGGGTGTGATGATTTTGAACGTATGGGTCTGGGCTCCTTCCGGTCCGTTTATCGGGAATGTCGTGCTTTGAGGGTGCGGGGAAGATGCGGGTGGGGAGCTGACGATGGAGCTTGGTCCATGCCTGTGAGCGGGCAAGTCATATTCCAGGGCATCCAGGATCTGCGATAGTGGAATTTGGCGATGCGGTTTTGTGTCCTACACAAACGATATCAACATGTGTTCGGCGTTAATAAAGCCAATCTTGGACAGACAAGGGTACGGAAGGCGAAAGAAGCCAACTGGACTCAATAAGCCAGACAAGCCGAGTTCGCGCTCCCCCACACCTGTTGGACAGGAAAGGCTAGAGCCATGTCAAGAAGAGGCGTACCATGTGACTACGACAGTATAGCAGCTTATCCGCACTGAGAACAAACCACCGATTATGCCAGGTATGCCGCCTGGAACCACACTTCATGAGATAGCCTGACAGGATCACCTTCGGAGCTTCTTTCGCTGCCCCTGGCTGCTTCGATGGTGACGCCATGTCCGTATGCGGAATGACGGGTGTCTCGACAGTCGAGTATGACCGGGGGCCGCTTGGCGAGGCATCTTCTGAATCGGACGAGGTAAAGTGGTAGTTCATGGGTGAATGAGATGACGGCGATGCGGACATGGGTCCAGCTTGATAGCTTCTCTGGTTGGTGGGCGTAGGAATAGGGATAGGTGCACTTGCGGAACTTTGAGTCGAGGTCGCCAAGAGAGTATTCTTCGCATTTGTGATGGCCTTCACCCATTCTTGCATGCCCTGCGCGGTTTCTGCCTGTAGATAAAATGTACGCGTCGGCGACACCAGCCCAAACGTGTTTGCATGCTTCTTGAGGGCCACAGGAGTGCACGAGTGGATATCAGAGAGGTCGAGTAGGCGCAAAAGCTTGTACTCTGCAGATGTCTTGTAGAACGCTAGATGGGCGGGTCGCAGCACGAACCACCGTTTCTTCCACGTCTATTATATTATGGGGATTAACGCGCACGGCGATCAGAGCTTCATGAACGCACATACCTTCCGACGCTCGCCTTTCTTCCAGAGATAGCCGGTCTTGAGCACAGTCTCTTCGAGGGCGCTGCGTTCTATAGCGTCATTCGTTTGCACGTGCCAACCACCTTCTTCCTCTTCCTCGTCTTCTTCAGACTCTTCACCGCTTCCCGAACGAGCTTCTGCGATTGACGACAACGGCGGTTGAGAAGAGCTTGCAAGAATTGGTGTTCCGCTGATGGAAGTGGGCAGAGGAGAGGCAGAGACGATATCTGGAGAGAACACCGAGTCTGAGTCAGATTCCGTGCCAGATACTGGTGCAGTAGAAACAGTCGGTTTCTTCTGACGCGTCAGTAGAGAGCGAGACAGGTTAGCGCACAAGATCTACAGACTGAGATATGGTAGAATACTGACCTTGACTATGGGTTTCACGACACTGTGTACGGAAAGTTTCCGTTGTATTTCCTGCTGAGACGGCGGCGGTACCGAGCGAGACATCATCGGCAGCGATGGGTAGGAAATTGTAGATGGTGGTGGTTAGAGGACAAGAGAATGCAAAATGAAAAGGGTAGAGGGCTGGAGGTATCGAGGGTATGAACACCTCGAGCTGGTTGCTGGTGGTCGATTCGATCGTTGTGGCAGAAGCGGCGGAGTTGAACGGAGTTTGTTTACCGCCCGCCTGCACTGACCATGTCTATTGAGCCCTCCATAGCCCGCAACGTCCGTGAACGCAAAATGGGCGTTCATGGCGGGCTCGAGGACGCTGAGTAAGGCGGTGACACTGAAGATCTCTGCGCTTGAAGTTGAATTTTTGACGATATATATTCATGACAGACGAGGGTGAGTTGGTTGACGCCGCCCGCTTTGACGAGCAGCTGCCATCAGGACCCACTCGTCAGTTCACATCGAATCTGCATGCATCTCAGCGCGCTCTCGCCTGGCAGCTCCATCACAGATCCAGCATAGTCTATCTTACTGTAAATCTGGTTTATTTGACGCGGTCGACGACAATGTTGAACGCATTCTTCGTTGTCCTGGCATTGGCGGAGCCTGAGGCCCTGAGCCTGGGCGGGAGTTGCCGCGTGATATCGCTGCAATCGTTGCTTGCACCGGCGATCCTGATTCCCAACCGTTGGGGGAGAGTTGCACCATACATATACCTTCTCCTCGCTGATCGTCATCTATCGTTACTCCCACCATGTCCAAGTCCAAGTTCGATAAGGCCGTCGAGATTGTCCAGTCCCTCCCCAAGGAGGGGCCCATCAAGCCTACTCAGGACGATCAGCTCTTCGTGAGTATCATGAACGATTCTGCGCCATTCACAGATATTGATTGATTTTGTCAACAGTTCTACAAGTACTACAAGCAAGGTGCGAGTTGCATCTTGTTGTTCCGATCTGAGAGGATCTGAGCATCTGTTATGGACCCTTAGCTACTATCGGCGATGTGAATACTCCCAGACCTGGGCTTTTGGACTTCACGGGCAAGGCCAAGTGGTGCGCATGGACATCTGCTTCTCTGTTCTCACCGCTCACTTCTTTGGCTTGCCGGCGGTTTAGGGATGCTTGGAAATCCGTTGAGGGAACCTCAAAGGAAGAAGCGTACACGAAGTATGTCGAGAGACTCATCGAGGTATGGGTCCCGCCCGCGCTCGCAGAGCGGCTACGATCGATCGTCTCAATTACCCGCTCATTCATTCTTGCAGGTCCTCAAAACTGCTGGCACTGAGGAAGCCAACGCATTCATCGCGCAGATCGAGGCAGCGTAAAGTTCGGATGATCAAGAACATGCAGACAATCATCATGTATAGATGTACAATATGTTTCATAGCGGCGATGTACAATTGACGAAGAATGTTCTCTGACACGACATCCTGGCCTGCATCGCACCAACATTAGGGAAGATTCTACTCCTGCATCACTTCTAGGGCATGCGCATAGCTTAAGGTATCGTGCTAACCAATCGTCACTCCGCAGTTGTCCATCATGTTCCTTTGCTCAACTTTGCCCTGGTCCAGATGACAACACCCCTTGATGTGGCTGCTGGCCAAAAGTCAGGCCATGTCCTTCGGCCAGAATGCAATGCAACTCCGTTGGGCAAGGCTTGGAACGTTACGGCACATATCACGTCTATTGAAAGCTACTGATGGATACTAATTCATTCCAGTAGCACGGCCTTTTGATCGCAAGTCAGGCCCGTAACCCTCTGGTGACGAGAGAATTGCTTCTTGAGAGCGCTCCGATTCATAGGGGAGGAGTCGGGAGAAGCAATCTGTCAAAGTCGCTTAGGGATTAGTCCAGTTTCCAGGCAGCGTTTTCGAAATTCTATTCTGCATGTGACGACTATTCGAAGGGGCCCAACGCAATACAATGCGTAGCGATTCAACGTGCATCTATTGTTGCAAAGCAGGTGGGAGGAATACAAACAAGACACAAGGCTTCGGGGATTGCAAGCCTTCAGACCGATCTAGACAACAATATACTCAACTATTGAGACAGAACACAAATGATCCAAGTGGAAATGGCCTTCAGACCTGTCTATCTCTGACGATTGGTCTCCTTGGCTTCCATGCTAAGCTCAGGGGCATTGCTGGCCCAAAGTTTTCAATGCTTGCATGAATGTTTCCAAATGCATTCCCCCCGTGCTGATAGTTGTATCTTTTTAGTAAAACCAAATGGGCGGCTAATCGCTTTTCCGTATTTGACTTTGCAGCCACAACAAGGACCCCGGAAAGTCCCATTTAAAAATTGAGAGTTGCCTCATTGCGTTAGCCGCTGTACATAATTGATGTTTCACCTAGCGGTGGCGCTCAGTTTCCCCGGAGGATAAGGAAGCATGTCAATTATAACGTCGGTATCGACGTCCTCGTCGTGCAGAATGAACAAGGACCGGTGAACTTTGCAAGCTTCGGATCCTGGAAGATTGTAAATGAGTGATTGGGATGGCTTGAGGATCAAGCAACGTGCGTACTTTTCATTATAACTCGCATTGCTTCAGGCCCTTGAACTTATGACCAGGCGACTGTGTGCTTGGTGACTGACGATGCGATCGAGGGCGCCAGCAAACTCGATCTCAGCGATCTTCCTCTTTCCTCTTTCACCGAATCTTCAGCGTCCCGTATCGAAGCACCCGGCATTCAAAGGCATTCCTGTGCGTCTTGCTCCCAAGTGAACGTGAACATTCGTTCACAATATGTAGGCCAATATTGCAACCAGCATCTGGTCACAACGCTTGGGCGCGTACTTACCTCCATCTAGTAGTTCAATCCATCAACTTGAATCGAAGTAGGAACACTTATGCTGTGCAGGCGGTACACTTCTACGCATTGATTGCCAAATATCCGTACCATGCGTATCACTACACGTCTCGTGAAGTGTTGGACACACACAGTCTATTTTGAAGATCCGTTTCTAGATTGGCCGACATGAAATTGCTGTTCGCTGCGCGACGAAGGGACCCCAAAGCGCGGAGAAGTATGTCCTACGAGACACATACAATACTCGGCCCCGCACTCCTCACTATCTGGAGATAACATACAAAACGTATTTATGCCCGATGACCAGAAGGATATATACATCCGTAAGTTCGCCTTGGTGTCCGATGGGCCATCGCGATTGATCAGCAACAAATGGTCCGACACCCACCCGGAGGCAAGATCATCTTTTTCTACAGTCCGGTACTGTACTGACATTGCAATGAGTGATGACAAGCAGGGCCGACGGCATGGCATCATGTAAGTTATGGTATGTATTTCACGTTCTTCCAAGGTACCAGGCGCCGCAGCACTGCCCGAAGAATTTTGAGTTGCAGCGTGGTGGGATGATTTGCAGCAACGATAGGAAGGGTCCAAGTTAATCTTGTGCGCGTCGAGAGGTCAGAGACTATGGCCAGACAGGGAACGCGCAGTCTTTGCCTTCGTTTTTTCCTTCCCCACGGAGAAGATCTGAGTAATGTGCGAGTGTGAATGGCGCCTAAGGAATCGGATCGTCACTCATCTTCAAAGGGAAGTCAATGCAGCTTGAAAATAACGGCGTCTGCTTCACTCAGCCGCTCACTCAGCAGGAAGGTCCAATGATCACATCCTATTGAACTTCCTTGCATTAAAACCCCGTCTTACACATTCATGTTGAATTCCCCGTATAGTGGACAGGAGCTGACACAGCAAACGTGGTGGCATCGACTCGGGCAGTGGAGATATCTTCTGGGGTACACGAGCTCTTCTTCGCCGCGTCCGGTGGAAAACTCAGAAAGACAAGACAAATGTAAGCAGAACAGCAAGGGGTATTCATGGAAGGACATGAGGGCCCGTTATCCAGCGGGTCTGCCTGGCCCTCGTGTGATGAATGCTATTTAACTTTGATCGTGCATGGCGGGTTGACGGCGTGGGGATTGTAACAGAAATACCCGCTTGATAGGCTTTAGTCAAAGACATGTCGTGGACGGCGCAAAGAAAGCACCGATACATCACTTCGTCCAAGAAGGCTTTGTTGCTACCAATTTACCTTGTGTATGAGCCAACGAACTGCAGAAGAAATAGGACAGTATCAGTGCCTGTAACAATGATCGACGTATATAGCGACGTCGGAGTCTGTGCCGACTCACCGCGACTGCGCATACGTCGGCCACGGAGGCATACGTATGATGACCAGACACGAGTTTGGACTCTGGAGCCTGGTGATGTTCTTGGCTAACCTTCCAATGAGAAGGACCGAGCCTAGGCACACAGATCATCTTTCTGCTGGATGAAATACTGTAGGTTCAGAATATACAAGACACATTCCTGTTCGAATCATGAATACCTCTTCTGCCTGGTACTCACTTGAACAATTTGTTTCTGAGAACAATGTAATGGATATCGTTTAGCCTTGACATTGGAAAAAAAAAAGGGAAGGAAGTACCGGTCCTCGACCAGAGGCCACAACTCCATTTGTGCAAATGAAGCCGACAAAGTACGATCAGCTGCACACTAGAAGGCGAGGTTGGCAGATACTTAGCTTTCGGCACGGGTAAGGATCATTCAAAGGGATGGAACATAGCTTCGAGCTTTCTATACGTTGAAGAACACTGCTTTAGCGTCAACCAGTGTATTCTTGTGAAGATGGAGCTGCCATACTGATGCCGGACTCTTAAATCTGCAGGAAAATGTCGCATAATGGTATTTAGCTCCAAAATCTTAAAGGGTTCAACGAGCTAAAATAGTCTCCCGTCTCACATGAAGTGTGAGACTGATACCATGATCTTCGGGGCGGGTTCGCTCACCTGGAGGGTTCTCGTTCTGCACTCACTTGATCATCTTGTGAGATGACATTAGAATTATGGCTATGATACGGACATCAACCGCCCCCCGCCCAGAAGGTGATTAATGGACTTGCATGACTTACAGCGGTCACCGCCCACCGTGACTGAATAACAAAATCAAGTGAGCTACGAACGGACGCCGGGATGAAGCGAGTGTGAACATGCTGAAATAGATAGATGATAAGCGTAACCCACGGCCGGATGTTAGTGGAGGGGAAAGCATGTGAGCTGGAAGACCAGCAAGTCAGGATTACGAGCTCAACTACGTCAGGGAGAGTGAGGGACACACACATGAAAGACATTGGTCATGAGCTTGCAAATTAATATGACATACCAGAGACGATTGAGATGCCGCGTGATTGCTTTGTAGCAATGTGGTGTCACTAGGAGGTGTACCGATATCAGGACTGCTAGATAATGACAGCTCCTAACCTCACACGACATCAATCTGTCCAAGCTGCCAACTTCTTCAGCGTTACCGAGTGTAGTGACCAAAAAGGCAAAGACTTTGGATTGACTCTTGCAAGAGCGACTCTTGGAGTGAGTTGAAGAGTGAAGCATCTTGAGATTCTTGACCATCTGAAGCCCGCTATGTGAAGGCTATTCCGGTGAATTTGACGACAGAAGCGCTCCAGGAACCGATCGTATAAATGCGGTGAATAACCTTGGCGCCTCAATTGTCGATGAGCGACTCCGGAAAATGCATCTGGCCATCGACGTCGATCGTATTCGAGTGGCGCCAACCCCGTCGATCGCAATCGAGTTGGCGTCTACAACACGGGAGTCAAAGCGAGCAGGTCGAAAGAGTAGACACAGGTATCATATATGCACAACGCATCGTGTCACTCCAAACTCCAAAGAAAGTCAAGTAAGTCAAGAAAATATTAGCGTTAACTGGGGAACCCAAAGCTGACCTTAATCATCATGCTCGAAGAAGGCTGGCGTGCCAAACAGGTTGACGGGCATGCAAACGAGAACAAATGAGGTGAATTTGAGAAGTCGACGTGAATACCTCACGCATACACATTCCCATGGCTTATCGAAACTACCATCATAGGGTACATGCCGGACACAGGCAACCAGTGAAAGTGTGTTATTTGCTGCTTTGTGACCATAGGTATGGATAGAAGCGTAAGAAATTACCGGGTCACCTCACCGTCCCAAAGCAAGGCGTCTGAGTATTGAACGATGCTTTAATGATAACCTGAATGTAAGATATATCAGCCCGAATATTTTGCAAAGATAGTGAATACACGCACCCTCAGTGAGTTAGGCCAAAGTATTTTGGCAGCTTTTCGAAAGTAACCTTCCGATCAATTTCTGGCAGTTTGGTGAAATGCTCCACACACTTCCTGCAAAGATGCTTATTTTTCAGCTGGTATCCATCAGCCGTGATCCCCAGAGGATCAGGATTGATGAATTCCTTTGCGGATATACAGATATCCACCATTTGGTCTAGAATATTTGCGCAATCACCGCCGAAACAAGCAGTTTCTTCATCATTGAAAGTGTTTGCTGAATGAATGGAGTCACAGATGAGTTCTTCCCTCCCCTTCAAACACCTGACAAGATCATCCTCGCTGAGCTTCTCCTTTTGTCCACGAGGTGTAATTACTCCTTGAACCAAGGTCTCCCATGAAAGCTGAGCGCATGCATAAAGGCACCAAGGTAAGATGTCGGTGAGGTTATGCTCTCGCGCGAGATTTAGAATCGCAATGTATTTTCCCCCGGTGTTAAATTCTTCAATCGCCGGCTGCGGAAGACCTCGCATTTTCTTGAATTTGGTGAATGAGGTTGGGCAGTCAATTTCCAAACGACGCAGAGCCTCTTCAACGAGGTACTGAACATCATATTTTCGACCTAAGTTGAGAAAGGCTGCGACTTGATCAAGAGGTGCGGAACAACCTGTCCTAAAGTAGGGCCTGTAACGAGACGCCTCAGCATCGGAGAAAGCAAAGAGAGGAAGTTGCCTGACTCATTTCAGCCAGAATACAACGCTGTGATGAAATATGTCAGATCATGAACAGAATCTGGCATATGAACAATTGGGCATCCTTCAATGATATCCGTGCTAGTCGCCTGGGCGAGCTCGAACATATCGCGGAAGACTGTAGATTGTTGAGAAAGTATCGGCCGGTGCACCCGGAGGGGGGAGCCCTCTACAACGAGCACAACATTGCCATCTTCGTACCAAAGCGGCGGACAACCGTTATAATTGGCGATATCAAGCGGTTCTTCTGTACGAGCCCTTTACGAGAGGGGTCGTTTGAACGTGTCTGTGACATCTTTCACGATGAGGTTCAGAAGCAGAAGCAGAAAGGTACTGTCTCGCTGGAAGACAGGCTGGAAGCACTCAGCACCGCGGGTATTGCCGACGGAAAGGTGTCATGCCTTTTGTGGTAACACATTTTGGGTAAAGGCATGCAGAGTTTCACGAATCAGTAGTTAACATGGCGCGCAAAGGGCATACAGCAGTGTCCTGGGTATACTTATTATAAGCCGATTTCTATCCTGCCATTACCACGAATTCTCCATCGCAATCGCCTCTCCACACAAGCAACGGGCGAAATGCGTCCAATTGACCTGTGTTACGCCAACGCATCAACCTTAATAAAGTAGAATGCAAGTGAAAACACAAACGTTTGTGATGTACTTGAGACTACACTCCCCGATGGCCCATCAATTGAATCAAAGATGATGTACACAAGTATGGACATCGTGATTATTGTATCGCCGTGTGCTTCTAAGTAATCTTGAAGCATCAACCAATCAGTTGATCCAACCTCTTTGTTTTGGTAATACGGCCAAATATAAGTGCACTCTGAGTAATATTTTCCTCTGGGACGTAAGATCCATGAAGCAATATCACGAAACATCTGACGAGTGTACGTCAATTGTTGAAGAAACCGCGCGAGAAAATACCAACCTCCATACTAAAGCATAGCTCTCTTGGTATAATGAACTTACGGCCATAAACGTCTTCAAATCCTTGGGCATGTTCAGTATTCCATGGGTGACCCAATTCGTCTGGTATCGTCATGCGTCCATCGATACTCTGTAGGAGTTGCAAAGCCAAGATCACGTTGCAATTAATTGCCGCTGTCTGAGACGAGATGTCCTCCGTGTCATTTCCTGCGCGTACCACGGCATGGCGAACTATTCTCAAGCAATCCCTGACCACGAAATCCTCAGTGGGACGAAACGGAAAGCGAAGGACCCAGAAATACCCGTTCATTGTAGCCAAAATCGTACCTAGCTTTGCATTATGATCACGCAGCTCCGCCCTGTACTGTTCGATCTCTGCATGTTTGAACAACATCCAGCCAACCTTCAGCCATGTCGTTCTCCAAGACGCACGTCCCGCATCCCGAGTCTCAATCAGAGACTGATAATAAGAAACACGACGCAAGATCCGGCCCAAGCTAAGCCTGCATTGTGTAACCCATGCAGATAGATCGGCGTTTGAAAGAATTCGCTCTCGCTGATCATTCGCAGGGTCATTTGAGACTGCTCGATCCAGCTGTGGCAGAACGTCTAACAAGCGCGTGACATCCAACACGAGTCCCTGATAACTCTCTGAGGCGCCAGCAGTACTCGTGAGCGCGCGAACCAGGCTAGTGGCGACTTGAACGAGCGAGACGATGTCGCCGAAGGAACCAAAAGTGAGTGCAACAGACATGATGAAAGCGCGTGGCCTTCGGATAGGCAAAATCTTCAAGAAGGTCTGGACTTCTATACATTCTAAGACCTCACTGGCACCGGAGATGAGAATCCTAGTACAACGCAGAAAGCGCCCACATAAGTGTGTATCTGCAATGCATAAGTTATAATCGCGAAGAGAAGACAGAACCTTATATAGGAGAAGACACTGCCAAGCAGAATTCAAGCCTGATGGGGGGTGTGCAACGCGGGTCTTGTGACAGCGAAGGCACTGATATTGAAGAACGTGTTGTGCCACATCTGACCTTGGATCATGATATCAAGGGACATCCGAGTACGACGTGAAGTGTTGAGAAGTATTAAGATAGCACAATTTGACGTCGCATCATAGAACAATCATTATCATGAACTAAAGCCGTTTACGATACCAGTGAAGGCAGGCTTCAAAGCCAAATTCTACGAGACAAGGATAGCCCTTCAATTCCGTTGAAGCTTTCATCAGAAGATGAAAACCACTTACCTCATCCCAAGGACATGCCGCGCCTTGACCAGCGAACGTTCCAGGAACCCACGAGAACTTATCCGTAAAGTCCCAAAGCGTGACTCCAATACACCCTGGAACCTCATTGCAAGCCTGGATCACAGTCTGATAATCCTTCTCCTGCTGCGCGAGCAAAGCGGCTGTTGCAGGAAGGGTCATTCGAACGTCCAACTCGGTGATCGCGACCTCGACTCCGAGGTTAACGAAGTCTTGGATGTTCTGCTTGATGTTTGCCGGCAACTCGCCAACGATGAAATGAGATTGCATGCCAATACCATCGATAGGTACACCTTGAGACTTGAGTGTCCTAATTAGGTTCTGGTATGCAGTCGCCTTTACGCCTGGACCTTCGATGTTGAAGTCGTTTGCGTAGAGTTTGGCATTCGGGTCTGCCGCGCGGGCAGCACGGAAGGCGGTGGCAATGAAGTCCATGCCTGTTGTCTGACTAAAGACGTCCTGGCGAATGGTACCATCGTCGTTGAAGATCTCTGCGCATACGAGGAAGGATTAGCATGCAAGTGGAGCGTGCATGATTCAGCTATTGCTCGCCATTGACGACATCCCAGGCAACTGCGAATGATTCGTCAGTAATGAAATTAGTGTACACAGCGTATGTAATGACGTACTACTGAATGGAACAAGAAAGCATGAATTAGTAAAGGAAAGTTGTTTACTTCCAATGAAGTATGACGTACACTTGACCCTTAAAATGACCAACAAGAGTTCCACAGTGAGTCCCGACAATAGAGAGAAGGTCGGCTTTGCTGAAACCCCCGTTCGAGACCCAGCTTGGGAGTTGCTGATGCCATACACAGTTGTGCCCTAAAACAGAGACGACAGGTCAATTATCAATGTCAATAGAGCGGAAGCGATTAGTGCGATTAAGTTACAACGAAAGAAAAGAAAAGGCGAGAGGTAATGAAGAGATGACTCACCCCGTAGCAGTTGACCGTTAGTCTTTGCCAGATTGGCAATCACATCACCGGCAGCGAATGTAAACTGCCCACGAGCCGGCTCGGTTGCATCCTGAAAGCCGTACCAAAGTTGGTCTGCCTGGCGGATATGAACGACGGAAGTGGAGCAGAAATACCTACCCATTTCATGCTATTGGCAGCGGTAATTTGACCAAACATATTCCTGTCATTGAGAATAGCGGTGTAAGCCGCGTCGGTGAGCTCAGGGTTGTCTGTGGCAGTCCCGAAGTAGAGTTTTCCAAGCTGTTGAGCGATGGCATTAAGCTCTGTTGCTGCAACAGCCTGAGGGGCGGCGGCCGCAAGAGATATCGTAGAAAGGAGAATTGCAAGACGACTGAGGTAACACATTGTCAAACCGATGATGTCTCGCAGGTTGCAGTAGATGAGGCGGACACGTACGACCATGTAGGCAATTTATAGCAACCGCAACAACGACCATAATATCATATCCATCGTTTGAAAAAGGATGACAGGAATACTTCCAATGCCCCGGAATAGCTCAGAGTCGCCGCAAGGTCCGCATATTTGCTGCCGAAATTGTATCCATTGAGCCTAAAACACTGAGAATACGTTCATGTGTTCGTTGCCTGAGGACGAAACAGGAAGATTGCTCTCGTCGTTCCTTGACCATGTCAATGAGACGGAGTACGTGGAGTTCCACCTGACTGAAAGCAAATATAAATGCTCCATTCATGCCAGTTGATGAGAGCTCAAATGGCGGACCGTGGCAACTCATGTTACCCGAGTATTGAAATTGTAACGAGGCGGAGAGAATCAGGGACGAAGGATGGTCAATCCAGCACTGTTGAACCTCCTTGTTTCACTTTCCAGATTGGTGCAAGATCTTAGTATACGGTTCGCGCAGTGAGTTCAATACACCTAGAAGTGCCGGATGAATGTAAATCATCGACTAACTAGCATGGAGTGGGAACTGCGGCCAAAAATAGCCGAGAAAACTCACATCGTAGTCAATACCGAAAGCTCGCATCTTTATATCCAAGGGAACGGCGTCCAGCTTGTTGGCGCTTGAGGTGGATGGATTCGCTACAAGGCGAGACTATAACGTGCATTTATGGATTCTTTTCGTGTAGACCACATACAGCACCAAGGTTATGCATTAACAAGGAAGAAACGGGGAGAAGCAGGAGAACTCGTTTCCCCCGTGAGACCTGAACATTGTTGCAACTTTGTACGACAACGAGGGTTCGTTCGACCTAATGGAGTAGGCGAGAAGACTTCCCAGTAAGTACGTTGCAAAAGGAGACATGTATCATCATGTATTAAGAAGTAGGGCCGTATGCTTCAAGCAGTCGCACAGTATATATCTACTCACCCGTAGTATCAATTCAAATTATGGTGACGTTGGTACCACGTCTTAAGAGGTGCTGAATTGGAATAAGGGATATGCCAAGTATGTGCGAATGAATGTTGAGTCCATTCGTGATCCTGGCATTCGTTCCATTACAGACCGCTACGTAGGGTCGAGATGAGCCGAATAGCAGTACCCATTGGTCACCGGCATCAGTCTGGTGATACTATTCATTGTAAGGTGTTCAGGAAATGGGAACATACATGCCATACCAGTCGTCGAAGATTAGTCACCAGATGACTCACTGCAGCAAAGAATTGCGAACTGTGGCTCTTGTTTGACAGGCGACAGGATCTTCGTTCGCCACCGTGTTTTATTCCTTGTCGTATCGAGCATCGAGAAAGAAATGGCCATATAGCCCATTGGACTCGGAGTACGCTAGAGGCAAGGAAAGATCGAGGGAAAAACGTTGGAAAGGCCTCAGAGATGAACTGACCCCGAGAATATCGGGATCGGTTTACAAGCGAAATGATCCAGACTTGAACCTTAATTTTGGAGAGCTGGCCAAGTGACGTACTCTCTCCACTCTCATTGAATTGCACAACTCAATGTGGATCTCCCAGTCGAACTTCTTCGATTCGACGCGGTATAAAATGAGAGGTTCCCTACTCGTTGAGTAAATATCTTCTGGACCCCGACATCGACAACGAGCACAACTGCAATGTCGGAATCGCATACTTCTATCTTCCTCACTGGTGCTACTGGTAAGTACATGTCGCCCTAACGTGCATGTGGATCGTTGTGTTGACATGATTCGTCTCTCTAGGCTACATTGGCGGGTCTGTTCTCGCTCGCCTGTTAGCTCATCCAAGCGCAGAGACCTTCAATATTACAGTCGTTTCTCGTCAGGCAGAGAAGGCGAAGAAACTCGAATCCTTCGGCGTGAACGCTGTTGTCGGTTCTATGGATGACTATGCTTTGGTTGAGGAACTCGCATCGAAAGCACACGTAGTCATCGACTGTGTAAGTTTCGATCATTCCTGCATCATCTTCCTTATATGCTCCAAGTCAAATATTGACCGTAACATCATTGCTCCAGGCCGACGCCGATAACCTCCCAGCCGTGGAAGCCATCCTGCGCGGCTTGAGGAAAAGGCATGCTACAGTTGGTGATCTGTCCACCTTAATCCACACCGTACGTTCGGAAGATTCTCTTGATTTTGTGTCATGCTGAAATGAAGTTCAGTCTGGCACTGGCGTGTTGACCGACACCGCAAAGGGACTTTATGCTAGCGACGTCATCTGCGACGATCTAAACGCTGACCAGATTGAGGCCATTCCCGACACTGCTCTTCACCGAGACGTTGACCTCGCCGTTGTCAACGCTGATAAGCAGGGTATTTCGAACTTTTGCCTTTTGATCGCATGATTGCATCCTTATTCGATTATGTCTCTTTAGGATACCTGAAGTCATACATTATTATACCTAGTACTATTTACGGAATCGCCAAGAACCCCCTTGTCGAAGCTGGCATCCAAAACCCTCACTCCATCCAGATCCCCCAGATAATCAAACCTTCTCTAGGTCGCAAACAAGCTGCTGTCGTCGGGAAGGGTGTTTCCTTCTGGCCTGACGTCTCCATAGATGACGGTAAGTGCCTCTACTACACTCTCATTTAGAAACTAGTTTGAGATGCTGATGCGCTTCCGTACTGTAGTCTCCGAGCTCTACATCGTCCTCTTTGATTCCATCGTCTCCAACCCCGACAAGACCGGCCACGGCCGCGAAGGGTACTACTTTGGTGAGAACGGTGAACACCGGTGGTACGACATCTCTCGTGCCGTTGGTGAAGCACTCGTCGAGCTCGGAATCAGCAAGGATCCGGAGCCTACGTCGTTCACTGACGAGGAGCTTATCAAGTACTTCGGTTCAGTGGTATGTTAATTTCTATTAAAGCCACTTCAGGTGTTACACGGAGAGTTGTGACTGATAACAGTGTACATATAACTAGGATGCAGGTAACTACGCCGGAAGTAACTCCCGCTGCCGCGCAAATCGTGGCCGCTCGATTGGTTGGAACCCGAAACACACTACCAAGGATATGTTGGCTAGCATTAAGCCGGAGGTCGAAGCTATCCTCAAGCAGCAGGGTGGGAAGTAAAGGACTCTGTGAAGTCGGGCGGAAACAAAGGAAAAGAAAACCGTAGAAATCGAATGCAACTTGTATGAGTATAATATGGTTCTCTGGGCAAATGCAATGTGTGCCGGGTAGATATTTGAAGGATTTACCTAGATGGAAGCAGGTGTGCATGGCGGCCAAGCCTGTTGAAGTGGATGGCACATTTGGCAAAGTATTGTGTCTGTGCTCACATCATTCGTCACAAATGCGATTTCACCTTTGGCATGAACCTTCTTATGCGTTCCTCCCAATGAAGGTTTTAAATCGACACCTTCAAGTGATGGGCAGGATGCTGAGAAAAGCTTGGCAATACTCTCCGATTTATCGATATTCGTCCTGTGGTTCCAGAAGAACCAACGAAGAAGAGTGAAATTGGCAAAGTGTGGGGCATATTCCGAAGTGGCAAATGGCCAAGAAGCTGCGATTGTACGAGGGACAGTGTCGCTTTCTTTGTAGTGAAGCGATAAATATTCAAGTTGGGGCATTGCGCTGGCGATTCGGTCGAGGAGGTCAGGTGCTGCGTAGCGTAGGCCATCTAAGACCAGGAATCTTATTGATGCGCCATTCAATGCGTCAAGGAGCGTGAAAAGGTTTTGTCTATCCAAGCCGTCACTGATCTCCAGCTTAAAATGCGTAAGCTGGAGACCCGTGGACTTGTGACCATCACGGACTGATTGTATCGAGGCGTTGAGCTGTAAAAGCCACTCTTGTGGGACTCGCAACACACTTAATCTTTGGAGTGTATTGAAAGGGTTGAAGGCTGTCGCCAGTTCAAAGGGAAGCAGAGGCATTATCAAATCTGGATCATCTCCGAGTCGGTTGCCGCCTGATGACAGGACGAAGAGGTCCTTAATATTCGGGCACATTCCGAGGAAAAGCCAGCAATCACGTTGTTCCTTGGTGAACATCAGCAACTGGAGGTTTAGGAGCGAGGGAAGCTTCGCAATAGCATGCGGGAAGCGCACTGCCGAAGTGCACGCGGACATCATCAAAGTATGAAGTTGCTTGAGACACCGAAAGCTTCGTGTCAACTCCTCTGTGATGTCCCAGGATGTAAGTGTTAAAGACTGCAGATTTGGTAGACAAGGTAGTAGATTGTTGATGCTCGCGTATACCGGAGCATAGAAGGAATGCCGACTCTCATCATCTACAAGGTTTGTCTGTACGCGCCAGTCGCCATGCACGGACAGATTACGCAGTGCTGTGAGGATATCCGGACGCGCCTTAACAAAGTCGACATCGCTTAGGAATTTCAAACGCGCCTGGGCGACCAGGGGCTCCAAGTATGCCACCTGTGCGTCGAACGAATCTAGAGAGTTGTACTGATGATCCCTATCAAGATTGCATGATAGGTTGAAAGTGTGATCCTGATACAGAACAGATTAGTAAAATTGACATGTCTGGTATGTCACGACAGTACCTTGAACACGTATGGAAACGATATGTCTCTGAGCAAGCGACACGTAGTTCCCAGCTTCTGTGCCAGGTCAACGCCAGCGATCTCCACGATATAAAGGAGAAGCTCCGGAGGTAGATGATGTAGGCACAACGTTTGGAATTTGGGATTACGGTTTTCTCTGAAGCAGTCTACTACACGATCTAGAACGATTTCCGGCGACAAGAGGGATCAGAAAGCCTTTGACTAAATGAACAATGTTAGGAACATACCTCTCCAGGTAGAAAATTTGTACAATGAAAAGGTGTCATGAGCGTGCCACTTGACCAGAAACTGGTCCCATTTGTGGGGAGACTCTGGTTCTAGTTTTGGTTCCAAGGCTGCTTTACCGCCAAGTTGACTGTCTCCGATGTTCATAGGAGTGAAAGATAATTTTGCGTTAGACAACACGTCTTCAAGGTCTGAAGAGAACGCATTCCAACGCCGGATGATCGAATCATATCGTGGTCGATGTCGACCTGTGAGATCCAATGAGCCCTATAGAGGGACAACGGTCGCATCATTCGATCGCGACTCGAAGCATCGGAAGAGCTATGCTCACCTTATGAAAGCCCTCCACCGTCTGGTAGAATCGCATTATGCGATAAATCCTGGCAGTATTCACGATGCGTCTATATTCATCCTGGTCCTGGTCCTCGTCGGAATCGTCATCATCGTCACCATAATCCTCGTCGGAATCGTCATCGTCATCCTCGTTCTCGTCCTTGTCCGAATCGCTACCCTCGTATATCAAGAGGTTCAATCGACGTAGGCATTCTCGTTCTTTACTTTGATGCAGACGCATCTCCAACTGATATGAATCTAATGACAGATGTCGAGCATTGAGTGCAAGATAGCGCATGAAGACAGTACTAGTATACATACTGCCCCGCAGCTCATTGTCTTGCTCTAGCTCTCGCTCGTCCTCGGAGTCCATTCTCGATTTGAGTGTTTGTTGGTGGTGGTATGAAAAGTGAATAAAAATGCAACCGAAAGCCTACTTCACCTGTTTGAACAAAAGGTCTTTGATAACCTGGTGTCCAGGTGAAAGTCGTCTAATCGAATAGCATCTTGATTAAATAGAATCTATCAGGCTACTATCGATGCACCACCAACGCAACCCGATTGTACTTACTGTACAACTGTCTCAAATGTACCCTGTTTGCCTTCGGATCAGCCGGGAAATCTTTGACATGACCTTCTCAGGGACATTCATAGAATGTTAGATTTTTTATATCTTTCGTGTACAGTACCAAGTATCCAATCGCCAGAGCCCGAAGTAAGTTAGGCGCCTTCTCCAAATACAGCCACGGGTGTTGGCGTCTATGTCAATTCTTCTTTCTTTCGTCATTAGAAGGAAATGCTCCAAACATACTGTATATGCAACTCTTCACGTAGATTTGGTGCATCGTTTGGCGTGGGACGTCATATGTCGCTGATGTCCGAATTGGGGAAGCATAAAAGCCGGGATGTCTTCTAGTCCTTGAGAAGACATTCTTTGAACCCATACCTTGACAAACGTATAATGTCAGAAGATCAACGTACTCCCATCTTTCTTACAGGTGCTACAGGTAATGACCTGTTCTACGTGATTTCTACAACTGATTTCGACAAACTTAATTGTACGTTAACGCAGGCTATATCGGGGGGTCTGTCCTCGCTCGCCTGTTGGCCCACCCGAGCGCAAAGAGCTTTGATATTACAGTTGTGTCTCGTCGGCAAGAAAAGGCTGACAAGCTTGCGTATTTCGGTGTCAAGGCGGTTGTGTCCTCTATGGATTACTATGCTTTGCTCGAGGATTACGTTGCCAAAGCCCACATTGTTATTGACTGCGTATGTGATCCACTGTTCTTGTGATGGGGCCAATACTCACATTATTTATGATTCTTTTAGGCTGATGCTGATAACATAGATGCTGTACAAGCAATTATACGGGGTTTGAAGAAGAGGCATGAATTGGTGGGCGATACGCCAATCTTTATCCATACGGTATGTCCAATGAGATGCATTATACATTTCAAGGACTGACGGGAAGGTCAGTCTGGCACAGCTGTATTGAGCGATAACGCCAAAGGACTGCATCCATCCGACACTGTCTATGACGACATGAACCCGGACCAGATTGCGGGTATTCCGCCTTCTGCGCCTCATAGAAACGTGGATAACGCGATATTTGATGCTGACAAGCAAGGTGTATCCGCTTGTCTCGCTGAGTTTATTTCAACACCGTGCTCATCAGGATTCTCATCACTGTAGGCTATCTCAAAGCGTATTTTATTGCTCCTGGTACCATTTACGGCATCGCACATAACCCTCTTGTCGACGCCGGAATCCAGAACTCTCGTTCGCAGCAGATCCCTCAGCTTGTCAAGGCTTCGTTGGACAGAGGACAAGCCGGTGTAGTTGGAAAAGGTGCATCCTTGTGGCCAAATGTGCATATCGACGATGGTAGGTTTCTTTTCCTTCAGTCTATTCCACTTGGTCCAGGCGGTCCTAATCCTTATCATTTATCCAGTCTCTGACCTCTACATTATCCTTTTCGATGCCGTTACCGCCAACTCTGACAAGCTTGGTCATGGACTTAACGGCTTCCATTTCGGCGAGAACGGCGAGCATAGATGGTATGACATTTCGAGAGCCATCGGCCAAGCCTTCGTCGAGTTCGGGATCAGTGGAGACCCCGAGCCTACTTCCTTCACTGAGGAGGAACTCGACAAGTATTTTGGTTCTGAGGTATGTTTTGATTCAGGTTTTCTATCCTACGGGGCTAGTTGATTTTCATTGATGCTATAGGAGTTGGCCAACGCCAACGTCGGATCCAACTCTCGGTGCCGAAGCAATCGCGGTCGCTCTATTGGTTGGAAGCCTAAGTATGTCACGAAGGACATGTTGGCTAGCGTCAATGCTGAAGTTGAGGCCGCTCTGAAGCTCAACGGCAAGAAGTAGCAATAGATTATCGAGTTTTATCTCCTAATCATGTCTCACGACCGTTTACTGGGGCAATCTTGAAGTGTGGACACTAAACGCACGGAACTACGTATCTGATCCCAAATATGAAGTGATATTCGCTAAAGAGATGTTTGACCGATCTCTTGGATATACTACAGGACTATCACTGGAAGGAAGAAATACGGTTTCGAATTCAATGAAGCGTGAACTGATAGACAACGAAACCGAAACCTGCTTTAAGTGGTTCAACCACTTAAGGTCGACCTGTCGATGCTTGTCTAGGAACGCGTTAACCGTTTGAATCTATTAGACTGTGAAGTGGCTCAAACCTGTTCAGCAACGTACGGTACGATATTGGATACTGCACAAAGGATTGCATGTTTGTTTTCTCTGCCTCAGTCAGTCAGACAGAGATATCCTGAGGTACGAAGGTTGAACCTCCGTCTGTACTGCCTGTGGGAGACTAGTTATGGTATATATATATTCAGTGTTGGTGCTGACTCCAGAGAATTCTAGTTTCTTTCGGTCACTTGGAAAGCATAGCAGACGAGGTATAGCACCATCCAACGTACCACTCAAAGCTGAATGAACTCAAGGAGAGACTGATTGGAAGGCTTGGCTGACGGGTACAATTTTTGTAAAGTTTTTGAAAGAGAATGATTCATGTTCGCCATACGCCCACTACTTGACTACTTACAATTAGGTAACGACATTTGGGTAGCCTGCCGCAATGCAAATGCATGCATTTCACCCGAGCCCATAGGTACAAGTTCTCTAGGGCGCTTTCATTCGAATGACAAAGCGATCCTGCTGAATCTACGCTGCACGCTATGTACCTCGTTTCAGTGGTGTGAGATGTAGCTATCATGCGAGTACATAAGAGGAACACGACGCTAGCCATCGGATGTCGCGGCGCCGGCTTTCCGTAGGAATCAGGGGTGTAGAGTTGGCGTGTCGAGTAGAGCCCACTGACGGGTTGACAAGTCGCACAAGAGTGCGCATTCATGCAAGGAACATGAACGAGACGACAGAAATGCAAAAGTGCCGAACCCACTCCGGGGTCTACGTATACCTAAGATTGTGATCCTTGGATCTTCACTTCAAAGGATGAAAAAGCAGAATGCATAGGGTATGGGGTAAGCAATGCTTGCCTTGGAAGACCGCACCTTTGAGATACGTCCTCGACGATGACAACATACTGGATGTTCCGTGTGCCGTATGAATCGCAAGTGATGGGCAATGCGTGAAGAAGCTCTCTCTATGCCTGGGGACTATATATGTGAGCCATGACATCGGATGGTGATATTTACGTTACCAGTGCGTCGAGGCATTTTTTGTAGTCCGACAAATGCATTATCCGCCTTTACGTCAATTCCGGCTCATGCAACGAGGTGAGGATGTCTAGTCTCGTCTACGATGCCGTAGTAGGCTTCGCGACGTGCCCATTGTTGTCCTTGCGTCAAGAGAGGCGCATCATCTTTATGCTCTTCGCCCTGTCTGAAACGGAGACGAAGCGTAAAGAACGGTCTACGTTGAACCTTATCGGCAAAAGCCGCTCTCAGTGAGATGGCCCAGAAAGGCGGTTGAGTAGAGTCTGGTTCCTTCGACGACAATCCTCCAAACTGCGTATTCTCGGTGTCATGTCGCATTAAAGGATAAATCATAGCTGTCAATGCTAACGATAACGATATCTAGAGGTTAGCATTGCATGACGACCATAGGGATCGACAGGTCCACCGGACGGATTCCGAAGGGCCATCAGGATTATACCTCAATTGAAGCCTTTTCATTCAGGCTCCGGATTTACAGGGCATCAGAACTACCCAAAGTAAACTGTTTACTATCTGCATTGTGGGGTATGCGTGAGTTGAGGCTGTGGGTTGCCGGTGACGGAAGCATACCTCACAAGCCGAAGCAACATAGTGCCACCCGTCCACACTTCACCTTCGGAAGCCCCGGACAGCCATCTCGCTCTAGTTATCATGGTTGCTCTGCACCTGAGGTATCGAGTCTGTGGGCAATGACCGCTGATCATGCAAGATGAAAGAGAAAGAGACCGTAATCAGCATGTTAAACACGAGGCATGAGCAGAGGCTGGATTTACTCGTTTCGTCCATCGCCAATTCATGATCTGGCACAGTGCTTTCCGTAGTCGAGGGATCTCATGATGTAGCCACGCTTCGCCTCGTTGTAGATTACTTCAAGCACATATAATCGCTTCTATGGTGAGTGTCTCGACTCGAATCAACAACCACTTGACGTCCTCCCACGTCCTATACCTTTGTTTACTGCGATACCCTTTGAATGATGCCTATCCATTCCAGCGAAAAGAACTACTACACTGTCCTCGATCTTCCTAAAGGTGCTTCAGAGGAAGAGATTAGAGCGGCGTACAAGAAACTTGTCAGTCCTCGCCATCGGCTGTGAGGTGTTTTTGCTTTATTGACTTTATATGCTTTTCTCCCTCGTTCAGGCTCTAAAGTGGCATCCAGATCGTCATATGGACGACAAGGAGGATGCACAGGAAAAGTTCATTGAAGTATGTGACATTTTTAGCCAACCACTCATGCAGTACCTGACTTCGCACTTTAGATCAGTCATGCGTATAACTCTTTGTTGGATGCCTTGCACCATCCTCGGAAACACAAGCACCGGGATCGAGACAAAAAGAACGACACCCCCGTACCCCCTCCACCACCTCCGTCAAGTTCAGGTTCTTCCGAAAGCCACTCGAGCAGCTCCGATTCGCCCTCGTCGAAACATAAGGAAGATCGGGACGGGAAAGATAAGTAAGTGAATGCTTGAGTCGATATTAAGTTCGTATCTCATGATAAACTTTCATTATTGTTTTGTAGACGTTCCGAGGAACGGAATGCTCGACAGCGTGACCCGATGCCTAAAGCCTCTTCAAGCTCTTCATCTCGGAAACCTTCCGTGAGAACCAAGGCTCACCATCCTCGAACAACCTTCTTCCCACACTTTCACTCGGATTCATCTTCAGATGAATCCGATGAGTGCGTTTCGGTTCTTTTAATATCTGTTGACGGACATTGACTTTCATTTCCTGCAGTGACAGTATACATCATCACCGTGGGACTCGTCTGAAGAAGCCCCGGCATCTTGAGGATGAAGACTACGAGTTTGTGGACTTAGGGTCGCCTTTACAGCCCTTAAGCTCACCGAAGTCTACCCCTGACATATCAAAGGATTGGGTGTTCCCTCTTCCATTGTCTCTCGAGGACCTCTGCAGTGGTGCTTCTCATCGTTATCGGGTCACACGTACCCTTCGATCTGGAAAAGCGCAGAATGTGAAGATCGACATCAAGGTTTCGCCTGGATGGAGGAAAGGTACTCGGGTCCGAGTGCCTGGTGTTGGAAATGAACGCAAAGACGGGACATTCCAGGACATCGTGTTCGTCGTCGAAGAACAGTCACACTCCCGTTTCACTCGTGTCGACAATGATTTACTTATCACCGTACAAGTCCCTTGGGCAGATTCGTCCTCGAGACCATACTCGTGGTCTTCAGTTGACTCGGATCTTAATGGAGAACTTAGACCACCACGAGAAGAGATGGCGTTTGTGAAAGGGGTGGACGGGGAAGAATTTGCGCTTCCGATACCGAGATCGTTGGTAGAAGGTGCAGATGGAAGTCGGATTGTGGGTGCTGGCATGCCAATCCGAAGTCATGGCCGAGTGGATGGTCGAGGTGATCTGGTTGTGCGGTAAGTCCATCTTTCCCCTTCCGTGATGAAGTATCAGCTGACCTATCATCTACTCAGATGGGAGTTCGTGTTTCCTGAGACTGATAAAGCTCAGCAATCACGATGGCAGGCTCTGACAAAGGCGATGAAGTGGAAGTAGCCCTCTCTTTTCATATATCACTCCTTTCTTGATTCGTACTTTTTGAGCTTTGGACTCAGTGGTATTTGTACCCTAAAAAATTTCCTGCCACTCTTTTGGTATTCGCAGGGTTCTATACTCCGGTGTATTCACGTGTAATATACTTTCCTTCATGTTATCTGCAATATAAGCATGTTATACACGCTTGGAAGTTGAGTGAAGGTCCGATCTATTTCTTCTCAGCAGAATACAAGTATAACGGGTCAGTACAACAAGAGGCGGTACTATATGGTCCACTAAGTAACGTGTAGATGTGAATAATAAACAAGAGGTCGTGAAAAGGTCGTGAATGGTCGTGAATGTATAAGATAAGGAGGTATCGCAAAGAAAGAAAGAAAGATCAAGGCTACAAGGAGAATGGAAAAAAAGGTGTCCGTCAGAATCTAGTACTACAGTAACATATAATGAAGCAACAAAGTCAGTCCAAAATCAATTCAACAAAAAGGAAAGCACTGTGGAAGTGAGGTCTACGAATCGGTCGATGAATTACGACTTCGATCTGGGTTCGCAACGAAAAGCGAGGGTTTGGGAACGACGCCGTACGATATGCGTTTGGTCGACCAAGCGGGTGGAGGAGACTTAATTGGTTCCTCCTGAGACATCCGGCGTTCAAACGCTTGTACACGTTCTGCAACCTTGCCGCCTAACGTTGGTCGATTTGATGGTGACCGAGACTGACGCGGTGGAGATGGCGATTTGCCCCGAACAGTGACATTGGGCCATGAAGCATTGTGTGGCAACTGCTCAGGCGATTGAACCAATAACGAGTCTGGCTCTGCCGTCAAGGAGGCTTTCGACCCACTGCTAGTAACAATGGATAGAGGTTTCGTTATAGGAGCACCATCAGCTCTATCTTCTTCAACGCTGCTCGTGCTCAGGCCACTACCATGCGAACTCATAGTGCCTTTTTGAACAATATCCATGGTATGACCCATCCGTTCGATCATCTCCGAGTTTGCAGTCTTCTTGGACTGCAAAGATGACGCAGATCGACCATGTTGGTGAGACGAATACACGTGGACACGTCCAGTAACTCCATCACTACTTTTCCTGCTACCAGGTTTCGAAGGACTCTCAGGTGAGTTAGCTTCTTCGATAGGTACCAGTCGTGACGGGGGAGGATTAGGGTCTCGGAAGTCTAAAGGCTGAGTACGTCTACTAGTGTCGCTTGGCCGTCTGTCAAGGAGGGGAGTCTTGGAAAATCGCGTCCACCAACTGTTGGAACGACGCATAGGCATGGAGGGAGAAGAAGGGTTTGCATCGATGATGGAAGACGGTCGACGGGGAGAACGAGGAGGCTCATGTGAGTTAGAAGATGTACTCGGGACCGCTCCGAACTGACTTAGCTGCATCGACTGATTTGAGTCGCTGGGTGTAGTTGATTGTTCGGTGACCGTAGAGAGCGACGGTCGTTCAGAGATAGGTGTTGGATGGGCAAGGTCAAGCTCAGCCCGAGGAACAACAAGGTGAAGGTATGGTCGTGGCGGAGGATCGCTCAAAGACGGGAAGCCCGAGTTGGGCTCATCTAAAGGTTCGTCTTGGTATGTGGGAATATCCTCGGACTTGAGCGATTCCACCTCGTAGTCCTCGAAAGGATCAGCGTATGTGTACGAAGACGTTTGTCTGCCGCCTCTGGGTCGTGTCGATGAAACACCCTTGACCAGACCCCAATTATCAGAGAAGGGACCACTAGCTTCCTTGTCATGCCGCCAAGTCGACCGCGAACCGCCGCTTCCCTCCTTCTTTATAGACCCCGCGGCATAATCCAACACCGCACCCCCGACCGTACGTAAAGACACCAAGGAGTCATGCACACGGTCGCCGAACGTCGGTCGCATGAACGACGAGCGTCCGCTGCTTGTATCCCGATGTAATCCACCATCCCACCATCCTTGTTCTTCGAACACTCTTGTATCTTCATCGGCCAACATGTCCCGTCTGTCTTGTGGAGACGGAACATGCTGTCCCGGAACTAGGGTGCTCAATCTGTCCTTCACATTCCTGACAATGGGAGGGATAGGCCGACCCTTCTCGCGCACAGTACTCAGGCCAGCGACAGGAAGGATTGGACCGTCATGCGGACTGTCCTCGTCATCTCCAGAATTTGCAAGTAGATGGAAGCTCTCTTGTGAATGTCGGCGACGCATATACCAGGTAGTAGCAGCGGCGCCGACCATGAGAGCAAGTACACCGAAGACAGTGCCTACTGCGATAGCGGTGGCATGGGACTTTTCATCTTTCGCACCCGTCGGGTTATCTGGGTTACTTGGATCGCTGGGTGAGCCGTTGCCGTTGTTGTTGCCGGTATTACCGGTCGATGTTGGGTAAGGGAACTCCGCTGACCCTGGCTGTGACCCTGGTGAGGTGCCGGAGGGAGAAGAACCGGGTGGTTGAGAACCTGAAGGATTAAGAGCGGAGGTGGTCGGTGATGTCCCGGGAAGCGTAGTCATGGATGGAGGAGGGCTCGGAGGGTTGAAGGTGGAGAGGAAGGTGGATGATGAGGTATCAAATACCGAAAGCGTCGACGGTGCAGGACCATCTCGTGCATATCCTGTTCAAAACTGTTAGGAGGGATAGAGCGATAACGGTATACAACCTACCAAAACCAAAAATAACTGTCTGTCCACTGGCAACTGCAAAATGATCTCGCCTAGGGCCCAATTGAGACAGCGAGTCAACAGAGGTCCACACTACAGGTTTTTGGGTTGTGTCAAGAATCCAACCGTCACTGAAGGTCGACTGAAGTTCAGCGTCAGCACCTCCGTGTATCAGAACCTTTCCGTTGTTGAGGCTTGTGGCAGCAAATCCGCGCCTTGGAGATGGCAGACTGGCGTTTGAGACCGATAAAGTCGTCCACCCTAAGCCCGGACGCGCTGTGTCAAGGGCCCAAATACTAGTAAACGGTAACAACGAGTTCTGAGAAGGAGAGTAGCCGCCAAAGACCAGTAACCAGCCGTTCGGCAAAACGACGGACTGGTGGCCATAAATATCTGGAGGAGCGTTTGTCGATGACAGTTGAGTAAAAGACGGTGTTTGAGGGTCAAAAACGAGGTGTTCCGAGAACGCTGAATCAGAACCATCAGCCTTCGACCCGCCTACTATCCAGATTTTGCCATTGGATGAGGAAGCAGAGTGGTAAATACGGCGCAGAGGTTCATTTGCCCAGGACGAGGTTTGGAAATCCCATGTAGGCAATTCACGGTCACTAACGTCAAGTAATGCAGCAGAGTCTGCTTGTGCGGGTAGAGAGATAGGCGAGTTGGGACCGGGATCTCCGCCAAAGAGTAGTAGGTGGGTGGTATTGAATGTTGACAGTGTATGCCATGCTACAGCAGGCCCCTGGTCCGACGAACAGTCGGAGCAGCCGCTTAAGTACTGCCAGGGTGGCGAAGACGTATTGAAGGACGACGCGAGGGACAGAGAGAAGAAGTCATTTGTGACCGGAGCAGCGCTATACGAGTAGGAATTGAACTGATCGGTACGACCACCATGGACGTATAGTATGTCCTGCACGAGGGATGCAGCCTGTCCCCATCTATGCTTCCAAGTCAACTCCACAAAGCTTAGTTCTAGGTGGTTCTACTGACCTGGAAGCAGTAGGCGACTGAGCCGCAACAAAGTCCTGTAATAGCCATAATAATATCGGCGCATGCAGTAGTTTCATGGTCATATTTACGAGTTTTCGATAGGGTCCAAGTCAAAGAGTGCACATAGAGCAGTAATCGTGGTATTCGTCGTGAGAGTTCGTGAAGATATTAGAGCAGTAAATGACGGTGAGGAGTAGGAGGCCTGGAGCACTTTCGGAGTCCTGCATGTGCTTAGGGCAAGATGAGACGCGCGCGGGAAGTGCACTGCCTGAAAGTTTATACATACTGCACATACAAAACAAGTAACAAACGTTTGTAACGAGCTTACAAAAGGTTGCTAGTTACAGTAGAGGTCGCCGTTGTGGGCGTACAATCTATGATCCAACCATGTTCAGCAGCTCGATATTCGCTTCGGGGAATGACTATCTTTCCTTATAGAGGCTAAGCTAAGCCTAGATGTCAAGTTGCATATGAACCAAGTGAGTCAAAGATCTAGCTACATCATGCAAAGCCCTCATTCATGCCCGGCCTCATCGCCACTACTATCCTCATCGTCCGTGGCAACACCAATGACACCGCCGCTCTGCTTCTCCTTGACCATGCGTCCCGCAGCAGCAGCCTTGGGGCCGAGAACTTTTCGGGCACCGGCATTTGCACCGACTTCCCAAACTTGTAACTTCGCCTTCGAACCGGCCGCAGCAAGAGTGAGAGGGTCATCCGGTGACCAGGCGACTGAGAATACCTTGCCCTGCAATACAAATGAACAATAAGCTTACGAAATAACGATGACAATTTAGTAGATACATACCACTCCAAGGTCTCTTGAAGTGACCAGGCTGACTTGACGCTTTTTAAAGTCTGCATCTTCAACGATATTCCAGATCTTGACAACTTTGTCTGTGCCACCAGTAGCGATGCATCCAGGTATATGAGGATTCACGTCTAAGGCTGAGACAGCGCCGTCGTGAGCAGACAGGGTGAATCGTGCAGGCGAAGGAGTTGCAGCGTTTGTGGGAAGCGTTCGTGCATCGAAGTTGAGCACGATGCCGTTCTCCAACGAAACCTAGTGAGAATGACCATGAGAAGATAATAAGAAAAAATTTCATTGGATGAGACTTACATAGAATGAGTGTGCTTCCCATGGGTCCCAGCGGAGAGCCTCGACATCTGCACCTACAAGCGCACCCACACCTGCCTCGGGCGCTCTTGTGTCGAACGTCCTGACGGTTCGATCGTAACTGCCGGTCAAAAGCACGGTGGGCTCCTTGTCATTCCATTGAACCGACTGGACTTTATCCTTGTGAACTGAGAAGCTGCGCAATGCCCCTTCTCCCTCGCCACCTTCACCATTAATTGTAGGATCGCGACTGAGGTCCCATAGCTTGACAGTTCGATCGGCAGAAGCACTGGCCAGGAGATTACGATGTGTTTTGTTCCATGATAATGACAGCACCGCATCGACGTGGTACGCGTCGGAAACCTCACGATGCTTGGTCTTCTTGCGCTTTTTCTTACCCGTACCTAGCGGTGTAGGGACATGAGCGGCAGTCTTATCAGGACGACCAAGGACCATATCCGGATACATGGCCTCAACAACATCCAAAGACCAGATTTCAATTTCAGGTTCCAGAGTACCCACAGCGATGTAGTTGCCAAATTGTCTTAGTTGGCCATCTGGTGTTTTTGCGGTAGGTGAGGATATAGGTGGGAAGTCGAGCCATTCGAGGCAGAGGGGGAAAGAAGGGAGCATAAGGTCGTGGTGGACATAGAGGTTGTCTTCAGACTCGTCATAGACATATATCTCCAGTTGTGAGATCTCGTCTTCAGTTTTTGCGGCAACAAGAAGGTTGTCGGAAGGAAGGATCTGGAGCTCCTCACGCTCATTGTCCTCTTCCTGAATAAATCGTTAGCGACAAATTCGATTAGTTGGAATAACCGAAGCTCACGTCTTCCTTCAGTGTGATATATGGATCCTCGTCGTTATTTCGGTAGTATGTTAGCCCTTTGATATTGCTGAATGGACCCATCGCTGAGAATATTCAGAGTTAGTGGATGAGTGATAAAATTCAAAGTGAGCAACCCACCAGGCATATCGTCCTCCTCATCGTAATTGTCCAAATTGTATTTTGCGAGGTCCTCGCCGTCTGGCTTACCGGCAATTGCCTCGCTTGAAGGAGCAGGCTCCTCATCCATGGGTACATCCTCATCCATCGCGTTGTCGTCAGTATCCTTGACGTTTTCAATCTCATCTTCACTTCAACGTCTTTGGCTCAGCAAACGATCTAGAAACGCAATGAGAATAGAGTACTCACTCTACCCATTCATCTTCATCCTCATCGGCATCATCTGCTTCATCGCCCTCAGCTCCTCTTCCCATAGACGCAGAAGCCTTCTGTGCACGCTCAAGTTCCTTCTTGGCATCTTCGAGCTCTATTCGAGCAAGTGCACTGACGCGCTCCAGCTCTTGTTCGTCGAGAACATATTTTGTCGGTTGTTCTACTGCAATACCTCGTTTCACCCTGAAATTAGACATTAGGACCAAATGATATTAAAGTATATAGAAAACACACCAAGCAACGGATGATATTAAGCTGGCCATCCTCCTCGACTTACCGAAGGATACCGTCCAAGATGTTCTGCTCAAGCGTCAAGCGTCTGCAATAATTTCAAGGACCTTCCAAATGCAGTTTCCCACGTGGCCGGGCAAAGGACGTCCGTATTTCCGGAGCTTCATGACTTCCTTCTCTGAGAGTCACTTCTCTTCGTCCGCAACCACATCTTGCACTTCCGCCAGCCATGCCTACGGCGACGACGACGACGAACACCACACAGGATGTTACTGATGGACCGTTAAGCAGCATTCCTCTAAAGGGTACGCCCAACGGCACAGCGACAACGAGCGCGACTGCGGCCACTTTACGTTCACTCTATCCCCGTGCAGCGACTGCATTTCTACACCGAAATGTCGCATTGACTCAGTCACTGTTGTCTTCTGCATCCTCTATCCTACATCCTCCATCTTCCTTGGCAGATGACGGACTCACTTCTCATCGGAAGAAATGGGACATCCTACAAATAACGTTTGAGACTACCGTGTACGCTTCGCCACCGGAGACAGAAGACCCGGAGGCATTCCCTACGTCTCTCAGGGCGAACCAGATGCTCTCACCGCAAAGCCTTGTTACCAATTTACACTCTAGATCACTCCACCTCTTTACACCAACGTCTCAAAAAGCAAACGCTGCGTTCCTACCATCCCAGATCCTTATTACTTTGGTCCTGGCCAGTCTCAAGCTTGGATGCCCCGAAGTAGGACGTGGCATTATCGAAGACTGGCTAGCTCGTAGAAGTCTAAGTAATTCGGCTGAGGACTTGGAGGGGTATGCCAAGGTTCTTGAGCTGTATTGTCTCCAAATACTGCCAAGGCTAGAGGAATGGGACTACGCCTCGGATTTCCTGCAGTATGAAAGAGAACTCCCGCAGGACACGAGAGATGTAAGTAACTTATTGAATCAACGTATCTTTGTATGATGTAGTCGATGGGGTACCGGGCAGGTCAGCCCAGAATTTCACATGCATCGTCTGTCGGCGGTTCGTCCATGAGGATGATAGACCTCCTCATAGGCGAACCTTCGACAGAAATAAATGTGGCCTTCAGCTGACATGCTGCGCGCCCCGTAAGAATTCTGCAGTCTGTGCAGTAATGATTCTGATTTCTGTTATTCAAGCTCCCTTCGCACCCAGAAAGCTAATTTATTGTCTCCCTAGCGAGTGCTTTCTTCTCTTCAGTCATTGCATGAGCAAGCCATCTCACAACAAAGACCAATATCCCCGGTCTCAAGTCCCGTGATTGCGCCGCCTTCCGCTACTTCCTCTCGCTCCGTGTCACCTTCACCATCTCTTTCCGCCTCCTCCGAGTCCAGTAATTCCACACATACTGCTACTCCACGTTCACCACGTCTGAATTCCGCACGGCCAAGTGGGAAGGGAAAGACGCGTTTGCATTCCATGACTCGTTTGACGCCTTCTTCATCAGCTTCTGCTTCTTCACAATCGGTCTCGTCCGTAGCCACGGCGAAAACGGTTACTCCCGCATCTCTTCGTCGTGTGGGACGTAGAAATGATAGTCGAGGACGGAAGACGGTTCACCAAAATTCTCCAGACGACAGTCAAACTTCCGCAACTCCCGTACCTCGTGCGCCACGCTCACGATCATTACAACCTACGGATTCTATCACTGCGCGTCCTCCGTCTACCCTAGCCATCATTCGATCGTATCTAAACTTATCCTCTATCCAAACAAGCAAGTCTAAGTTGATCACGCTCTTTCTTTTATTCGTTGTCTTCCCGGTTCTATCGTTCCTTTTCCGACTACGGAGGAGAAGGGTCACGAGCGTGAATGCGGGAACTGCGGAGCAAGTTCGAAGACGATTGAGGGCCGCTGAGGGCAAGAGCACTTTAGTCACAATCTGGGAGGAAGTCGTTAGGGCCGTTATGGATACCGTGCGAATGGGTGGGAGAGGACTTGTATGAAGAAAACATTTAGAGCATGGGATTTGGATACCTTGAAGTGTGTTCGTCTATATTATGGCAAGTCTTCCTGAGCCTGCCATACCTCGCCTTACTCATTTGTATAGTGTACTTATCTATAGTTGTTCAGTTTTGCTGTATTTGTTCTTTTTTATGGAAGATATCACATCGCACATTTGTCGCTACTTGTCTCCAGCGAATTGCTTTGGCAATCCCCTAATAAGCGTCTTTACCAGCCGCGTCGGATGCTGACTTATGCTGAGTCTGTGCTCCTTAGTTGATGAAGCACCATTGCCAGCGCTGTTCACCTTCTTGGATATTTATCAAGCTCATATATACGTTGACCACAAGAGGTATGCTTCTTATGTCCACTCCTACATGAATTGTGCTATACCTGGAAAGACCCTTCTTCTGCACAGTTTTCAGTAGGTCTCTCTGCTCACTGAACCATTCTGCACCGTAACTGATATATCTATCCAAATCATAGTTCTGCCTGCTATGACACTAAAGAACTCCCCGCCATTCGACTTCGAACTATATGATCGCCCTGGCAGGCACTGGACAGCGTCTCAACGGACTATGTTCGTCAATGAGCTACGTGCTCTAGCTTCCCAGTGTCTCTATCCCCTCCCGGATTACCAGTGTCTTTCTTCCGCAACGGGTGCCCTGGACGACAAGTTGATCGTTATCGCTCGTCGCCCTTCCGACTCTGAGATAGTGGCTTTCGTCTCATCTGTCTTTCTACCTATGCCAGCTGCTGCTGGCTATGCATCACCATTTACCGTCTTCCATACAGGATTGACGTGCATATCACCCAAGATCCGTCGGACGGGGATGACTATAGAGCTGTTCGCTCGTATCTTTTTCTACATGACTTCCCGTCATCCAGAAGGATTCTGGTTGACAAGTCTTGCAGAGGTTCCCAGTAGTCTCGTCAGCATCTCACATTACGCCACCAATGTCTTCCCTTCGCCCTATATTACAGAACCAACCTCTATGCATCTCCACATTGCGGAAACCATTTCCAGACAATATCGAGATGTTCTTCTCATTTCTCCGGCGGCGGTTTTCGACGCGGATCGTTTCGTTTTCGAAGGTTCGAACGATCTTGGGTCATGTTTCAGAAAGGATCGTGACGATAAACAACTACATCACAGAAGGACTGATGTAAACGAATACTATCGAGACCTACTGGGAAAGGGTGAAGGGGACGAAGTGTTGCAGGTTGGATATGTGACACGAGAACGGATCGTCCAGGCTAACAATGAAGAAGCTCGCCTGCAGCGGTCAGTCACACCATTAAAGGTGGATACTCTCTTCAGGAGTTCCGCGCAGTACTAGCTCTAACTATATTAATGATTTACTAGGCGAAACTGTGACTGGTGACCTCGAGGATGTTGCAGTCAGATATCGCATTCAGGTCACCTAGGCCTGGTAGGCAATCCAGGGCAACTTGATGAGCAGGATGTTAAGAAAACAGCCAATGTTGCAAGATACATACCCCGCTATGCTCCTACAAAACCTATCTCCACAAGCGGACCAGAATAGTCCAACGAATCTGTAAACGCTACCGTCTGGGTGCTTCCCAGCCTCCAACCAAGACGCGTTGCATGAGTAAGGTCCACATATCTGATTGTCTTATGATTAGTTGCAGCTACCACTATGAAATGAATATCACGAACTCATGATGCCCGCATTTCGATGTTGAGTGGTAACAGATAAGGGATACGGGAATGTGTGGGTGATGCTTCAAGTAAGTCTGTAGCATGCCCCATTCATGGGAAATAATGCCGCATGCCTCGCAGCCGTTGTCCCAACATCTGTTATTTTTGAGATCGCTGCGGTAGGGATCAATGGTCTCCCAGTCTCCAGAGCAGTTGACTTGGCAAAGTCCACTTTCCGTTCGATTGATGATGTACTGTTGAAGTTGCTATGATGAAAGAAAGAAATTCAATGTAACATAACGAGGAATCTACGACGATGCAGCTTACATTAGGGGTGAGAACTGCTTGCCTTGGTAGGACCGACAGTTGTCCTATCCAATCATGTACTCGAAGAGGAGATGCACCGTCTGGAGCCCAATCTCGCACCAGACTGGCGGAAATCTTTAGATCGACATTGTGGAGAAGTTGGAGTGCAACATTCAGGTTGGCATCAATGGCCAGAGATCTGCTTGCGACCTCCGAAACATATCCGTTGGTTTGCGTAGTGACCTGTTGAACGACCTGTATCGACTCGCTAGGAAAATGACATGAGAATGAGTCTTAGGACAACTATGCAAGTAGACCGAGCATACCAACTCATGGCTGACAGTATCCTGGCAAGTAATGTATTATGTTCCACCAGCTCAGATCGGAACTGCTCGATTTCTCTACTTTTCAAAAGCATCCAGCCAGATGTTATCCAAGTTCGATGCCAGGAATGGCGTCCAGATTTGCCACATCGGGTCTCGACATAAGATCGGTAATAAGTCACTCGCTGCAGGATTCGCTCTAAGCTTCGCGAGCACTCCCGGATAGCAGTAGCAATGTCATCAGAGGTGAGTAGGTGGCTCTTGAGGATCGTCACGTTGCGTTGACGTGAGAAACTGTGTACTTGTTGCAGAAAATGTTGCAATCGAGTAACATCAAGAATCAAGCCTTGAAAGCTTTCGGATGCACCAGAAGTGCTCGTGAGAATTTGGATGACTTTAGTCGTCAGATCGATAAGAGTGACGATGTCTCCGAATGAACCGAAGCTGAAGGCTAGAGACATTACAAAATCAGCACTTAGAGGGTTGAAGACGGGGAAAAATGTGCGCTGCCAGTTGTACTGAGGTCGCCGAGGTAATATAGCCATCAAATGACGCGCCTAGATAGATGGCAGTGAACGTTTCCCATGAGTAACAGCATGAGTTCCTAGAAGTCATAGACCTGTGCGCTACGCGATGTCATGTAGATCATAGCCCACACATAAACCTTTGACAGGTACTCGGCAGTGGCAACACTGTAGAACATAGGATTGCGGCCGACACAAAAGCATTGCCCTAGTTATAGCTTCATCATATACAAGGACACTGATAAGGCCTAACCAACGTACCTTAGTATGGCAATCATTGACCGGTGTTTGGATATCTGCAGAAACTCCGCCCTACTGAGCCATATAGCACAATTCCTGAAGCGTAAGGGGCGGAATGACTCAGTACCTTCCACATCGTTGGTGGCTACTAAACATCTAGGATGAACGGAGAGCATATGTGTGACGTGATGAAGAGCATGAGAACATGAACTATCAAAACATTGTTGAGCTCCGACACGAGCTAGGTGAATATATAGGAACACACTCACTATGGATATTTATTGGTAGGAGCGGAAACGTTTGTGCTGAATGAGTCGAAACTTGCACTGAAGAAAAGACTATTGACGAGAGGGGACACAGCTTGTTGTCCCCGAAGAAATACCATGATGCTGATATGGCACACACTGCACGTCATAGCACACACCTACTATATTAGCCCTGCTGCATGATGGATATTCAAAAAACTCGACACAACAAGCATTCAGAGCACTCACAAGGTGAAATATCTGGGGTAAGGCCTCCAAAGTCTTTTTACATGCATCTATTATAGCCTTTCGGTAAACTGGCTCACCCTCACAATTCGCGTTACTAACTAGAGTGAAACGTGAGAGGCCACAGCGTAGAAGATCGCAATAATGAAACATGTCTTCAGAATCCATTACATTGAGGATTGATTCCGCATTTCGAATGCAATCGTCGTCGTCGGCATGTAGGAGTGTCGATTCTCATTAGCGGAATTTAATGGCCAAATCAAGCGTAGCATCAAGGAGCTTCTTTTTATCTTGTAGAAATCGGATGAAATCATCATTTGACAAGCGGTCGCAGGATCCATCATCATGGGTAATACCACGAACAAGCCTGTCGGGGCAGTAAACATACGGAGACCAAAGGAGTAGGTGACGCAGATCAAAGGTGCGTGCCCGAGGGTCACAATGCAAACGTGCATGCCGCCGTCTGGATAGTCTTCAACAACTTGTTCCGTAAGAGTACGAGGACATTCCATCTTTGAACGTCTTATAGTTCCTCGGTAACGAAAGAGACTTGATATTCTCGGCCTCGTTTTCTGCATGGCAACGACACGGTCCATAGAGGCAGATTAAGACATCCTGAAATATGGGCTAAAATAACATCAGTGTCATGCTGCGCAACGAGGCGATTAGACTCACTCGCAGCTGACGAGATGTAATACGTTTAGAAAGAAGAACAACATTTGACTGAATCAGAGACGTGTACGACAGGACATCAATCCAAAACATCTGAACTGTCCGTTTTGGATTGGACAAGCTGGAACATGTCACGAAATACTTCAAGGCAGCGAGAGAAAACGATTGAAATGGTGTACTCGAAAGGCGGCACGTCTGAACTAAGATGACGTTTTCATCCTTATACTGGACTCAAGTCAAACACAGTTCCAGACGTTTCCTCGGTAAGGCACCCAGTTCTAGCTAAGGTCGGACAAGATTGAATCACAACAGAAGCGAATGCAGTTTACGTTTGGAGTCTGGATAGGCAATGGCATCGAGTATGAGGACTAGGAAAGATAATTAGGCGCTTTCCGTTTCTACATTCTGATATTCAGCTTCAAGTTCGCCACAATGTGACAAGCCACAGAATAACTATGTGAAATCATTTCACACTACCTATTGACTTGAGTATTATATGATGCCTTCTTTCCCCTGAAGGTATTTTGGGAGTACAAATACTTCGGGTCAGAGGTGGGAGACGATCCTTTTGTTTAAGACGTCGAATGAGAAGTCTAAGGTTTATCTACTAACATGTAGTCATCTGCAGATCGGAAGAAATTTCTGTGGACCAAACGTGTGCTGTCGTGCAAGTCGTTCACGTAGCCTTGTTTACCTATAAGCTACATCCCGGACGGATGAGGAGCTCCTTCAGCAAGCTCGTGCAGTTCAAGTTGCCACGACCGTTGCTGAAGGAACAGACAAGGATATGCTTACTAGCATCAGATCCGAAGTTGAGATGCAGTAATCGCCCTGTAGATATGCATCAATAGAGGTGAATAGATAATCGATCATTGCAAGAATTCGAACATGCGCAGCGAGCAAACGAGCAGTGCAATTGAAGGGTATCCATTCTACACTACTATATTAGAAAAAGTGATGCTGATAATACAAATACAAAAGATGCTATGCGAAAAAAAAAAATAAGAGTCCTCTCATGATAGATGAAGAAACAAGCCAATATCACTGGTCTTACATTCAAACTAACACCTTCCTGATACCTTCCTTCTGTGCAGGTGTCAACCGATCAGGGAAGACAATGTCCCACTTAACGATGATATCACCCTTCTTCTTGAAACTGCCCTCCTTTCGGATAGGCATACCTTCCCCTGAGACAACGGTCTGCGCATTGGGTTTCACGACGCTTGGTGGGACGTTGACTTGCAATTTCCTTCCATCAAGCGCCTCGACCGTCCGCTTTCCGCCGCCTCCTGCAAGAGCCTCTACGAGTGGTAGTTTCTCATGACATATGATGTCATTGCCTTCACGGACAAAGCGTCCATGAGGCTTCTCCTCAATGACGAAGACCAGATCTTGAGCTTCGCCATCAGCTTGCTCGTTACCCGCCTTCGGGAATCGAATCTTGGTACCGCTCTTCCATCCAGGGAGTACCTGAATTTCAAGCACCTTGTCTTCTGTTTGTCCATTGAGGAGCTTTCGACCGACTTTCAGACGTTTCGTCGCGCCATTGTAGAGGTCCTCTAATGTGACTTTGAGTGGTCGTGTGATTTCAGAGGGTTGTGAAGGTCGTTGTGGTGCAGGGGATGCCGCTCGACGCGGACCTGCACCAGAGGGTGCCTTAGCGTGTGCTCGTGCACCAGGCATACCTCCTGGCATGCCGCCGAACGATGAGAATGGTGAGCCGCCACCCATCATGTCCTCGTCCTCGTCTCCAAACATGCCACCCATCCCTGCGCCCCTCCTACCACCACCCATACCACCACCCATACCACCGAAGCCACCGAGGCCGCCCATGCCAAATATTGACCTAAAGGTAGTAAAATATTGAGTACACTTTGAGGAATCATAGGATCAATATGAATACTTACTCGAATATCTTGTTTGGGTCAGTTGGCGAGAAGCCACCACGGCCCCCACCAGTGCCGAAACTTCCTCCAGGGCCGGTGGTGAAGGTAAACGTCTGACCTCCGCCTCCAGGCATTCCAGCGAAGCCAGGGAATCCTCCAGGACCAGCGCCAGCCCCTGGTGGAGGTGCGCCTCCACCTTTGAGACCCTCTTCGCCGAATTGATCATAAATGGTGCGCTTTTGTTTATCGCTGAGCACTTCAAATGCCTCGGAGATCTATCAGAAAAGGAGAGGTCAATATAGAGTAACATGTAGCATCTAAGTACCTACTTACCTCTTTGAACTTCTTGGAAGCTTCCTCCGATCCCTGATTACGATCCGGATGCCATTTCATGGCCTATGAAGCAGAAATGAAGAGTCAGCACGATTCTGTGAGGTGAAACGAACGATGCCAGTATCCTTACCATTTTCTTGTAGGCCTTTTTGATCTCATCCTCGCTTGCGCTCTTGTCTATACCAAGGAGCTTGTAATAGTCTGTACCCATTGTAACTTAACGGGAGAAAGACTGAGAAAAGAGAAATAGAAAGAGATATAAAGCAGAAAGGGTAATAGTAGAGATTTCTTGTGACGAACGTCGGGAGCAGAGAGTTATATGGACTCGGCATGGCGGGCTTGCCTGGACGTCCCGCCCCCATTACAGACGTTACGAGAACTTGCTGGAATATACCTCTGACGTAAGCCAGACCGTGCTCCAGTCCCCGGCAATGCGTGAGAACATTTGGTGCTCCGCTTCCCTTTTCGGCAACCGTTCCCAGACCTAGTCTGGTAGGGTCTGCCTGAGCTCCTACATGCACGGCAGGCACGAACATTCTTGCCAATGGCCACCACCACCATGACGCCTGATAACAGTCCCAGGTCGCCGCCTCTCAATGGCGGGGACCACGACGACGACGACCACCGGAACTCTATCATTCGACGGTCATGGCATGCAATGTCAGACTTGTTATATCCTTTCTCGCCTTCTGCACTTGCTTCGCTTCCAAAGAGGACATTTCGACGAAGGGCACGATATACCCGTGCTGATCATGTACCAGAAGCCGGTGTTGACGAGCACGGGCAAATGCCAACTGTTCGGGACTACCATGCAATTACCTCAGTACCTCCCCAAGTACGAGTTCCCAAGAAGATTGCCACACCGATCAAAGTTGAAGGGAAGGTCTGGTTCGCCAACGAGCGAAGTGTGTACACACTTCTTCTTCGTGTCTGTAGTAGGATTAACACATGTTCAGCTTGGGTATCCTATATGAATATCGCTATCCTCATTGGAGCCCTATCGCTCGCACTCTTTAATGCCTCAAAGGATCAGATAGCTCGTAACTTCGCATACACTTATGCTTGCATCAGTATCGGCGTTCTTGTAAGCCGAGCAACCTACAGAGAGAGCAAGGACCCTGATCTCCGCCGTGAATTGTTTAGATTTACGGTTATGCCGTTTACCAACATCGAATCACCATGATTCGGAGACGAGATCCAGGGCATTTCGGTCAGTAGATCTGCTCACAGGGATTCTTCTGATGTTCCTTGTTTACTTGACTATTTCTTCGCAGACCACGTCGTTGGACCCATTATTATTAGCGCTCTCCTGTTCATTGCGGTCCTGGCTAATTTTGTCATACGAGGTCCGTATTCAATTATTAGATTCCTTTCTTCTTACTGACACGATGTTATTGTTCTGGTCTTCTAGTACGCGAGTTGTAAGTTCATATGTTCGCTGAAGGAATCAACGGAGTTAATCATCTGTTTCTACAGAAGGCAGAAGCAGCTGCCAATACCGGGACAGTCGTTATTCACCAAATGGTTGTCGTGATATCTACCCCCTTATTTCACATACGAATATAGGTCTGGATTTTGCTGTCTCAAATCCAATTGTATCATGATTCAGCGTTATTTGACCTAACTTCTATTCGGCTGCCTCGCAATGGTCTGGGTCGAGCCTGGGTACAAGTGAACTTACGGCACTCTGGGATGCTTGGGGGTGCACTAATAAGTGTTGTGGGTCCCCTCGCAGAGTACGGTTCGTTCTATATCAATGCAATTACTATTCTCAAGAGCTCTGCATTCTTCACTGATAATGTCGGTTGAGGCACTCGACGCAGACCCATCTTGTTCCCCCTACATCAGTGATACTTCCGGCTATCCAAGTCTTCCACTCTTCAGGTATGTTTGCTTAGATATGTTTGTTTTCTGATGCTCCGCGTTACGTTCCTTAGATGTGCCGATCTGTCAGTCATCCCGGCTTGATTCTGCCGACATTCATAAGCAAATACCCACCGCATGTCTTTCCTTTCACCAGACCCTGCCTTCTCGGCGGGCTTGACTTCGAGACTTTCGCTTTCGACATGTACGCACCAACCCTATCTGTCCAAGTGGCTTCTAGCACACTCGCAGTCTTTTGCTCCTCTTACGACACTCACTGTTCATCAGATGCAACGTGTTGTACCTACTTTTGGCAAGGCCCTTGTGGCGGGGTAGGTTAACCCACATGCAAAATTCTCTCCGTCCCCCACCCCCTCCGCCGATGCCACGAAGAATCATCACTCAGCGCTGAGCTTTATCTCACCCATGACATTTGCCTTTCCGGATATGTTTTCATGGACCCTAGCGGAGCTCCCCTTGTTCTCCGCATCCCAATTACTGGAGATGGGTAAATCGTTACCTCTTTGCTACAGGGTGCGAATGGAAGGTACCTTAAACATAACTATGTTGGACATCCGCCAGCAATTCGACAAATTGTGGTATTTCGCGCTTTCGAATCACTGCTGAATCCCCCACGACGAGTCAGCATACGGCTAGGCCTGAACGACAATTGATTAACGCTGCTTTAGCTGCACTCCGCGGTTGTCAATGAGCCTCTCTTGATACATATCACACGTTCATTCTAATCCTGTCTCTGCTCAAGCTCACAGTTCCCCCACACGACCCTCCGTCAAATAACCATATTCCAATATCCCGTTTCTCCGATGTACGGTATGGTCTGATCTGTCATACCAGAAAATGGGAACCTAATGGAACAAACTGGGCTTACGGCACCGACTGATCTTCAGAGTTATCAAGTGTTCTCAGCTACGCTGTTTTCCGTATTCAAATGTATTTTTGGTACCCCCACTCTCCCCCTTGATGTCGTTCTGTGTGAACTAACGTGGTCGTACACAGACTTGAACTCAATGGGCATCAGCGCGATAAGTCAAGAGTGTTCCCATGCTGTTAGAGGTGTCATTCACGCTTCGCGGGAGTGAACTTTGCTCAGAGCGTTCATGCAGACTCGTGCGAGAGCTACGTTGATGGAGATGCTTGAATTGCGGGTTTTCCCAAGTACTCAGTGAGTATTTTTGGCGTCTCTCTCGAACCCCCTGACAAGTCTCTTTATCGTTGGTTTCAGTAGAGGTTTGGACATACGCTTTTGCACCATAGACTCTAATCACTTGCTCCATTTGGGAGGTTGAGACACATCTGCTTCTATGTAATGTATGTCATAGTTCTACTCTAGCTGCTTTCGCAGCGATGACCTGGGTTACGGCTTGCGAGAGGCGGTCTACGAGAATGGTCTCATTAGCCCCTCTGTGGTGGTCGAGGTATTAGTAGGAGGGGCTAGAATCGCCTGGTGTTGAGACCAGAAATGGCAATTGTTTAGTTGGTTGGTATGCGATTTAGACTGTTGGATTCACAGCATTCTTGCTAGCAATCCACGCATAGTTGGCCATACATCCACGCTCTAAGTCTGTAACTCTAGCTGAAGTCCTTTTCTTGTCCCCTAAATATCCCCTGAATATCTCTGGACATCACACTCAGGTCCAAATGAACCTTCGCAAAATCGAAACGGGTGAGCCCCTAAAGATCCCTGAAGGCAAGTTCGATCGCTCGTGCGCAAATCGACCTCAATGTATGTGAGAATTCAACCCATTTCATGTATACTGACCTTAAGAAGCACTGCAGGCAACGTCTCTACCGTCGGAGGCAACCCGGTGAAGTTCTTCACTTGTGCAGGTTGCAAATGTGAATTCTACTGTGTACGTCACGCAAGCTGTTCCACTTGAGGCCGTTTCAATCTAACATGTCAACCTTTATAACATCAGAGTAAAGCATGTCAGAAGGAGCATTGGCCAATCCATAAAGTTCGCTGCAAACAAACCCAGGAAGAAATTTCGAGGCTAAAGCGTGTCAACCCCGCTGTAATGCGGTCCGACGTGACCCCAGCACAGATGTATGAAGAGCTTCCATCGTTCCGCAAACACTTTGATATGGCGATATTCGCATGTGGAATCAACGCTTTGCGTTCTCAACTCGGTGACAACCCGAAGAAATGGCACACCTACTACTTGCTCATTCAACTCAGGCGATTAGTCGGAGACCTTAGTGACCGCCCCCGTTGGGCTCGCTTCGCTGTGGCACGTGTCCACGTTCGTCCTGCGACAGACCTCGGAATTCGATCCTTCAAGTCACTCATTGGCAATGTGATCATTCAGCAGGATAGAGATAGTAATAATGGTGGAGAAGTGGTTGAATGGCAGAAGTATGAGAACAAATATGGGCACTTCTTCTGCTCGATCGGGATCCCGGCCGTGGATAGACCGGGTATTAATGGCCTTGTCAGCCTTGTCACTGGACAATCTTGCGACATTTGTTTCACAAAAGAGGAATTTGATGGAGTTGAGAAGATTTCGAATTGGGAAGGGTTCCTTATTGCTGCTGTCGAGTCCAAGTCTCAAAAAGCCCGGAAGGCTGGCTAGAGGTCCTCCCCGCGATAGGTTCTATTTCCTCACCCCTGACTTGTGATGCTCAGCGTACATTATTGGTGACGAATGCTTCGTTCTTGAATTGTATTCTAAAGTCAGGATTGCTTATATAATCTAACCAATATTTCATTTGTTTTCCGATTTTACGTCATGCTCGTTGACGACATCTCTGCCACAGTGTTCATTAAGTTTCCCGAAAGGTACCTACAAAGAAGCACCGGCTGTGGTAAAAACCAGGGTAATAATCAAGGTCGGCCTAGAATGGCCAATAGTGATCGTTCACCTGATATGCATCTCACCGGGCGAGGATGAGGATATAATTTTGGTGCTTTTGCAGAGCTCTTATGCCAAGAAGTATTATGACGGGGTCGATAACTATCATGAATGAGTGAGATTCTTGCGGGACGCCGTAGGATGTGTTTCCAAACAAAGACGGGTAAAGCCAAAAAAAACCGTACCTAGATTGAACTGTAAATATTACTTCAAAGGAAAAGTGTACGCACTGCTCCCGGTCTTTTGTGCAATTAGCACTCACACCCAGTTGGCTAGCGAAGTGCATTCAAGTTGAACGCAAGTTGAGACTTCTAGGTGAATGATCGATCAATCGGTGATTGCCGCTCGTTGTGAACAAGTTGGCCTAGGTTCTCAGATGATGAGTCCAAATAGCGGGCATGCCAACTGAGTACGTACTTCACACCAGCCGAGGTCAATGCAACATGCGTCAGAAACAGCATTGAGATGCATGACTGTCTGACTCGGACCGCATGCTCAACACCCAGGTTAAAAGGCCAGAACATACCAAGGCTCTTCGACAACTCAGTGGACTTCCGACTCGGAGTCCATCCTTCTGTCAATACTTTATCGTACATATTGGTATTACGGACCGTGAAATCTGTCAAGCCATGGTCCGGTGACCAGTTGTATTCCGTGCATGCTAGCCTTGAGTGCGAAGCCTTGAATCGTTGCGTACTAAGCCACATGGATGGAAGATGCAGTGAGCGATAGATGCTTGTGATTCAAAAGTACTCCGCGCCGCTTATACGCCAGATTCCTGACTGGTACTTTTTCAACTATCATTGTTCCATGTGAGGTCGGCCGATGAATGTCGAAGGACGAATTGAATGCCTTCCATCAATAGACTGGTTTGAGTATAATTCAACTGGAAGCACAGACACAAGGCCTGTTTTTCGAAAGTCCTATTTTCGATTATTTGAAAATAATCTCGAAACATTCGGTATCAGTGTCATGTATGACTGACTTTATTCGAAACGACACTCACGGTTAATGGTACGAGTGACTTACAATAATCAACGACATCTCGTTCGCTCACGAGCCCTGAGGGTGGGAATATGAATGCTGCTGCTGCTCTGGTAATACGAAGCAAAAATAAATGGAAAGGTCTCGGTCTTGCCTTGTAGAAGGCATCATCGGGCTCCCGAGACGCGCAGTTGAATTAGAGTAGGCCAAGAGGCCAGAAGAGAAGCATTGCCAAGTGTTCGAGTCTAATCGTGTACCAAATAGGATGTGAGAAAAATGTCGTCAAGGGATCCATTAGAGGATGGGTGAGCTTCCGCAGCAATTCACACAACTCGAATGACCTACCAAACATATGTATACGCTAAATCGTCCGAACATGTCCATGTGAGGTAGTTTGGATAGAAATGTCCAAAGCTGACCAACCCCGAAAGTGTGGTACGACTCACCTCACGAAACGTGGAGTCGTCAGCCCATGGAAGGGTAGAGCCAGTTGGAAGGTGGTGAAGAATGATGAATGTAGTGCCCTTCTACTGGCAATAGCCACCGAACGTACCTAACAGAAACCTAGAAAGAGAAGGTCACTCACAGGGCATGTGCATCATTGGCATAGAACTTCAACAAATCATAAGCCTCTCTGTCAAAGCCGACTTCATCCGTGCATGGTTAGTAATGCGCCATTTCATATGGGAAGTTCATACCACCCTCATGCGAATCGTCCGTATCCACAACATTGTGGCTCAGGTCAAAGCAGCGATCGAGTCATCACTGTTGTCTTGGGAGAATTGAGACGCCCATCTGGTAAGTTACTCTCTCCGTTCCCTCGTAGTCATGTCCGAAGACATTCTAACATCTGCTTCCTAAACAAAGCTCTTTTGCTGGATGGAAGTCAGTCTGACAATCATACGTAACTCTGATGTAGAAAGGAAGACTTTAAGTTGCAGGACTTAGACCGTCGGGCTTCCATGGTTCTGTGGCATCTCTCTGCAGAAGTCAGTATTGCTGCCCTTGTCTTCGGGCTCCGAAGCAATCCGAGGGCAGAATCCGGATCCTGAATGGATACCCCTTGATTGTGTGGTTCTTGCTTGTCTTTTCTCAGAATCCCACAGCACCGCACAAGATCGGTGGACCCAGCCCAGTAGGCTGGTAGGTCTAATCTGTAAGGAGAAGTACGCGAGTCTATTTCTATCGTTGTCATGTGCTATACTAAATGCGTGCAAAGTTTGCAATCCCTATGGGCTGGTGCTATCCATCGGAACTGATGCAGAAGTTTATCGGAAACTCTCTTTTTGAATGAAGACAAGGAACCAGCCGAGCCCAAATAGAAATGGATGCGCCAATGACGGTTGGCATCACTGCATGAAAGAGGAAGTGAAGTAACGTAAGATCGTAAGGTGGTGATGAGAAGGGTATGTTGGGATGAATAGGTACGACGATAAGGTAAAGTTCAGGACGCTTGCGGACCGAAAGGCTGACGAGAAGGGTATGTTAAGAAACAGGTTTATCCATTGCTGTCAGCGAGAGTTTGACAATTCGTCGACTATCGATTCTGTCATTCGCAGACTCAGACTCGATGCTATTCTTATTGTGAGTTTCGCTTGGCATTGTTTTGAAATTAGGTGATTACTCACACGACGTTGACAAACTTATGTCGCTCATAGCGGGCAGAAGGCGTAACTCCTGGTCCAGGTTTTCGGACGTTGCGGATGATATAGTATCCACCAAGAGCACCATCCTGCGAGGACACTGTCAGAAGCAAGCCCATGTTGGCAAAGAGGTCACCTACTCGATTCGATGCATCTCGTGGAACTTCCACGGCATTCTGCCATGAGACGTTCAAGCGGAAGCCTGACGTCTTCACCATCGTCAGAACAAATTTTTGAAGCTCTATCCTGGACAGCTCTTTTCCATTGACGGAGACGTCGATGTGATGAGAGAAAGTGTCTTCGATCGCTCTTAGACACTCGTCTTCCGACTTGGCTTCGAAGACGTGTTTGATATGGTCAATAGACCATGAGTAGATGGAGGTAAATGCCATTGAATGGGGGGTGAAAAGTATGGGATGGAGAGCACTGAGCAGTGGTACTCTTTGTGAGTATCCTGTTGGGTTTTTATACCTCTCGTTCTCCGGGTCTCATTACGCCCTAGGGGGTGTGCTCCCATGTAAAAACTTGTGCTTGTTATTAAATCTGAGACAGATCTAGGGTTTCGTTAATTTGACTTTGGTTTGACGATCAAACTGGCGACGAACGCAGGTGGTAAAGTTCGTCTCCGCTCCCTTCTGATCCTCGCCTGGTTCATGTATATCACGCACACTCCCATAACCTCGTGAGATTCTGGGAGGATCCACGATCTGGTGAGGTCGGGAACCTCCTTGAGTTTGGCAGATGTTGCCCATGATCTGAATTGACCTTGTGGCGCATAACCATCTTCTCCATGTAGATTCTCAAGATCTACAGTCGCCGCAGCGGTGCGAGAACCAACTCTGAGGAATCTCTCATATTGTTAGGACCCGAAGGTCCAAGGATAGGGGTATATAACGTACAAGATACAGCCAAGTGAATAGAGAACAAGAGCTCCCGATCGCCCACAATTTCAGCTGGAAGAAACCATTACGGTTTATAGCGAGGCTACGTACCTTTGGGACGATCTATCTATTTTCTTTCTCGACACCGTTGATTGGGCTTTGAGATTGGATCTCAACCTTATGACAGCGGGATTTTCTTCGGTGTGCGTGGGTTAATCTATGTGCTACAGAATACGGCACGTTCAATAAATTGCCTCATCAACCTGTACTTAAACGAAACGAGCAGGCATCTACCGCACGCGAGCAACCTGCATACATGCATAGCTGTCATTGATACTGGACTGAAACCAGTCATGTTTTGCCATAATATGCGCTAAGGTCAACTTAAATACGTCCTTGCATTTCATTCCTGCGCGCTCCTCGTGTAGGCATTACACTCCGCTTGACAGTCGGGCAAAGGCAGACCCTGCGTCGCCGGTGACGTGAGACTGTACAGGTCGTTCATTCGTTATCCTGAAAGGAGTGCATGTGCAGGAGCCTGAGTGCAAGCATGAGGAGCAAGCTCGAGGGGGACGAATTGATCGAGGAACCCTAGCCTCGGTGTGAGACTATAGCCCTACTAGAGAAGCGGGCTCGTTGGGAAGTGAAAGTCGTGTAAACGTCGGGAAGGGAAAATTTGGGACAAGTTAGCAATTATCCTACCAACTTGGCAGTTGCGCAGCGCGGCTCGCGGCTGGCAGTTGCCGATCTAACTCTGCTGTATCTCCTCCGAAAGCTGGTAAAGAAAGGTCCAGAGTTCGCGATATATACTTCCATCTGACGTACAGCGTGTTCTGACCGCACTTGAGTGAATCATGCAACAGTGACGCTGCTCGGAGTACCCTTAGGTGTGCGCGCCACCTCTTTGAGTACAGTTTAGGACATCTTTGATATGAATGTAGATTAACAGAATCCGAGGGCACTTTTCTTGAATTGGACGCGGATGCCGAGAAAGGGGTTTTGGAGCCAAGGTGGGCCTCTCGAACCTGTCACTGCGAATCAGACAGAGAAGAACGTCATCCGTAAACAGTCTATATCGACAATTGCGCCACCAACGAGGGAGACACGCGGCACAAATCAAATAGGCATTACCGTGATGTACGGGAAGTGAGAGTACGAGTGTAGAGAGCCTGTTGAATTATAGACTTTGTTAATCTGAACGATATAAACATATCAACTGTCGGGGTCTTTTTGTGACAATGGGTGGAATAAACAGGGCAATCCAGGTCGGAGGAACCCCGGAATAGTACAAAAGTGAAGTACAACAAGGAGAAACGCAATCAATGAGGCCTTGAGAGCCTGGAATCATCGAACTACTTCAAAGCCTTCTTCATTTGCTAAAAAGTAAAACCATGGAGTTAGCTTTCCGCCGAGGAAAAAGGGTAGAAGATCTCCTAAGGGAGATTGAGTGCACATACCTCTTCCATCGTATCCAGATCAGTAGTCTGGATTCGAACGATATGTTTTCCAGTCGCCTGTTCAATCTGTTCCATCTGTGACCATGTTCGCTTATCGTGAACGAAATTGACTGAAATTCCTTTCCGTCCAAAGCGTCCCGTACGTCCTGAAAGGTGGAATGGAAGTGTTAGCATGAGTAATTCATTCGAAAATACTCCGGAGAGTGCCTTGAAGGCAGAAGCTCACCGATTCGATGGATGTAGGTCTCAATATCGGGCCGTACATCATTCCTGTTACCATGGTCCCGCTCGTTCAGAAGAGGAAGGTCATAATTGACCACCATGTTGACTTGCAAGATATCGATACCGCGAGCGATGACATTGGTGGTGATCAGCACCTTTTCCTTACCCTCCCGGAAACGATCGATTATCGTGTCACGTTCCTGCGCGTCCTTCGCACCATGCAGCGATGCAACTTTGTGGCCTTCTGCTGTCATTCGTTGTGAAATTCGGTCCGCAGTATGTCGATGCTACAAACGGATTAGACTAATCAGAAAACGGCCGTTCAAGAGGAAGACGCGGTGTAAATGCGCTCACCTGACAGAAGATAATACTTTGACCAATAACCAATAGATGGTAGAGCGAAACGAGAACATCATACTTGTGCTCCTCGCTCTTGCAGTCCATATAGAACTGTCGGATATTGGTCACTGATAATTCATTCCTCTTCAACTCGATCTTATTTGCATTTGGAGCAAACTTATTTGCGAAATTGCGCACGTTGTCCGGGAACGTGGCGGAGAAGAGGATAATCTGAACGGGGTGTGAACGTGGTAGCATGCTGATTTACAACAAATGAACCAATCAGATTAAATGCGTGGTATATGCAATGAATAATACGTACTTTTTGACGCGAAGGGTCTGTTCGCCGAGACCGTCCTGGTCCAGCATGTTATCCGCCTCATCTAGAACGAAAACCTTCACCTCCGAGACATCTATGACCTTCCTCCTGATTAGGTCCGTCATGGTCCCTGGTGTACCCACGATTATGTGTGCGGTGACGTTTGTAGTGCCTCTAGGCAGGTTGTCTTTGATAGCGTACTCGGTTTGCACAGGTGTGAATTTGCCCATAGCTACGACAACGGACATGATTTGTCGAGCAAGTTCCCGAGATGGCGCGAGGCAGATAGCCTGAAATCGGCGGAGGTCAATCAGGAACTCTTGCAATCACATCAATACTTCAAGCCAGGCGAGACATAACGTACCTGTGGCTTGTTCAATGAAAAGTCAACTCGACTCAACATAGTAAGCACGAACGCCGCCGTCTTCCCTGTTCCCGATTGTGACTGCCCGATCATGTTTTGAGGGCTGTGGAGCGAGTGTCATTAGTGTCAACGAAACTTCCAAACCACACATCAGATGATATGATAAATACACACGGGTTGGCTAGGAGAAGAGGGAGTGCACGTTCCTGGATCTTAGAAGGCTTCGAGAAACCCATATCGTAAATGCCCTTCAGGAGGTCTTGGTGTCTATGGAAAGCCTTGAGTGACAATCCATGTTCTCTCCTAAAACGAGACTCACAAGCCAAGTTCCTCAAACGTTTTCACACTATGCAGAGGAGAAGTCGGGTTGGCTTGCTGATCTGCCAATGTCACCTAGACGAGACATCTGTAACTATCGGGTCCAGTTGCAATACACCACAACGAATGGGCGACTTACGGAAACATCAAAGGTTGACTTGATCAGATCGGTCGTTGCCTCTGTTACTAACACGTCCGTTAGACGATTGATACGAGAACATCAAGTAAACAGCTCACCAGTCACTTCCGTCTTTGCAGTTGTAAGCTCTGCTGCAGGTGGCGGTGGCGGAGTACTGGAACTCGCTTCTGGTGCTAGAAATTACTCAGCACATATGCATTCAAGATGTGCAACAGAACTCACCTGCTGGTGCAGGCGCGTAGAATCCTTCAGCGTCCTTCTCCATTGTGTATGTAGGAGAATGTCGATTGTGGTGGATGTGGTTGAGAGTCAAGATTGTGAAGAGCAAAGAGTCAATGAGCTCAGCTTGTTAATCGGACTCGGTCCAGATCTAAGATCGTAATCGGCTTATCTTATCTCCCTTCTCCTTTACTTACAACGACCATCGTCATCGTCCTCAACTCATCATATTGACTTGTGTATTCGCTTTGAGTACGCAGAAAGAGCCTTTAGTTACAGGTTGTATTCTGTGGCAGGATAGCTAAGCGCAGCGTCGCTTGTGAGTGTCATATATCGTCGCACAGTCCTGGTATCCATCGACGTTCATTTCAGTGTATGCGCTTCCAACTCTAGATCTGTGTATGACATTCCCGTATAGACTTCTCCGCATGTCCAGTCAATTCGAAGGTCACCTAAATCGCCTCCGTCGAGGGGTTTCCACTGTTGAGGTCGTACATGCACCTCATGACAGATGGCCGCTTCGAAATCGGACATTTCCATCCTGTTCGCACATAAACATCTCCGTCCTCGATTCCTCCTTCGATCCTCCGACCTTAGCCCACCTGGCGCTCGCTAATATACCCCTCTCCAAAGCGTTCCGATGCACCCATACGCATCAAACATCGGACTGTTGCGCATTCCATGCCAAGCTCCTTTTGCTCTCGGTGAGAAACGCCGACAAGTCTCTCAAGCCCGGGGATGCAACATATGAGCAACGCATGGACATGATGATACGTCTCTCAGAAGACGTAAAACCTGATATTTCTGCCAAGAGTGACGTGGACGAACGGTTGAGCGTGGAAGATTCCAACACTGCGGTGGCTATAATCGACGAGCCGACGTTTGTCGGTAAGGCCCGCCTTCTATTGGAATACTTTCGCGAGAAGCTCTCTTCTTTCTCTGACTCTGACGGCATTTTTCATGATCCCCAAAATGGAACGGAGTCGAGAACGTTAGAGCCCCAGCTTACATTCATTGTGGGGATGGATACACTGGAGCGTCTTTGCGCCCCTCGATACTATTCTTCCGAGGAAGACATGAACCGCCGTCTTACACAATTCCTCTCGCCTGATGGAGATAACTGCCGCGTGATATGCGCTAGACGAATAACTCCTGGACTACCCGTCTCTGAGGACGAGCGAGAGCGCAGTGTAATTGAAAGAACAAAGACGTTCATCTCCTCGAATCGTATCGCCATCGTTGATATAGGTGATGGTCTGCGATCGTTCAGTTCAAGCGAGACTAGGGCGACTGTACATTCCGGTTCTCCACTCTGGAAGACGATGGTGACGCCGAAAGTTGCAGAGTACATTGCCCAGCATCATCTGTATTCTCAAGCCTCGAGCTGATAATCACACGAAGTGTAGTGGAGAGAATGGAATTTCTATTGAATCGTTATTACAGAGTCGGAAGAGATAGAGAACCAGAGCATGAAAATCGTGTAGTCTAAGAACGAACGTCTAACCCGTAAAACTATCCGAAACGAAGAAAGCGTGTACATCATGAAGGTCCGTGAAGATGATCAGGAAGAAATTGCTTGAGCGAATGCAATAGCGACCGTCTGATTGAGCGCGAATTAGTACATTAGTATATGAATCAAAAGGCGTCGAAAAACTTACCTCGGAGTGGCTGAGTGAGATGTGAACTTTAGAGACACCCTTGCTGTCCGCAGCAGCCTTCGCGTCACCATGCAAGGTGACGGTTGGAGCACCGGCCTCGTTGGGGAGGATCTCGATATCTTTCATAGCAGCGGAAGCACCCTTGGATGAAACTCCGAGAGACTTGAAGACGGCTTCTTTACCGGTCCAGCGAGCAGCGAATGATGCTTCCGGGGATGGTTGGGAACGGCAGTATGCAATCTCGGCATCAGTGAAGTTGCGAGCGAGGAACGTCGGGTTTGAAGAAGGGACAGATGAGATGAGTTCTGGCGGATAATGATAAGCATCGCAACTGTCAGATATAATTAAAAGAACATACCTTGGTCGACACCAACTCCAGCGGTAGCTTGATGTGCGGCGATCTCTGTGAGTGCAGGAGCATTGGAGATGTCGAACGTTGGCTTGGTATTTAGGTGCTTCGCCGAGTACGCGTAGCTACCAGTCTTGGGGTCGTAAACCGTTCGAGCTAGTGAATTCATCAAGACAGGAGCTTCCAGCTCCTTCGAGTACGGGGGTCCATCCTTGACCTTCACCAACGAGTTGTTGATCATCATCTCGCTCATTGCCTTGTACGAGAGACGGGCTCGGACTTGGTTCTTAGCCTTGTATGTCGAGTACACCGATGGCTCTATAGCGGCGAACACATAGCGAGGATGAAGGACCATGCAAGTGCCGCCGACTTGACCGAAACCGAACGACGACTATGGGGCCAATTAGTCAAAGACAGGAATATTTAGTCACGAGTCACTTACCATAATTCCAGCGCGAATACCGTCCGTGTGGATGGTCTTGGAGGGGAACATCAGATGACTGTACTGCTTGAAAGCCGCATCGACATTACTGCAAGTAAAGTCAAGACCTGTTCAGCATCAAACTCCATAAACAATGATGTATTAACTTACTCTGCATTGCGATTGCCAGGAACAATACCATGGTAGACACTCTGGAGGAGACCAATCAATTGCCATGCAGCCGATCCACCCTTCGCATGCCCACATAGGCTCTTCTGCGCCATAATAGGTACAGCATTGCCTGTCGTACGGGATAGGTTGGTGAAGACGTCATTCCAAAGGTGAGTCTCGTTCGCCTCCTGCAAATGCCCACCGTTGTTAGTATACTGAGGTATGGATGAACAAGATACACATACGTTCGCTCCAGTGCTGGTACCATGAATTGATAAAACGCCGATGTCGTCGGGGGTCAGGCCCCAGACAGCAAGTGCCCGACGAAGAGGAGCAACGCGAGGATCGGTTCCCTGGAGCATGCCGTAGGTTGCTAACGCATCCTTCTCTTGACGTGCTGCTTCGGCCTCAATGTCCGCAACACGAGAAGCAAAGTAGTTGTCGTTCAACTTCTCGCCTTGACTCTTTCGGAATTCGAGCTCATCGCGAAGTAGATCCTGCTCATTAGTAAGCCATTGTGAGATCTGCTTGCGACGGAAGGAGAGTTGTCGGGAGCGGTATTGAAGATCCAAAATGGGAAGAGGATGTTCCGATTTAACTTCGCGAGCGATTGAGAGAGCACCAGCACCAGGCGCTGGAATAGAACGGCCGGCTTTGTCCGTAGACGTAGACGTGAAGGCGACAATACCACGGATTGGTGCACCTAGCTCTAAAGCTGTCTTAGCGGACATCAGAACCTGTACACCAGAGCCTTGCGACTCCATGAACTACGCAATTATAGAATCAAAATAATGATCTGAGCATTTAGACGGTATCACATACCCCTGATCTAGTGGATGTAGTTGGTCTTGACATCTCAGTAGGTTCTCGGCCCATGGCGAACTCCGTTTCGGAGTTGCTGGTTGCCTTCATGTTTGCAAACTCGTACGAGCCTTCCTCGCTCAAGTCGTCGAAGCCTCCTGCAAGCATCACTTTCGCCTTACCGCTGAGCAAAGTGTCGCAAGCGATCTCGACTGATTGCAAAGCAGTGGCACTATGTGTAACATGTTAGTAGAGGTCACACAATTAATGTAGCCTACCACATACCAAGCACCGACAGGAATTTTGATAGGACCGCTCGACGAGAGCAAAAGCAGGTTTACCCAACCGGCCACCGTGTTGATGAACCTGTTGTAAAATAAGCAGGGAATTGATAGCGATGCTAAACACTGAACTTACGTCTCCTGGAGCACATCGTTCTGGACGTCCTTCTCTTCGCGACGATCCTTGAACATAGCAGCCATACTCTCCACGCCACCCATACCGCTACCAATACTCGTTCCAACCTCAGATGGGTGCACGTGTTGATACAGCTCATACGGATCAGTGATACCTGACATGTTCAACGCTTCAGCGGCGGACACAAGGGTCCACAGAGCACAACGGTCGGTCTGGGCGATAATGTCAGCGGGAATTCCGTAGCGACCAGCGTCCCAGCCAGTAGGAATTTGCCCGCCAACCACGCGATTGAATTTGAACGCCTTTGGCACGAGAACCCTGGCTCCCTTCTTGAACTTGACGAACCATTGGCCACCTTCACCAGCCCAGATATTGCACTTATCACCATGTTCGTATTTGAACTTCTCGGCTTCCACCTGGGCAGCTTCGAACGGCTCCAGATCGTGTATAAGCTCAATCTCCTGATGGAATACCTTCTTGTTGGGGTCATAGCCTTTGAAAAGCTCCGGTTCTACAGGGAATATGAGCGAGAAACACGACCGTAAAAAGGTAAACATACCAATCAAACGAACACCGGCATGCTCGAGAATCTGTTGCTCGTAGCGGGAGCGAACATCCTTGTCATCGACAGGCTCGCCCGACTTCGCGTCAACCCAGCCAACATACAGACTACCATCTTTGAGTCTCCCGTCGAAGTGTTTGATGTGACCCATAAGCCACGCCATCTCAATACAGCCTTCGATTGTGAATTCGCCTCGTGCTTCCATTTCCCAACGTGTGCGAGAGCTTCCCCATGGCCCAGCTTCACCAAAGCCCGTGACGACGACGACCTTCTCGAGATCAACGAGACCACGAAGTTTTGAGAGATCCTCCAATGCCTCAACAGGCTCCAAGGCAGGGAAGTCGAACTTGAAGTTAGCGCGTGGGGTGACGTTGACCGTCTGAAGAACTCTCTCAGCCTCAACGCCATTGATGATCTTGAAGTCCGCGGCATTGTCCCTGGCGATCGCGCGACGCAAGTCACTCTTTTTACGGAGGTCTTCGCGAATGCGGCCAGTGATATCTGCGAGATCCGGAAGACGATCCATGCCACCATTGAGGTCGGCCCAGATTGGCTCAACTTGAGTGATACTGAAGAGTAGCGGATGCATGAGGCCCAAAATGTTGAACGCCATCTCCTTCGCTGAGAATGTGCGGACGCCGTGGCTTTCCAAATCATAGGCAACTGTGTCCGAAGCATCCATAAGACCCGTGCCGCGAGTCCACCTAACGCAAATGTCTTAGCACACGTATATGTAGGAATACGATAGAACTCACCCAATCACTGCGCCAGCGAGACAGAGATACTCTCCCCAGCTCTCCGAAGCCCAACGGTTGAAAAGTGTTTCAAGTGAAATCTTGGATTCCGAATAGAGACCGTCATTTCCGAACAGACCGTGGTTGGGCGACAGAGGAAGGATGACCTGCGTCGGACGAGTAACAAAGTGACGACTTGCTTTCTTGATCTTGACGGCGCCAAGGAGACGGAGCAGGTTCACCAACATGATACGATGAGCCAGCTCCGACTTATCATCCAAACCGTCGATTTCGCGGCCATTCTCAGGCACAGCGGCGAAAGGAATAATATAGTCGAGGTCTAATCCGAGCGTCGCATAGATGTAGTCGACAAGGGCTTCGACGTCTTGTTTCGATCCTTGGTTGAAAGGAACAACGGTCAGAGCCGAACCCTTGCTGCCAAATTGTTGGAAGATGCCTTGGTAGTACTCAACGGTCGCGCGGCTGTAACGAGATGTGGTGATGACGACGTGAGCACCACCCGACAAGAGACCCTTCATAATCTCCACTCCAATGGAAGCCTTGCCTACACCGGTGAGAAGCGCATTTTTATCCTTGAAGGTCGTGCCGGAGGTTGCAATCTCATGGAGAATATCAAGGTAGACGCCAGTGAGGTTGCTGCTGTACTCCCAAGTCGCTCCAACTTTACGCTTGAGATGCAAAAGGGGGACCTTGTCAGCCGTGATGGATGTAATTCCGGAGACTTGAGGGCGAAGGAATTGCGAAGATGAGCGACGGGTGCGTGGAGCTCCGGGTCGCGCGCGAGATTCAGGACGCTTGCGAAGAGATCGTACAACGCCTTCGTAGAGTGCTTTGATGCGGTTCTTCTGCTCCTCGCTAATCTCTGGTTGAGACTTCACCACGTTCCAAAGCTTGAGAACATCATCTTGAATCTTTTGGATATTGGTAGGGGTTGAGATAGTGTCGCCACTGGCCATTTCCTCAACATAAGCCTCAAGCTTGCGAACGTTCTCTCTGACGATCTCAGAGTACTTGATTTCACCTTGAGCGGTAATCTCAGTATGAGGTGCGGTGGGGAACGTCACTGTTTGTATCTCAATGTTAGAACTTGGCTGAGAAGCGCAAACAAAACAAAACACTCGCCATCCTTGTAAAGGGGTGGTTGACCAACAACCTCGCGGCAATTGTCAATCAGTTGCTGTCCAAACTGCTTCGCCAACTTGTACGTTTCGCCACGGTTCGGGTCACATTGGTCGATGTTGTATTGCATGTACTCGACAAGTTCGGGATCAGCACGGTTCATGATAGCGATGCAACGGGCAGTAATCTCGCGGTCGACAGTGGTGAGTCGGCCAAAAATGATGTCGTACCACATGAGCAGAGCGTCCTGACGAACCCAGTTCCACGATGAATCAAAGTGCCGAGCCTTGAGTGGGTCGAATCGAGGTTGAACGCCGTCGATGTAGACATCACCGTGTTCACGATTGATAGCATCGAGGCGAGCTTGAAGTGCCTCTGCGCGCGCCTTCTCGCTGTCGTACTTGATCTCGCCCGACCGAGAGTCACGCTTGAGATACCGCATGTAGACTTCGATTTGCTGAAGAGCAAATTCCTCCTGCTCGGCGCGGAACTTCTGGAACTCCTCGCTGTTGATGACTGCACCACCTGCACCACCAGATCCGCCTCCTGCTGCGCCGCCGGACGAGAGCGAAACGCCGGAACGTTGAGCGTACAGAGCGACAACAGAGTCCAACCATGCTTTAGCCTCGGCTTCCGAACCCAGACGCTTTGGAGGCTCCATCGTCGTACCGAGGAGGACTATGCCGTCAGCACGCGCAGGTCCTAAACCCCACGTCTTCGACAGGTAAGCTTTGATAGCAGACAGGTTGAAACCACCAGGCATCTTCCCACCAATCAGTCGAGAGACAAGACCGGAGGTGTACTTCCCTAGTGTTCCGGAGTAACCGACACCGAGGGCAGAGCCGAGCTCTTCGAGTGGCAGTTCTTCGCCCTTCTCTGGAGCTGAGGTGAATTCCAAGCCAAGGTCACCCAGAATTTCATTCTGCATCGTTGACTTTCCGCCAACAAGGTCCTTGACAGACTTGGACAGCGGAACCTCTTCGACCTTCTTCTTCAACTTCTGGGCAACAATTACATGAAGGACATCAGTGGCCTTCAAAGGTACGTCTTCGATGCTGGCGGCAGGGCCTGCAGGGGCTGCAACTGGTGCAGCGACGGGAGCAGCAGCAGCGGCAGGCGCCCCACTCGCGTCGGCCGCGGACTCTGTGGGGGCGGCTTCCTCTGGTTCGTCCTCAAATTGATAGTAGACTTCCTTCTGGTTCTTCGCATGGCACAGAATGACTCGGGTGCGGCTCACAGAGTTGTCTTGGTTCTCGTACTTCGCTTTGAGCGTGCGAGTGGCCATGCCGGTGAGGGTTGGTGAAGGACCGATCTCGACGAAACGCTCAAATTGATACTGAGTGAATAGGATGTCCTGGGTCTCGATCCAACGTACGGGAGAAGCGAACTGATACGCCAAGAGCTCCACGAGAATGACATATGCAAGCTTTTGACGTTGTTCACGAGCACCCCAGTTCTCCTGGTCCCACTTGCGAAGGACTTTGTCGAGCCGAGGAGACAGGGTTTGGTCGTAGATAAGCTGTGCGTATTCCTTCGAGACTTGGAATGGCTTGGCAATAAGGTTGGGAACATATTTGCCGACGAGCATGTCGGGGTTGAGATGGGAGGGATTGATCTTCTTTGAGAGGTCTATAAGATCACATTAGAGGTGAGCTTGGACGGCACATAATCAAATCACTTACAGGCTCGGAAAGGAAGCACGCCAGCCCAGAGGTAGCGAGAATGGAAGGGCACATCAATACCGGGAAGAGGAATGGTGGCGAAACCACGTTCAAGCTTGATGTAGCCCTCAGCTTGTTGCTGCTCCTTCGCTTTCGTGTGACATGACTCGATAATCTCACCAAGCATCTCCTTCACCTGCTCCACGGTGAACTTCTCCGTAAGCTATAAAGATTTCGGTCAGTGAACTATCAAACAGACCAACTTGAGAACGAACCTTCGCGATGTCAATCTTCTCGATCTTCAGGTAGTTGAGGACATTCGTCATTGTCTGCAAAGCGACAAGTTCTCCGGCACAGACGTATTGCTGACCTTCGACATTGAAGTTGACGATTTCGAGCAAGCAGCCAGTACGCTGGGAGATCGAATCGACCACCTCACGAAGAGCCGCGTCGTTGAATGTCTTCGAGATACGGCCAGGATTAACGGCACACATGGCATAATTAGAACGGTTCTGCGCGTCACGCTCGACGGCACGCTGCATCGTAATACCACGGTAGAACACAACATCGACGAGGGAGGAGATGGGGAGGACGTCTGCGATGGAAGCCAGGGCTGAGTACTCTCCAAGAGAATGACCAGCGAAAGCGGAATCCTTCTGGACGAAGCCCTTGGAGCGCATATCCTCGAAAGCAGCACGTTCCGTAACAACGAGGGCAATCTGAGCGAACTGAGTAGCGAAAAGGAGACCATTCGGATGGCTGAAAGTGTAGCGTTGAGTGCGATTGTTAATATCACCGAACAGGGGAAGGGTCTTGACGTTGCCGTCCTTGTCCATGGTGTCGTAGGTCATGTCCATGTAGCGTTGGCGAATAGCCTGACCTTTGATACCTCCAAAGTGAATAGTTTTCTCTTTCGGGTTGTCCTTGACGATCTCGACGATAGAAAAGCCGTAGACAGCAGCAAGATGTTCGTCAGCTGCGTCCCAGACGGAGCGAGCAGCTGGGGAGTTGTTGTAAAGCTCCATGCCCATGCCCGGTTCTTGAGAACCTTGACCTGTGAAGACGTAGACGGTTGCAGGTTGGGCAACTTCGGCGGTTCCTTCGATGACCTTTTCACCACGCTCATTCTGAGTGGTGACCTTGAGAACCAGGTTCCCGTCACGCATGCCGGTATGTTTGATGATGACCTTGAGCTCGTCTCCAGGAAGAACCATGCCGACGAAAGACACATCGTAGCTACAGAGATTGGCATGTCAGTACAAGAACAGAAGAACGCGAAAAAAAATAAAGCACGTACGAGACAACACGATCAGGATGACCTTGAGCTGCGACGATCTCGACGTATCGTCGGGTAGCGGCACTAGACCACATACCGTGGGTGATCGTTCCTGGAAGAGCAGCGAAATCGGCAAAGTAGGGATTAATGTGAATAGGGTTGAAATCACCGGAGACCTTGCTGTAGGGCTCGTTACTGAAAGGAGAGTTAAAGATGGTCAGATCGGGAGAGGTAGCCATAGTGTATCCACTGTTGGGGAGAGGCGAAACAAGACCCTGAGGCTGGCCGTGACGCTTGAGGTACTCGGTAACAGGGTTACCTCTGCTGTCGTCTTGAGAGAAGTCGACGGACCCGACCTTAATGAGACGCTTGATTTGATCACGTACGAAGATATCGCCAGAGACATTCACGGCCTTGTAGCAGGTCTTGTTACGGTAAGTAACCTCGGACTTCACCCTGAATACCAGCTTGGTACCAGCTTGCAGAGGCTTTGTCTCGTCGTCCCACTCGAACCACTCCTTGCTCTGCAGAACACCAACCTCAGCTTCATTCGCCAAGTCGACGATGTAGTCAGGCTCCTCAATGGTATCGAAAGTGTTCTCAAAGTCGTCGAAACGTCCACGGTACAGGAACGAGGAAACAACCTCAATGACGGGAGCAGCATCTCGGATGATATGGCCCTTGACCTTGACGGCCTTACCGGCGTCAGTGTTAATGACAGAGACGATCTTTCCTTCCGATGTGCAAACATCGCCAGCCTTGAGTGGAGCCGCACCGTCAAGCAACCGGAAGCCGTTCGAGAGATGAACCAACTTCAGTAAATCGCCATCGATAAGACCAGGGAACACAGACTTCATGGTCGCTTGCCAACCAGTGACAATGGCGAAGTCCATGGGTGCTTGCACTGTCTGGGACCTGGTGGACTTGAACGCTTCGCCTTGATTACCGATGATTGCACAGAAGTCTTCAACATCGTCCTCATCGATTGTAACCGCGGGACCGGTGAAAGTGTCACGGATGTTGAGCTCAGGCAGTGACTCGTTATCGCCGAACCAGAGCCTCCAGTAGAAGTCCTTGATGCGCTTGTTGCGATCACCAGCGACCTCGTGGATGGGAGCATAGCCCATGGAAGGCTTATACTCGAACTCGAGGTAGAGGGGTACAGAGACATCCTTACGGTCCTCAAACAGGGTGAGATGGATCAAATTCTTTGACGCCTCGAACTTCGCTTCGACCGCCTTGAAGTCCGGTTTGTGCTCGCCGTACGAGCGAGCAGAACCGTAGAGCGAGACGGCGGTGGGAAGTCCGCCGGCGAGATCGATGACGACCTTCTGGTTGGGACGAGGAGCGAAGAGGCGACGCAAAGGGTTGTCAATGTAGGCAGTACCTTGCACAACAGCAGGGGAGATAAGCAATGCTCGGAGCCAGTCGAGACGAGGACCAGCCAGAGTCTCCAACCATACGGACTTCTCGGGAACAGACTTGCCAACGATGTATACAATCTGGGAGTCTGAGATGGTGCGCTGAACACCCAATGCGGCTACAGTCGACTCAGGGAGAGGGGCAGGTCGTGCGCCGAGGTAATCGACTGTGGGAACCTTGCTGATATCACCGTTGTACAGACGTTCGAGCAAGCGTTGAGCAAGAATGTTCGTAATGTTCCCCAGCATGTCCTTGATTGGCTCGTCCTTGATCTTCGAGTGCTTGACAGCGACCGGGCCTTGCAAGATGCACACACGTTGAGGGTCTTGGTCGAAGACGGCCTCGATATCCTCTGCAGCCCACAGCGAATCCTACGGGAAAACAATGTCAGCTACGACTGCAAAAGCAATGAAGGCAGAAAAAGAATTGACTAACCTTCTTGAACCAGACCTCAAAGCTGGCATCGAGAATGGGAATGAACGGAACGGGCTTCTGGCCAGGACGTTGAGAGATTGTGAGGAAGTACTTCTTGTCCTCGCTAGCGAGAAGCTGTTCAGTAGCAACAGGGTATGTCTTGAAGAACTCCTCGATAAAAGCTTGAGGCTTGTCGAGGGACGAGAATGACTGCAGAATAGACGCTTTGCTACCGCTGCCGTTAACACCAGCAAACCTTTCCTCAACTCGTCGGAGCCAGTCACCAGTCAAGTTCCTCAAGGAAGTATCAACCCATCTCTCTTCGTGCGCGACATACATCAACCGAACCAGACGCAGAGTAACCTCTTCATAGGTCATGTCCGCAATATCCTCAACAACAGAGCCATCCTTCTTCGAGCCGAACCACGGCTTAGCGAAGTCCTTGTTAAGCTTCGCGATGACCTCGCCACGACGCTCGTTCAACCAAGCAGCGCGTTTCTCCTTCGGGAGGTTGAAAACGGTGTTGTCGAACTCCTTCCACAGCTTCACGGCACGAGTAGCGATCTTGTGAATGGGTTCTCCCAGCTCCGAACGAACGGTGAGAATACCACCAGTCTCCTTAGCGTAAGTTCCTTCCCATTGAGCGTCATCGACACCACTGGCAGCAACGATGAGGTCTTTGACCGAGGAGCTGGTGTGAGCCTCCTTGGCGACCATGACGCGCGACGCGAAGAGGAAACCATCGAAAGGCATTGGCTGGGCACCATACTGCTCAACAGACCAGTCACCGGTCAAGTAGGGCCAAATATCATCAGCACCACCGAACCCAGAGCCACCAACGAGGATGAGGTTACTGTGTTGACGGATGGAACCATAAGTAGCAAGAATGGGTTGGTGGAAGTCCTCGCAGGAGTGATGACCTCCAGCACGGCCACCAGTCCACTGAAGGATGATGGGGAAGTCGGGATTGGCAGCCGCGATGTTGACGACCTGGCGAATACCATCAACAGAGCCGGGTTTGAAAGAGACGTGCTTGATACCAGCGGTCTTGAGACCCTCGATGATCTCCGCAGCCTTCTCTGTGCTTGGAATACCAGCAGCGACGCAGAAACCTTCAACGGGGAGGCCCTCGCGGCGCATCTCCTGCCAAAGAGGGAACTGGAAGCCGAACTGGCGAGGGTTGATGTACAGCGAATTAAGGGTGATACCGACACCAGCAGGGATCTTGCTCTGGATCTCCGCAACTTTCGCGCGAAGAGCAGCAGCGTTGTAGTGTCCACCACCAGCGAGCTCGATGTGGAAACCGGCATTGAGAACCGCGCTGACGAAGCCGGCCTTGACGGTACTTGGTGTCATACCTGCAACCATAACCGGTGGCTTGCCGAGAAGCTGAGAGAATGGAGTATCAACGTGAAGAGTACCATTACTGAATGAAAGAAAATGAGTTAAGAAATATTATGAGACCACGAGCAGATCGTACCTCGTCTTCACAAGATTGGGCGAGAACTTCTTACTCCACCAGACCTCACGCTTGACGGATTGACCGTCGAACAACTCCGAAGTACCCTTCGCCTTATCGCCAATGACAAGGACTCGGACGCCACGACCCTCGAGATTACGAGATGTAAGAGGGCCAATACCGCTCGCACCACCTGGACCAAAGTCAACAGCATGCGTTGCGGTCTCGGGGAAGTTAGTCGCCTTTGCCCAGTGAATGTGGTTCGTGAAGATTTGGTCGCACAACGACTTTGTGAGCGAGGTCTTGAGCTCACGCAGGTCAGAACCTGCGAAAAGACGTTAGCTACAAGCGTATGTGCGGTGAAAAGAAAAATCTCAGCGCACCATTCTCGGTGTGATACACCGGAATACCCAACTCAGCGGGAGTCCACAGCTCCTCACCCTCCAAATCGTCATCAAACATATCGTCAGTCGCACCTTGAAGGTATTGACTATGATAAGGGACGTTGACTGCCAAGAACGCGACCGAGAAGACAGGCTTGCGTTGAGAGAAGGGAATCTTGCTCTGGTCAAGGCCGCTTGGTGCCCGGATCTTCCTCAAGTTAGTAACCAGGCCATACAATGCGCGAGGAGGGCCGGTGACGACGAAGGTCCTGGGCCCATTGTGAAGAGAGACCTCAAGCTTCGAGTTGTCCGGAAGATGAACATTGGTCTTCTTGACGTGAGACTCCAGGTCCTTCAATGCGAGCCCAACGACGGTCAACATGGGAGAAGGTGTGCCTTCGCCGCCATCCAGAGCATCTTGGATGATGCTGGGCTCTAATGCGAGGAGAGGGAAGTATTGCTGGCCTCGAAGACCACAGAAAAAGAGCCACTTCAAAGCCTTCTTGGCATTCTCGAGCAAAGACTCGTGTGAGGTGGATGCGGCAATTGCAACGGCGGAGACGAGACCTTGCGAGTGTCCGGTGGCACCAGCAAAGCGGGAACGAAGTTCCTCTGGGGTAATATTCGCGACGCGAGAGACAACGAGGTATCGGATAAGTTGGGTCAACCCGATCAATGGCATGGAAAGCGGAACCGAAGCAAGATACGAGGTTGGCGGACGCGGTGACGCGCCAGACAGCCATGAGACAACGTCCATGCCGTGAGTGTAATAGGTGGTGGACTCGGAATCTCTGGTGAGAGGTAAGAGAACCTCACGAGTAACGGTCTCGATGAAGCTGGCGGCATAAGGTTTATACGTGTCATACAAAGCCTGGAGTTCGTCAAAGTACACTTCATTGGGGCCTTGACCGCCGAAAAGCGCATATGCTGACGCGTCACCCTTCGCAACTGCAGCGAACAGCGCGGACCTGGGGGCGCGAGGAATGTCGGAGACATTGTGGGTCTCAAGCGTAGCAATGGTATTGAAATAGTTTGTCAACACTGCTTTGCGAACGGTTGATTCAAAGCTGGTGGTGAAGACGTGTATGTCTTGCTGGGAGAGGTACGAAGCGGTGAAGTGGTTCAAAGCACCCAGGAGAACAGATATAACTGCAAAGGCTGAAGGCTCGCTCTCGAGCTTTTGGGCAATGAAATTGAGGAAACGGCTCGTTAACTCGACCGAAGCTTCGGCTTCGTTCTCAAGCGTGTTGTCTATGGGATTCGCATCTTGCGACAGGTTAAATTCGTCTCTAAGGATCTCTGCAACGAGCCATTCGTCACAGGAAGCTGATACTGGTATGAATACCTAGAAAGCACCGATCAGTACGTTGTATTCAAGATATCATGAGAAAGCAAGCCAAAAACAGCACATCCCCCATGTGCACGCTATCCTCCCATCTCTAACTCTCAACCCTCAGGTGCAATTACCATACGCAGGACACGACCAACAATCACAGATTGCGACAGGGAGACATACACCACATCCAGAAGACGCATGACACGACACTCACTCTAGTTGGGCCAGACGTTATGAAGATGGGACGTGTAGACTGACCCGCATGGCCATTCGCAATATGGGACGTAGGAGCCATTGTTGTCGCCGTCGTAGAACGTGTCAACGACGTCTAAGACAACGAGAAGGATACTGGGAAGGTAGGGATCAACGGCAGAGCCGATGTTTTTATGAGAACAGTCCCCAAAGGTGTATATACTCCTTCACCCCAAAGGAATGGCTGCCCCGCTGGCGTCTACTAGTCCCAATATTTCGGGCGCTAGCGGAAGCGGAGAGTGTCCTAGCCCCTCTAAAAGGAAATTTACCCCGCGTGCATCAGCAGTGCATCAGCTCAAGGACTCTTCGTGTCTTCGCATCTTCCGCTTGGGGAACGACCAACAAATCATAGGGGATTCGGGCATGCTTTAAAATCATATCACTGCATCGTGTAGAGCACAACATACGGCTAACACTTTAGTTTACTCATCTCCTCGTAATAACCGGTCACGACGAACCCGATCGGGGTGCGAGCTGAACCCCGTCCGAGTTCTACATCTGCCTCAGGGCAATCCTCAGAATCGGACGACAAATATTATACTGCTCTATAGAGACTGCGATTCCAAAGATTATAAGTGTCCAGGACGGTCCCTACGAAGTTGAAAGCACTCCAGGATGATCGGAAATGTCGCGGAAAGGGTTAATATAAGCTTCAAAGTCATTTGCACCAACAGCATTAATATTGTTGAGATACTGTGAAGTACAGTAGCCAATGAAATAACTCGTATTCTATTTTATTCGTCTGTACATGACATTCCCACCTACAAAACCGAGCAAAGAAGGTTGTTGACGACAACGTCAACTCAACCTAATTGACTGACCGTGCGGGTATAAAGACGCAGCTCCACATTCTTACATTAGTCCCAATTGCGCAACGGAATAAAGCAATACGAGTATCGACGTGGCATGCGAAGGTCGAAGTTTTGAGCGGTATTAATAGCAAAAGGTTTCGATGTATTGACGTCACATCCACGGCGTAGATGAGAACATGCAACTACCTGCAGTATACATCATGGTGGAGAAGTTCCTGCTGAAGCAAACACGGGATCTCTTTGAGTTCTACGAAATAGAGACAATACGATTCACATACAGCCCCATTCATGATTTGCCTACATCAAAGGATGATATCAGTACACCACGAATAAACCTTGCAAAATATACTCTCTGAAGTCTGGTTTAAAACGTTGCACGCTCGATATGATGCCTCCCATATTCGTCAATAAGCCTGTAAGAAAGATTAATGACTAAAGTGAAGTGAGTACAGTAAGGACTTTCGCCGGTGTGGAAGTACGGAATCAAAGAGTGTAGTAAGACAAGCGCCGAGTCTTTCTCTCTTTCCTCCACCATCCCAGCTCGAGCTTGACATGCCTATATCACGGTTGAACGTCGTCTGATAGCTCAATTTCTTCCCTTTTGACTACATTATAGTCTGGATTATTTGTGAACGTCACTAAAGGGACGACTTCCGCATGTACGGTCGAGCCTTGGTGAGAACCTCACTTAGAGGGATCTCTAGTGTCAGGCCGTTACGATCACGACCGACGCGACTTGGCTTTACATCCTCGAGATATAGGTCGTCTTCGAGTGCCACTGCATTCTCTTCCACTCGAACAGACGACTCGACGTCGCAAGAATACTTACCGTCTACTCAGAGTCCTAAACCCTTCGCGATTGAACATGTCGGTGGAAGAGAGCACCATTTATCTTGGTCACCTAAAGGCGGAATCTCGAAGGAATGGAAAGAGGAGAAAGCCATAGATGCAGATGTCACAAATGGAACCCCTCAGGCGGTTTCCTCTCCTATGATGTCTGGCGCAGTGGGCCGGATGAAGTCATGGTTTATGCAGATGTTTTTGCCCACCAACTATCCACATTCGGTGCATCGCTCGTGTGTATTCCTCATTTCGTTTTCCTCTAAATGTTTAATAATCATTAACTCGTACTGTACAGTTATGCGCCTTACCACATACTCCAATTTGTCGAGACCACTCTGGGTACCCTGGTCTCAGTCCTCTGTAACCAAGCGCTTCTTAGTTCGGTTGGTGTCAGCGCCGAGGGCAGTATATTTGGTGCGGTAGCAGTTCAGTGGATCATTAAGGACGGTGCTGGAGAGATTGCGAAGTTGTTCTTCATTCGACGGTTCTCGCCGTACTTTGATAGTCACCCTAAAACTTTCAACCTCCTTGGGGAAGGTGCGGTCGCGCTGGGAAGTGGCCTCCAGATTGCTACACTTCTTATCAACCCAACACCTGTGAACTTCTTGATTTGCGCAGGTATGTTGCTGAAGTCAGACGCTGTAACATACTCATTCAACGTTCCTGTTCGCAGCTGGAGGAAATATCTTCAAGCTCATCGGTAACGCTGTACGTTGTCCCGAGTATTGTATTCGCCTTGTCAGTACTGAATCATGACACCTTGATAGATCTGGCTCACGACACACATTAAGTTCGTGCGCTATTTCTCTCAGCAAGGCAACACCGGGGACGTTGCAGCGAAGGAAGAGTCACAAGCATCTGTTGCTCAACTATTGGGCTATTCTGCCGGCATCGGCCTCCTCACGTTCTCGCATTCTCCCGCGTACCTCTACTCCATCTTCTTCCTCTCAGTCCCTGTTCACCTCTTGGTCACCACCTACATGCTTCAGCTTACGACCTTCGAACTATTGACTGTGCCAAGGCTGAGTTGGCTTGCCGGCCAGTATGCGAAGAAGCAGGATGGAAAGGCGGAAAGAGGTGTTGTCGACTTGGCTGAAGTAGAAAAATTGAAAACCACTGGTTTGTTCGGAGAGTTTTACAAGAGAAAGAGGGACCGATATGTCTCTCTTGCTCCCAAACTGGAAGACGTTGTAGTTAGCAACCCTTTGGATCGGTCGAAGTGGACTGCCTGTGCTGAAGCGTTCCATGTGAGCTTCTCGTCCTTACATCGTCCTACCGTTGTGCTAACACAGGTCTCGCTTCAGGGCGAGAAATATCTCCTCTATCCTCCTCCAGCACATTCCCGAAAGCCCATTTCTGCATTTTACGACCCCTCCGCTTCTGTTGACGATATGCTACGATCCATCCTTCACGCAGCTCATCTTCATGAACTCCTCTCAAACCAGCCGCACGAAGCAAATGACGCCAACTTGCGTCCCATGTTGGCGGAATCTGCCACATGGACCAATAAGTCCTTCCCTGACTTTAAGTCTCAACTAGAAGCCAACGGCTGGAAGACGGAGGAGATTTGTTCTGCTGATCATGGTCGGCGTGTCTCCTGGCAGAGCGCACCGGACAAGGCCGAATAATTCCCTTGTTAACACCACATTTCCGTTAACGTTCAGGGCGGACGGGCGACGATCGATTATCATACGTCTCCACTCACGATCTATTAGACACATTGCTGCATTAGAAGTACAGATATCCATCAACTAATATCCTTTGTCAGTGTATTTATCTTATATAGTGATCTTAGATGTAGGCTAACGTAGCAGAGGTTTACATGTACGGTTAATCTCAAATGGCCCCAGGTATAAATCCAGATGTGTATCAGACATTCCATCCACATGAGCATGATGACATGTGAGTTAGGTACATATACCCCAAGAAACGGAGGTTGCGTATGTGTCCGCCTGTCTCAATGAGACTATATGTTAGCCATAGCAATATCAAGCTGCTAAGCAATCATAAGCAGAAGGACTCACATGTCTATCTTTATTCAGCGTTTGCAATAATAGGCCAGTCAGGCACCGAGAAATATTCGCCCAACGAGTTCCAAACAAGCTGGCGAAACGCGTCCATGTACTTCAGCACAGCACTGCGACAGAGAATGCACAGTGGCGAGTCTATTAATGGTCCCCGCCTTTCCACCCAATCCGGGCTCACTAAGACTATCGTGTCTATACGGCCTCCCTCTGTCCACCACTTGTGTATGAATGCTTGTTCTCGCACATTGCAAATGAACGGTGCTGCACAACCAAAAGAATTTTCCGGAAAAGCGAATATCTCCATACACTCGAGGTTTGCTCGAATCAAGTCCTCGCGCCCGCGTATGCATGTGTATATATCTTCAGGACTCAACTTCATAAGTCGTCCATCTTCGTCCTGTACACCCTCAAAAATGTCATCTAGGTCGAGCGCGGAACAGATGTAGAATGCAGGAGGAAGAAGAAATGGCAAGTCGCACAAGCGAGCAAGGTTGATGACTCCAATGACATCGGTTTTTTGGAGCTGTATGGCCTCTGGGATACATGCTAAGGAGTCGTCATCATCGTAAGCCTTGGGACCAGCGTAACAATTGTTAAAATCTTCAAGGGAGGGTGGGAAACATTGCTTCAGTCGAGCCACCACTTCATCTCGTAGGTGGACAATGTTGTATTTTGTGCCAAGGCGAAGCAATGCACTGGCAACTGCGAACGACAACGGCTTGTCTGTGCTGAAATATCTACCGAGTAGTCGTTAGCGGCGAGTGATTCGTATTCACTGTGCGATTGACTTACTTTCCGCCGTAATAGAGAGCCGAGAGCATATATTGGACATCTTTCCATGCATCCGAAAGAGCAACAATGAGCGCTCCATTGTTCTCGCTCCCCTGTACCACCTGAGAGAACTTGTCTCGGAAGACCTGAGAATTGTGACAAAGAACGTTTCGGTGCACTTTGAATGGTGTATCCTCCGCAATAAGTACAACATTTCCGTCCTCTAGCCACAATCCTGCCTCCAAAGCGCGCGTAGCATCTTCGGACTGAGTACGAGGTTGTTGAGGAGCGATAGAAAAACTCATCCCTTCCGTACCCACACGAAGGAAGGTGAGAACCTGACCTGTTTTTTTTGAAACTCATGTAGGACGTACCCGCAAGGCTATATGTTGAGATGAATATGTGCCACTTGAAGATCGATGCTCGTACTGAAATTGAGGTGCGGTTCCTGTTTAGGCAACATAACAGTGAATTCGGCAAACAAAGACAAACAATCTTACTTAGAATCATCTATGCGACTACTGAAAGCGCTCGAATTTCGAACTGCCCGACGTACTCGAACAAATTGTATGCTCTTGTCAGTTCTACATCTTGACAGAGTCTTCTCATGAAACAAGAAAACAGGCCCAAAGCCTTCTCATGGCTTTTCGTACGCCGAGTCCCTGCCAAATTTCTTTCTCAGAGCATAACGCGCAATCGACGTCAAATGGCAGGACAAATGCATCACTGGAATATCTGACCGAACATATTTATGTCAGGCATACAGTACAAACGCAGAATGACTCACGTGTGTTTACCTATCCCCAAAGTACATCACAGTAAGAGGATGTAAGAGATCCTTTCCAATAGTTGGACAACTCTCAATTGAAGGTATCCTGTGTTTCTCATCAGAGCCTTCTGCAGAAGTAGGCTGTGAAGTGCCGCGAGGAACTACTGAATGCCTAGAAAAGACGCTACGATGTACTTCAAAGCATTCCATCCTTGCTAGAAAGACCATATCTCCGTCCTGGCACCACAGGAACGATATCCATTTCGGCCTTGCGTCCGTCCTCATCATCTAGACTGTCGACCGTTTTGATTGGACTGGTCTGAGTCATCGCTTGAGATAATAATTTACGAGAACAAGGCAAGACGTCATGACACGAGAATCAATATGAGTGTTATATACGATCAAAGCTCACCCTGCAGTCGTAAGGGTTACTAAAGTATACCTATGTGTTGCGAGGATAAAATCAACGGGGAGTTGGTTGAACGACGGTATTAAAAGAGGTTAGGATGACAGGCCCAGGGTGTAAATCTTTAAGAGTAGTAGGCAATGATAATCCTGTGCTTGGACGATGTGGGCCCCAATGTCGGTAATATCCTGATGTACATGCACATCCGACACCTGACATATCGATTGTCTAAGGTCATATATGTATCAGCATCAGATAACATTTTTGTCAAATACAACACCAGAGTCAACGGAAGCAGACTTCGAACCACATGTAGAGTCAAGCAAAGTTAGGAGGCAAGTCGACCCCGCTGATAATCCTTTTCTTCGCAAAATATAGAATGGCTTTTGGACGTAGCTTTTCGCCCAATAGTCAGGCACTCTAAGTCCACCATCCGGGTAATATTGTCTGCAGTGACGCTTGAAGCGTTGCGGCTCTGTATCCAGCAAGCGAGTGCTCATCGTCACCGAAGGCATGTTGTGATCGCTGTTGCCTGAATCATATTTTCTGCGCTTTCAGTTATACGCGCGTTGATCTTCTTCCATGAGGTTCCCACCTGTGCGAAACCTAGACTGCGGTAGAATCTCCTGTGGATGATGGTGGTGGTCAGAGGCTAGGAGTCTCTCAGGAGGACGCGATCAGCGGTGGTTGGTTTCGAAGATCGTCATCTGGATTCTGCCCTGAGCCAGCGTTGAACGTTCAAATGGCTGCATTCTCATTTTCACCTTACCATCGTCCTCTTTGGTTCTTCTCTTCTCTCTCTTCCCTTTTGCTCGCCAACAGCAGACTACCCGAGGACAAATTCATCCAGCAATACTCTGCGTAGTCGTGTCGCCCTCGGGGAACACCCGGACTTCACAGGATACACAAAAGACCCGCCTAGAGTGTTCATCCCGAAGTCGCATTCGTTCGAAACAACGTCGTGGTATGCGCTGTTGATACCTTACGCTGCGAATATAGAGCAGAGACCGAACCGGATGGCTTCAAAGGCGCGTCCGTTGAGATTCGTCTACTACTGTTCAGGGCACGGTACGACAACTCGCTGCTCAGGTTATCGTTTAATTGACATATGCGATGCTAATAGGGTATGGACATGCAACTCGCGTCTCGGCTTTTGCATCCCACCTATTGAAGTTAGAACCGCAGCCGGTGGTGCATATAGTCTCGTCTGCACCGAGGCACGTATTTGCCGACAGTATTGCCCTTGGAGGTATGTTTATTTCCCCTTAATGTATAATTCTTCGTTCACATTATATCGGAAGCGTATTATCGCAATGCAAACATCGATCCCGTGATTGTGCAGCCGTTGGCGTACGTTCTCTTATCCACCGAAGCATATGACGATACTCAACAGTTAAATGTAGCTATCGTGTAGATAGGCAACAGAGTGTAGAGGTCCTCCGAGCCTTCCTGGAGGACAAAGATGAGAAGATATTGGATGAAGAGCAATGGTTACGCGCCATCAACGCAGACTGCGTTCTGAGTGATGCTGCATTCCTGGGATGGTAAGGTCTTCTTGCTCTCGGCTTTTTGTTGCTTACAGACTTTTCACAGTGCTGCTGCTAATGCGGCTGGTATACCCTCTGTTCTCATAACTAATTTTTCATTTGACTCAGTGTACAGCTATCTCTCGACGTCATTCGTAGACCAGGATGATTCCACCCAGCAAGCGAGCGTCGATCTCCTGCAGACTGCTTCTGTGAAGCAACAAATACTTAATCCTGATACACCCATTACTCTAAGGGAGATCGAACCTCTTGTAGAACAGATCCTAGAAGGCTACCGCTGCGCCGATCTGCTTCTCCGCCTTCCTGGCGCGATTCCTATACCCTCGTTCCCTGTCAAGCCAGCGCTTCCTTCACCTCAATGGGTAGACCTGCGCGTTCGGAAGTTTCATCCAAAGGTTATCGAGCACTTGACGAAGCATCCTTCAACGTATCAACTTTTGCCTCCAGTACCCTTCCCTTCTCAATCCATGACTAAAACTCTTCCGCGAAATGTCATCGCAGCTCCTCTCATCGTCCGTTCTCCTGATCCCGCGGTATACACTTCCAAGGGTCGGAGCAGACTTCTTGACTCGATCGGCGTCCCTTCACATCTCCACGACCCATCTCAGACCAAAGTCCTCCTCGTATCCTTTGGAGGACAAATTTTCCACAAGCCTCACAGTCGTTCACACAGTCGCACACCTTCCGCCGCAGGCACTCCCCATTCCAATAGTGTGGCGAACAAAGAGAATGTCAAGCATTCTCTGCCGCCGATCGATACAAGCAACAGTCTACCTTCACGTCCAGACGGGTCACATGTAGACGCTCTATGCAACGCTTTACGTTCTACTGTTTTGGCGTCACAACCGCCGCCAACGTCACCTCGGATGAGGCAGAACAACTTCACGCCTTCCCGTAATTCTTCCTTACGACGTGGCCAGTTGCGAATCCCCGGTGCTCCAACTGCTGCGATTCCAGCATCTCCGACTATCTCCTATACTTCTTTGCCCAGTGTTCCAACATTTACGGCTACGCCTCCGACACCTCGACCACGAGCGGACAATCCGTTCAGTGACCTGTCGATAGCGGACACGGAGGAGGATATTCCTCAGTTGTTCCCTGACGATTCATGGATTGCAATCGTTTGCGGAGTACCAAAAGATTGGGGAAAGGAAGACGGGGAAGAATTGCCCGGCAATTTCTTTGTCGCTCCGAAAGACGTATACATGCCTGACCTGACTGCAGTTGCAGACGTATTACTGGGAAAGTTGGTATGTCATGATTTGCCTTGGTCATCTAAAGGACCATGTTTATCGTTGCACTCTCTAGGGCTACGGAACCGTATCCGAGTGTGTCGACTCATGCACTCCTTTCGTCTTTGTTCCTCGTCCACTCTTTATCGAAGAGTTCGGCTTACGCATGCTCCTCGAACAGGAGGGAGTTGGAGTCGAGCTCTCTCGCACATCGTATGAATCTGGAGAATGGGCAAGGGCTGTCGAAGAGGCGTGGATGAAAGGCAAGGATGTTAAGGTTAGCAAGCGGGAGGTAGGAGAGACAGGTAAGCGCAAGGCTGAAGGCCTGGAAATGGCCAACACCCTCGTGGAGTGGGTGCAGGAGTGGCACGGGGCTGTTCAAGTGAATTGACACTGTACTGTTTGATGGTTTTGCATATTACATGACGCACGGACTGAGACTGCACGCAGCATATTATAGACATGATGGACTCCATTTCATTTGTGTAGTACGATAGAGGCGTTGTATTCGAGATACTCGCATGTAATACCAGATAGAAATGTGTATCGGACGCGCATACGGCGTATTGCCATGACAATACTGAGAAGGAAGAGATAAAGATGAACAGTTAGGGAAGGTATCCAATCAGTCCGACCATATGTGTGTAAATGTCCTTGACAAGATCAAACCAGTTTCCCGCTCAAAACAGCTCCTTCATTCTCAACCCAATATTAGTAGCCAATGCTCCAAGGAGGATCAGCGCCAAGATCGTAGGTCCGTATTTGTCGTAGTACATTCCCTCAGCTCGTCGTCTCCTGATGCTCCTGGATCGGATGACGAAGATGACAGCAGAGTATGCAATGGCTGCAAGCGCGGCGAAGGTGAAGAGACCTGCGCTGATGAGTCCTGCCGTGTCATCCGGAGGCACAAAGTTGAGTAGGGTAGTAGCAATCGTGCCGACATAGATGGCAAAATGCAACCATTTCTACAAATGCGAGGTAAGTGTGGTCCAAGAGGTGAAAACGCTTTAACTTACAAGGAACGTCCTCTCGGTGGCAAAATATACCTTAGGCTCAATCCTGACGGGAACGGCAATCCTCTTCCCAGGCGGGGCTCTCCAACGCCTCTCCAACGTCCTGCCATTTGTTCTCCCCTCAAGCAACTCCTCCGTTCCCACCTCCGTCTCTGCTTCCTCCTCCTCTTCCTCCTCCTCTTCCGCCTCCCTAGCTTTCACTCTTTCAACATCTTCCCTGAGCCGCTCCCTCAGCGTTTCATCAAAGGCCGAACTATTCGCAAGCGGGTCGATGCTCAAGGCCCTTGACTTCATAGAGTCGTCCAGAGCTTTGCTTGAAGCCCTCCGACGACGTTCTTTAGGTTTGAGGAACGGTGTGCGCTCGCTTACCTCGCCTTCCTCTTCCGATTCTGCAAGGGGTTCCTCCCGAGCCATGTCTCGAGCACGGACTCCATTAATGGTTGGCTGGGGCTCTGGTGGAGGAGCTTGCTCGTGCTCTTTGAGGGCTTTCTCGCGGAAGGCGACTGCTGCTGCCACCTCCGGACCTGTAAGACCGGTGATCTTTCCCTCATCCTTGGCTATATGAAGGTCAATTTCGAAATACGAGTAAACAGCTGCAAGCATACGAACCTGGCGCAAGCTCCATCATTTCATCTTCCTCGCCCTCAGATACAGGCTCCGCATATGGCTCACGCGAAAAGTCAGGTGTAGTAATTCCGGATGACTCGGGGCGTTCCGATGTACTTGAACCCTTGGAGGCAGCATGCAGGGGTCGTTCGATACTGAGGGTACCAGTGTCAGGCTTGAGGATGTCCGTGTCCACTAGTGGAAAAGGATGAGTTAAGACTGAATGCAATCAAAAGTGGGTGATCTTACTTTGCGGTAGCCAGAAGGGTACCAAGTCGACGCGATTCGGCAGGAGTGTAGAGCATCCATGAATGAATTTACTGCAGGACAGTCAGCAAAGCCAAGATGTCGCATAACAAAATGCACATACCTAAACTGTAAGCGTAAGTAGCATCTTCATTAGGCCTGCTATTCTCTATCCGGCACCGGAAAAAAAATAACAACATACCTTCGGAACAGCTTCTACCAAATGCGACGAAACCAAATCTGTAACCCACTTTGGCGGTTCCTGTCCGTACTGAGTCTGCAACTTCACTTCCAATACACCATACTTGAACAGCTCCTTATCTTCAGCTGGCACCTGTTCAAATGGCCAATCAATCCCAATGTCCATACGTCTCCAGTTATCGCTAGAACGTATCAGACCATCCCAGTTGTCTTCTCGGATCATGGTCAGTTCTGTATCGAGCGAAATTCGAACTCGAGCGTCGCCTGGAAGTTGGAACGCTGTTCGATTGTAGAAGGTACGCATTACTAATCCCACATCAGTAAATTGGTACCCTCACTCGTATACAAAGGGTAAGGAGATCGAGAATGGACGCACCAGGCTGCAACCTCTTTGTCAGGATACTATACTGGACCTCATTGGCCAACTGGATCATTGAATCCACCTCTTCCTGCGACTTCTTCCCCTTTCTCACCAGTTCCTGGAACTCGTCATCCATGATGTATTCGCCGCGTAGAAACGCGTTGACAAGGTGTTCTTTGATGGGAAATCGTGCCTTGACGGATTTCTCGCCAGTCCAATCTTCTCGGTGAGTTTTACGCTCGACGAAGATCTGTAAGTACCAAGTTGGTATTAGTTCATTGATGCTTTGGAGTAGATTACATACAGTCTTTTGGTTCATGTCGCCATACCACCTCAGCCGGATGGCTTCTGCACCTTCGGTCTTTTCCAGACGACCAAGATAAAGTTCGAGATCTTCATTGTCGAAATATATCGACGTAATGGCTAACAGAGTCGAGAGTGAGCATTCAGAACAAAAGGCAGCTATTAAAAATCATAACGAACCAGCATCTTTGGGTTCGAATTCCTTGTTAGGGTTGAACACTAATTCGAGAGGTCAGTTTATTCATCCTCAGTTATGAGACTAGGTGACGAACCGAGTACAGGCAAATGTTTGAGGATGGCGAGCTTGAGGTGGACGAGGTTATCAGGATGTACCTATCGATAAGGTCAGTAACATATCAATACTGAGTTCGATCAAAGATACGCACCCAATACTTCGTTGTCTGTCGTACGAAAGCACTCTGAGTACCTCCAGCACTTGCATCTCCTTGCACGGGATGCCCTCGGTTCCGCACCAAGTCGTACAACTTCGAGAGCTTTACAATAAGACCGTCCCAGTTGTACTTATAGAAAGGTCGTTTCTCCAGGTACTCTTGAATGAAAGTTGGCTTCAGCGGCCTTCCCGTTTGTTTCTGTAGAATTCATAGCCTGAGCAACGCGATTCGAGAGGTGGAGAAATCGAGTACTGACGTCATGTTTCTGGGATAACGCGTATATGAGTTAGCTGCAGTGGAACTGATAAGCATAATTCATGAACCTTTAGAATCTTCATAAATCCAGTAATATTGAGCTTGGTGAACAGCGCGAGGTCATGTACATCTGCAACGAGAGTTGCGACCTCTTCTTCAAGCACGAGAAACTGGTCTTCAAGCGCATCAATAGACTGTACATCAGTCTCGTCGTCGGTGTCGTCATCATCATCTGAGCCTGCATCCTGAACAACATCCTCTGGTTGTTGCCGTTGAGCTTCAGCATCTGTCGTCGTCTGAGCGTGGTCATCGCCATTGACATATTCCTCTGTTACAAGACGCTTGACGGCCCTCTCGGCTTCCTTGATACGGCGCGAAAGCTCTGATGTCTAAGAACAAAGGATTCGAAATTCAATACACCAATTGACCGGACAGCTATTGGTGTGCTTGAACACACGAGAGGGCGAGGCACACCTTGGCTTTCTGAAAATCATGGACTTTGTCGAGTTCTCTCTCCAGTAAGGCAGTAAACTGCTGCTCATCCTTGTCTGTCCAAGTGCGAGAAGTGGTCCGGTCCTACGTGCAAACGAACATCAGCCGGCCTCCTAACCGCTTTGAAGATGAAATTTACCTTGAGCTCGCGCTTCAAGAGGTTGTAATCGATGTAGTATGGCCTCCACTCGTTGTAGAGGTCATGCTGGCAGAAGCGAACTCTTGAGAGGCACGTTCTTCGGTATTAGAAATATAGGGGGCGCTCACTGTTATTTTCTGACCGAATTTCATGGCTGAAGAAGGGTGAGAATACTGTTGTGCTGACAGCGGCCAGCGCAGAAGATTCGTGTGCTCACCTGCAAGTCACTCTCACTGTGGGTATCAAGAACACTCATGTTACTGCAACCGACGAACGTGCGTAGCGTTCACTACCCAATCAGGACTCGAGACCGTGACGGTCTATCGCTGACGTCACGCGTCTATCACGTGCCGTCACGGCTACCTTAAGCGCTTGTCCTCCTCGCAGTCCTTGTTTAGCTTCACTCTCGCTGAGACTAGCCTTTTCTTAATATGACCTCTCTCAATGGATATGGAAGCAGTTCGAGCACTGTACTGTCGCAAACGAACGGTGTGAATGGGCACACCAAGAGTCCTCTGAGGACAAAGATACTATTATTAGGAATGCGGAGGTAACAATCACTCCTCCAGGAATGAAGCAGACACTCAGACACTTTCTCGACAGAGCAGGGAAGACTTCTATCTACGAATATGTCTTCAACGACCTCCCCGCGAAGCAGACGTTCTACCTCGAGACTACCACCCGTGTGACCAAGCACCACTACGAGTCTGTAGCTTGCACGCTTATTTGCTGCATGCGTGTTACTGAATGCCCGGAACTTGTCTAGCACAGTCATACCCCTGGAGATTTGGGATTGCCCTGGGACCACCACGCTTGAAACCCTCGAGACGCCCTTGACCCAATTCTCGACGCTGATCTTCGTCATTGACATCCAAGCGAGTCGGCCGTCTTCACTTGCTGATCCTACCAGTCGTCTCAATATTTTCACATAGGACCTGTACCAACAACCCATCTCACGACTGGTCGACTTCGTGATCTCCGCATACCAGGATAACCCGAACATGAACCTCGAGGTGTTCGTCCATAAGGCAGACGCATTGTCAGAAGAGTACAAGATCGGTGCGTCTAAGCGGGGTATCGTGGCTCACTTCATTAATTGCTTCCCCCTTTTAGAAAACTTTCGACATATTCAACAACGTGTATCGGAAGAGCTACTCGATATCTCTGAGGAATATGAGCAGATCCCAATCAACTTTCATCTAACATCTATCTATGATCATTCGGCGCACGAGGCATTCTCGAGAGTGCTGCACAAGTTGATCGACTCTTTGCCGTTCCTTGAAGATATGCTGAATGTCTTCTGTTCGGTGCGTTGAGTTAAAGCTTGACAAATGTTGTGCTTATGGATGATCTTCAGAATTCGCAATCGTCGAAAGCCTTCTTGTTTGATACAAAATCACGGCTATATGTTGCCACAGACGCATCACCGGTCGATCCTCCAACACATAGCCTGTGTAACAATTACTTGCAGATGCTCAACTCCTTCGGACCATTGTATAAGTGAGTTCACTGTGTCTTTGTAATTACGAGTCACTCTTACTGACCGAAACCAGGTCTGTTTCAGCGAGCCCGTTACGACAAAGAACAATATCACCTCCGGAATTAACACCCACATCGTCTGGCGTGACGTCCCCTACAACCCCACATTCAGTTCCTACCTCCGCTTCTGAAACACCTAGAGTCCCCTCCTCTTCCTTACAACACACATCACCCTCATCCTCATCACAACAAGGTCCTTCAACACCATTGTCGCCAACACAATCTACTCCTTCCGTTTCCTCCCCGATCTCATCGTCCTCCGCATCCTCAACGACACCTCGTCGCAAATCCAAGATCTCCTTCTACCCTTGTGCCTCCACGTCGTTATCACCGTCGGCTTCCGGAGCGGGTACGACGCTCACGTATCATCTCATTAACCCGAAATTGGCGTTACTTGCATTGTTGCCAACGTCAGTGTATGAGAGCCGCAGGGGTTTGGTGGAGTATAACGTCGTGTTCTTTAGGGAGGGTGTGCAGGAGATATGCGAAGTCGAGGACGAGATACGGAAAGGTGGAGGAGGGTGATGAGAATTGATGAAGCAGGAGTTAGTTAGTATAGAGCATCTTGGAATTATGCTATTTTTCTGTATGTTTGTTTCGCCATCGCGACTCCGCATCTCCAGCAGCAAGTACAACTTGCAACATGTTTTAGCGCCCACGTACATTGCTGCGTGACCTGAGTCACTGACCATCAGCTTGCCAAGTCTTGAAAGCTTGAAGCTTGAGCACGACAACTGAATTACAACTTCTCGTTACACCCTTCTGTCCAATGTTGGTTTACGTGCATATAAACCCATTTTCACCATGACAGAGCTATTCTTTGATCCACAGGACTGTCAAATTCATGCTCCCTTGGTTATACTAGTGCTCACCAATATGCAGGCCCATTTCGAGTATTCGGTCCTCTTGGAGACATACTGGACGCTTTGCTAATGGTTCGAGGGGAAGGTACTGGGATGGTCATGGAGGGCGAATACAAGTCACAGCTACAGTACGTGTTTCCCATCAAGTATCGTTGGAGGCAGTTCCGGGAAGCGTTCTTGGTTCACCAGTGCGTATCTTTGAGCAATACTATGCTTCTTTGAATAGCCTTCAACTCGACGTTCACTCGTGGCAAGTATATGCGTTCTTTTCATACATCCACATTCCCGCTCACGGTATATCTTCTGTTTACCCAGTTTTTTTCTTGATACCTATCTCCATCTTTAACATCGTCTCTGCTCTATACCTGTCAGTCACTCGACGAGATTGCAGTCTCCTCCGAACGAGTCCAAGCATTCACTCATCTCTACATGAACAGTCAAAGCACTGCCGCACTAGCCTGTTTATGGTTACCCCGGGCATTGCGACCTTTAACACTCCTTTAACGTTCATTCGAAAGCAAAAGTGCTCGTAATGAACATCTAGATTCGCGGAGATGGAAACTCGAGGAACGCCGGGTCCGGTAACATTAGATATCGCTCAATTGAGATCTTCATGATTCTCTGTCTCGACTTTGCATCGAGGCAGCGCCATCACGCTGTGTGACCCACCATCAAAGCATGGTAACCTCAAGTTCTCCAGGATTCTCCGACGAGAAACATGTTACACAGAGAAGACATGCACGACTCTTTGTATACCGCACGGGGGGCACGAGCAAGCACTGTATATAATGTTCCTTTCAGGCGACACGTCGAGGTCTTTCTCTAGCCTTGACGGCGCCACTCCATTACTCGACTCCTCGGGATCTTCAAACTTCGTCTTGTAGCTCGAGTTGTCATCTGGACAACTACGACTGCGTTGAGCAGGCTCAGGAATATGCCGTCGTCTACATACAACTCGACATATGCCCATAGGCATCATACTGGCACTCCGGAACATCAATCGCAGGCCCGAGTGAAGCGTAAACCACCTCCTGCATTTCTGTATAGCGCGAAATACCCTCTCCCAGATCCAACGGATCCCTTTGTGCCGTTGGCGGTCCTTCGCGAACGAGCTCATTCAAGTACCACTGCTCTAGTCACCCCTCCCGATGAACCATTTACGACGAACCCTGCGATTCATGTAGGTTCTGTCGACGGTCATTCGCATTACACGTTGACCGCTGATGTACATTCTCCGGACAATTCTACTCACCATCGCGTGCACCAGCAGTCAACCACTGTTAAGAATGCTTTGGAGAATTCCGCTTCGAAATTGATCACCAGGCCTTGGCACCATCTGACTGGTGGCTACCTATCAGACGCTACGAAGCCTTCAAGACCTCCAAGGTCCAAGATCAGACCAGGAAGAGACTCTGTTTCCTATTTCTCTGACGTTGATGTCACACCAGACGTCCATCAAAACCATCGGCACAGTCAGTCTCATCAGAATGCGGGTGCTACTACTACTCCAGCGAAGCCTACCGAAGCCAAAGCTAATCCTCGATTGAGACATCCTCAAGGCACTCCCGCCCACCATAGAGATTCTCAATACCATTACCGCAGGCGGTCCCAATCTGTTATGGTTGTCTCTCCTACATCCGGCGTTTCCAACGCCCCTCCATTGTCTAGTGCAAATACGAATGCGAGCATAAATGTCAATGCTACAAACACCCCTGCCCGATCTGTGCCGCAAATGCAGGCATCTCGGTCCCAGGATCCAGTCTCGTCTCTTCAGGCAGGTTCCAGTCGACAGTACACCTACGGTGATCGACAGTCACATGGATATATGTATGATTATCACGATGATTTAGGCGAGTTCCATGGGAGACGACGACGACTCACATCCAAGCAGAGCTCACGTACTGGAACTGAGAGTATTTCCTCTCTGCAGAGTCATCACCCAACCCCGCCCATGACACCAGACGATACTGCCAGTACGATGAGTACGAATCCGCCAAGGAAGAATTCGTTGGCCGGGCGGCGGTCTGAGTCTGGTTCTCCTCCTATGATCCTTCGTGATGTACCTCATCAGAAGTCGCAGACGAAGGTTGTCGCACCGGCTACGCAACCCAAGTCTGGAGTTGCGCTACCACCTTCGGCCTTTGTTGCGCAGAAGGAGCCAGAGAGGAAGCAGCTTGCTCAGGTCGGAGATACTCCAGCTAGCATTCATAGCTCTGATTTCACACTTCTTCTCCCTCCATCCGCTCCTAAGACTCTTCCCCATGCACCAATTTCGCGGTCACAAACTCATCTTCGTCCTAGCACAGCTACGGGTCCTCATACACATGCACAAGCCCATGCCCCTACATATGCCCCTACAACACGTCATGCAGAATCCGAGCCAGAAATTATGCCATCATCCGAAAATGGGAGGAGAACACGCAACACGAGCTTTGACAGTCTCAAACGCAGACTGCGTAAACCGAACGTCGCGCCCACGGGCGTACGAGGGAAGAAGATATCTAATCCTAGCCCCGTCACGCCTGCAAGAAAGCCATCATTTGCAAGTGATTCGTCGGTTTTAATCGCACATGGGACGGAAGGGAGGACCTTGCTGAATCCCACGAGCACGGGAGCGCAAGGCATGTTGTTCGCCAGATATCATCACTCATTGCGAGGCTGACTCGTTCTTTGGTAGCTGTGGAACCTAGCTCAAAGCTGATGATCCCAAAGCCGAAGAAATCGCTCAGCACTGTTAACCTCAATCTGAAACCACTTCCTAACGTCAGCGTGGGCCCTGCCACTTCACCTACAGACATGGCAGGTACTGCTGCTCTCGGGCTAGGAACGATGAACGCGCTGGATGCTAGGGAGGACGAGAACCGTGCCCGATCGGAAGACCTACTTTTGCACAATGTCCCGAAACCCCAGCCTGTCACTGACCCTCGTGTGGTGAAGAGGCCGGCGCAACCCACTGTAGTGCAGCACACGCAGCCCCCCACTCGCCGGGTTCCAGTTTCGGCCCCACAGTCCATCATCTCGCACATCGCGCCAGCTGTTGTAGAACGGATAGACTACGAGTCCGATAGCGAGGATATGGGGACTTATACTGCCATGATCGCCTTGAGAGAACTATTAACACCTGTTTCTTCGCAGTATCCTTGGGTAGACGACCCTCGGCGGAGCAATTTCTTCGCGTCTCCTTCTCATCCACCATCACCCGTTCCGTCTGAACGCTCTATTCAACAAGCTTCTCCCGCTCCTTCTTCGCCATCGCGGCCTACTCATGTACGCCCTGTACCGAAACAGCCTGGCTTACAGAGAACGCCTGCTCTCCATAGGCGCTCTGAGAGTCCTATCGAGAGGAACTCACCGAGTAATGTTAGCGCAGTAGGGGCGATGGCTACGACGAGACCTCTTTTAGTTCCACGAAAGAACGATGTCTCGGAGCAGCCACTACGACCTGAGTCTCCTGTACACAAGAAATTGCCACGACAACGTTCGCACTCTCCTTTACAGAGACCTTCTGCTCCGGAACCTATCGAACCACCCATCTCTGCGCATAGGGTTCCCCTTCCCCACTGCAAAGATTCCCCAAAGCAGAGATCGTCTCCCATTCCACACCGATCAGATTCACCTGTCCATCACCGTGCTCAGATCATTGTTTCACCAAACCGAGCTCCTTCACCTGTCAAACGTAGATCTTCGCCTGTGCAAAAACGTTCGGAGTCTCCAGTTCTACATCGGCAGCCTCCAACACGGAAGCGTTCTGAGTCTCCCGTGCAACAGCGGCAGGTTCCACAACGTCAGATGGCATCACATACTCGATCTGTATCACCCGTACAACGCCAATTGCCAGGGCAGCGACGCACAGAATCTCCTGTGCGGCCACCTCCTCAAGTGCGACGACGACCTGACTCCCCTGCTGAGCAGGAATACATGTCACCTACCCCTCCACGAGCTCAGTCGCCCGAGCCTTTGTATACTCTCAGCCCCGATCCACCTCGTTCTGAAACTCCGGACCCTACTTACACAATGTCTCTTGCGTCGCATGCGCTGACTTCAGAGTCGCCGTATGGCGGTTCGGCAATTCGATCGATCTCACCTCCACCTCGAGCAATGTCACCGATCACGTCAGTCCAGGAATCCTCTGAGCATGGTTCATCGCGAGCACGTTCTTCTACCCCAAGCTCTCAGAAGGCAAGGTGTACTCCCGAAGCACGACCGCTTCCCAAGATGGATAACTCGTGCGTTCAGGAATCCGAAGCCGAAGAAGCGGAAGGATATCTGCCGGTCGCTCAGATTCGTTCTCAACCTTCTAGCGCCAGTAAGCAGACGACTTCTAGTCAAGGCACGAGTCGCAAGCATTCTACTCAAGTACCATCTGCTCAAAATCATCAACGGAAACGAGCACGATCGCCCACTCCCGCTTCTACTTCTGCTCCTGTCCGTGCGCGTAACAACCCAATGGCAATAGTCAGTCCAAAACAAATGCAGGCGCTACCTCGGGAACCATCAGGCTCTGAACCATATTCGCCTCCGGTCCGCCGTCAACGAACTGCCCCTCCAACTCCCGCTCTCGCCCTCGCTTCACCCACACTAACAACGAGGTCTCATGGATTACTTTCAAGCCACTCCGACCCTCACAGTCGAACGACACGCAGCACAAGACATCGTCGAGATACGCCACCGTCCACCATGCCATTCAGCGAAGACGCTATAGTCACTCGAGAACAGCTCGCACGTGCCTCATCTCTTGTAGTAGTCGCGCAGAATGGTCTTCGAGTCCCATTTGGCGATTTGTTCAAAGAGAAGAAGACCATCGTCATCTTCATCAGACATTTCTGGTGAGCCATTCTGATCTAATAAGAAACCATATGGTGCTTCATACTCACGCTTATTGTGTCAGGTGTGCTATGTGTCAGGACTACATGTACTCTATCTCAAAGAACGTCGACCCTGGTGCCCTCAGACGTGCGGATGTTGAGCTTGTGATCATAGGGAATGGCTCTCCCGGAATGATCAAGTCTTATCGAAGTACGTACATATTTCTTCTCACCTACGATTGCGCGCATCAGCTGACTCGTCATCATATAGATATCTTCCGTACACCATTCTCACTGTATACTGATCCGACCATGCATCTCTACTCTGCCCTTGGCATGACGTTGCGTTCGAACGATCCTGGTTTAGAGTCTGAGCGGGGATCCTACGTACGGCATGGTTTGGTCGGAGGTATTGCCATGGTGGTTCGGAACGCATTGAGAGTGGGCATGCCCATCTGGGAGAAAGGTGGTGAAGTCATGCAGCTTGGCGGAGAATTTGTTTTTGGACCTGGGTATGATTCTAGCTCTTTTTGTTATGACTTCCTTTTCTGATCATTTCAATTTCCGCAGAATGTCTTGTTCTTATTCCCACCGCATGAAGAATACTCGCTCGCATAGTGCCATCACTGATGTGCTAGCTGCGGCCGATGTTCAGACATACTATGCTCACATCCGTGGTGGTACGTCTCGTTCAATGCTACCGATCCATGATGAGGAAGAGTGGATGCGCGATCGTCGGCGGAGTCTTGCCAGGTTACGCAACAAAAAGAAAATGCGAAGGGAAGGAGCACATCCCAGATACGACGCAGACGATCTTGCTTTTGAGTCAGACGACGAAAGTGACGAGACTCAGAGCGGGGAATTGCTCTTTCCCACAGAAGCTACCTGGGGAGATGGGACAAACAGGCCTCCAGCAGAGGAGGTCATCGTGGATCCGGAAGAGCGCCATCGTACCCATAAGCATCGGCGGGCGAGAGGAGGACATGGCGGATTCGTTGTGTCGAATCCTGATCCAGAACCCGATTACTTGGGGAGGATGCTGAATGAAGACATTTGGCCTTCTGACCGCGCAAAATTATTTGCGATGTATCCGCAGCAGGTAAAGCCGGCGCAGAGAAATGAAGACCAGGACGCTTATACGCCCACGCATGAGGTCTTATCGTAGTCTTCAAAGCAAGCATAAGCTTGTTGTACTTCAAGGCAGAGCCTTCACTATTCATCCTTTGCATCAATTTCTTCTTTTTTTTTTCGTGTATCGATATTCATTAATCATTATTCACCTCAATCATGTAGCTATTAGCCGTACATATTGCAATACTATTCACGCTTTTACCTCACATACTATCACATTGAAACAAAGGTCGTGCAACGATGTATGTAGTGGTCTACATTAAAAGTATATGGATACATGGATGTGATGAGACTGCCCCAAGCCCAAGTGATTTTGTCGTCCCAATGAAGAAAGGTCTAACTAATACACTAATCAACAGATCTGGGTATAGACTGAGCTTATGCCCAGCTGTCAATAAGCGAGTCACGCATCTCTCCGATAACAGCGGAAGAGCTCTGGCCTTGCAATTCTGCACGAGGATGTCAGTATCAAGGATACAGAATATGACATGCGAGAACGTACTGAATGCAGCTTCAATCACACTGATCTCCGTCGCAGTTGTGTCCAAGCCAGTGAATGCTGTCCAGTCATTTACGACGAGGCCTGCACCGATGACATCGGAACCACGGTTGACAGTGCCGGCCTAGTAATAGCGGTGTTAAATGGGACTTTCTATCAACTAAATTGGTGAATTACTTACCACTAACGGTATTTGCAGCAAACTACTGAGTTCATCCTGATCTTGTACGCTCGTCTTGGGGTGTACGAGTCCACCTTGATTTGTAATCGCACAGTAGCTTCCGACCAAAACATTATCGGCGATTGTTTGTCGGAACACTTCGACTTTGAGTACATCCGCAATAATCTCTTCTGTTTCTCGGTCGACATCGGGATGCACAAGTGCAACATAGTCATTGCATGCAATGACATTTCCGAGCGCAGATAGTCGCTCCTCCACTCGTTGGATGGCGACAGCATCGGGTAGGGAGTTTCGGAGGTGCTGAAGCTCTTGATCGGTCGTTGTTGAGGGTACAAGAAGACCGTGTCGATTGCCTGTAGGTTACATGGGTAAATCGTACACGATGAAAAGAAAGGATCTACACACCAGCTGTCAGACGTCCAATGATACGAGTGCCGCCAATACTCGTGTGGACGATCGGAATGACATCTCCAAGCTCGCTCTCGAAGGCGGAGTAAAAGTTGGTGCTGCCTTGAATAGCACAAAGGCAATAGCTGTTTGTCAGCTTTGAGAAGACACCGATGTCGCTGCTGTTTTCGAATTGAATACCTGCAAAGGTGCGTGGATGAGTAAGTGATCAATATGGCATATACAGGACCTGAACATACGAGTCGCCATTTTTGTTGAGGGATCTGTGAATTCGTCTAGTGGTATACGGTGTTGGGTAGTAGTCGTACGAAGTTCTAAAGGGAAATGGGGGTATAAGTGTCGAGGGCAGTCAAGGTAATTTGAAAGTTATGCGCACCGATCGAGAACTTTTTATAGAGAAGCGCTAAGTCAAAGCGGTACCGAGCCTTCCTGTGCGAAACTAATGTCAGAAGGCCATTCATCGCAGCCGTAACATGAATCTGCCTGACTCACCGATGACTTTGAGGTGTGTTTCTGGAAGGTGGAAGTTTTGGATGGAGGTTGGTTGAAGGTCAAAAACGGAAAGCAACTTAACAAGTCGATCGGATGCTCGCTAAGCAGAACTGCCTTTTTTGGGGTGTCCGAGTAATTTGAATTGTCGCGTCGCGTTCGGCCCAGTCTCTTCCAAGTTCATCTGCATCTCTTAACTCCTGACTTGCTGCTTTCCTTTGCCTGAGTTTCTTGCTTGTAATACTTGCAGCCTGACGACTTATGTGCATTGTCTCGGATAAGTCATGATTTCTCTTGCACGCTGTCACTCTGCACGTCTAGCTGGCCTGAATCGCCTTCTGGGAAGAACAACGAGACGTTCCAGCTGCAATGTAATAAAGAGCGGAAATTTGAATTCGACGTATTCTTCCACCATTAGTTCTGCTTCTCCTACGAAAGTAGAGAAGATTATTGCGGACACCATCAAAGTACTTTCACCCATTTGCATTCGCAAGCATTGCAGCTGAACAATTGAAAGGCTACCGGGCCAATATCTTACGGCACCTACATGCAAATGTGCTTGTCCCACCCAACTGAAGGTTATTATATGAATCCGTCTCACTCTGTTCTTGGTTCCAAAGGAGACTTTGTGACAAGCCCTGAGATTAGCCAAGTCTTCGGCGAAGTATGCTCCTGTCTCTTAGGAGAGGCCTGTGCAGATGACAACCCGCTGAATTTATCGTGCAGATTCTTGGAATCTGGTTTCTGTCTCAATACATGCAGACAGGTCAGTCAAAGCCTATACGGCTTATTGAATTGGGCCCGGGCAAAGGCACTCTAACAGCGGACATTCTCCGAGTTAGTTATATTTCCACATTGAGATTGGCAGCTCGTTCATTATACAATTAGGTGTTGTCACAATTCAACGTTTCCAAGCCCGCTGTCAGAGAAATCGGTTTGGTAGAGACAAGTCCAATGATGAAGGGTATACAACAAGGAACACTGGAGCAAACCTTATACCGATTCGGTGACTCTGCCAACGTGACTCTTGACTGGTATGACTCCTTGGACATCATCCCTTCCCAGGAAGATGTGTTCACGATGTTGGTTGCGCATGAATTCTTCGACGCATTGCCATTCCACGTGTTACAGGTTCGTCCCTTCGGAATAATTACAGTATGGACTTCAGATGACCAGATATTTACAGCTAACTGAGAAAGGATGGCATGAAGTCATGATCACCACTGCGCCAGATCCTGCTGCACCAACCATCATAACACATGAAAAGCCATATTCGTCACCTTTGGACGTGAGCTCATCCAACTCCCCACCTCGTTTCCGTCCCGTATTGTCCTCAGAGCCTTCACCATCCTCGACAATACTGGGATTATCATCACCACGATTCCAAAAGCTTCCCATCGGGTCAACCATTGAAGTTTCACTGGCTTCATATAAAATCGCCCATCAACTCGGCCAGCTGCTCAAGCCTTCGCCTGAAGCACAATCCAAGGGTTCTACAGGTTGTGCATTAATAGTCGATTATGGTGGGGAACAGGTCTACGGAAACTCATTCAGGGTGAGAAATCATGGCGTGCAATGCGTATTCCAGTGATGCCGTACTCAACTCACCCACAGGGATTCAAGGAGCACAAGATTGTTGATGTGTTCCATCGCCCTGGTGAATGTGATCTAACGGTTAATGTGGACTTCACATATTTGCAAGAAGCAATTGCCCCCAATGGTACCTCAGTCAACTACGAAACGATTTTAAGCTAACAAATTGCTTTTGGAATAATCAGCTACTACGTTGGGCGTCCTCACTCAAGCTGAATTTCTCAACAGGATGGGTCTGCTCGTGCGTGTCGATGCTTTGATGAAGGCGGTCAAAGACGAAGAAAGGAAGAAGGATATCGCTAGCGCAGCCAAGAGACTCGTTGACCTCACAGGCATGGGGAGTCAATACAAGATCATGGGTGTTTCAGGTCTGGAGGAAGACGACCTGTCTGGGGAAGCTCGATGGCCGTTTCTGGATGTCCTGACACCAGAATTATGAATAGCACAGTATCATGTGAGTGTACGCCGACCTTCTGACTCAGGGCTCGCTTCGATGCTATCTTCTTTCCCCTAGAATCTGACCTTGTGATTCAATCGTAGAATAATACTCGTACTGTAATGGCGCAGTCTCTTCGCGACATCTCGAAGCCGCTCGAGTTTGACAATCGGTTCGGCCTCAGGTCATTTGAAGCCGGGTGCTCTGACCGGATGACTCTCATGTATTCTAGGATTCGTCACTGAATGGAGCCTCAAATTCAAACCTGCCACTGTGGTCGTCTCACTTTCTGTCAGCCCACGCCCGACACCGAGCATTTATAAGCGCCTGTCATTAGGCAATATACCGGTGGCCAAAGCTTGTGCATTTAAAAGAGATAGGGAAAGTGGAAGAGGGACAGACTCAGACTAATCCACCTCTTCGTATCACTCAAAGATGTCTTCAGCTACTAAGAAACTCATTCTCGTGATTGGTGCTACAGGTTCCCAAGGAATAGCTGTCATCGACGCACTTCTTGCTCCATCTGACGATGGCTCTGCGTCTCCTTATGCTATCCGTGCTCTAACTCGTGACCCAGACAGTCGACGTGCAAAGTTACTCACCAGCAAGGGTGTGGAGTGCTTCAAAGGTTTGTTGATTCAGGACGTTGAGCTCCGGGTGTACTGATGTACAATATTCATAGGCGCATTTGATGATTTCCCTTCTGTTCTGAACGCCCTTCGGGACGTTTATGGCGTGTGGGCCAATACGGATGGCTTCACCGTGGGTGAACAGAAGGAGGTCTATGCTGGCCTACGTATCTACGAGCTTGCCAAGCAACTTGGAACTGTTAGGCACTTTGTCTGGAGCAATCTCGACTACGGGTTCAAGGTTCGCACTTGCACCTACACTTCGTGTTATTGGTAGACCAAGTTGAAGTACTTTCTCGTCAGAAAGGGAACTGGAACCCTGCATATCATTGCGAACACTACGACGGCAAAGGTCGTGTCCTCGAGTTCCTGAGGGCGCAATCGTCCGAACCGACTGAGAACGGTATGTCTTGGAGTTCAGTCACCACAGGCCCCTACATCGAGATGCTACAGAACGTATGTGCTTTATGATTCCCTCTGGCGATAATTACTATTAACGTTTTGACGCAGATGATGTTCGGACCGCTGAACAAGCGCGAGGACGGTACCTTCGTCTTCGCTACCCCGGTCGGAAATGGTCATGTCCCTATGATCGCTTTGGCTGACTTGGGCTTCTTCGCACGATATACATTCGACCATCGTGTCGAGACCTCGGGCAAGGACCTTGAAGTTGCCAGTGACATCGTTGGGTGGGACTATCTTGTATCCACTTTTCAGAAGGTCACGGGTCAGAAAGCCGTCGCCCTTTATCAGTCCTTGGACGAATGGTTCAAGAACCTGGACCACACCGACAAGCCGATTGCGAACGAGCAGACTAAAGTGGGCCCTCATACCACGACCTGGAGGAAGAACTTCACTGCCTTTTGGTCTCTTTGGCGAGATGACATTATCAAGCGAGATATGGAGTGGATTCGGAGCATCCATCCAAATGTTCGCACAGTGGAGACTTGGATGCGAGAGAATAATTATAAGGGTCAGTTGAAGAGTGATTTGTTGAAGAATATGGAGGATGGAAAAGCTGTTGTACCTCGTAGAGAAGTCACTAATCTCTTGTAGAAATATCGGTAGCTCCTTGTTGTACTTATAGGTGTCTCACTGCAATTCCGAAAGGTCTCGCGTTTCCCTGCACTAGCGCCCGCCATTTCGTACTCGATCGGTTTATGGACAAACATTCCAGTTTTGAACAAGATCTGCCATCAACGCGTCAACAAACGTTGTTGTGACCTTGCAGTCAAGCGTTCAAATTTCAAGGCTCATCTTAACGTTCTACACTTTACAGTCAGAGCTAGCTACATGATCATGCACTATTACGAAGTCCTTTCGCATTGACTCCGCCGACAGATTCATCCACCTAGGCAAACGTCCAGTCCTTCCTGGCTACTCCTTCTAGCTAGGCTCTTGACCCTAACACACTCTCGCACCCCGTGGTACGCCGCCTTGTGTGAGCGGGGAGAAGTAGAAGATCCCCCATGCTTTAGGTTCCGAGGTCCTCATCATTTAGTTGAGAGAAGTTTGCAGTTTGTAAGTATGTTCGTGGGCAGACTAATACTCGCTTCTAAGCTGTCGGTTGGAATTGGTTCACCCTAGGATATCTTGTGACTACTCATCAGTCGCAATGGGACCATATACTGTGGTGCCAAAGCCTTCAGTGTCTCCATACAGCCTCCAATAGGTTGGCTTCTATTCCACTGTATACTCGCCATGATCCCCTCCTGAGACCGTCTGACAAATAACAAAATTCTAGGTTCTGTCAAGGGTAACCTTAATAAATAAATCTGACTTCGGCTACCGACTTTGGCATAGTAATTATGACGAGCAACTGGTAGGTACGTCACTTTCGCTGATCTATCAGTAGAAAACAGACGGGGCACTGAATCCTATATAACGGATCCCTTGAAATTCAGGACGGAACAGGTCAATACTTGTCAAGCATGTCTAAGAAGCTCATTCTCGTCATTGGCGCAACAGGTGCCCAAGGGCTGGCTGTCATTGATGCACTTCTTGCTCCCACCGACGACGGCTCTCCATCTCCCTATGCTATTCGCGCTTTGACTCGTGATCCTGAAAGTCGACGTGCAAAGATACTGACCACCAAAGGTGTCGAATGTGTCAAAGGTAAGCGAACTGTTCCACGCAATTTGTGACCTGAACATACGGTTTCAATACAGGCGCATTTGATGACTTCCCATCCGTGTTGCATGCGCTTCAAGGTGCATATGGCGCATTTGTCAACACCGATGGCTTGACGGTCGGGGAGCAAAAGGAGGTGTTCTCAGGAATTCGTATTTTCGAACTCGCGAAACAGGTCGGGAGTCTGAAGCACTATGTCTGGAGCAATCTCGAATATGTCTCTAAGGTGCGTCCCGCTTACCTACAATGATGAATATGCATTGCTTCATGCCGTGTAATCACAGAAAACCAACTTCAACCCTGACTACAGGTGTGAACATTACGATGGCAAGGGTCGTGTAGCGGAATTTTTGAAACTCTACCCATCCGAACCGACTGATAACGGTATGTCTTGGAGTGTACTGACGACTGGTCCGTACATGGATATGTTGAAGTTTGTAAGTCTCTCCCACGCGGTATTTATGCGCATCAGAGCTAACGCTACCCTACAGGTCATGTTCGGCCCTCTGAACAAACGGAAAGATGGCACTGTTATATTTGCTACCCCAGTCGGAAACGGCCATGTCCCCATGATCGCACTCTCAGATCTCGGTTTCTTTGCACGTTACATTTTCGACCACCGCGTCGAAACGTCGGGCCAAGATCTCGAGGTCACAAGCGACGTCGTTGGTTGGGACCACCTGGTATCCACATACCAAAAGGTCACTGGCCAAAAAGCTGTTGCCGTCTACCAGCCTCTTGACGAATGGTTTGACAACTTCGACCATGTTGACTTGCCAGTCGCGAGCGATCTCTGGAACCAAGGAGATCCGCACGCAACAACCTGGAGGAAGAACTTCACCGCTTGGTGGAGGCTCTATCGGGATGATATTCTTCCTAGGGATTTGACGTGGATCAGGGGCCTCAATCCTAAGGGTCATACGTTGGAGAGTTGGATGAGGGAGAATAACTACGAAGGTCTATCAGAGGACGCTTTGCTGAAGAACGCGGAAGATGGGAGAATGATCACACCTCGCGAGGAAGTAGTTTCGAAATTGTAGCTGGACTGCATATACCGTTGTCGTACCCCAAGTCTTCTAAAGTGTTTCAATGCATAATGTATGTGCTTGTCGTGTAACAAGTCTACTCGTTTGTCTTACAGTTGAAAGTTGTTTCCACTTCGCCTTTTTGGGACGACCGGCTATTGCAAAAGGCTTCGTGGCGTTCGGCCACTGCATGCTGCCACAGAAGCAACAACGCTTGCGTAACCTGCCTGTTTGTCTTCACATTTCATCGGATCGCATTTTGCCTTGGCATGCTCAAGCAACGTGCATCAAGACAAACAGAAGGATCCTAAGCATACGATGTTGTTTAAACCGACGGCTAGACTGGATGAAAACGCTCGCACTTGAAGTCGGTCGGTAACATGCCGCTAATCGAGAAGAGCGAGCTACCCCACAACCTTCAAGACCCTGGATATATTTGTCAGATCCACCTGCTGTATGCCATGTGCGAAGGAACCCTAACGAAGATACAATGCCTCACCCTCTGCGCCAGATAACCTCACGGCGTTGATATCTCATCTGTCTTCAAGCCTCAAGCATTTGTATCGCAGTTTCCAATTGTCAAGGTATAGATAACATAAAGGGTGACTGCATGCACCGCATTTTCATACAAAATGTACCCTCATCTCCATGCCTCTGGACACCTCGCAACAGTTATCATCTTGTGCGTCATTTGTGACGCTCTGAGCTCTCGCTCGTATCCTATAGGTATGAATTTTTTATCGTTCAATTTTCTCTGTCTACGTCATCCCCTTGGGTACGTTTCTCAATTTGCCGTTTGTCCCCTTGGAGCTTACAACGATCATGATCCTAGCGGCGCTATCATCACATATGCCTCATCGAAAGTATCCGGCTGCATTACGCACTTTGGGTATCTCTCTTGTTCCGGGATACAATGCGCTTCTCAGTCTTATTTTTCATTGCGACATGCCGCGCTGCTTCGCAGCGAGGTATCGGCACATCTGACAACACATTCTACCACCACAAGCTGCACAACTGCGCACCATGATCGCGTTTGTATTCAACTAATTTCCCCCCCCCCCTTCCCGCGGCATTTCTCAACACACGGCCAAGACCGAGACAAAGTATCACAGATTCACACACAAAATCATACAAATCTTAGATTCCTCTCACGATGCCGCTGATCTCCCTCTGTACATTGAACACTGCACAGCCTGATTCGGCCATAGCGTTTTGATAGCCTAGGATCCACCTGTTTCCCATTCGCTTGCCGTGGTTCATGGTTCATGACGGGGAGTGCTCCTCGACACGGTCGGCACCCTCCTGAAATAGGTTATTATTACCTCTATAATCTTCTGGAGCGCGAATTTCCCCTCTACATATCAGGTTGTAGGAACGTACTTTCCAAATCATTCGTTACTGGTCTTGGCGTTGATGTATATGACGAACGGCACAAGGAGTGGATGGTGACTGATCCTCTTGACTGCGGATGGTGGACAAAGGCAAAACAGGTGAACGGGAAATACGAACTCGACCGACGACCGCTGGTCAGGCCTTCAGGCTTTGTGTTGCTCGCACGAAGACCGGAGGGGCAATGCTAGCGATCAGGGCTCAGGATTCACCGATATTCCGCTATGATGATGCTATCTCATTATCCCGCCCTGGTCTTAACTCTTCTTGTTCAATTGTGCGATGGGTCGTGCGGATGTCGGTGGTGGGGATGAGAACAAAGCTGCGCTTTATAATTTTGTAATCTAAAAGAATGGAAGCGAATGTCGGTGGACCTGAATGATGGTGAGTGGTCATGGCACGATAGAAATTCAGATATTTACTAATGCAAAGTACAGTACATACCACAGCTCACAAGTACCGTCATTCAACATTCAACGCCCAGTGCCACCCTCGCAAATCTTTCTTGTCGATTCGAAACAGGCACTATCTCACCTTCTATCATAGGTATCATAGTATGCCGAGTCCGAGAGTCTAACAGTAACAGCCCGAGGTGAACAATCCAGAATCCAGACTCTCCAGTCCAAGGGTCAAACTCGAGATAAGATACGGTATGTCGTGTACGTCGGTGTTATCTGTCAAATGTGAAGATGGCAAGAGGGATCGTCCACGTTAAATCCGTCGAACAGTTCGGCATTCGTCCATCCGCGTTAACATTTGAACATTCAAACCTTCCGGTACGACGTGCAGATCAAGGTCCCGCTCTTTGAACGATTATACGTTTACAGGTTGAGGTACAGTTAGACATACTGTACCTTGGCGGTACCGAATTACTTTGCGTCCTTTACCTGATATGCTAATACTTTCAGAGGCTCGAAGCGGCATCTCTGCACGGATATGAAGTCAGGCTTCGCAGTTCTTTGTTTGCTAGGGGGAGTCGCGACCGTTCCATGACTGGATGACCGGATGACATTATGTTAGCAAACAGCGCTGGCTAGGCATTCTCGACTCTGCGAGTTGATGAGGGCGGAAGAGCGTGTGAGCCTGTAGGTCGATTGAGGGTGTTTCATTGGGACGTTTGTTCACACCTGCGAAAGTGACTGTATTCGTCCTTAGTGTGTCGTGGTTTGTATGAACGTCAAGACTTGGTATGGAGGAAGTATTTATCGAAGTATAGAGTGACAACTGGACAATCGGGCAGAAGGATCAGAAACGCTCGCACCGTATATATGGAGTACATAGGCCCCACCAAAGAGGAAAGGAAGGTTAAAAGCGGACTAGAAACGCCCGCTTCGTGGATCATGCATCATCGATGCATCCTTGACAGTTAGCTCAGAAGCTGCATGGAATTAAACTGCCGCCCTGTACATGTGCATATGGTGGGGCGTGAATCAAAGTGATGGGTTCTGTTACTGTATTCAAATATATTCCAGGTGGTGAGCATAGGTGGGAACCCGCATGACCCTTCTGGCATCTGTTATACAAATGCAGTACATCTCTGAGAGCGAGCCAGGGCAAGGACACACGCCTATCATGGAAACGATTCCGACCCTCATCAGCATGCCAACCTGGAATGCACCCGCCATCCAATCATCAATCGCGATGAGTTTTTGAAATACCACGACACGACGGTAGTTAATTTGTGTGTGCGTTGACCGATTTGGTCGAGTGAGCCATCGTGGCGGAGGACCGCGTTCGGAGTTTGTGGGTTAGAGACAGGTCTGGGCAGGGACTGTAACGGGGAGGATCCGGAAAGAGTAGTTCTAAAAGGTAAAAGGTGTAGATGGGGAGAACGGGTGACCCGTGTACAACATGACGGAAAGGGTGTCTGGGGCTGTCTCTGCACACGAAGGATCGCGTCGCGAGTGGTCGGGAGGCAAAGCGACCGGACGGGCGGTTGAAGCGGGATCAGATTCAGTGGAATGGGATTGGGTGGGATCAGGAGGACTTGCCATATGCGGAGGTGAACTACACCATGGAAGCGAGATACAAATTGTTGTTCTAGGGGAAGCAGCATGGGGGAAGACGTATTCTCTCACAGAAGCAGGCCGGAAGTGGAAGGCATTTGTTCTTCAGGAGCGTGCAATCGCCAGGAAGAAGCCTGGAAATCGCCGGTGACTTCCAACACAATAGATCATGCTCCGACACCCATGCTTAGGACGACGATATTCGGATGGTCTATAACGTACATCGTGGTCACTGTGAGTCATTTTCTAAATGCTATATACGTGAGTAGAGAGCGGGTATGCAGTGTTTCTTGTGCGGGGGACCTGGGAGAAGAGCCGGCGGCTGTTGTGCAGTTCATCCGGATGCGGGGTCAGCAGTTCACACCTTGTGGGCCTCTGATTTCTAGCGGTCGCTTGACGTCCTGGCCCATCCAGCCTTAAAATCCTTCATCCACTCATCAATGGGTTCCTTCTCTCCTCGCGCTACAAGTCATCCTTGCCTTAAGTCTGCCATCTTCTGGCATCGCATCACAGTCCGCCGCGACATAACTGTCACTCTCCTGTCTCCCCATCTTGCGATCTGGGCTCGGACGAATCCAATTGAATACCTGCATTAGTCCTGCTCCTGAGAGAGTTCGGACATTTTCATTTCTGACTTCTCTGTCACGCTAGCAATCCATATAAACCACCTGCCATTTGACAAGCATCTGTTTGCTCTCCGCATCCTTCGTATGTTGCCATGTCTTTCTTTACTTCCACCCACTCTCGTTCTCAACCGCTTACCCGCAATGCCAGTGCTAGACGGAATCGATTTCTATTCTTCGTTGGACGTAAAAAGGTTGCGCCAACTAGAGCTGTTAGTGTCCGACGGAACCACTCTCGCCACCGCAGAGCGCCTTCTTCCGCCACTACAACCCACAAACGGCAACCCGTCGGTAAAGTTGGAAGTAACCAGCCTCTACGGGCTCAGGTACGTCGTGTGCTTGATCGCTTCCGTTGAGTGCTTTTTAACCGCTATTTTATTAGATTTTAGACGAACCGGAACCAGAGAAAGCTAATCCTGCTGAACTTACATCCATGGAACACACTGGAGCGGTTGGGCAATCTTCCAAGAGGTCTGTTCTTTCCCCCTTGGCGGCTTGCCCTTTGTCCTGCTTCCCATGCGGACCTACTCACTTCTACTACCGACATTTTTCCTCCTCTTGCCCATATATCATATCCTTTCCCTTTCCACGAGTTGTCAAAGATACTAATCTATTATTATTCTAAAGACCAATGGCCTCTTCCTCGACACCACGCAAGGACGCAGATTTGCCACCCATTCCGGCAGAGAGCGCCCCTCAGCAAGAGGGTCACAAGCACGGAGCGGGCATGCTTAAACGACTGACCACCAAGTTGCGACGACCTTCAACTTCGCAACCTTCCCATGCCGCATTCTCGTCTCATCCGCCGCCGCCGGTTCCACCTCTCCCCGAAGCAGGCCCCTCTCAATCGAAACCGAAACGGAAGAATACGTTAAAGCTACCTTCACTACCATCGTTGCCCAAAGGACCTACGCCGACTTTACCAAACTCATTCACGTCACCTGAACAACGCCAAGCGGCGTTGCGGGCTATGGGGCTCATCCCGGCGGTTCCCCATCCATATAAGGATTCTCATGGGTATATGTTGCCGCTGAGTGAACAGGAGAAGGTGTTGGATAAACGATATACAGTAGTGCTTGACAGTAGTGATGAGGAGGAGGAAGGGGAGAGCGAAGCCAAGAAGATACGGGAGGCGTGGTTGAAGAAAAATCACGAGCAACAAGTCGAGTCTTCCTCCCAGCCTCAAGAACACGAGACTCAATCTCAAGCAGCAACATCCTCGCGGCCTCAACACCAACAGTCCGAGTCAACGTCATCTACGACGTCTTCTTCACGTGCCTCAACGTCGGCCGATGCCTACCGGAGCGAGACCTTGACATTGAGTGCTACCGAACGTGCGTCCGCACCCGCTCTAACCGAAGATGGCATGGTGATCAAACGTTCACCACAGTCGTTACCCCTTGGGACGTTCGCGGAAACGAATCCTCACCCTCCTCCGTCCGCCCCGCTTTCCCCGACGTTGGCAGATTGCCACCAGGAGCTAGCAGTCCCGTGCGACAAGGACAGGGAGCTTATTACAGTGGAACCGGAGGCGAGAGTGGACCCGTGGAATATTCCCCTCCCCCCTTCTCCAGGTATCAGTCGCAAGGAACAAGAGGAGAGCGCGCAAGGTGAGGAACGCGAGGAGGTCTTGGATGATGATACGGAAAGACCGTCTTCGAGCGATGTTTCGGAGAAAGTCGCTCGTTGGTTACAGTCTACGCCTACAGGTTCATTGTCCAAAGGATCTCCTTCTGAACCTAGTTCTCCTCGATCTGGTGCCGACTCTCCTATTGACAAAGCGTTACCGGCGATTAAGACATTATCCTCACCCTCGCCGTCATCTTCCCCTCTATCACCTTCAAGCAACAGCTTCACATCATCGTCGTCACCAACTTCAGCGTCTTCAGCCTCTCCGATCTCGGTATTCCCCACCACCTCGGCGTCTCCGATTAACATTCGAGGGCGCAAAGACAAACCTTCGCCGATATCTATTACTGCTACCGCTATCGCCGTCAAGACATCTACGTCAACCTCGACGTCTCCATCTGCATCCGCGTCACCGCCTGCTGTAGCTAGTGCCAATGTTATCGCCTTGCAATCACCTCCACCCCCGTTCGATGATCCGCGGTCACCCAGAACGGCGGCTTTACCCAAACTCTCCATCTCACCTCCTACACCACTTCCCCCACCAATATCATCCTCAGCTGAGAGAGGACGTTCGTTGACTGTGTCAAATGAACATAGACATGCGGATCTGGATGCGAGCTCTGGAAGCGATAGTCGGAGTCGTTCGAAGGTCCCTGCGCTTTCGCCTACTAGGACGACTTCATCTTCGGGTGCATCCGAAGTCCCTCCCACCCCTACCACGACGTCGCAACGAGGCCGGAAGGCGTCGATTGTCTCTTCGACGTCTCAATCTTCCGATAACCACAACCACAACCACCACGTACATCTTCATCTAGGGAGTCACCTTCATGCGAGTGCTAGCCGGAACCTGAACTCTAAACCCAAGGTCTCGGCTACACGTCTTGAGGAGTCGGAAGGGATTAATGTCGCTAGTGTCATTGTTGAAAGTCCGGTTGAGGACAGAGATGATGATGTTGATTTGAAATGTGACGATGATAAGATATTGTCTGCGTCTGCATCTGCGCCTATGCCTATGCCTACGCCTAGACCGAGGCCGGCCAGGCCAAGTGAGGACTCCCAAGAACGAGGGGAGAGACGGAAGAGTCTGACGTTTGTCGGCTTGTTTGGGTCGTCCAAGAGCGGTTTGGGCTTGACTGGCCCTTCTAGTCCTCCAGAGGTAAGTTTCCGATATCCACCACCACCCGCTTATCTCTCAACTCTTAATGGAGATGAACCTAAGCTTACCGGTTACTTTTGTTTTTTTTCCTTTCTGGCAGAAACCATCAAAGTTACCTTCACCTTCACGATCTATGAGTAATCTCCGTCGATCCGTCGCAGGCACGATTTCTTCCAAGTTCAGACCAAAGACTCTGGTCGTCGATACTTCTCCTCGTGGACATTCGCCTTCTCGCTCTTCGCCTCTTTCTCCCTTTGGTGGAACTGGTACTAGTACCTCGCCTCCTTCTGCTTATCGTGGGATTCAGACGTTCGACGCTGCTGGTGTGCCTTTGGCTAGGGCGAGACCGAGACCACCAAAGCAACCGCTGAGTCCGACTATGCATAGTCGAGGGAGTATATTGATGGAGACGAAGGGGATTGAGGATGATGAGAGTCGGAGGTTGAGCGAGTTGGCTTTTTTGGATTTCTGAGCCCTCCCTCTCTCCTTTCGCTCGATTGGTTAGTCGTTCGTTCGTTCTGCCTTTTCCCTGTGGTTTAGGGTATAGCAGGAGGGTCCTGTTGTCCTGCTCACATTCGTTGTTGGCTTACATGGTTTGGTGTTATGAACACTCATGATTTATTTCCCTTCCTTCCACGTTCATTCATTCATTCATCTGAATCATCTTTCACATCGCATCCCATTTGTACTACTGAATCATCACCGCCCGTCGTTTTCCTATCTTCACTTGGTGTTTAGGTGGCATGGAAAAGAAAGGGGCAAAGAGTCATAGTTCTACCATCAGGGGAAACGCGTATATCAACCACATCTCGTTGCATCTCTACAATATCAGTTGTTTTCTAATACCAAGCTACAGTATGCCGAACTGTTTTCTGAGAAACCTTCTCCGGTTTTATTTGGCGTTGTTTGGCAACGGCTTGGAAGTCGTGCCCATCTTTGGCCGTTTCAACTTGCACCCTTGGAAAACTTTGCTTGACTCTATGCTCAGTTCTAAGTCTGAGTACCTGCATCTGTCTTTATCTCTGATGTTATGCCCACAGCGACACCTTTGTGTGCTGATACATGTGATCCTATATGTTCGATATATCAGGCGACCGGCCGACGTAAACATACATCGAGACGTTACGAACATTGGGGCCTACATGGTCGAAACAACAATCAAAGACAAAGTCCACGGGAATATGCATTCTTGTTTGAGTGACAACCTCAATACGAAGAGACTGAATTCCATCTGAGCGTGCAAGAAACTTATGCGTTGTTCGACTCTGCTTGTCAAAGAGGCCCTTTCCTGTATCCTGACATACGCAACTAGCCTGTCTGGCAAGATTCTCCAGTTCACAATAGGTACACTGAGACAACGATGCAGTCGTCACGGCTCGACATTTGTTATTCATCCCCTGATGTTATACCGCCGGGTAGGACTGACCACAGGCGTTCAACTTATTTTTAGCTGTTTTTAGTCGCCAAGGAACAAGACCGTCGGGGATGATCCAACAGATGATCCACAAATGATCTATACCACCTATACCTGTGGCGCTGATTCGGGAACGTTACACTGCATAAATCCCTGCTTTGTAGCGTTTCCCACTCATCCCCTCTATCCCCGTAGCAAAACGAGTTGTGTCAGGCATGTTTGGCATGCTGGAGTTGGTCAGCTTTCGGCCTTCTACACGGCGAAGTGCAATAGCCATGCTCCTCAAGCTATATATGAAGCGTCTTGAGAAGGAGTTTTAGCTAACTCAACATGTCTTCCCCGAAGTTGATTCTAGTCATTGGTGCCACAGGAGCACAGGGGCTAGCTGTAATAGATAGTCTTCTCGCTCGTGCAGAGGATGGGACACCCTCCCCTTATTCCGTTCGTGCTCTTACTCGAGACCGATCGAGCCGCCGTGCTCAGGAGCTTACCGCCAAAGGTGTTGAGTGTGTCCAAGGTAAGCTCGATGCCGCCTCTGATGGCACAGAAATAGTTGGACTGACGATGTTGCAGGAGCATTTGACGACTTCCCATCTGTCGCTGCTGCACTTAAAGGTGCCTATGGCGTCTGGGCTAATACAGACGGTTTCACCGTCGGAGAACAGAAGGAAATATATGCAGGCATGCGTATCTTCGAGCTAGCAAAGCAGGCAAAGACCGTGAGACATTACGTCTGGAGCAACCTGGAATACGTATTCAAGGCGGGTCAACAATTAAATATTCCTGTGAACGCCAGTTAACGCGCGAATATCAGAAAACAGGCTATAATGAGAAGTACCGTGTCTATCACCACGATGGGAAAGGACGTGTTGGAGAATGGTTACAGGTTCAGCCTTCTGAGTCCACTGAAACTGGAATGTCCTGGAGCCAGGTTACGACAAGCCCATATATGGAGATGCTCTACAATGTGAGGTGTTTCGGAGCTTATAACTTTGAGAATCTGACTGACGATGTCATAGCATATGTTTGGCCCTTTGAACAAGCGACCCGATGGCACCTATGTGTTCGCCACTCCAGTCGGGAACGGTCATGTACCTATGATCGCCCTCGCTGATCTAGGGTACTTCGCTCGGTACACCTTCGATCACCGTGAAGGGACATCCACGAAGAACCTCGACGTCACAAGTGATGTGGTCGGCTGGGATTACTTGGTGTCTACATTCCAGACCGTTACAGGACAGAAGGCCGTCGTTGTGAAACAATCTTTAGATGAATGGTTTGCGAACTTCGATGGTGCCGACGAACCGCTCGCGAACGAGCAACGAGGCACTAGTGTGCAGACGACGACCTGGAGGGAGAACTTCAGCGGTTGGTGGTCACTTTGGCGAGATGATATCATCGTCAAGGACATGGATTGGATCAGAAGTATCCATCCAAACTTGCTCACTCTTGAGAAGTGGATGCGCGACAACAAATACACGGGAGATCTGCAGGGTAGCATCTTAAAGAATTCAGAGGATGATAAGTCTGTACACCTCAACCAGGCTCGAGTATCTCGTTTGTGAACTTTATTCTAGAGATCTTGTTCATGCAAACACGATCCATACATCACGTAATAAGCACTTACAGTATCAGTTAGCCCTCGTGATATGGCACTTGAGATCGTTTGTGTTATTAGGAATGCTGTCAAGTAACAAGTTTAATTGGCAACTTATCGTAACATGTCATCTGGTGTCAGGAAATGCCTCAGCAAGCAGGATGTAGGTATATGTATGTTGCGCAAAATCGACGAGCAGTAATCATAATTTTAAGTGGAGGAGCATATCAACCGGCAGAAACAGTGTTTGAGGGGTTCTTTCACCACAATTCCCCGTCGTCCAACGTGGCATATCCTGAAGATAACATGACGTCCATATCTGGATCAGCCTTGAAGCGGTATTGAACTGAAAGGCGCAATCAGCTTGGGAGGCCTTGCATAAGATAGACCACGTACAGAACATATTCGCTGCTGCGTCATACACCCGACCGTAAAAGTTCTCCCCATGATGGGCTTTCCTTGGCCAGCGCCGTTGATTGTAATCGTCGCCATCTTCTTCATCGTCGTCACTTGCATCTTGGTACATTTGGTCTTCGTCGTCTTCTAAAGCCTGCGCACCTTCCTCCATTGCATCCTCTTCCTCTTCCTCCCCCTCTTCCATCTCATCATCGTCCTCCCCTTCCTCCATTTCATCGTCATCTGCCGCGTCTTCATGCCCTTCTTCCGCATCGTCTGACTTGCCAATGGATTCATCATCACTTGCTTTCTCAGAAGGCTCATCCGTGTACTCCCTGTAGTTAGGTTTCTCAGCCGGACGGTAACCGACCGTCCTCCCAAAGCGATCAATGTACATGCATTCGGTGGCAGCATATAATGTTGAGTGTTGAGTGTCCCAGGCCATTGCCTGGACAGCCGTGTTTCCACTTGAGAGCTCATACACCACCCTGCGAGCACGCACGTCCCAGACTTTGACTTGCTCCGATCGGGTGCCTCCGGTGAAGACAGCTGCGAAATACAACATCAATACAAAATTTCGAGAGAGGGCTATGAGAACATACTTGGAATGCCATCGGGATGAGTTAGTAACGCAGAATAGCAACGAGAGGCTTGTCCTTCCACATCGAACGTCAGAATGGGAAGCGAGCGGCGGATATCGTACATGCGAACGAATCCGTCGTCACACGCAGTGAGGACGACATTAGGATCGGCCTCGCTTGTGGAGAACTGATTGACAGTCCCTGCATGACCTAAGAACCTGCGTACGATCCTGCCACCAGCTTGAAGGTCCATTTCGACGCAGCCCCATTTTGTGGTGTTTATTTCAGACTCGCTGCAAAACATGTGACCAGAGGGTTGGTGAAGATGCCAAGTTCCGATGGCAAAATTGGGATCGGGGAAGTCTACGGTGAGATGTGGTTGACTACCCGGAGAAGGCTCAATCCTAGCGTCTTCATCTCTCCAAGTATCGGATGTGTCGTATTGTCCTTCTCCAATCTTGTTGTGTTCACGGTGAGTCTCCAAGTCGTCGATGTTCCAAACGAGAGCTGACCCCTTCCCAGCACGTAGGATCCGACCATTAGAGTGAACAGCAAGAGGTCCATCGTGCTTTTTACTTCGAAGAGTGTGCACAGGCGAGAAGGGTTTGCCTTCTTCATCCTTCTCCCAGCAGTACGACTTGACTCGATCAGAATCGCCGACGAATAACAACTTGCGTCCCTCATCAAGAACCACTTCTGTAGCGGGCTCCCTAAGTTGAGGCGTGAAGTGCTCTCCATCATGCAAAGGATTTTCGGCAAGCTCGTCGAGGAAATATAACGTGACCTTAGGATCACGGTTTTTCCAACCTCCAGCGCCGATGATGGCCAAACATGAACTACCGGAAGACATCTCCATCTTGATAGGAGAGTGGATGTTATGTCCATAAATCTCGCAACGAGCCTGGTAGATCGTCTGCGCAAGCGGAGTCTCATCATTTGCGGAGACAGGAAAAGGCCTACGAAAGCGAGATAGAGGTGTTGTCTTTGGATGAGGTTGTCTAGCCTTCTTCCAAGGGCTAGGTGTGGGATTTGGCAGACTGCCTACAAGAACATAAGCAGATACGTAGGAGAACATTATCATGTAGGCAGCATACCATCTGGCTTCCGCTTGATGTAAGCAGCCATAAATTGGAAGAATGAATCCATGACTCCTTGTCCTGTACGGGTTCGTCAACACTCCCCCCAGAAAATAGACGGAGAGGTCAGCATTCATGTACCTATCGTTCGATGGCGATCTCTGACAATTGATGCATCGTCGTCATGCGCAAACGACGGCATGTATTCGAAGACATCTGCGGGGCCATGAGCGAAGTCGACGCCATCCTTGTGCAACTCATAGACAGATTGAACAATTGCATCTATATCTGGATCGTTCTGTGCTTCAGCCCGTCGAGCAAGTGTGGAGGCTTCCTTGAGAATATCAACGAGCCCATCTGACTTGATCGAGTCATAGTCCTTGGCTGCGATCTGGTTTAGGAAGAGCTCTTTGAACTGGGACAGCTGCGTCTTCAATGAATCAATTTCTTGTTCCCAAGGTTCGTTGGACATGATGATGGTTTAAGCTCAAGGTGCATGTAGAATCGGGTGCTCTTGATTCTGCTAGATTGGCAATGATTAGCTCGGGCGCCTGTTGATAAAAGGCCTTTGATCTTGCCAACTTGCGAAAATCATGTTGGAACGTCACATCGTAGGAGAACATTAGGTTCTGCAGGACGTATTTGACTGCTACCTTCAAGCTGCAGAGTCAGTATCATGTCGAAGTTTAAGCAGTTCAGACGTTCCAAATTAAGCAGATGAACGAGCAAAATTCGGTAGTCCAAATATGGACTTGGTCGAACTTCGAGCTTGGAGGTGCCAATGTCGACACAAGGCTGCTATATGACAAAAACCTAAGCATTCAACGCTAATCACACTCATCGCGCGTGAGACTGTTAGCTTATAGGAGACGGAATAGTCCTCGGAAGTCGCAGTGCACAAGCGATAGACCCCATACAAGAGGATGGGTAGACACATATGTCTAAGTATCAGACTTCAAGTGTCATGAAAGAAGGAGGCTACTTTCCAGGCCAAGCCGCATACCACTGGCCAGTCTGAAAAGCTGCACGAGGCGGGAAGTCGACTGAGCTCAAGTGGTAGCAGATGATTACTATATTTGGGAGATAGTGACCATATATGGCAAAGTCTTCTCCATACGAAAGCACCGAGGATAATTACACACGTCTTAACTAAGTAAAGAATAGCATGGACAACGTACAATAAAAAAGCAATACAGCTAGTATACTCCAAGTGAGTATTAATCCAGAGTCCTCCGGCTCAGAAGAGTGGTGATCTCCCTTCGCTCCTTCAACCAAGCTGGGAAGGAACAGTCAAGTCCTGGATTTTCTCGCATTTCCAGGAGATAATTTGCAAATACAATGAGCGCGCCGTATCGATACCTATACACATTGTCAGTTTCAAAATGGCATCGAAAGATCGGACGATGACTTACAGATAGTTGATCCCGACGTTGAACAGCTTGCGTTGCTTTGCGCTACCCTTCTCACATGCATCTATCTTGAGCTTATAGCTATAAAACATGGCGTTCAGCTCAAAGATTCATAAAAGCTGTCACATAGCATACTCGTAAATCGCTTTGCGCAGGTTTTGAACGTCTTGCATGACGTCGATCGCTCTATCTGTCATCCGCTTCGCCATTTTGCCATGACTGAGTACGCCAACGAGATGCAAAATAGTCTTGTATTCGCCTTGACATCCATAAGTTAACATCGCCATGGCGATAAGGACAAAAATACGAAAGGATACCTTGAAGATAAGCTTCCTCTTCAGAAGGACCGTCTATGGAATCGTATTGCTCTTCCACGGCTATTTCAGGAGGAGTGTTGCTAACTTTCAGGCTATCCCAGTAGGTGACTGTTGCAATAAGACATGCAGTGACCATCCCACTTGTAGTACGCCCACGACCCATTTGGCAGTTGAACACAAAGTCCCCAGCTTTGTCTAGACCACTCCTTACACGTTCCAGAAGCTGGGAAAGTGCGACTGGCAGTGGGGCCTGCTCGTCTGTCTGCTCCGGAAATGAGTGACAACAACGTGGTTTCGGGAAGAAAATACGTACGACAGCAACTCGAGCATAATCCACACGGTAACCTTCAGATACCATGAGATCAAAAACATCTCTCGGGGTCATGATATCCGAGTCTGAGACGTGCTCCCAGATCGGAATGATGGAGAAGACACCTGGTCGTTCCTCAACTTCATCATGGAGCAGAATACGACCATTACCGGCTCGAACTTCTAGCAGGATGTCTTTCTTAAAGTTCTCTTCCATCGCCTCCACAACGGCTGTTGTCACTCCAGTAGCTCTGGCATGCCGGAATCAATACACTGCGAGACAGATAATCAAAAGACTTACTCAACGTTTTCCAGTGGTCGATCAACAAGTCGCAAGACATGTGGACGCCCAGCAACATAAATGACAGGTTCCTACAGCAACGTTAACCCCTAAATCATAACAAGACAACCTTCGAAACTGACTTCTCGCAAAGATGTCCAATATACCAGATTGTTTCCGCCTGGACCGGCATCAATCCGAGCTAGAGCTTGGCGCAGGCTACATACTCATGAGAAACATGCACGGCATGGGAAAACCGAGACTTACCCCTGTACAGTTGGCATCCCACTGAGGCGTGGTTAATACATGAATATGTTACACGTTCGAGGCACTTACCATCCACAAACCCATTTCTCGTCTTCACCATTCCCTGCGGCGAAATCCGTACCATTCCCTGGTGAAGGTGAATGTGGTGGCACCAATCGAAGCATTAGAGGAACTCGTCGGAAATTCGGAGCCCCTTCGATACGCCTCATGACGTTGAAAGATCAGCGCAAATCTCAACATCCAATCAATATGTAGCTTACTCAGGTAGACTCATCTTCTGCAAATTGGAGAAAAAGTCGCTCTTTAGTATCGTCGAGGCAGACAGGATGGTACCCGAGCGATTGGTGACGACTTGTTTCACTTCGTCGGGCTCAGCCATACCCTCAATATCTTGGGCGCGCTCTAAGGGCTTGAGAGCATTCACGCCATCTGCCAGCAGCTCCTTCTCAAAGGTTTTGATGACTATAAATCCGTTAACCACAAACCACATGTATTTGAGCGGCAGGCAGTGCACATACCTGGTCTGTTCCGTACAAATGACTCTATGGTCTCGAAGGACTGCATAGTATCTGGCTCAATTGACTGCAAGTATGCCTGAAATATGATGAGTTCGAAGTAGCGTCGCAAGTTTTGCAAGCCTGAATGGAACATGAGTAACCTCAATGTGAACACTTTGAAGGTACACGTACCCTTCTGAGCATGAAGTCGCCTCTGCCTCTCGTCAGTCGACTGCTCAGCGCGAATACGGGCTTCCTCGATAGCATCTCTCAAGTTGAATACTTCTGCACACTTGTCAATAGCATCATCAACGGCGCTCTTCACCTTTGGCCCTTTGCGGAACACCCGTAAAAGGTCTAGGAAAGATTTTATTCAATTGACCATGACAAACATTTCACAATGGATACTTACTATTGATGACCTGATAGGACTGTCGTCGTTCGCTTCGTGAACCATCCACGCCATCAAGAGTGGTGATAGAAGTGGACGTTAAGTCACGATAGGCTACCTTCGGGCTGGAGGGTGTCTTCGACCAGTTACTGAGCCATTGCTGGATGAGAACGATGATGACCTGCTCGAAGGATCAATCAGTCTCAGGAATCTGTTACGGATATGCTGACATTACCGAAGTGAGTGTACTCCTGCCTCGTCCCAGCTGGCAATTGAGCACAATGGGCGAGTTCGAAGCATTGTTGCGTATCACCACATCAATTAGCTCTGTCAGGTCGGTGAAATCGGGTGGTTTCTCTGCTGTGATCGGAATGCGAACATAGTTAAGCTCAGCTCCACCTTGTGAATGGCGACGCTGAGCCATAACCTCCTTCAATACCAGTACATTCGATGGGTCTACTTCTTCCCACACTGGAATAACAGAGCCATCAGGTGTCTCTGTGTGTAACAGCAACCTTCCTCCGAATGATGTTAGTTCCTCAATGACGTCGTCCTTGAGTCGTTCCTCTAAGGCCTCCAACCGGGAAGCCGAGATACCGCCGTAATCTTTGAGGTTGAATTCAATATATTAGATTAATGTCACCTTAGACGGTCCTCCAATTCAATCACCTTTCATGTTCCGCAATGTAAACCGTTCCCGTCGCAAGCAGTAAGGAGCTCCGTTGATGTACACAATCGGTTCCTCTCTGAGGGTTATCCACATGATACGATTGCTGGAGGGATGAGCTTGCTTAACCTTGTCCACGACCTCATCGATAGCCTCTAGAGTGGGTTGACCCAATGCATAGATGGCAGTCCCAGGAATTTTTCGGAAGTTAATTGCACCTCTCACGCCGTCCGCAACGTGATGAGACTTGCTCAGCCATTGGTCGGATTTCAGCAGTGTTCTGTCAGATGATATTTAGACAGAGACTGGTATGATGAGAAATAAAAAAAAGTACCCTTCACGCAAGATGATGCCTTTCCGGTTCTGCAAAGTATTTGGTTCATGATTTCGCGATCAGACTTGGTAAAATGGACTTCGAACTTACCTTCACAACGTGATCAGAGTATTCATCACCGAGGATCTGTCCACCAGCAATAGTAACGTCATTTCTTTGGCCAGCGACCAGGGAACCACCTTCGGCACTAGACTTGGAGAGTGACGAGAGATCGTTGATGGGAGCAAAGACGTTCAGTCTTGATCCATGTGACTTGCGCAAGAATGTGATTTGGCTGTGATAGAGGTCAGATTGTCTGCACAGTATTAAGGTGGAATAGGCTCACTTCCAGATCTCCGTCCTTGCCTGCCAAGCAATGATTCAATTTAGAGTCGGGGCTGAATGACATGGGCAAGACTTACTTCCAACCAATCAGAGAAGGACTGAGAAAAGTCGCCTTGTGACCCAACGTAACTTGTGAAAGCGATGATGAAGAAGCTGTGCTCAAGGCATGAGTCCTTATTCAAAGTCTTTATCATGAATGACACGTACTATTTCTCCAAAGCCTTCGCTGCTCGATTTAAGAAAGCCTCCCGTTGTTCTTCGTCCATCGAAGTTGTGAGGGAGTACTTCAGCCTATTGATGAAGATATCCTCGCGTAGATTCGTTACATGGTCACCTAATGAATTCATAACCTCAATCTCCGTCCCTTTCTTCTTTCGCACTGAATACGTACAATCATCAATGATCCTGTCGACGAGCTTCTTAGCCATCGGTCCATTCTCAAGACATCCAAGCAAACTCAGAACCACGCTATAATTGCCCATGTGAGCCTTCCGCAGGTCGTCCAATAATACAGGCTGAGTCAGTAGGAGTTCTATTGCATTTTGTGTGCTCCTGGTCTCCAGACCTTTTTGTCCAAATTGGCTCACATAAATAAACAACATACCACACGTGAGCGAAATAGATGCTCACACTGCTGTAAGATATATGTGATGCGGAGTAAGGACTTGTTCGTGTCATGCTGTAAGCTAGCTTGCTCTAGGGATTGAAGTATTCTGGTATCGGTAACTTGACTTCCGGACGGCTATGAAATCGTTCAGCAACGCATTTCATGACCTTCAGGTACGACTTACCGTGCTAACACCTGATATTGAGCGGCGTATAAGAGTTCGTGGGACGTATGGATCAGCCATCCCAATGTCCATGAGTTGTTTCCGTCGAAGAATGCATGCTGCGACCATAGCAAAGGTCGTCCGTACCGCGCCCATGCCACAATTGAACACCAGAGCGGTCTGTAACGGGTCAGTCCATTTAATCACACGAAGGTATGCATCTAGGTAGTTGTCCTGTGTCGGAGTTCAGCTTCACAACCCCGTGCTCGCAACGAGAACGTACCTCTATCGGACGGTCCGGTGAGATGGGTATCCTATATCAAAGGTGAGTTCCTTCGTTTCCATTATCCAACTGGTCAGTACATACCGATGATACTAACAAAACATGAGATATAAGACCTGACATTCAGACAACAGAGAGCACGTACCTCAACGTTCCACCCGTCGTTTCGCATGTTCTCCATCAGTTCTCGTGTTGTACGTACGTTGCGATTGTCCACGGCTGTCCACGTAGGAAGAATAGGACCATCACCGGAGTCTGAAGCTAGTTTCTAGCATTAGTAATTGCAGTTCGCAAGCTGTCGCGGCAGGCATAGGTCTGTCTGTTTTCGACAGTGACCACACGGATGGTACATTTTGGCATCATGTCAGAATGTCTGTCTGGACGGCAGATGTAGTCAATTGACAAAACTGTACCCGTAAACGTCAAGATCCGCCCAAAGGACTGGCAATAAGAAATGGTGCCAGAATAACCCGCCCTCAGTGAAACATCTGCTACTCGCAGATATAACTATGCTTGTCGTTCTGTTGAGGTAACTCACCAAGTTCGTTGTGCGTAAGTATCAGCCCTCCGAACCTAGTCTTTAAATAAGTATATTCTGGCGTTAGGTCAGGATAATGGTAAGCATACCTGTTGGCTTCAGCTAGAATGTCATCTTTCAAGCGCAATTCAATGGCTTCGAGATTCTCAGCTCGATCTGATAGCTTTAAGGTACGGCGAGGGTCTGATGCATCTCGTAACACAAACGGTCGACCAGAGATATACACTTAACATGATAGGTGGGTCAATACAGTGTCACACTCAATGACAACTAGATAGAAATGGCTTGATATCACGGAGACACTATCACATTTCTTCTGGCTCCCCAAACCACCGCTATCTATAGCTGAATTTAAATCACATACCTATCGGCTCTTCACGAGTGCTAAACCATACAACATGTGTCGGATTCGGTATATTCGGCCGGCAACGCAACACAGACAGAATGCCGCGCAAACCCTGTGTTCTTGGCTGAGCGACTCCAAACACGTTCAGATTGCCTTGCCTGGGGGACCTGAAGTTTGGTGCCCCATGAACGTTCAAGTCAAGATCTAGGGCACGTCCTAATTATGAAAGTGTAAACGCATTCTCGATCGATGACAGAGGACTGAACCAACCTGAAGGATAATGATCTGTCTTGAGAATTAACCCTCGTGATAAGACACTCCCTGTTCTCGTCTTCACGACGGATGGACCAGACCGCTGTAGCTGCGGCATAAGATCTAGAGGTTCAGCTGCAGGTAAGTCCTTCGATCCAACTACTCCTTTGGAATCGTTCAGTATTCGAGTAGCAACTGTCTGGTGGTCAATTGACGGGGGAGAAGACGGTTGAGAGGTGGAACGAGCTGAGGGAGGGGGTGCAGATGCAGGCCGATTGTTATGCAAGTGCGGAGGAATATTCAGAAGTAATGCCGACACCATGATTGCGGAAAGCGAAGAAAACGACAGGTGCGAGTTCAGATAGGAAACTGTCCGACAAGATACGGAGGAAGTAGGAAGACTTGACACGATATGGTATGGAATGAAAGTGGTCAAGGACGATCCAAACGCGTTACGTTACATGCGTCCGATATGCACGTGTATAGGCGCTCCGCCTTGCAGTAATTCTGGTGGGCCTTGCTGGCGATTACTCAATGCAATGGCAAATCCTAAGATAACGATAACGAAACGAGATGCATAAAGAACGAAGAGAGATACAGAGGGCGAAGCTTGAGTCCAAACATTCAAGTCCTTGGAAAGGATGGAAAGAGGATGTAATGAGCCAATATAATGGTCCGAACGGTCCGCGTCTAATGTCAAAGCATGAAATGAACAAGCAACTCAAGTACATAGTGGCATTATTTTGAGTAACTAGACAAGTTAAAGCTATGAACGAAGAATGCAGAGTTACCATTGAGATCGTCCGTCAAGATGCCTCGATTGAATGAGTGTGGCGAAATAACGAACGGAAATCATCATGCTGACCGGCAGAGGACGACAAGCAAGTGTGCATTAAATAATTGCTTGGACGAAAGGGTAACAGATGCATTCAGAGAGCGAGAGCGAATTATCCAGAAGTTGAACGATGTAGTATGCTGATTGGTACGAAAATGCTTGTAGGGGTATCTGTCCAATAACTGCCCTTCTCCACGAACAAGGTCCAATCAAGCCATACACCACACCTTCTCTAGGGCGGGTGGCCCAGCCAGCCTGATTCCACATTCCAAACTATCCTCAACTACCATATGCAACCTGCGGTCCTGGTGAATGTCTCCCATTACCGTATCCCATAGCAGCTTGAGGACCTGGCGAGGCTCGACCAGCCAGAGCCATCCCAGGTCCTGGACTGCGCACTCTAGAAGCATCACCATATCCATATGCAGCCTGTGGTCCTGGTGATTGTCGACCTGCCATTCCCATATCAAACGCTGCCTGCGGACCAGGACTTCTCGCACGTGTACCGCCAGTTACAGGGTCAAACGACATCTGGGGGCCAGGACTTCGCGCTCGTGCACCGATCTGTGTCATAGGAATAGCCTCCCCTGCATTGTCGAGTGTCTGAGGTATGGGTCCATTGTATGGATCGTAAAACGCTGTGTTAGGGTCATCGCGGTAAGGCTGATTGGGATTTAGATGAGGAAGGGGAGGGACAGCGTATGGATCTTGGCCAGGGATGTAAAGATCGACTGTTGAAGTAGCTGCGGAGGGAGCAACACTAGCTGCACGACTGTCTGGACGCGTAAGGTTAACCTCTGAGTTTGTCTCAAACCCTGTTCCACCCGTTCTATTTGTTGGTAACCCGTGTGGATTGTCTCCATGTGCGTTTAAGTCTGGCCACTTAATCGCTTCGTCTGGATAAGACTTAGGTAAATGTGCTAATGCCTTGCGAAATGGGTAACTTACTGTCATCGAAATCGTCGGCAAACCGTTTGCGAGTGAATTTCCAGATGACGAAGGCGGCAATGCAAATCAAGGCGATACCGCCTGCGACCGATAAACCAACAATTGTCGATGTGCCCACACCCTTGCTTCCACCGCCAGCCTGATCCGCGTCAGCAGATTGAGAAGGTTGGTCGGAAGTCGAAGAGGGCGTTTGGGTGGCGGTGACAATGACAGTTTCTACCTCACCATTAGCTCCCGTGGATAACGATTCGGAGGTAACCTGAGAAGGAGGAGCAGTGGGTTCAGGTGCACTATTGCTATTGCTTGTCTGAGTTGGTGGTTGTGTAGTAGTGTCCGTAGGTGTGGAAGATGCCGCTGAGGAAGGTGGCTGGCTAGAAGGGGCACTCTGCTGCGAGGTCTGACTTGCAGAACTCTGCGTGGTGGACGGTGGATCGGAGCTCGTTGAGGGAGGTAATGAAGTCGAAGAAGGGAGTGGTGCTGCAGATGTAGGTGCCGCAGAGGTAATTTCACTCGTCGACGTAGACTTGCCGTCGTCATCCCCGCCACCACCTAAACCAGGGAAAAACTGTCTTGTCTGAAGATGAGTTCTGGCCGTCTGGCCGTCAAGCAGATCATAGCGAGAAACGAGGGAGAAGAGCAGAAGACATGAGATGATTCCAAGGAGTACGAGAGACCGTGCAGGTGTGCTAATTTTCAGCATCGAGCTGCGATTAAAAGGATTATGGTGTACTAGCCCGAGACGGGGGGTCTATGGTCGTTTGTGTCGCCGTCGTCGGTGGTAGTCGTGCGGTAGGATAGAGAGTATGGAGAGGTGGAATGAGATGCACGGCGCTCGTTACGATCCGTCGTATATGCTGAATTCGGCTTGCTGGATTTACCAAAAATCCTAAGATATTTGCACTCCGACGGCGGCGACTGCGTCTTCTGTGCAGGCGAGCTGCAGCTGAGATACAGCGGAGAGCGAAAGATACATTTTGGCTACCAGAAATAGAACAATACTCGGGGTTTTGCACTCGTTCTATCGCCGGTTGACAACAAGGCGATGTGCAACATGAACGCAGAACCGCCTCGGGATCATCGAAAACGATCGCTAGACAGCTTCATATGTTCTAAGCAACAGCTAATGATACCATATACAGTGAGTAAAGTATGCCGAATGAGGTTATACATGCATGAAACAATTATATGGATGCCAAGGTATGAGTGTGCGCGGAAGCAAATCCTATGAAATATGTCCTAGATGCCCGAAGACTAGAATAGAGCATGCGAAAGTCGAATGTTAATGCAAGAACAGGTGTTCGGTCGGTGACTTCTCGCACAGTCCAAGAACGGGAGGTCCCGCAGGTTCAGGTGTGAGCATCAGCTACAGTAGAGAAGGATTCAATTGAGAGTTAATTGAGTGAGAAGATGCGGAAGTACACACCCGGATAGTCATGGCGGATGTATATGTAGCGGCCAACATGCCAAACACCATTAGAGCAATATCTGCAACCTTCTGCTTGCGAGTACGTGCACAGGCCTTGTAGTGCAACATGGCCGGGTAGACGTAGCAAAGCGGGACGCTAATCATAAACGAATGGAGATAAGAACGAAGGTCGTAACCTGAGAAACTCTGACTCTCACCAAGCAAAGCTGCCGACGAAAGACACAAACTTGTCCAAATCGGCTGCGCCGGCCCAGCTGAGTCCCGCGCATAGCGTCACCGCGAGGAATCGGAAGAAGTTCTTCTGCCACTTGACTTTGGTGTCCATCTTCCCGCTGCGTTTGAACAAACCGTTCTCCACGATGCGAACAGCCGGAAAGAGTTGCAGAGGAACAGATAGCAGAATAGCCAAAGAGTACAAGAATTGGACCTGTGAAGAAGGGGAAATAATAACATGAGTACTTGGCCAAAGAACAGGAAATGGTAGGACTTACAGCTTGAGTGAACTTGCTTGTGGTGTCCAAGTTGACGATCACAACAGTTTGGACATCTGCGCCAAACGTCAAGTATGACATGACACCAGCGCCGCAGAAGAGGACTACAGTGTCACCGGCGAAATCAGTAGACCGCGCGAACACATACTACTATTAAGCTTACCCATCAAGAACAACATGACAGCAGAAAGAACTGCAGGGAACTTGCGAGGTTCTTTCATGGCATCCGTGATGGGAATAACCAAACCAATGCCTTCAAAAGAGAAGACGGCAGTCCTACACAACAATGCAATGTTAACTGAAGTATGCCTCAGGATTGGCAAACTCGACGTACCCGATCAACAAAGGCCACTCCTTCGAGTTGAACAATTCAACGTGCGCAGGGCCTCGTTCTGCCATGATGCCAGCTTCACTTCCAAAAATATAGATCAGGCCTGCCAGAATGAATGCATCGGCCACGAGTGCTGTTGTGCTCAACTTCGCAAGGTTGCGAATGAGCGCGAGAGGTAGGAAGATGATCATTTGCAGGAGGATAAAATACTGGATACCCAGCAGTTTGGCGCAATTCGTAATGGCAAGGACGAAGGCTTGCAAGTTCTCAGAAACGAAGATGATGTAGGCGGATACAAAGCCAATTTGCGAGACTGTAATTGAGGTGAGGATCGCATAGCGCATCCATGGGCCGTAGAGGGTGCCACCCATATCTGGTCTCATGAGATATGTGTAGGAGCAAGGAAGATTATGTGAACGTACCTCCAAAACTGCCTGACACGACGAACTTGGTCTTCACCAATAACAGGAACGAGTATAGAGATATCAAAGCGATGAATACTAGGATGAAACTCGAAAACAATATTCCACCATTGAAAAACCTGAGTCAACACTTTCGTTAGTAGCACTAACTTGGGCAATATTGGGGTACTTACGCTTTGCCCAAAAATAGCACGCCTGTACCAACAAATGATTTCAGAAGCTGAGAACAGCGCATTCAGCACCACGATACGAAGATGATAACAACAATAGGTCATACCATGAGAACTGCTTGCGTAACGGTAGCATCACCGTGAGGACCTACGCTCATCCGTCTCCTGCGCGACCTGGATCGCGACTTCGACGCAGCGGATGGTAACAGTGGTGAGCGTTCTGTCGCTTTGTGCAGCTCATCGATCTTGGGTATGTCTAATGTTAGTGATGGTTGCTGAGTACCTGCCTCTGCTTGAGACAAGAGAGAAGTGCCGGCATAAGGACGACGTTCCACGGCAGTGACCTCTTCATCCTCCTCTTCGGAAGTAAGGCGTTCTTCCTCTCCCTCTTCTTCCTCTTCTAGGTCTTCTCCAGCCTACAACATATTAGCCCTTGCTCAAGAGTGTGACCTGTGATACTTACAAAGTGTCCAAATAGATAGAGAAATTCTATGAAGCTTCTAAGCATTGGGGGTTTCTCATCACCTCTTTCCTTTGCGCGCAGCAGTACATAGTTGCGGCGGAATCCACCTGGCTCATGGATGTGCTCAAAGGCAGGATGAGGTGCGGAGGCCGTGGAACCAGCAAAGGATGATGCTCGTGGTCTAGTGGCTGCTCGACGCTTGTCTGCTTCCCATTTATACAGACTATGACTTTAAAGAAATCAGTATGTCATCCGGGACTCACCCCACGCAGCAGAAACGGCCTTACTTACGTCACGTCTGCACCTGGTGCATGATATGGTACTGGAAATGCCTCTGACGCCTGACTTTGAGAGCGTAAATGCACCGCAGACGGACGTTTGGAGACGGCTCCAGAGTCAGAGCCTGCGCTCATGGAGCCGCGTGGGGAGCTGCCCTCTGGCGGATTTCGTTCACCTGGCGAGACCAAATGTCTACGCAGGATCTTCGCCTTGTCTTCGTCTGTCAACTCATCAAGAAAATTCGTAGTGTCGATACCACTGACGGGCGTATCAGGACGCCTCGGAGTGATTCCTCCCCGACGGGATCCCTCGCCTGAAGATAATACCAGTCCTGTTCCCCGCGGTGTGCCTATTGGAGTGGAACGACTTGGAATATTTGGCAGCGGAGGAGTTCCGGTATACTGAGATCGTAATATTCGAGCACTTGGTGACCCAGATATCTGAAAGGATGGGCGGGGAGAACCACCTGATGCATATTCTGTAGGTCGGAGTCTCGGGCTCGTTATATTCACAGGTTGTGAAGCATTTGGTCTATTTGGCGGAGTAGACATGTAAGAGTACAAATGAATGGGAGGTTAAAGCAGGATTGATAGTTTGAACTTCAACGTCAATGAAGGTACGAAGAGGACGTGGGGCAAGAGCGACTTCAAGCTTCCAGTTCAAGCCAACCTGATAAAGATAAACTGCTTACATAAGCTTCAGTATCTGACTCAAGTAAGCGCACTAAGTAGGTTCTTTTCCAAACGGACCTTTATATATTTCCTTCTGGTCCGAAAGCAAACCTTAAAAAGTCAGCTCTAGTCTAGAAATTCACGGAGACTTAGGAGGGATGAGAAGGGCTTTAGGCTTGTTATGTAGGAGACGTTGCGCCTAGGAGGACACCCAAATAAGGCCACTATAAAAATATCTGTTTGATATTATCTAATATTGTATCAACTCATACGAACAAGAAATATTATTTTATTCCCAAAATGGAAACATCATTAAGCTTCACCTCCGCTGGTGTAAGTTCATGCATGCTACTCTCTTGAAAGTTTTTCCAACAGTTTACTGAGGATTCCTTCCATACTCTCTTGTGCCACTAGTTAGATATTGACAACTTAGTGCTCAGAGAACGTGTCCCAGACACCCTCCGAAATGAGTGAGACGTTACTTGCAATATTTCTCGTAACGTCCAGTGCCAAGGGTTCAAGTCTTGTTTACCGCTGGCCTCCTTTACCTGAAGTACAACCTAGGCTTGCTCGTCCGAGACCCAAGGATGACGTGGAGGGCACTCATGCTGACAATCCGTGGAGAGCGGCCAACATGACAGAAGAATTTCCAGCAGGCGTATCACCACATATTGAACTAAATTCGGAGGATGAAGACGACTACGTGTGGAGGAGGCCCCGTGCACGCAGAGACAGGTCCCTATCGTTCTCACAATCCCGCTCCCATCCCAACTCAAGACGTCCATCTCCATCTAAAGACCGAAAGGATTCATTCTCATTGGATCGTGTACATGAGCACATGTTGGAGGATGATGACTACACTCAAGTGCTTGGATTCTCCTCAGAATTTTTGGCTACCTTGTTATGTCCACAACGGGCTATGTGCCACCAGAAATTCGAATTGATCGTTGATGACCTTGCTTTCATTGGCCATCCTGTATGTGTCGACGCGGATGGAATGTGGCGATTTCAACCGGAGAAGGTCAAGACGGCTCCGAGAGGAAGAGGCTCGAAGAAAGGACAATCACCTACTCAGGAAGAGACATCTCTGACGCCCGAGAAAACATCGAGAGAGAAACGAGAGACTGTCGAGGAACCATGGCTTCAGACTTTCCACCTCGTCCTCGTTCTAGACCTTCCGGACCCTTCGTCTTCCGACTCCGGCAATGTATCCAAGTACTTTGACACCATCTATGAGCAGATCGCGTTCCCTATGGCTGCTGTCCTCTATCAGGAGCAGGTGCTGAATAACTTCGTCGAGGCAGAGTGTGAAGTGCTTGGTTCGCTAGAGAACGGTTGCATATCTAAAGGTCAGCTGGAGGACTGTAAGTATCTTGTTAATCATCATCCTAAACTTATGTTACAGGGGAACCCCTTGCCAACTTCATGGCCGAGGCACCCAAGAAGTCTACTATTGCGACTTCTATGAAGGCGCTGTATGAGTCAATCAAGGATAATACCATTGCGCGACTCACAATCCACGATTTCTCATTTGAACTCCAATTACCTCCTTATCTCGATGAGCTGCTACATTACCAGGAATACGCAAATGATGATCACGCAGAACGCGAAGACGTCGATGGATTCGAATCATTTGATGTCCAAGAATGGGGGCCTGAGATGAGCTTCGCATGGCATTTGCCCGCACTTGCGCCGTGGAAAAGCCTCCTACGTCTTGATGATGGAGAGCAAGGTTACGAGTTGCACATGAAGTTACGTGGACCGCAGCTCAATGCGGAGGATAGAGAGCTTGCGGAACAGCTTCTCAAATTTCTTGATCTTGCGTCCATCCACCTTTGGTGGGTTCCCTTGGCACGATGAGTTCTAATTTGCTGACAATTGTCCATTCAGTCTCGCAGACATGGCCAGTCTACTTGATTGGGATCTTGAGACGCAGGTCTACCCAACCGTGCGATGGCTAATACATCATAGACGGGCCAAGCTAATTGATACCGTCCACCCTGGTCTCAAGACGCTTTTCATCATTGCCCCAAAGTTGCCTGCTCCGTGAGTTATCTACCTCCGCTTGTCCTGCTTCTTACGAATTCGTCCTCTTTGCAAGTTTGGCGAGATTGTCTGAAGATTTCGCCAAGGTCTTTGGCCGAACCTCCGTTCCCCCTTTACCTAAGCTTCTCTCCATGATCACCGCACCGACAGATGACCAAACAGCCAACCACTTCTACGCGAACGTCGTCAAGTCAAAGGAATCGATTCCTGTATATCATGACGTCGTGGCCTGGTTGCTCAAGCACGACCTCCTCATTAGTCTCCACCTCTATATCCGAATTGTTGCTACCCATGAAATGAAGGACAATATGGCGCTTAAACGCTCGCGTGCTCTGGAGAAAAGGCGGAAGGACTTTGAATCTTGTTCTGACGACGGCCCCAGCGATGCAGGAGAGAAGTTGATGCAAATGGGAGCCAAAGAGATCCCTCGCGATAAGGGTGCAGTATCAGAATCCAGTCCAGTCGATTACTGGGTATCGATGTCTCCAAAGAGTGCCCGAAGACAAACACGACACTTATCGCCTGCACCTGCGCCGCCCCATCCTCAGGATGACCATTCAACATCTCAAGGCCCATCAAGCGTCTCTGAGAAAGGATACGGAGATATGGATGAGGAAGACGAAGAAGAGGATCCTGAAGAAGCTATATTTCGAGAGTTCGATGCCAGTTATGGGGATATCAGGCCTACTATAATCACGGAGCCTGGGAGGGCTACCGCATTGGAAAACATCTGGCTTGCGATTATGTCCGAAGGCAAGGATCCGCAGATTGTCAGCCGTTTCCAACAGTACGTGTTTCTTTTTGTCCAAACCATGAAGACTAGCACTAAGCTTTCGCAGAATCAATCAGTATTTTAATGGCAAGTGTTCCGAAGACGAAATTCTCTATCGTGCTGATATAACTCGGAAACAATTGCGAGAAGTTCTTCATGAATACGAAGAATATGTAAGTCCCTGCCCAGACCCATCGTCCGTCCATGACTGCTAATCCGCAATTCGTACTTTATCATAGCTGCAAACCTTCCTACATCCCGCCTAGATCGCTATTTCCTATAGACCTTCTTCGTCTGGGTTTCGGTGCAACCAGCCTAGTAGCCGTGCCGCTTTTGAGCAGTCGAAGAAGCCTTGCCGCTTCTCAATCTTCTTTCCACTCTTGATTGGCACGCTCGGCCAATATTTGTCTTTCAGGACTCTAGAATCTTCATCGACAGATGTGTCAGGTGCCGTGATGAGGAAAGCCTCATGACCCGACCATGGAAGGTCATCCTGCGTCACGGCTAACAAGAAAGCTTCCGCTCCGGAATCCTCATGAACATATCCCCAGAGATCGTTCTTTCGTCTCTCTGGATCCTGGCTTAGGTTGGCTAGCTTCTTATTCGGCAAAGACCAGCTTAGCCGTAGACTGGCAATGCGCATTAAAGGATAGCGGCGGACAATTGTGTCGGCCTGTAATTCTGCAATTCTGTTTGATAGTCTATGGGTTGGACGAACCCGGTGCCGTGACGAACTGGTTCTACGCACAATTTGGTAAGACCGTACGGTTCGTCTGGTCTGCAGGGATGATCCTCATCAAGAGGAAGGTAGTCCAACATCGGACCTTGACTCCATACTAATGTAACAACATTCACGGTAGAGGCTTGTGCTACTCGCTTGATTCCGAGCTGCATAAATGTTATTGAACCCATGATTGATTGTCAGTAGAATACTGTACGTGCCTCAGCAGTAGCTCTCAGAACATTCCAGGATATCACCACATTGCTGTATATCCATCAGTAAACCCCTCAACCACGCTGTCGTTAAACCTCACGTATTATGAGTGATCGCGACGTAGTCCTCTGGAGTTGGAATGGCGGCGAGTTGAATGAGAGCTTCAGCACCTCGCAGGGCATTCAACGCATCGTCATAGGAGCGTAAGTCGACTTCAAGAAAGGTGAAGTTTGGGTTGTTTGCAGCAAGGTCAAGGTCACCCTTTCGATGGTCAACACCAATTAAGACATGCCCTGCTTTCAAAGCTGCGAGCACAATTCGTTTGCCCACACTGCCCGTACAGCCAGTGACTGCGAGTTTCATGATAGTTAGTAGGAAGGTTATCGGGCTTTAAGTCCAATAACGATGGATCTGTCCACCTGACTCACGACTGAGCATCCGTGAGATTTACAAACCCGTCATCGTGACCAGGTGAAGATTATGATCCTCCTCTGCTATGTAAACCAGTCCTCACGTTCAATATCAAACCATTCTAGGATATGATATCATAAACTGGTCTCGTACCCAGCCGCTCCGCTGCGGTAGGTGGGGTACGAGCAGGAGCGGCTGGGGACAAGACCATTATAGTCAATTGCCAAAACTGCACGAATCGGAATCATAACGGTTGGCAATGCTACCTCGAAGTGCACTGTTCATCCATCGAAAATGACATTCGCGTCGCAACGGTCAAATTGTACATATCACATTGGACGTAGATTTCTTTCCGTAAGTTGTTTTGCCGCTTCCACCTCTCAGAGTTCTATCCTTCACCATTCTTTTGAGAACGCTTTCTATAGCAGCCGCTGTTCACTGGCAGCCGTTCAACTCACTTGAGTAATGACCAACCTTCCGTTCTCATGGAGCCTTTGACTTCGGAAAGCATTATTGAACATATACTTATGCGTATAGGTCAGCTTTTTTTCATTTTTACTTAGGATTGGGATCAATGTGGACCCGTTTTGGCCGTTCCGATCCTGAATGAGATATTGTTGTCTTGAAGCATTGTGGGAGACAATTCAAAGGTTATTTACTAGCATGGGTTCAAAACATGCGAAATGAACGGGGATCTCTCAAGCTGACTAGTAGTTACATCTCACACGTTGTAATCTACTTGGCTTCCTTGTTTCCAGAAGTCAGAAGTCGCAAAGCATCGGACGCTTTAGTGTCAATGTCATTGTTCTCCCCGTGCCTAAGGTTTGATTCACGTCATGCATGCTGGTTCTCGAAGTTCATTTCCCAAAGCTACCACTATTGTTGATAGCCACTACGATAGTACAACAATAGATGCCATCTTCATACAGTACAAGAGTGTTATTGTGTGCATGCAGTCCAAAGAAACTTCCCCAGTTGTGAATGTTACGAAGTAGAGGCCAGAAGCACGAACATCAGAAACGAAGTCTGAGTCGATTATTATCATGCCAATCGGGAAGCCCGTCAAGTGTCGATGTCAACCAACAGGAACGATGGTCAATGTCAGATGATAGCAGGGTAAAGATTTTGCATGGTATGATGAGAGAGAGACGATGATGTACAATTAGGGTAATATTGCAATAGAAATAAGAAAACGAACGGGATAACGAGAGCAAGAAAGATTCCAAATTCGAATGAACAAAACAACGACCCGAGCATGAGGTATGAGAAAAACAGAGATGATATCGACAGGGATTGGAGCCAGCCAATGCATGACTATATGCGCCGATGAAAGAGGGAAATGATGGAGACAGATTACAATGAACGAATGTCCGTAGTAAACGAACAAGTCATTAGGCCGGAACAGATGCAATTGAGGCGAGAGGTATGCAGAGTGAGATATCAGATGCTGAAGAATGGTGACCACTGTGATGATAGACAGCGTCAAGTTAAGGATGACAGGTCAAGCTGTTGATCAGATGCGTACAAATGAGGACCGGGTAAGATTCCGGTTATGATGAGTGTCGACTATGCATGCACTCGTCTGTTACGATAGTCTGCAATGGTGGTGAGCACGCTTGACTGCGGTCAAAATCCATCACAGGAGAACCTGCTTGGGACCGTTCAATCACGGTGGCGGTAGGCACGAGTGTGTTGGTAGCAGAGGGTAGTACGGTCGCAGGTTCTAAATCATCCTGGTGGTTGGAGGTGACGATAGGTTGGTTGTGAGGGTAATACGACATTCGTTTAGTCTTGGTGAAGTCGTAAACGGTGAACTGCTCTTCAAGCTGACGCAGCTCGGGCTTCATCTTTTCCAGATCTGGGTTCACTTTCCGCTTGGAATGTGTTAGCGGTTTATCGACCATGAGGAACTCATCCAATTCATGGGTCACATCGAAGTTTGCTTTCTTCATCTGAGTTGACAAGTCTGTAAGCAAGCGTACCGATAATGATGAATCCATACAACACTCACGTCCGGTACGAAATGGGGTTGAGACTCCTTGTTTTCGAGCGAATCCCAGTCAATAGATGAGAACCAAGGATGGTCGTGTATATCATCCATGCCATTTGTTCTCCCATTTCGGCAGCCCAACCGTGTCCTCGGGTTCCTGTCAAGCAACTATAAAGCAGTCAGAACAAATGAGTCTTGTGAAGGGGGAAATTCACTGACACCACGGAGAAAATCTTGTCCCTCTTTACTGACATATTCGTTTACATTTGAAGGGAACCGTAATGGATCTTTCAAGATAGAATGCGTCATCTTCTCCGAAGTGCGTCCATCAAACGGTCTCCGATGGAACAACAGTTCCCACAGAACGACGCCTAGACTCCACCAATCTACGGGCCATGTATAGCCTTTCCGCCCGACTACTTCGGGCGCCATATAAGCCATACTGCCCGCTATGCTTGTATGTAGTCGACGTTCCGAATAATGGATAGCAACGTTGAAGTCGGTGATATGGGCGTGGCCCATGGAATCCAAAAGAATGTTGTCTGGTTTGAGGTCTCTGTGAATGATGCGTTGCATGTGTAGGTAGTGTACTGCCGATGCAAGTTCGGCGGCCCAGAAGCGAACAATTTCTTCCTCCATTCGGCCTCTCCTCTCCAAATGAACTGCATGAAATGTAAATAAAGCATATAAAGAGTACTGGGGTATGAACGTACATCTCAGATCTCCGCCCAGCATGAGGTCCAGCACGAAGAAGCAGTTCTCGTCGTCTTGGAATGCATACCGAAGGTTGACAATAAAGGGATGATCGATCTATGAAGCGTTTGATTCAAGGATTAGAGCTCGAGTTTCTGAAACCTACCTCTTCCAAGAGCCGCCTCTCTTGAATGATATTCGCAATGGCTTTTTGTTTAATACACCTGGCCTTGTCAATATATTTCAAGGCATATAACTTCTGTGTCTTCTTGTGTTCGACAACTCTGACCTGTCATATGGAACCCATCAACGACAGTGAAACAATAGTCCGGGCATATTTGAACAATAGGGATACAATGGAACAGACCTTTCCAAAGGCGCCCTTTCCTACAGCTCTATGGAGGTCGAAATGATAGAGATCGACCTCGCCGTCAAAGTTAACAGGGTCAGAACAGAAACCACAGATGCCACCCATGAAACGAGGGAAAGCGCAAAGGAGGGAATGTTGGTAAAGGAAGGGACGCGACACAGACTTATTGTTTGCGAGAACAAGAGGATCCAAAAGCACTGTATGCGCTCTGGAAGCCGCTCCGGAACAAATCAAGGACCCACAGACGCCAGGCAATCGAGAGCTTATCGTCGCATGATTTTCCACGTGCCTGTTTTAATTGTCTCCTCCGTGGGTGCTCGGTTCGCCATGGGGAAAGAAGAAGAGGATTACAAGACATTCTAGTTGACAATAAAAGCAGGAATCTGCACAGAGACTGTTTGTTTTCTTAGCCAGTCGAAGTTCAGAAAATCCAAGCCCGCCGGCTCAGTACTTCATTTGGCAATTCCGGACCCCGGATTTGACAAGCGCGTAGTCAGGTACACAGGCCGGCGGGACCATTATCCGGGTGTCCTCCGGCGTTCAACCTGCTACACTCCGTTCTGCCCGCAAAGCAGACAGTCCATTTGCAAGCAATTGGTAACTACCACTGACAATGCCTGTAGAACTGTCAAAAATACCGACACTTCGTGAATTGTACAAATCTGGTGTCCTTCATGCTGTCTCAGCAGAAAAAGCGCACTTCTCACCATCCTCAAAGCTACTTGATCGCGTTTCATTATAGTGAGTATCTTGGTTCAGATTTGACCTAAACACAGCCCTGCTCAACCAGTGCGAAGTCAAGGAGATATAACGAAACTTGAAGTTGATTCCATCGTCAACGCTGCCAACAAGAGTCTGCTCGGTTCGTTCACCACTGATCCTCATTTGATATTGCGCTGATTTCGACTCTCCTAGGTGGTGGTGGCGGTATGTGGCGCATATACATGCAACTACGGCCGTAGAACGGAATAAAGCTCACTCCGCTTACTAGTCGACGGCGCCATACACAGCGCCGCTGGTCCAAAGCTTGTTGAGGAATGTGCGTCAAGCTCGACAGGGTCCCTGCTATTAGGGGCATTACTGCATCGTGTTCATCAGACCCTTGATCTTCACCAGGCGAAACCCTGAATGGATGCGACACCGGTGATGCCAAAATCACCAAAGGTTACGACTTGCCGTCGTACGTAGACTATAATCGTTCCTGAAGACGGGCATCGTCTCACGCATCCACCGCTTTACCAGGAAACATGTCATACATACCGTGGGTCCAATTTACTCCGAGTCTTGTGCAGGGAAATGCGCGGAACAGTTAGCTTCTTGCTATTGGACAAGCCTTGAGCTTGCTTTCGATAACTCCTTGAAACATATTGTACGTATCCACTCCGTTAAAGTGACTTTTCCTTGATGCATTTCTTGCTTCAGGCATTCCCGTCAATCTCTACGGGCATATATGGCTACCCGGTACCTGACGCAACTCATGTTGCTTTAGGCGAGGTGAGAAGATTCCTCGACACGCATAGCGAAGAGGTGAGCAGACAGTGGTACACCGTATCTCCTTGGGTCCAACTTTTTGCTCACAGTTGGAGCGTGTCATCTTTGTTGTATGGAGTGATGCGGACAAGGATGTATACGAGTGAGTTGTATTCAGAGATGAAACAATGACCAAGCGCTGAAGTATGTGATTCTTTTTGAATTCATAGAGAGCTGATTCCGCTGTATTTCCCTCCTCCTGAAATTAATCTGTAATTTTATGTTATTCCACCTTCTTAACTAGCCGTCGTTTCATTGAGATCATGCGGCTCAGTTTTTTAACTAACAATTTCTGCCGTTTTCTTTTCGCAGGAAATACGACGCCTGCCTGATCCCAGTATGTCGGCTTTTAACGCTTCTTTCAGCGTCGTTTACAAGTAACAGAAGCTTTTCTGAGTCTCTGACTGTATTGGCGCCGTCTTCGACCCTGTCAGATTAAGGGTTTATCATTGATCTTGCTAAAGGCCAGACCCGTCGACCAAAGCGTCTCGGAGTTCTCTTGGGATGCCACTATCTCAGTTTGTGTAGCTTCCAAATCTACAACTGCCAAAACGATAACGATTGATGCAAATACTACACTGAGAAGACAAGACCTGGTATGTACCATACACTGTCCGAGAAAGTAACAAAGCAACAGAGCACTTGGAAGAAAACGAGTGAAAGCTATAATACCTCCGACTGCCGGCAGTCATCGGATAACAGCGTCAACAAGGAGGGCCTACATAGTGTCATGTCGGACTGATGATGGAAGCCCTGTCGGTGTCTCATTCCGCATGCCTCGGGTAAGCACAAGTAGCAAATTTTCGATTCGGGCTTGACGATCCTGCGCAACACAAACACGCATCGATCATCAGCCACTTGAAACCAGTAACCCTGAAGGATTGACAAGAGGCCAAGCGTACCTGGAGTTCCTTCATCTCGTCTTTGAGCCTATTCACAGGCAAAGCTCGGATATCTTCTACAAGGGTCTCGACACGTCTGATGGCGGCTTCAGCGTTGGCACTGGCAGCTATCGCCTTGTCGACCTGTGATGTGGAAGCCCCCTTTCGTCCAGTGAAGAGTTTGCTTAAAGGACTCCCAGGCCCGGCAGTTGGGATTTCTCCTGAATTAGACGGTTGGATCTGGCTCAAAGAGGGCAGCATTGACACTCGGCGAGGTCGGGGAGAACCTGTTGGCGAACCCGTGGCACGTTCTTGTCTATAGCTTCTTGTTGACTGAGGTGTTTGAGGAGGGTTCGCTGCACCGTATGGTTGTCGTGAATCCGGTGGCTGGGATCTGGATATCGAAGGTCTAGAGATGGTTATTGAAGGTGGTCGAATACTATCTTGCGATACGGTGGAGCGTAAAGCATGCAGGTCATGCTCTTCGTCATCAGAGTCTGGGAAGAGACCGTGGAAAGAGTGGTGGTCCTCAACGTCAAAAATAGCTTCGTAGAGATCTGTCGAGCTGGAACCAACAAGGTGCTCCAAAATGGGCACATTCTTCATCTTACGGGAAAAGCTGCTGTAAGCGTCTGAGCTTGATTCTCGCCATTTCTGTCCTTCTCGTAAGTAGCGTTCATAGACTCCGATTGCGATGAGCGTTGGGAATGACTGTCGAACGTTGCGACGTGAGGAAATACACGGTAGTTATGGAGCAATGACTCACTGTGAGTCTAATGAGGAACACATTTGTCGAATGCAATCTCCTCGGTGTGACAACGAAACTCAAAGGCCACAGAATGATGAACGCGAAGAGGTTAAAGGGAGGCTGATAGCTAAATAGAGCGTCGGACTTGACCCTGGACAAATCGAACGTGAGATTTATACCACACTTGAGTGATACGCACACATACCCCTCAATGGTGGTAATGGCGAATTGGAATAGGTACTACTCGGGCATCCATTAGATGAGCTGGGGAACGCATGTAGGAAAGTACCTCTTGGTTAGCATTCTATATTCATGATTTATCAGCGAATCGTAGTAGGTCTCAGACTGTTCAACACGTACCGCATCAATCCTTGCAAAGGTGTTCGAGAGGATAGAAATCAAAACTTCGCATTTATTAGTTGTAACGCTGGAATGTAGAAAATATTGGACGCACTCGTCAGTAACAGTGTGTTCGACAACGCCGCAAAGCAGGTCATCAGGATTGGACCAAAGAGCGGGTGGAAACTAGACGCTTGGCCAAAGCTAAGATATGTGTTACCAAACCAGATTTGCACCATTAGCCATGCGATGGCTTTCACGCTCCAGGTTTCCGAAGCTGGGAATCATTATTCAACTATCAGGACGTGTAAGACGCAAAGTGATACGAACCAAGACTATGAAGCGTGAAAAGCAAGCCTGAGAAGCAGATAGCGGCGATGCTTATAAAAAAGATAAAGTCCGTGATCATTGCACGAAGGGCGCTGAGAAGCAATGTCAAATATGACTCGAGTACGGAAGAGCAATTGACACGTACAGCACGATGACGTTGTTCGATACTGCAAAGAAGGCCAAGCTACATGATATTATGAACGAAGAGTGTATTCAAACGCAATATTGATCCTACCGAGGGAACAGAATACAAGCTCCACATGCCAGAATGTCGAACGCCATGTCAGATGCCTCGACTAAGAAAGCCATTGAGCGGTGGCACTTGAACTCAGCTTTATAATATGTTGACTCACGATTGTGAGAAGAGAGCCCCTTGATTCGATATATAAGGTAAGCCAGAAAGATAATTATGAAAGAGGTGTCGAAAACATTCCATAGCTGTGCTGTGAAGTCAGTCGAAGAAGACAGTTTAACCCGCTAAATTACATACACTGGCGATATAAACTATTTGAATGCGATATTAGCATCACGAACTGAATAGAAAGGTCGCACTCACTTCCCCATCCATGCTCCTTGGATGCTGTGTATTCTTCCAGTGCAAACGCCGAAGCAAAGACGATGAACAAGATTTCAAATGGTGTCATCCTGGTCAGATCTTTGTCTTCGTTGGATCAGACACGAATACAGTGTAGAAGAACTCGAAGGATTGGCACTCACTCGCAAGGCATAACAGAAAGAGCATTAGGAGTGCGGCGAAGTTCAGAAATTCCAAAATCGCGCCGTATTTCGGGACTCTCAATCTGTAGTGGTCAAGAAATGGGGCTTTGTGGACGTCATAAACCTCAATGAAACGGGGTTTGTAATTGTCGGCCAAAACCGAACGATTGGATGTCATAGAGAAGACAACATGGCCTGCATAGATATCATTTACGATGGTTTGAACCACGGGAGAGGACAAGAAACGTTTAGACTCTGTCGCGATGGCCATCTAAAAATATGCTAAGTTCCCCGCCATTATTATTTGAGGTCAAACCAGATACCTCTAAGGCGCATTGGGGTTCAGACAATGATTCCTCATTGCTGACAAGTTCGCGGACTTCAGCTATAATCTCAGGTGGTGCGCCGGCTAGAGGGCTCCAGCTCGCGGTCAATGTTGCAATCAACCTCATTTGATTTGAGGAAAAGTGTCCGAGTAACTTCATTGCCATGAGTTCGCACAAATGTGCCCTGGACAACATCACGCCAGAATAGGCGAGATTCTCTTCAGTTTCTTGTACGAAATATGATCGAACTACGAAGCATGCGTAGATGACGGCCATATTATCGAGTTTTGCATATTTGAAAACTAATGGCCTCACGATGGCAAAGTTGATGTCAGACGCTGTGAGCTGTCTATTATGACATGCCAAAAGTCAAGTTAGCATGGAACGTGAAGAACACCAGTGATAGACGCACTCCCAACTCAGTGCAGAATCTGTCGTAGAATCAGAATTCTGTTCTTCACATCAAAATAAACATACCAATCGTTTGCTACGAGCGGTTGGAAGAAAGTTTCATCAATTGACATGTCATGATAATGAGACACATACAAGTACATCCTTCTTCAAGCTCGGTATTAGTGGAAATACCTTGACTGATGCCAAGTGTTCCGGTGTAGGTGTCAGAAACCCTTGAGACTGCTCTTCCTCCATGCCGTCGACAAGCACGACTTGGCGGATACGGGATTAAGTTCGAGATCGAGCTCCTTTTAGGCCTACAAGCACTGCCAGAACGCGGGTATCACCGAAATGTCAGCGAACCACAGCACCTACTATATATGGATGTATCACTGTGGGAAGACACCACATGGCAAACTGCAAACGTGGCCAGCAATTTGTGGCTCGCTGCGGCTTAGAGCCACCATTCAGACGAAGGTGTTGGATACTTAACTGCCGTTCTCTAACGAATGTATTAGAATCCTGCAGAAGTGGTCTTTCGGCTATGCTTTTCAAAAGGATGCAAGGAACGCTCAAGGGGTGAGTAGGAGATGATTCTTTCCTGCAATCAATTTTGTGTTCACGAATCATCGTAGCCCAGAAAATGTCCTATTGCGTTTTCTAGCCTCGTCGTTGTAGGTATATTACTCTTTTGACACAGATTCTACAAATAACGCTAGGTCATGAGACCGGTTGAACTGTAGGTTAGATTCGTACCTTGCCTGATCGCATGTACCACCGTTTTCAGGATGTATCTACTGACGAATGAAGCGTTGTGGAATGTATGACAGGCATAAGTATATGGCATGCGGCGCCCTTCCTGGTGAGCAGTGAGTCATGTTCATGACGCTAATCACAGGTGCATCCAAAGTACGTGTCCACGTATAGAGAGTACTGATTGACGGCAGGCCTCGAACTTCGCGATTTCTGTGTCCGTCGTACGGAAAGCGGGCTCTTACCCCCCATCCTCTCTCCGCTGTTCATGCATATCGTTGCGCTCCACTGGAAACTATTCCAGATCAAACGATAAATGAAACGAATGCGAACATGCGGGCTTGCTTAAATCTTATGAGTGCTTCGGGGTCTGATTTGACCACGGTCTTCCAGGTTGCCTGCCATATGCGATGGGTCAGGGGCCTTGTACTCTCGAAATATTTTGACACGGTGTCAACACCGGCCCGCTTGCACCTCATTAACCGCGACGTCCTGACCTCAAGTCTGCTCTCTGACTCACTGAAGGGAGTCTTTTTGGTCATAAGGCCTAGTTTTCAGATCCAAGCGTTCATCGGTGAGGACGGGGCGCGACCCAGATACAAGATGTGCGTGGGAGCAGACCGAACTTTCTCCGCCGCAACGAGGCCCGCCATCGAAGGTCTTAAATACTTGACTTCTTCGAAGGTGGAGTGGAACGACGACGAGGAGTCTCTCCAGGCTTCATCTTTCTCTGGCGTTTCCAAGACGGGTCTTGTGTACAATATCTTCGTCGCGGTATTCTGCTCAGTTGGTTGGCTGTTGTCATTTCGATTTGGTTTCCAACCATTTGACGGCTTGCTCTTCCGTAGGCTCATTCTTGTTTGGGTACGAATGGGTCGTCTTCCTTTTCACGGAAGCATTTGTTGATCGTATGGGTCCTGATCGATTACCAATAGCTACGATAGGTATGTCGTTCGTCGCTTCAATTGTTCATCCAAATGCATTCTCTAATGGACCCACCCAATTGCAGTGGTATCATAGCGTCTGTCATCACATTCGATTACTTCAAAGCCTTCGTGAAAAACCCAGGGAACTATGATAGCTTATCTGGGGCCGTAGTGTCGACCTTCACGGGTACGCGGATTTCTTTTCTTCTTCTTTTTCACTCAGTTGAATGCGGCTCATGATGCTTTCAGGAGGATGCTTCTTCGGCGCAGCTCTTGCTGGGTGGTATGCTACCTATATCTGACCTCGCTCCTAGCGCTCACAATCTCAAAGGACGAATGATAGGTTTGGTCGGAAACGATCAATCCAAGTCAGTGGTGAAACCTATCCTTTTGGTCAAGTTATGGAACATTTACATTTTCATATCCAGCTTGGTGCATTGATAGCTTTGTGGGGGTGCGCCATGCAATCTGGAGCGAACAACTTTGCATGTATGTTGGTGGGGCGTATAGTTGCCGGATTCGCGATTGGGTAAGTTGATTCTTCACATTCTGAGCCACGATCTCTTTATGTTAATCGTTCTCTAATGTGCCGCAGTATATTATCAATGACGGTCCCGCTCTATAATGTAAACTGTTATCTTTTAACAAAACTCTTCGATGTTATTGACCTCAGTGGCAGACAGAAATCGCGCCTCCCAAGATCCGTGGCTTCGTGGTCGGTCTAGCCCAACAGATGATTGGTATCGGTGAGAGAGTTCGTTCATTTTACCTCAGTGTGATCTCAGACTTGTGAGACTCTCAGGATTCATTGTGGCGAATTGGGTGAGCCCTTTTGTTTATTCGGCTGCCTTACACTGATACCTGGTTATAGGTGGGCTATGGCTGCCAGTTCCTAAAGAATGACATCCAATGGCGATTACCCCTGGGACTTCAGGTCTGTACGGTTACATTTGTTCACAGAATTTTGCATGTTCAAGGGCTCAGTAGCTCATTCCTGCCCTCCTGTTGTTTGTGGGCGCCCAATGGATGCCATATTCTCCTGTGGGTGTCCGTGCCGAATAATCCCGTCCATGTTCTACCTACATTCGCTTCTCACAGCGTTGGCTTCTCGAACAAGGGCGCGATGAGGAAGCCCGTGGAGTGGTCTACAAACTCCATAACTCGAGGACTGCGGAGGACAAAGCTGCTGCGGAACGAGAGTTCATGGAGATGCAGCAGAGCATCAAGGCAGAAATTGTCGTAAGGTCTCGACGCATCAGCGATCTTTGGGCAACTCCTGCTATGGCCCGCAGGACCCTAGTTGCTGTAGGCGTGCAAGTCTTTGGCCAGTTCTCCGGAATCAATGGTAGGATTTCATTCCATTCCCAAGACACATGGGTTTGACCACAATATTTTAGTCCTTAACTATTTCGGTCCTACAATGTACGCGCCGCTTGGTCTCAACGCCTCTCAGTCTTTACTAGTCCAGGGCATCTACGGAGCTGTTGGGCCTATCACCAATTTCTTGTGAGGCCACGGTTTTCTTACGCGCATTGATACTGAGCTAACCAGCCCATCAGTTTCATCACGCTGATTCTTGACACCGTCGGTCGCAAAAAGCCTCTTATGTTTGGTGCCGGCAGCTTCGTTGTCACTTATTCCATTCTGACGGCCATTGTCGCCTCGTTTCCACCTGAAACATCCACCAACCATGCTGCACAGCGAGCGGGTATTGCTATGATTTTCATGACCAGTATATTCTTTTCAGTCTCATTTGGACCAGTCAGTTGGACATTGGCGTCTGAGGTACGTATTCATTTGCTACAATAATCATTCTTTCATGAAATAATACGTTTGAAATCTAGGTCTTCCCCACACGAACCCGCTCTATCGGTACCAGCGTGGCTACGTGTGCCAATTGGGCGTTCAACGTGCTATTCTCTCAAGTCTCCAATCTGGCCATGAACAATGTCGGATGGAAGTACTATGTGCTGTTCATCATTTTAAATGCGATTGACTTTGTTATAATCGCTTTATTCTTCCCAGAGACAAAAGGTGTGCATTGAAGTCTATATATGACATCAGCTTCCTCTAATGTGATGTTCATAGGCAAATCATTGGAAGAGATGGCCAAGCTCTTCGGTGATGACATTGATGCTCGCGAAGTACTGGGAAAGCAGCACGGGACTGAGAAGTCAGATCTTGAAGACAAGCATGTGGTAGAGCATGTAGCATAGTCGTACTTCTAAGGAACGGCTCAGGAAGGGAAAGGTTTCAGTATCTATTTATTTCAAGCGAGACATGGATTGATGCCACACGGCAGGAAGCAGAAAGAAAACATTATAACGAGGGATGTTACACCTGCATATTGGCATGGATATCGAGGAGTTCTTCCTCTGATATCGTAGTAGCGTTTCCAGGAAAGTCGCGCAATTGACAAGCTCCCCTAAAGTCACCTTCCATCCCAGAAAACCCAGGCAGTTCCTCCTCCTCTCCCAAGTCTGAATCACTAGTATTGGAATCCGAAGACTCTGCAGATTCATAGTTTGCATCCGACTCTGCATCATCGCTACACACAGACATGTGGGAGCCGTTATTGACAGGTACTTCGTCATTCTCGTTGGAAGAGGATACGTCGTCAACATTGTTGTGGTTCGTAGCAAAACTAGCATTGCTACCCTGCACAAATTTGTTGAACAGCACACCAGTACCACTGGTCCAATCTTCGCCTACTGTAAATATGGCGCGACGACTTTGAGCGAAACGTAAATCAAATATGCGATGTAAGTAAACGGTTTTTTCTCCTTCAGTGATGGAATTAGGTGGAAGGATGAAGGGTAAATCCCTGATGTGTTGAAGACCCATATCCAGAAAGCGGAAGTTCGGTCCAAGATATTTCTTGCCCACGCCGTAGACCCTTGGTTCATCTAAGTCACAAGGTAAATATTCCTGGGGATCGGTGTCAAAGTCATCGGGTTGAAAATGGTTGCTTCGTATCCAGACGTCCACGAAAGTATTGTTGCGAACACTGCTCATGTAATCCTGTACACGAAATAAGTCGGGAAGGAACAACACGATGTGCTCAAGAGCCGGGCAAAGATTGAGAATGTTCCCTGGATTCGGATCAGGTGGTGGAACGGCCCACATAGGGGTGAAGTCCATGTCCAGAACCTTCAGCTGTTTTCCAAATCTTTGGAAGAATGCGGCCTCTTGCACGGAGAATAGACTCGAAGGATCACGGTACAGAAAATCCGCCGTGAGACGCTCCAGTTGTGGGAGATCCCATGTCGTGATGAGGGTCAGGTATGCCCCTGTGATTCCATTGCCACCTGTTCGGAGTGTCAAGTCTTTCAGACGAGGGAAATGTAATGACCTTAGTGTTGGCGGAATGGCGCGCATCTCTGGAGCATTTAGACGTTTCATTGGTCGAGAAGTCAATGAGAGTGAAGTCATCTGAGAGAAGGCGATAATGATGGGTGAGGGTAAGATATCGGGCAAGGTATTGAATAAGTAGTCGTTCAAGTAGACAAGGTTCGTTGTGGCATAGGATCCATCCTTGAGAAAAGTCGTGGGGATCTGAGCTAGTATATCGAGTCCTCTGCTGTTTGTTTGTAGCCATCCCACAAAGGGTGTCAGACAAGACAAAGACCTGATCCTGGAGCATTGCTCGAGAATGCACATCAGAGAAGCCTTGACAACATCATCAAGAGGGGGAGGGACCTCACAAGAGAACGTGAGGCCTTTCACGAATTGTGCCACATATGGGCGTGACCGGAGGGTCCGGGCAAACGCAGGTATTTGCCCAACGCGACGGAAAACAACATCTTCGTAAAGGATCGGAGTTGCAACCATATGCCAGTACGTACATACAAGACCCAATGCCTTTTTTGCCCTGATTGCCTGGCACCAAGGCGATAGAGGGCCGTGGCTGAGCGATGGGTCTAGATACTCTGGTGGTGGGAATGAGGCGTCGAACACCAGGCGTAGCGCGATCGGGTGAATGCGAATAGCCATTGGCAGGTGGCGTTCCTAAAAATGAAGGTGTCGTCAGTCGAGGTTGTAGTTAGAAAGGTATGCGGAACCGACCTGAACACCTGCACTCATCCTCACATTATCCTGCATAGTATCTGCCGTATTCGCCGATTGGGGTGGGGTGGGTACGTGTTCGGCTTCTTTGATGGATGTATCGACCTGTATCGACCCAACCAGTTAACGTCGTAGTCACGAGGAGGACGACAAGTTCAACTTGAGGCGCTTACCGCGTACTAGTTAAGTCGCATGCTGCTCTGGAAAAGGCAAAAGGTCTTGTAATGCGCGGAGTTGAATATAGACAATACGTACCTCTGATCATATCATACTGGACGGGGAATTTACGACATCCTGCCAAAGCAAGTTTGTATGTGTATATGAGTTCTGGATAATCGATGTAACGGTTCTAAGAAAGGACACACAGAGTGTGGTGCAATAGCGTGCATGTCGGCTGTCGGCGAGTTAGAAATGAACAGGTTGAATACAGCGTCTTAGCGGTAGTTGTAGCACGAGGAGAAAGTGCACACTCACAAATGTAAATCCCAACCACGTATCAACAAAGATCGACAGTCACTATGATGGCCGGCCGGAGTCGCCGTGACCTGCTAATACGTACATAGTAAGTACTTAAGTGAACGATGAGCCCAAAGAAACTCCAAGAGTCTGGTCAAGGATCAACCATACCGTCCGCACATGTCATAGTTCAAGAACAAAAACCAGGAAACAAAGCACGAAAGACATTCAAGTCAACGCGCGTTTACTAGACATCCAAATCGGCAAGTCTCTTAGATGATAGTAACATGACAAGACGGACGATGTATCAAACATTAAACACTGGCTTCTACAAGAATTTATACATACTACGAGATAGTAAATACCATAGATGAGCACGTTGGCACGATACAATTGAACATATGCACAGATGCTAGAACACCCAGTTACAATAAAGCCGAGAAAATAGAATCAATGTCATCTCAAGCCTCCCGTCTGGAATCAAAGATCCCAATCGCTTCATCTTCCCCTATCTGTTCTACGTCCCCTCTACGTTCAAACAATGATACCGCAAGAGGCTTCGACCTACTCGACCTGCTGCTACTCGCGCCAGCAGATGTATCTCCTGCCGTGTCTCCCTCGTCGCGACGATTCTCCTCGTGTCCTTCTACAGCATCATCCTGATCTATGGGGTCTTTAGGAGGTAACAAATAATCATCGTCCGAGTCCCATGAAGCATCTGAATCAGAGTATTCCGACTCAGTGTAAGGGTAGGGATCAGTCGCAGGGTCGTAAGTCGAATCGGTATCGGAGTCAGAATCTGCTTTGGGAATTGGGTTGAGTAGGATGTCTGTGTTGATGGTTGTGGTTTCAGTGGGCTGAACGTCAGGTTCGGCGTCAGAGATATGAAACGGTAGAGCTTGGAACAAGTCTGCCCGTTCCGAATGATCCAAGGCATGCAGTGGCTCGGTAGATGATTGAGTCGGGTCGTCGGTGGTCGTTAATTCATCGGCTAAGCGATGATCGGCGACGTGATTGAGAGGCGTGTAGAAAGGTAGAGCCTGGAATAAATTAAGAGTACCTGAATCATCCGAGGAATGCGATAAAGATGGAGAGATGTCTTGGTTGGGTTGTTCTAAATTGTCGTCATCAATGGATGAGCCCTGGAAGGGTAGGAGTGAGAGTAGAGCAAGCAAGTCATCGTCCACGGTTTTGATGCCGGGTTCGCTCCCAGGCTGTTCATCACCATCAACACCATCATCATTCACATCGAAGAACTCAACGCTCTCGTCCTCGTGTATATTTTCATGATCTATATCCCACTTTGGCATCTCCTTCCTCCAATCCTCTTCGTACTGCACAATCATGTTTCGAGTCTGAATGAAACGGAGGCCCGAAACACGATGTACATAAGTTGAGATATCATCTTTGGCGATTGAATCGGGTGGGTATCGGAGAGGAAGGTTAGGAATATGAGCAAGTGCTTGATCGAGGAGTCGAATATTTGGTCGGTCATATTTCGAGCCAAGGGTATGAGTGTAGTGATATCCAGTGGTATGAGTAGCTTGATCAGGATTGTCTTGAGAGTCGTCCTTGGACATAGTGAGGACGAAATCCCTGGAAGGAACCCAGATATCCAACCGCCCCTTGAACTCGTCAGTCAACAGCCATGCCAGGCTCTCCACCCCATCCAAATCCCAAGCTGCCATAACCAAATGCCCGAGGTTCGCACTCTTTCTAACAAAACTCTTCACAGGCATCGAAGGACCGTCCCCACCTGGCCCATCATAGAAGCTCGCATGTACAGTAAAGTTCCCGCCAAAGTTGATAAATTGAAGTTGAGGTCCGAATTTGTCGAGGAAGGCATTGTGATGGTCGTAGTTAGTGCAGTAATGCCACTGTAACGATAAATCCATGCGGAGATGGGTTAGAGACGGTAGGGACCAGGTACTGAGGATACTAAAGAGAGACATAGCGATCGGGCCGTTCTTAGGGAGGACGTCGAGGTGTGTTAGACAGGGGAAGGACAAATTGAGGAGAGAAGGATCCGGAGACGCATGGTTGAAGTCTGGGGGTGGCTTGCAATGTGAAGTTATGGAGAGGTAAGTTAACTTTGGGAAAGACATAAGGAGAGTCGAGGGCACAACGTTGATGGCGGGTGTGGAGTCGTGGAGTAGGTCAAAGTATGTTAGGTGAGTGATTGAATGTGAACGGTTCTTGAACGCCCTAGGTGCGTCGAATACTTTGGTGCCTCCTTTAGAGGTTTGTAACCAATCAACGAAAGGTCCGAAGAATGAGAGTGATCTAATATTAGGGCATTGATCCATTATATTTGCAATGTTCTTGTTAGTTAACTCATCCCAGCCTTCGGGTATGAAACACGCGAAGGTTATACTCTTCACCAGTTCTTCGATACCTTCTCGATTCGAGCGAATCGTTCGTACAAGGGCTGGAATTTGGCCCACTCTGCGAAATACGATATCTTGATAGAGGAATAAAAGAGCGACTGATCGCCAACTTCGACAAACATGTGTTAGGGCCTTTTGAGTTCTAAGGGCCTGAGACCATGTTGACTGAGGACCAAAACTCAGGGAGGGGTCAAGAAACTCGATGGGTGGGAAGATTGTTTCGAAAATCAAACGGAGCGCAATGGGGTGCACGCGCATTGCGATGGGCAGATTCGTTTCCTGGGGAGCCTATTTGCAGGAGATGTGTACTCGAATATCATTGAGGAAGTCTATGTGAGGACGTACATGATCTTCGAGATCGACATGCGATGTTGTCTCCTCGGGCAGAGGCATTTCTAGTCCTCCGGTGTCATCCACAGCGTTCATTTCTTCTGTTCGTGGGTTAATAAACATCCAACTCGACGAGATCGCAGGATAGTGCGGAAGTATTGGGTGGTGTTTGCGTTGCGAAACGAGGCGACCACTTGGGTCAAGTGGGGTTTGGCGTCTACGTGAGACCCGTCGCGAGTCTTCATATGGAAGGATACTTGCCTAATATGGAACGTAAGTTTGCTTGGCTCCGACGTGGAATATGAGCAGAGTGGCTCGAGATTGGAATGCGATGCATGTGATGGCCCACTCGGCGGTCATCAACAACATATTAGCCATAGAAACGTCCCTACCACACTCGTACGTGCTTAATCTATCTTAATCGTCATCTCAGCCACTCTTAGTCTATCATGGTGCCAGTGGTCGCTTCAGAAAGACGTTACAACTTCCGATCCGGCGGTAATGACGCCGAGAACTACGCTTCAAATCCTCAGACGAACGCTCATACAGACATGACAGCCTTCGAGACTACCTCAAGGACTGAGGCAGAGAACCTCCAGCCCATTGCCGCTCGCGGCGCTGATAACCAACCTACCCAGCGTGACTACGCTAGAGAAGACACGGAGACAGAGCGGTCCGAACAAACCCTAAATGTCCTAAAGGCACGTCAACGAAATTTGGCATAGTCTTTGAATGGCTGGATTACTTTCGTGTGGTGTAGACGAGGTGGACGACATAATCAGCAGCACTGATGATCAGGAGAGGACCCAGAGTAGCGCACAAGGTCGTAGTCGTGACAAGCTCGTCGACGCCTAGAAGCAAGAGAGTGAAGTCGATCAATCTATGCAGAATGCTTACTGGCCTCGAAGAGGCTGATTAGGATGTCGAGTATTGGCAATGCTGTCGGGAACCAACAATAATTGTACCCCAATGACACCATGTTGAACAGTTCACGAAGTATAATTACTGTAGATATAACTATACAATGGGACCTTGGCCGGCCCTTAACTTACGTCTGAACCCGAAATATGACCGAGTATTGAGGAACTCATCTCATGAATTCATGGCACAAATACTCTTCCGGCTGGGAAACAGCGACATCAGGACTGGTTCGGGCATTGGACTTGCCGTGAAAGTGAGAGTCTCGAAACTAGCAGGATTTCCATGCTGCACCATGCACGTAATTCGCCATCGAGGGTTTATGTGGAAAAATCGATATATCGCTTGTACATCATCGAAAAGAAACCCGGGATGAGGCCAGAAATGGCCCACAAGGGCAAGAAAGTGAAATTTAAATAGAAAGAGCTGCCTAAATTGGCGATGCACGCAAAATCCCGGTCTACGTTCATGTGAAGCTTGGCCTCCCGCATGTACGCCTCCTAACCTCCTTCCATCACGACGTCGTCCGTATCCATATATTATCATCTCGTTCGCTGTTGTCGCCGTTGTTGGGCTCAAGGGGGGCCCCAATGTCGACCATTTATCTCCCACTGGAGCCATCGTCGTCGCCGTTGCCTTCAAGTCCGAACTTTCTGACACGGTCACGCGAACCTGATGCTCATGTTCGGAAAGTGATCAAGAACATTCTCAAGGCGAAACGCATCGCCGTCGTTTGTGGTCAGTTCCAACCGCCGTTCAGCTGGATCTTAAGCTCATGATTGGGGTTGGGTCGGGGGTTGCGAACGTGAACAGGTGCTGGAATTTCCGTCCAAGCTGGCATCCCTGATTTTAGGTCTTCGGAGGGCTTGTTTCAAAGTTTGAAAAAGGACAACCCGACGTTGGCTTCCGGAAAGGACTTGTTCGACGCTTCAGTATTTAATGTGAGTCCTCACTCTGTTGCCTTGTTCATTGCGAGAGTTCGGAGAATTGTCTCGGCCATTTGTTGTGAGGCTAGCCTAGGTGGCACCACGTCTGTTTGCTGGCAAGCGGTTTTTGGTGGCCTCAAGGTCTTCACTACTTCCATCTTTTACTTGCATGGAACTATTCTGCTTGTCCGCCTCGGTTCTGTGGAAGTTTCTCGGTCGGCGGGTCATTGCTATACCGACAAGGCGTAAGAGATAGGAGACAGACTTCCAAGCAATTTGGACATCCTCTTGGAAGTCTGTCATCTTTCACGATGATTCTATGCACCTCGCTCGCAATGACAACATGCTTTAAGCACGTTTCACTTCACTTCATTTCTATGAGTTTGCTGTGACGGATCGCTGTACCTTCCGAAACTCTCAGCAGGGATCCATAGTTGCGGCTACCGGCTGCGAGAAAATATCAAAGAAACAAATCTTATGTTTCTGCCGTGTCATTTCTCCCTACATTCCAAAGACATGCAAAATCATGCACAAAAATGGATTCCCGCTGTGCATGTTATCGCGATATCATCATCTACATCAGAATGCCTACTAATTCAACGTCTCTCACACGCAGTCAGAAGCAACTACATCACTATTTTGTCAAATGATCGCTCAACTCTCCGAACTCTCCAAATCGGCATCTCCAACTGCTTTTCACAAACTCCTGCGTGCATTGGACGACAGGGGACGCCTGCTACGTGTCTACACGCAGAATATTGACGCTCTGGAGTCAAAGACGGGTCTAACATTTGGCGTCCCTGAACTTGACAGCGGAAAACGATTCAAGCCAAGATCTTCCAAAGGAAAAGCGGATACAAGTTCTATAAATTCAGACACGAGTATCACTACTACGCTAGAGACTCCATGTAACGGAGGCACGGTATCGGACACGAGGTACCTGCCTGAGAACGTTGCATCGACAAGTCGACTTCCATCCCCTCCTGTCGAAACTCCTCGTTGTATTCCTTTACACGGAACCCTCCAAGCCATGCACTGCCAAGTCTGCCAACACTCCTTCCCGCTTGAGGAACACCTCGAGTCTCTTACATCAGGTTTACCGCCATACTGCCCAGAATGTACCGCTCTCGAAGAGACGCGACAACTCATAGGTAAGCGATCACGCGGAGTGGGCAAGTTGAGGCCTAGCGTCGTGTTGTATAATGAAATCCATAAAGATGGGGAAGAAGTGGGGGAGGTTGTAAGGAGAGATTTGGTAGGGAATTCGAAAGGGAAGGGGAGGGCGGGCGCAGATTTGTTACTTGTAGTGGGGACGAGCTTGAGAGTGCCAGGGACGAAGAGGATTGTTAGAGAGTTCTCAAAAGCCGTTAGGTCCCGCTCGGCGCCGTCATCCACCGCGTCAACTTCGTCGCAATTCGGTTCTTCTTCCCACAACAATGGAAATGCAACCACTTCCCGAACCACAGGTCTAGCAACACCCACACCATCACCGCGACGCACACCAACCATAGACGACGAACCACCCGTCAAGACGATTTATCTGAATTTCGACTTCCCACTGCCATGTCGGGATTGGGAAGGCGTTTTCGATGTCTGGCTTCATGGTGACGCCCAGACCTTTGCAAGACTGGTCGAGGAGGAGTTCGAGAAGGAAGAAAGAGCAAAAGAGGAGAAAAGTGAGAGGAAGAGGTTGAGGGAGGAGGCTGCTGAGGCAAAGCGAGTGAGAGAGGCGGAAGAGGAGGAGCAGAGGAAGAGGGCTGAGCAGGAGAAGTTGAAGAAGGGAAAGGGTGCGAAGGGAAAAAGCCAAGGGAAGAAGACATCGGCGAAGAGTAATGTTGCGGCCAAGGGTAAGAGTGTGGATGTCAAATCGAGAGGGAACAAGAGAAAGAGTGCACCCGAAGACGAACCGCCATCCAAGCCTGCGAAGAGACACAAAGTACAAACTACCATTCCCTCGTCCTTTCGAGCGGCCAAAACAAAGCCCACGAATCCGAAGTCGAAGTCAACCAAGGCCCTCAAAGGTGTCAAACCACTGACGATCAAGATTCCACCCCGTCCTCGGTACTCCTACATCACTCCGCCGAATTCTCAAGGTATACACTGGGTACCTGAGGTAGTTATCAAACCCAAGGCTTCTCATCTCCCCCGTGCAGCTCTTCTGGAAAGAGCCCTTTCTCCCTTCTCCCCCATATCACCTATCTCACCTATGTCTCCTATGTCCCCCGTATCACCTATGTCTCCCATATCCCCCATATCCTCAATGTCCTCAATGTCATCCATGTCTTCGCTCTCGACTACACCGGGATCTCCTCTCTCACCATTATCTTCGCCTGCGCTGTCTGGTGAACGCCAGGATAGTTCAGGATACTTTTCACCACCCAATTCGCAGACTGGTATTGGGACGAAAGTGGAATGGTTGTATGGGAGTGAACTGAGTGAGTTAGATCTGGATGCGGGGGATGTTGAGGAAGACATCGATGTTGTAGGTGACGGCCATAGTGTGGATGCTGGGGAAGATGTGAAGCTTGCGCCAGCGTTGCATGTGTCGCAGGAACCTCGAGTTAGTAGGTCATTGCGATATGATCTTCGACCTTCAATGCCAGCAGCCTCAGCAAGTGCGATAGGATGACGGCAACGTTGTCTTTGCCCATGAACGTTCGACATTGCATATTAAACATATTTTGAACAGTTGTTAAACTGATTCATTGTCGCCCCGACTCTCATTGGACACTGCCAACTTCGCAGAACATAAACTTGCATGATCAGCTTCACCTGTATTGTTTGGTTTGTATATTTATCCCTATTGTTTGTATATATTCTATATTATTGTACCTGCCTAACCTCTAATATTCACTGTCTATCCTCGCGACTACTTGTCTGCAATCTTCATTGAACGTTATGTTCAACTTCAACTGCTGATCGAGATCCAAACATACCGGCGCTTGTCCTAGATCGTGACTGACGCGTCGACTTGGGCGCCTCCACAACACTTGCTTCATCGCGTCCACCACTGCCAACCATCCTCATTACTCAAACCACCATCACCAATTTTATCGTGATGTCTACAGCAGCTTCTTCATCGACAGCACCGGCGAACTCAGCAAAGGTTACTGAACCTTTACGAGAGGACGATGCCCAGCCTACTCTAGGCGTGCTCGAGGAAGACGATGAGTTCGAGGAGTTCGCTGTTGCTGGTGAGCCTCTTCCGATATATCAGAATTTACTCCGTTTGGTTGGTAATAATGCTGTCCTTGATGTGTGATTGTAGACTGGGATGATTCACAAACTGATCTCGCACATCTTGGAGGTGCTGCTCCTGGAGCGGCGAAGAGTGGTGGAAATAAATTGTGGGAGGATAACTGGGACGATGATGATATCGAAGATGATTTCAGTGTCCAATTACGGTGAGTTCTTCTTACTACCTGATTCTTCTTACACACCTGTGTGTTGCCCTCGAAGTACATGCTGAAAAGATTGATTGTAGGAATGAACTTGAGAAGAAGAAGAGCGGGAGTGCTGAACCGATGCAGCACTAGTCCTACTGTCTTCGTTGTCTTGATGCCACCGTGTACATGTATTCTTTGATTCATCCGATCGCATTCATTCGACCGATGCAAGCACCCTGTGTATGAATTGGCCACTGAAGAAACTCATACTGGTGTTGCCGGAGGCTTGACCACATCTGGCCCAACATGGTTCGTGAGGGCGACATTTAGTTAACTACTGCTCTCTAAGCCTGAGTCCCTTTGCTTTCTGATGTGTCGAAGGTTGAAAAGGGACATACGATGCAACAACTGCCACATTTCATTACACAGATATCTAAACGTAACGAGCATTGCTACACAGAACAAAAGCAAGAACATGGTATGATAAAAGCACATTACACAGCAGACTTCTAGGAAAGTCCGTTCACAAGGTCATTTGGTTCATTAGTGTGGAAGACATGACATGACATGAGGTCCAGACCCAGGAAAGTCTGAACGGAAGTGGAGAAGAGCGGGAATATGAATCATTTAGACGGCCTCTTGTCTCTTCTCGTCCATGACTTCCTGCTTCATATCTGATGGCACGCTGGCCACCGACTCGGTATCGCTGAGGATACCCATTTGTGAAGTGTCGTAGCCATTTTGCTCGAGGTATTCGCGGAACTATCCGCCAAAGGGGGATATACGTTAGAAACCATTGGATGGCGCGCGGGATGTACGTTACTCACGGCTGCGTCTTCTCTGATCATGCCATCGTGATCAAGTGGGTTGACCATGAGGAAGACGACGATAGCACTGAAGACCGCGAGCCCTGAAAGTCGGACACATCAGAGGCTGTCAACAACTATGAGAGGGGATGAATGAGGATAGTATGTACCACTGCCGATCCAGAAAGGACCTGTGTTGCCCCTTGGGGAAGATGAACCGCCGAACGCTGTTCAAAGGCATAACCCAGTGAAGTTGACATGCGTCACAAATCAATAAAAGACGGTTGAACTTACCATCGATGATGGGAGGGAAAGCCCAAGTGCCTACAAATGCGCCGACTTTACCGATGGCGGCCGCGGCGCCATAGAATTGACCACGGACAGCGGTAGGACCAGTCTTAGCTGCTAGCATACCAAGACAGTTGCCTGGTCCGAACTCGCCAAAGCTGAGGAAGATTCCATAGACGACGGCGAATGCGCCGATGTGGTTGGTCAAGCTAGGATGCAGGTGTAAGGCTAATTCCGAAGTGATACGAATATGACATACCGAGCGTAGAGGCCACTCATGATGAACCCTATAATGGCTTGGCAAAGAAGACCAGTAATCTGTAGGGTAGAGATGAAGATTATCCTATTGTCAACAAGTAAGCAACACATACCATGGTGTTCTTCGGGCCGAGGTAGTCGACGGCGAATGCACCGATGAGAGTACCGGGCATGTAGAACAAGCTAGGATTAGGGAAGAAATGAGTACAGATGTCGCGCTTGGCCTGATAAACTTACTTGAGGACAACATTCCAGCCTAGGACGACACTGAGCGCATCATTATTGTGCGTGATGCTATATTCAGTGCATGTACTTCAGTAGTGTTCTACATTCATCTTCAAGGGCAAAACTTACTTGTCAATGACTGTCGAGGAGTAAAGGCCGAACTACATGTCAACGTGTCAGCATTTTGTTCAATTTCACATATATGAAAGTTTCGTACTGGATATACAATGAAGTCGTAGAGGAACCAAGCCAGCGAGATGCCAGTGAAAGGGATCCAATAACGCTTAAGGATCAACCAGTATGGAGTTCTGGTGCGCGCCATCGAGTTCTTCTTGTAATGTGCCGGTTCATCCATCTTCAACCGCCAAATGAATACCAACACAGCAGGAACGACACCCAGTCCGAGCGACAGACGCCACACAGCACGGAGATGATTATTTCCGAAACTGATGGAATGTTAGTATTGCTAATCAGCAAGGAGATTGGAAACGCACATCCAGAACAGGACTAGGGGGACGAAGGAGGAGACGACGAAACCAAAATCGATCATGGAATCTGAGAAACAGAGGAAGGAGGCGTGAGCTGTCATGTTAATGTTTCGGACGCGTTGGTAGTAACGGCTTACTGGTAGCAAGGGCGAACCATCTATGTTGAGCGTTTCTACTAACACCCTCTTCCTCGGATTGTTCGGATGCTGCGACGGAACCGCAAGGGTATTCTGCGCCAATGCCAATTCCAAGCAAGAACCTGGTGCACGTATACTCAGTTGACATTTTTATACAAGAATACAATGCTCACCGCATAGCACTGAGCATAGAAAGCATTCCGTGCAAACTATGATTTGCACCGCTGGACGCCGCAGAAAGGCCGGAGAATAGAGCTACAATTCCCGTCGCGGCCATCTGGAATGTGCATTGTACGCATGTCAACAAAGGAAACAATTTGATATGAGCATGTGGAGTGGTACATACCATACCAAATTTACGTCCGAGCCTGTCGGAAAGGTAGCCGAAGGACAGCATGCCGACTATGGTACCAGCGAAAACAAGACTGTTCAAGATCGTGGTATAATTGTGTGCATTGACGTTCTCCGCGCCATAGACACGCTTGATAACTAAGCAGAAAGACCTAAGCACTTGAAGTTGTGTCCACAGGCAATAGGTAGCACTCACTGGTATTCACTATAGATAACAAATCAGACAGTTATACTGATTTACGAAGTTGTGAGAACTCACCATTGCCCAGGACACCGTTAGCGTATCCTAACGATCCAGTTAGTCGGCCACATTCCAGCACATAAGAGTACCCCACTAACCATCGGAGAATAGGGCAGTACCGCAGCTAGACGAAATCGAAGAGTGTGTAAATATAGCACACGAGAAGCGCTGTGGGGAAGCAGATACTCACGCAAAGATGAGGGAAACCTGGGCGAGCGTTGACTTCGGGGCCATTGTAGAACAACGATGGCAGATGAGGAGAAAGAGAGCTCGAGGCTCCAAGCGATGTGGGCGTGGTACTTATGCTCTGTCGGGACCATGATTGATGTGGAGGAATGTCCGGCGTAGACGACCACCTGGTTCCAGATGTCACACTGATCCAATTCGAGATGCGTGCTTCGTTCCTGACAACAATTGCCTTTTCTGGCCAGCGAGCACGAACGTGGGTCCCCGTTGCGGCATTTACTACCTTTTCTGTCCTTGCATCCTACTCCCACTGGCGCGCCCGGTATCATTCACCGACGTCGGGTCGACTCTCGCCGATACTAATCTTCTCCTCGTCCACGTTTTTCCTCAACGACCTAAACCCATCTCTCTGTTTATTCCACTGTATGATATGACGTAGCACCAATCAACAGGTCGACAAAGATAGAACACGGCGAGAATGGCTTTCGCTCTGTAAACGCTACCAACTTACATTTCACTGCGGTCCGACCGAAGGCCTTTCTCGGTCTTTCTTTGGGAATTTTATGTGTCGCTGAAGGTCTCAAAGTTTGTTGATGCAGTTTGCAGTTCTCTTCATTGACTGGACAATCACGACGCACCTAAGGGTTGCTTGTCCCTGTGCTGGACATATATCGTTGACAGCGTGTAATGCTCTCTGCGCTTGTGACTTGCGTGTGGTTCGATGAATGGCTGCTTTGGAACGTTCGTCGAAGTTTCCTCGTACTTCAAAGTTCAATGGATGTACATCTGCGATGGCCTAGAAGAAATCATTGCAGCCGGTTGCCTCCAAGCCTACTGTCATACGATTTGGGACTGGGCTGACCCTGCATAGTTCTTGAGACATCCCATTCGTATGGGAACCACCTGCTCAGAGCGTGCACTTCCGCTCCACCAGCTTACACCTGGCATATTGGGTGTAATACGGTGATATGGTGATACGGATGGGAACGCAGATCCCTCTTGTATGATTTTAACTGAGGGGGGGCAAGTGTTGATCCTTCTCCCGTCCCTCCCCCCTTCTTCAAAGTCAGACAATGCATCTTGCAAACAGGCTTTTGGTTCCCCTGGCTTCGACTTAGCGGCAAAGCACAGGCTTACCCTTGACACCAATACTGTCAGTAGGGTAAGTTTGTTCTTCGCCGGTAAGCCGAAGTCCTCGCGAACAATATCTCATCGAAATCTTCTTCCAATTCTATCAATATTACTCGAGGAACTTCAAGCGTTGCCAAAGAAGGGAGATCCTAGAACGTTACGATCGGCCAGCTTACGACTCCGACTGATTTTAAGCACACAATCCTTTCGCCGCGGGCCAAATAGATGCCTTTTTTATTCTATTATACATTCTCCGCTCATAACGGGTTCACCAGGATAATGTCCAGAATTGAATGATCCGATAGTACCCCATTCAAGCCAAATACATGCATGTCATATCAGACCTCGTTTCAAGCTCAGAGTCAAACTGAAACCAAGTTGGGGCCGGATTATAGGATAATATACGGATATCGGACAGTGAGTGCGATTATCATTACCTCTGTATTTGGCCTCTTCTCACATTTGACTATGCCTTCTCCATCATGTAGAAAAACATATGCTACTCGCGATCGAGCTGTGCGAGCCCGATCACACGTTTGTCGCTATTTCCTTCTCTGCGACCTGAGGACCTGATTATCACGTTGGCTCCCGCAATACTTTTAGTACCTTGACACCAAAGAAGATCCGGCCACCCGATGGGAATGCTCGGAAAGGGATATCAGTTTGAATCGAAGATGTAGTGAGGTAGATGAAGCCGATGTACCTCAGAAGGATTCAGGTCGGAGCACAAGCAGGCTTATTCACGGAGGTATGTAGACGCGGTACCATCTTTAAACAAGTTCTGTTTGTGTTGACTATTTCTGCAGGGACATGATCGGGAGTAAATGATCTCATCGTCTGCCACCCATTGCACGTTGTATTTCTTCGCAGGGAATATCTCAACCTATTTGAACATGTCTCAGATGGATCATCACTCACTGACTTAACGTCTCCTGAAAGTTCTTCGCGCTCTTACGCAAACACGCTCGGCAGGACGTCGACCTCAGCGACATGCACCGGATGCCCCTTTGTTCTCGAGGTCGACGATATGCTCTTTTCCTCTCCGGAATGAAGTTATCTGTTGCAGACTATGGGTGATTGTGATGACTAACAATGTCGTTTGGTATGTCCTGATCATTAGTTTCTCCGAAAAGGTGCTGAAAGTGATATACAATCAGAAGCGACTCGAGACAATGACGAAATTCTTCAAATAGTTGTTCTATCGAGTCAAACTTCTGAAAGCCTCGCACTCCGAGGGCTGTCTATGCTGTACGATTCCCATTCTTTCCTTGTGTTTACTCTTCCTTACGTTGTATAGCTTGAGTCGCCAGGTCTAGTATCCCCAATTACAATCTCATCACACCCTTACGCAACTATTAAACTTATAAACAACGGTCGTAGCTACGATGTCCCAGGGCTTTTGTCACGAGCATTCCTGACGATATTGTTGATTGGTGACGCTCGATAATGACGACCATCGATGCATGGTTCTACTCTAATCATGCAGCTGATACCTTTGCGGTCTCCTCAATGGTCATGTAGCTTCTCCTGGACACACTCTTGTCGAATGTTCCAATCTTTCTATGCCTTCTCGCTGTGGAAACGGCCAGGAGGACAACACTGGCATATGGAGCCGCCTGAAAGGCTATGTATGTCACACGCACCGCCGACCTTATACATTCCACTTATGCTTTCAGATGCCCTTGCTGCGCATTTTAGATGAAAGCGTCTCTACCGCTTTACCACCGTCGACTTTGGGCGTTGCAAGAACTGGTCGCCCAGCTCAATCCGCTTCTATACTATTTTTTGCGATCAGATTAAAACTTCTGAACTAATTCTATGGATTTTTAGTGCACCTAACTCGATCTGGAAACGTACTATTAGATCGAGTTGCTGGTATATTGCTGATGTGCCCTTGAGACTCAGTGTTCGACACGGATAGGCCCCGTACAGCTTCAATGTGATGGACTGCGGATCGTGGCATGTCATTCATTGACTCGTCCTTGTCTCGAAGCTTGCATACCTATATAAGATCCGTGCATCATGCGTTGCATTGTCTCTCGATACCCCGCAATACCCGACAACTAGTATTCTACCATGTCCGATGCCAACTTCGCCCCCGCCTCCGCCTCCGATTCCAACATTCTTAGTCTCGTTCTCACTCCCAACAATCCAGTTAATACTACACTTGTTACCGAAGAGGGCAAGGCGTACTATACTGTATTCACGGAGCATACGAACAAAGCATCATTTACTCAAGTGCGGGATGTCAACGAGGAAATTATAGGATCTCTGGAATGGAGGGATACTCTCCCTGATAAGGTTACCTATGGACGTAACAAGACTGTGTCAATATGGGATTGGATGAAGAAGAGTATCATCCCATTTAAGGCGTACGTACACTGGCATATAATCCAGTGGTAGACAACAGCGACTTACCGATGCACCCAATATAGTGACATCTCGTTCTCTGACGATCAGAAACGATCATATAAGTGGAAAGGCAATTCTGCTGGACGTAGTCTCGAGGTTATATCTATTTACCTACCTTCTTTTCTTTACTTCTCACCCGTGTATATGAACAGCTTTGGACCTCGGACTCGATAGCTCCAATCGCACTCTTCCACGCACCTCGTCGTCTTCCCAATCCGGAAGACAAATCACTGCCTCCGATTTGGACGAAGGCGAAGCTCATACTCAATACTCGAGCACAAGAGATCCAGGATCTCGTTGTAACGAGTTTCCTGTTCTTGGAGAAGAACAGGCGGATGAACGAAACTACGAGTCAGAATGCAGCGGATTTTCGTGGTTTCCTCCACTCAGTAGGCCCAGTCCTTTAGGAGATTACAAGGTTAGGAATCTCGGGGTTGGCAGATTGTGCTACACGCTTTCTCTATACCGTACCATATTTTACGAGCCATATGGAAGCCAAAAGGTGATAAGTACATAGTAACAGAGCGCTTGGCGCCGTGGTAGCGTGAATGCTTTGCATCATCAAGGATGTGCGTATACAGTCTCCGCCGCGGGCCAAAACGATACCTTCTTTACTCTATAATACATTCTCTGCTGATAACGGGTTCACCAGCATAGTGGAAAGGTTTCAATGATCCGATGGCCCCCTCAAGCTGAATACATATCAAACCTCGTCTCAAGCTGAGATCTGAGAGCCCGAGTAACTCCTGAAACCAATCTGGGGCCCAATTATAGCATAATATACGGATACCGGGACTGTGAGTGCGATTTTCATTGCCTCCATGTTCGGCCTCTTCTCACATTTGACTTCTCCATCTTGCTCCATCGTGTAGAAAAACATATGCTACTAGCGATCTAGCTGTACTCGCCCGCTCACACGTTCAATGTCGCTATGTCCTTCTCTGCGACCAGAGGACCTGGTTATCGTGCTGGATCCCGCAGTACCTTCGGAGCCTTGAGAAGATCCAGCCATATTTACACAAGTTCTGTTTGTTTTGACTATCTCTGCAGGGACATGGTTACGAGTGAATGATCGCGTCGTTTGCCAGCTATTACACGTTGTGTTTGTTCGCAGGGAATATCTCAACCTATCTGAACGTGCCGCAGATGGATCGTCGCTCACTGACTCAATTTCTCCCCAAATCCCTTCGTGCACTTACATTAACACACTCGACTGAACCCTCACCTCAACAACGTGCACCAGACGCCGGTCTTACATGTAGCGCTCCTTTGTTCTCGAGGTCGACGATGCGCTTCTCCCCTTTCCTCCGGAATGAAGGTATTTGTCGCGAGTTGTGCATCATTGTTTGCACCAGCGATGTCTTTTGGTATGTCCTGATCGGCATTTTCTTCGAAAAGTGCTAAAAGTGGCAAACAATCAGAAGCCAGTATCCAAATATTTAAAGGGTTATTCTATCGAGTCGAACTTCTCAAGTCCTCGCACTCTGAGGGCTAAGCCACGCTGTACGATTCGCATTCTTTCCTCGAAAGGTATTTGTATATGATATTCCTCCTTGAGTTGGCTTGGCTACATTGTAGCATCAGTCGCCAGGTCTTCGTTGCTCGAATTCCAATCTCATCATACCTTCGCACGACTGCTGAATCTATGAACTTTGGTCGCAGCTATAGTGTCGCAGTGGTTTCATCATAAGCATTCCCGACGATATTGTTCATTGGCGATGTTCGATACTGATAACCATCGATGCATGGTTCTACTCTAGTTATGCAGCTAATACCTTTCAGTCTCCTCAATGGTCATGTGGCTTCTCCTGAACACACTCTTGTCGAACGTTCAAACCTTCCTATGCCTTCGCTGTGGAAACGGCCAGGAGGACAACATTGGCATATGAAGCCGCCCAGTGAAAGGCTATGCTTGTCACATGCCAGTGCACCGTCGGCCTTATACATTCCACTTATACTTTCATGTCATTCCAACGCGACTTCTGAGATCCGATGCCTAACTGTTGCCCTGACTGCGCAATTTAGATGACGGCGACTCTATCACTGTCAACTTTGGGTGTTGCAAGAACTGGTCACTCGGCTCAAACCGCTTCTACAGGTGTCTCTTTCTGACTAGATTTAAAAGTTCTGAACCAATTCTGCAGATCTTTAGTGCACCTAGTCCAATCTGGAAACATACTAGATTGAATTGGTGGCATGTACGCCCTTGGGACTCAGTTTGACACGAATAGGCACCGTACAGCTTCAATGTGATGGGCTGCGGATCGTGGCATGTCATGGATTGACTCGTCCTTGTCTCGAAGCTTGCATACTTATATAAGATTCGTGCATCATCCATTGCTCCTCGATAAACCGAGATACCCCACAACTAGTATTCTACCATGTCCGACGCCAACTCCGCCTCCAATCCCAACATTCTTAGTCTCGTTCTCACTCCCAACAATCCAGTTAATACTACACTTGCTACCGAAGAGGGCAAGGTGTACTATACTGTATTCACGGAACATACGAAGAAAGCGTCCATCACCCAAGTCCGAGATGCGAACGAGGAAATTGTAGGATCTCTGGAATGGAGGGATACTCTCCCTGATAAGGTTACCTATGGCCGTAACAAGACTGTGTCGATATGGGATTGGATGAAGAAGAGTATCGTCCCATTTAAGGAGTACGTATGTGCAATCCAGTGGTAGGACAACAGCGACTTACCGATGCATATAATATACTGTAGTGACATCTCATTCTCTGACGATCAGAAACGGACATATAAGTGGAAAGGCAATTCTGCTGGACGTGCTCTCGAGGTTCGGTTTTTTTAACCTACCTTTTTTCCTTTCTCACTTAAAGTATGCATATGAACAGCTTTGGGCCTCGGACTCGACGGCTGCAATCGCATTCTTCCACGCACCTCGTCGTCTTCCCAATCCGGAAGACAAATCACTACCTCCAATTTGGACGAAGGCGAAGCTCGTACTCGATACTCGAGCACAAGAGATCCAAGACCTTGTTGTGACGAGTTTCCTGTTCTTGGAGAAGAACAGGCGGACGAATGAGACCACGAGTCAGAATGCAGCTGATGTTCGCGGTGCTCCTCCGCTCAGTGGGCTCAATCCTTTAGGAGATTACAAGGTTAGAAATGGTGGGGTTGGCAGATAGTGCTATACATGTGTTCTTTATAGTATATACTACACTCGAGCCATACGAAAAATAGATAACCGAAACTTTCGTTCACAAGGGCGCTTGGCGCAGTGGTAGCGCGAATGCTTTGCATCGTTAAGGATGTTAGGCCTGTGGGGCTTGAACGTTGAATGATGTGCATTAGGTCGAGGGTTCAAACCCCTCAGCGTCCATCAGATAATGTCCAGAAATGCTTTTTAATTACCCACGCGTGTGCTTGCCTCGCTGAGGAGGCGTGGAAAGGACTTTGACCGGACTCCTGCACTCGGCATCTCAGTCTATGTGTGGTACCCTTTGCTGCAATTGCATCATACTCAGAATACCCTGAGGTACTCACAGTGGGCCACTGTGCAAGTACCCGTCTTGAAAAAGAGGCGATTCTCGAGACAAAACTAATACATGCACTCTGAAAGTTAGCCCTGCTTACTTGAATGCCTCCGGCCGTACATAGCCCTCGTCTCTGATGAACTCATTCTGGAATCTACTTGATTGGCTTTTACCCTCAGTACGATTATCTGACGATCTGGCCGACCCAGAAGCACTCACTGATAACGGTTTCGCCGACTCGCCATCTTCCTATCCTCCTCACAGGTTTCGCTCGCAGCCACAGGTCGTGGATCGCTCTAGAGGTCAGTGGGACTGGCAGAGGGAGCGGGAAAAGGAGAAGGAGAGGGAGAGGGAGAGAGAACGGCAACGTGAACAAGAGCGAGAGCGAGAACGGCAGCGTATACTTGCTTTGGAACGCGACAATGCCTTGCTCGTTCAGAGGGTTTCGCAGCTCGAGCAGGAACTACAGTCCACTCGTCATACGATGTCTACGCTGAACTTCTTAGCTTCTCCAGGTCCTTCTGCCTCTCTTCCTCCGGGCATTCCTTCTTCGCCACCTGCAGACCCTACTGCGCTACGTAACGCGTATGAGGCGTTATTGTCCTCTTACAATCTCACTCAGCATGCTCTTTCAGATCGTGCGGAGGAGGTCACCAGTCTACAGTCATTCCTAACCAAGACAGATGACTTCTCTGGTGCCCAACTAATTCAGGCACTTCGAGACCTCAACTCAGAGATTGTTCACTTGGCTGCATCTGTAGCAGAAGAGTTTGGATCCTCGATGGACCGTCGCGTGGACCTTACGCGACAGTCTGACCGTGAACTTGTGACCAATGCTCTCGGACCCGTTATAGCCAACTTACTAGCCTCGAGGGAGCATACCAGTGACCCCACGCTAGTACAGTTTGCCGTGCAGGCTTGGGAGATTGTTTGCATAGGGAGGGTGCTTGAATCGTTTTGCTTCGGGCTTCCACCAGATGTGGACCAAGCATTGTCCAGGATATTCCACCATATGCACCTATCAGGTATGTCACCCTTTCCACTCCTCGATATGTTTACACTCGACTCCACGCTAACTTCATGTTGTAGAACCCCAACCGACAACTTCCCGCTGGAGAGCCCTTACACACTCTCACGCCCGCGCTCTAATTGCCTCCTCTTCTCCACCCAGCTCTCGTTCCCCATCTCCATTCCAAGCCCTCACAGAATCCAACCTCCGAGGCCTTCTCGCCATCTTAGCCATCGCCGGCTGTACCGACCCTCGTGCCATTCACCGAGATCCCCTTCGAGAACGCTTCGGCGCCTCACTCAACCGTATCGGCGAACGCGTCGAACGGCTTGCAGTTGCTACAAAAGAGGGCGTCATGTCCGCTGCTTTCGATGTGGTGTGGCTAGGCCCGAGTAAACAAGCGCCGCATTTTGATTCGGGGATGATGGACAATGTGTATGCGGGACATGGAAATGAGCAGGGGAATGTGTTGTGTACTGTTGAGTTTGGTCTGATGTGTGTGAGGAGAGTTGGTGGAGCTGGGGAAGGAGAGACGAATGGGAATGGGAATGGTGTAGGTGTACCAACAAATGGAGTCAAGAGTAATGATGCGGTGAACGGATACGCTAAGGTGAATGGCCATGGACATGCGCCAAATGGTTCTGCCAAGGTTCAGACTGGGGACGGTGTCATGGCTCGCAGTTTGCTCTTGAAGCCGAAGGTCTTGCTTGACTCTGTGGCGGAAATTCTATGACCAGCAGGTAATCACTTGAAGCTATATTATGAAATACGTCACGCTTACTTGGTTATTCCTCTATAGCTTCCATCTCGCTTACTTTCTCTTACCACCAAAACTACTCCTTCCATATACGCCTCATCCTGCCACTGTGCGCCGATGTAAGTTATCTATGGGTCGCGTTGTGCGATCCGTAATACTGTTGTACTATTATGATACCTTTTTGCTTTATGTCGTGGATGTTCTCCTGCTTTTGCTTTACTTGCATCATACCTACCGTAGACATATACCCTGTAATAATCATTGGGCCTGTTCGTTACTGATGTACTTGTACACAATTCGATGATCTAGCCAAGACCGATATCTACTCTCTTGCACTCTCACCACCATTCTGCCCTACGGTAGCTAATTTCCCAATACCGTCATTCTAATGCCGCTTACACATAAAGAGGGAAGAACTGTGATACATGCCAGGGGGTCGTGTTTCATCGAAAGGAAGAATCGGATCACTATAAATATGGACTATTATTGTTGGGCCCGGCAACAAACTTACTTTCTCCCAACAGCCTCCGTCAAGCTCCCAACTAGATATCTTGACGTGGCGTTGACCTCCACACTCTTTTGGATCCAAGCATTATACCCCCCATCGTCTTGATTAGAAACAACATGGCAACCTACGAACCGGCACCTGTACCAAATTTGGCGGATAAAACAAAACCACAGGGTACGGACTTGACACCGAAGCAGAAGGAAGCATTGGATAAAGTGCTAGCACATTTCTCGGATCCGGATTATAAGCTACCACAGGTTGATGCCGAGAATTCAACTCTGAGCGATGAGGAGAAGTTTTGGTTGGTATGTTTCGGCATTGCATTCGAATTAAACCGTTGTGGGCCTGACGAACTTGATGTCACTCGGATGTAGTCCTATGAATGTATGCTTCGGTAAATCAACCCATCATCACATACAATTATCTATGTTGTACTTATGAATCGTACAGATATCTCCGTGCAACGAAGTGGGCTGGTGCAGAGCAGGCCATCAAGCGACTAGAGGATACCCTTCGGTGGAGGCGCCAGTTCGGGCTTTATGACAAAATAAAGGCAGAGTATATCGAACCAGAGGTATGTCACCCCGCCCCTCTAACTCATTGGATGCATCTTGTTTACAGTAAACGGGTTACATTCAGGCAGTGACGGGGAAGATGATCACGTATGGGTTCGACGTCGACGGCAAGCCAGCGTTATACCTCGTTCCCAGCCGTCAGAACACGACTGAGAACCAACGACAAATCGAGTTCACGTTCTGGATACTCGAGAGAGTTATTGACTCGATGGGACCCGGCATAGAGTGCGTTTTCTCAAACTCGTTCACAGCACGTCGAACTCGCCTAACCCAATAATTATCCTTGTACTTCAGAAGTCTGAATCTCATGATCAACTTTGCCGACAGGGCGAGAAACCCCTCCCTCTCAACGTCTCGAACGGTACGTCAATTACACTACCCATAGACATTCATTGAACGGCAGCCCACCGTGACTCACACATGCATATCGCAGGTCCTAAACATCCTCCAAACACATTATCCCGAACACCTCGGCCGAGCCATCATCATCAACGTCCCCTTCCTCATCAACGCATTCTTCAAGCTCATCACACCCTTCGTCGACCCCGTCACCCGTGTCAAAATGCGTTTCAATCCCCAAGTAGTCCAAGAAGGCATCTTCGCTCCAAACGCAGTTTGGAAGGAGTTTGGCGGCGACGTCGATTTCGTTTACGAGCATGAGAAGTACTGGCCGGCTTTGAACAAGATGTGCACTGAGAGGAAGCAGAGGCATATGGAGCGTTGGCGGCAATTGGGCGGAACGGTTGGATTGAAGGAATGGGATACACGTCGTGAGGTCACTTCGAATGGTCAAGCGGTAGAGCCGAAGGTTGAGGTACCATTGGATGACGAACTCGAGACAGAGATCAATGGTGAATCAGAGAAGGTTACTGCTATCGAAGAAATCACTGAGGTCTCGGTAGGAATTGCTGCGTAGATGGTTATATATCGTCTCTGGTCGCAGAAGATTGTGTTACTTTGTGCTCGTTTCCCTGTTTGTCTCATTGCCTGCATTTTAGAGTAGATATCTCTCACTATTTCACTCACATTGATACCTTTCGGACGCTTTGAATAACGGGTAGAGGGTAATCCCCATATATTATACCGCTAATATTTACTTGTACAAGTGTGAAGTCTACTCCTCTGCTTCGCCGGCAGCAATGACGTCGTCTGAAAACTATGTCAGCTCAGGCCAATACTGGGAATAACACACGTTGCTTACCGATCTTCAAAACTGCTCGGACAAGTTGAGTCGCAAGCAAGTATTGCTGTCTCTTCAAGATTAGAGGATCGTAAACACTTTGCTTCCTCATGTCTATTTGACAACCCATCAGCATCGCACATATACATAGAGTCGAGAGTGACAAACCGTTTTCCCCCTTGCCCAGACAGTCGATGCCGAGTGCCGAGTTACCCTCATGGACGTGACGGCTCTTCACTTCGGCCAAGGTATCAATGGGTGACAGACCGCTGTTCTCTGCCAAAGCGAGAGGAACAGCATCTAACGCGCTCGCAAATGCACGCATTGCGTATTGTTCAATCGTTGGGATCTATACAACAAGTCAGACGTCTGCATATAGACCGAGAGCAACCACCATGAAACGAACCTCATCTGCTGCCTTCGAGACTGCTAATGAGCAGCTGATCTCTGCAGCACCACCACCATAGACGATACGGTTGTCGGTGATCATATTCCGCACGGCGCAGAGCGCATCATGAAGAGCACGCTTCGCCTCATCGACAATCTATCAGAAAAATCAGCTGCGTCATTCACAATGCCTGAAATACGCGTGGATTACCATCTTGTTGCTACCTCGAACGAACACAGTAACTGCTCGCGCGTTGGCACACTCCTCAATCACAAGCATTTTGTCCCTGGTAGTACCGAAGGAGAGTTCGCGGACGATACCGGCGTAACCAAGCTTCTCTGGTGTAAGGTCTTCGAATCGGGGGACAATGCGGCCGTTGGTCGCAATGGCGATGAGCTGCAAGAGGTTACGCAATTGTGAAGCCATGGAAGGAACCTTATACGTACCTCGATCTCGGGGCCGCCTACCCATCGAACAGCCGGCAACTCATTCTGCATGAGCAAATGATTTGCTTCATCGTCGAAGCCCCACTGGCAGATGACAAGGTTTGCGCCGGTATCTTTCACCTGCCTGATCATCTCCTGGAACTTGTCATGCTCATACTCCCGCAGCTTCTCGTACTCCTCCACGCTGGTGATGTCAAGTTTATGTTTGGTTTTTGGACGCGGAGGCTCGAATGGGCAGGTGAGAATAGCAATCTTGGCGTCCTTGACGGTGCTGGGCATTTGAGGGTGTGACATGTCTTTGTCGATAAGTACACCCTTGATGAGTTTGATATCTGCTAGTGAGCCGCCAACTTTGCCGTCGACCTTGATGAGGTCGAAAGGAACGTCTTTCCGTTCGAGATCAGCAACTGCGAGAACAGCATCTACGGCAATCTGAGCGAATTGGTCGTGCTCTTTTGAGACGCTATTAAGAAGTTTGTTAGGAGATGCACCGACTGAAAGATTTAGATAACGCAGTATGATGTACATCTTGCTTCCCAAACTCGTCTTAGCAGTTTTGAAGAGGTTTGTGGTATCCTCAGGAGTGAATGCGACACGGTCTGAAATTCGATCAAGCTGCTTAACCGCAACTGAACATGCCCTTTCAAAACCATCTGCTATTCGAATCGGATGAATGCCTCGATCCAGGAGTTCTTCACTCTGTTCAAGGAGTGCGCCAGCAAGAACTATCGGCCACCATGAATAGCATTCCAGAGAAGGACGATTATCATTACGCACCAACTACACCAGTCGTCCCATCTCCGATCTCATCATCTTGGCTTTTGGACAGCTGCACAAGTAGTTTTGCGATTGGGTGTTCGACCTCCATTTGACCAAGAATGGTGGCACCGTCGTTGGTAACCGTAATATCGCCATCAGCAGAAATGAGAATCTTGTCAAGACCTATAAAGGTGAATTTCAAGTAAATCGAGAGAAGCTTAAGACCGAGGAGACCTACCTCGGGGACCAAGGGATGTCCGAATGATATTCGATACGGTACGCGCAGCGAGAATGTGAGACTACATGTTACATTGGGTTCAATTTGACCATACGGATTATAACATATTGGAACAACATACTCTGATTGCTTCTACACCATGGCTCCGAGTCTTCTTCGCCTGTTCACGAAGGATGATGAAAGGACGACCATACTGCACAGACAACGCTTCAGTACTTCACACTTAGTCAATCCGAATATTATGTACCTCGTCCGTAGCATACATAGCTTGGTGTTCCGCCATCTTGAGCTATGTGCAGAGTTATGAAACAACTTCAGAAACGCGTCGACCTGCCATTAGAGACAGTCACGCAGTCACAAATGGCGCTTCCTGTGACCATCGCTCGATTTGGCAATCTGGTTAGGGTTGAATCATGCACGCCCAGTTCTCTCTAGGCTCATCAAAAGGAGTTGAATAAAAAAGAAATTTGACATTGCATTCCGGTCAGAGACGTCTACCCCAAAATCAGAATATTACAAGAAAACGAAAGGAGGTATAGTTCTTGATTTGAGGATACACGATGTACATATACGGGGTGCTGTATGTATGTGACGATACTGTATGACACCGAGGGCAGAGAGCAAGTCCGATGAGTGTAACAAAGAATATAATCACTGATGCAGTGTTTATCGATGTGAACAAGCTGTCTGCATATCAGAGCAAGGAAGATGAGACGTACCAGGAAATAGTCCGGCACACGCCGTGAAACGAGAGGCTCTCCAGCGCGCGGCGCAGGATCGAATTGTAGGCTAACATTCACAAAGTAAGCATAAACTGTAGGCAAATTAAAAGAGAGAGACACTCACAAGCTGTAGGATAATTTTTCATCAATCTCCATGATCGCTGCTTGATTACCACAGCGGTAGCAGTAATTTGGTGCTGAGAAGATGGTGACGACATTCCTGTCTTGACCCCAGTTATAGCCTAGCGATGGGCGAGTACGTCAAAAAAATGAAGTTAAGCGCACGACATGTCAAACTTACCCTCCATAACAAGTTGATGTGCTCGAGCGACCAGCGTCAAGCCATTGTTATGGTTGAAGGCCTCACTGATGTCCTGCCCAAACGTATAGCCAGCCCCTCTTGGTGATATCCCCCAGCCGCATCGATCGTCGGGATCCGACCATAGCAGGTCGCACATTGGGCCTTCGTGAGGTACTTCTTGCACCCGATCTATCGACCGCACGTGGTCAAGGGTATCAATTGAAGGTGAAAGACCGCCGTGCAAGCAGAAGATCTAAGAGTAAACGTCACGCGATGAGTTGCCATCATAAATAACAGTAACCACGAGGACTGACCTGGTTCTCGATGAGAGCCGTGAGGGGTAGATAGTCGAAGAGGTCGGTAAAGTACCGCCAGACGTTTGCGTTACCGTATTTTCGGAGACACTCGTCGTAGAATCCATACACTTGCGTGATTTGTCGCGACTCGTGGTTTCCGCGGAGGATCGTTACGCGATCGCGGTAGCGCAGCTTCAGCGCGACCAAGAGGGTGACGGTCTCGACCGAGTAATATCCTCGGTCAACATAGTCACCCATGAAGAGATAATTGGTGTCGGGCGAGTTGCCGCCAATACGGAACAATTCTGAAAGATCATGCTATTTACATGACATCCGATCAATGCACCACCAGCATAGCAAGGGAGTAGGTTGAAGAGAACATTGAATCAATGCCGTAATGCGGAGTAGGAGGTGGGACGCACAAATTGACCATGAATATCACCGCATACGGTTACAGGACACTTCACAGGCTGCACATTTGACTCTTCCATTAAGATCTCCCGCGTCTAGGTATTGCAAACGTCCTCAGCATGAATATGCTGCACGAGCACAAGACCAGGAGAGCAATATCCAAGCGAAGGTGGCGTCTGGCCTTATCTGGATCGGAAAGTAGAACAAACATACCTTGTCGCATAATCGCTTCACGTCGGCTTCCGTCAGCTGTTTGCACTGACTGAGTTGCGCAATCCACCCATCTATTTCCTGTTCCATGATGTTTTATGGACGATAATGATGAAAAGTAAAAGGATCTGGGTGAAGGGTAGAAATCTAGTATGATGCGTGGTGTAAGCTACGAATGCAAGGCCTCCTCTATGGCGGAGAGGTGACGTGACAAAGAGGCCCATACTGGGATGTCACAAACCGTGGGAACCTCCTTCCTTTATCTCACCACTCGCAGGACTGAATCCAAATACGCCTCTTGCACTCTCTCCATTACATCCTACAGACGTTTCTCTCGTCTGCCCGCTCTTTAACACTCGAATCACTCGCATCACCTAGAAAACTTTACGAAGTACTAGTCTTAAACTTACCGAATCCAATATGCCAAAGGTTAGTCATGATTTCTCTGACATCGGAACTTCTTACTGATCAAGCGATTCGACTATCCAGAACAAGGGAAAGGTTGGTAATTGCTGTATTCCTGGGGGGAATACCACTGACAAAGATTTCTGTTATACAGGGTGGAAAGAACCGGAGACGTGGAAAAAACGAGAACGACGACGACAAGCGTGAGCTTGTGTTCCGCGAGGATGGTCAGGAATATGCCCAAGTTATCAAAATGCTTGGTAACGGACGTCTTGAAGCCCAATGCTTCGATGGCGAGAAGAGATTAGCGCATATTCGAGGAAAGATGAGGAAAAAGGTGTGTATATGCGTCTGGCTATTCTTCATGCTGCATTACTGATCGTGCATACAGGTCTGGATCAACCAGGGCGATATCATTCTGCTATCGCTGCGAGAGTTCCAGGATGACAAAGCGGATGTCATTGTCAAGTACACCGCTGATGAAGCTCGTTCATGTACGTTGCAAAGTTCTTCTACGATTGTGCAGGTATGCTGACCAATAATTTAGTGAAAGCATATGGCGAGCTGCCAGAGAATGCAAAGATCAACGAGACGGAGACCTTCGGCGACGAGGAGGGCGAGTGCACGTTCGAGTTCGGAGACGACGAGGAAGTCGATATCGACGAGATCTAATCGACGGCAATAAGTCATCTGTATCTCTCTATTCATGGTTTCGGTATGCCACATTGTTTAAGTGTCTTAGTTCCTTTAATTAACTTCCTTCGTAGATGTACGGTGTATCTCTTGCTCGCTGTTGTTTGTTTTCATATAGTTCTATTTCGTCACGATCATCATGTTTTCGACCCCATTCAATACACCTGTCCATCTAGATGTTTCTCACTTGGATCAATGCGAGATATGACCATCCTGTTCGGCCCTACAAACTCATCTAGCTAATAAAGCTGCGTGGGCATTCTTCTCTTCGTGCGCTGAGGCCTCGAGTGCAATTCGACATGTAGAGTCATATCGCGAGGTGGTGCCGAGCCAGAATGCGATCCTGAACGCCGCGTCTTCTTTCCCTCTGTCGGCAGAGTTGATGAACTTTGCAGTGCGACAAGGTTGAGATGTCGAAAGTTGTGTGCGGAATGACCTGAGTTCACAACACGACGCCATTGGATGTCTGAAGTCATGAGTGTTAGAGTTTGTGAAATATTATGTGCAAGAGAGAGGAAACATACAGCTTTCAGATGAAATGGAGAGCGGACTCATCCATTATTGTCTTATCAACCTTCAACCAGTAGGTGTCCTAGATCAAGGAGACATCATCATGATGGTTTGCATATCCGGGACGCAGCCCTTCTCGTTCATGAAGTATTCTACGATGGACCTGGCGTCGCATCGAACAGCGATCTTGAGCATATCCTGAGTAACGGCTAGTCTATCCTCCAGCCTTCTCTTCTTCGCCCTGTTCGGTTTTGACATTGTCTTTCCTTTCGGGGAGGGGCCATCCCTAATCTCTACACGAGCTTTCTTACGGTCCTTTGGTGCTTCCAGAACGGGGACTGAGCCATCACGCTCGATGAGTAGCTTGACCAATTCCAAATCCTTCTGCTGAATAGCCACCTTGACTGCTAGCCCGCCTTTGCATCCAGGATTAGCTCCGTGCTCGAGTAAGAAACGTATGAGCGGGGTATGTCCGGCGGCAACAGCCTTAGTCAGGGCATACCCGTCCCATGCATTCATATTCGGCGGGTGTAGGCGTGGATGGTCATCGATGTATCGTAGAAATGGTAATGGGTAATCATCACGAGTCCACCCTTCGTCCCGCTGTCGTTTGTCCCCCGCACGCGACCCCGACTTCGGTTGAAGTGATCGAAAGAGTCTGCGTGGAAGCTCCGTCGCCCACGAGATGTCCTGAGAAGCGACGGTGTCGGAGAGGCCTCGGAAGATAGCCTCCAGTACATGCTGATCACAGAAAGGGTACCGTAGACTCTTGACCACGAGATTGAGCCCATAATGCCTGGATATCAAATACTGTGATAGCACGGATGTGGGTGCAGATTTAAAGACAGCATAAAAATGCTGCGAGACCAGCGGGAGGTTCTCCGATTGGCCATACATGAAAATCTCGTACAGGAGCTGTGAAACATACTGAGGAAACTTTACAATGACCAATTGACAGAAACGCACCTCAACCGGTAAGTTCTGCAGAGACATTGCTCAGGTTTCACGTCAGCGCTACAGCCTTTCTATGAAGAAAGAGTGGCGTATTGAATAGCGTACAATTGTGTACGAAGGAGAATTCTAAGTAGACGTAACGAAGTAGTCAGTGCATGTGAAGTGCGAGTAGTAAGTACATGTTTGGCCAAGTATGCGCCTTCTAATTCTCGTCTAGACGGCAATTCCCGCTTTACCTCTGTTCGTCGAACTTTGATGCGACAAGGGAGCCCGTCGTCGTCGTACGCCACTGCCACACTCATAAATGCCGGGAAGGTAGCTAGCGGTTTGCATATTGCTCTCAATTATGGAACATATGCAATGCATAATTATGGAGAGCATCCGAACATACTTATGTTACTCAGGCTGTCATAGGGACAGACACGAGGCCGATGGTCGTCTCCGGAAAATCACCACCTCCATTGTGTCGGGATATCGTGTTACAGGCAATGCAGTATTATGTGGATGGTTATCTGTCTCCAAAAGAGCTTGATTGCGAGGATGTAGTGTTTAATGAGAATTTTGCAAGTGTGCTTCCTTCCTCGTCGTTGAACGCTGAAATTTGAATGCAAAGTGCCACTTCAGCCATGGATACGGCAACGAGGTGTGTGTATAAGGAAAGATTGCCTTCCGATTGAGGCTGGATCGAGTCCAGCCCAGATGTATGAAGGTGAGTAACCTGAGCTCCAATATCAGAGGCATTCTTGTCACCAGCTCCCACAGCTTTCTTGCTCAGCCTGTCCTCACAATGGGTCGTGCCTCATTAATGCACCTAGTCATATGGTTCAGGAGTGCCAAGAACCGCAGTACAATCACGCCTGAGTAGACAATGATTAGGACGCCATTTCGAGGTTTAGATCTTCGCACCATTTGTCGAATTGTCATTGAACTAAATCGGCTTATATCCAGTGCTGTTCAGAGTACAGTAACAACGGCCAACTCATGATTTTTTTTCTGAGTTGACCGGTATTCTGTTAGTTGTGAACGCTGTTTTCCAATTTCGCTTCCGTCGAGAGACTCCCGAGTAAAACTGCCGTGACATTTTGAGAAGCTTAGGTCGTTGACAAATGAACACGATGCAGGTCGGTCTCACAACGCCAGCGGTCTTTCAAGCACGGAACGACATACGAGTGCCCTTCCGCTGAACAATCTGCCTTCGATTCCGTGTTCATCCGGTCCACTTCCTCTCACCTGTGGCCGGCGTTATGGGTCGTTTTATTTTTACCATAGGTATACGTCAACTTCGGTGAAGCATTGAACGGCATAGACCGGACTAAGCGTTGTCTGGCAATTATGCTTATCGTTCCTCGGTACTGCTGGCCTAATCCAACCATGAATCACACCCCTCCAATTGCTACGCGGATCAGGATAAATTTCCAACACAATTATGCCTCGACTGTACGTGCGAACAGTCCTTTGTACATGCCTCCCGCCAGTGATGTTCACCCTTCGTAGTTTTAAATTCGGCGTCCATTGCATTCGCTACGAAAGTCGACTTGGTCGCCCAAGGGAGTGGCCCGTCGCCTGAGACTCCGGGTGTCGCGAGAGGGCGTTCTCCATGCGTATACCTTCTTCATCCGATTTCTGCTCTTCCGAAGCTTGTAATTTAACGGTGCAGGTATCACAATACTCGTTCCTGCTTTCCCGTTCGTTCCAAACGAGAGTCTGATCGGACAGGCGGGGGCAGTGTGAGGCACAACGGCCTCTGGTTGCAGTGGTTGTTCTTCAGGTTATCTCTTCTTTTCACCGATTCTTCCTACTAACTTTTCCCACTCCCGGACCTTCTTGGTACCTTTGTCATGGGGACTCATGCGGAATCTCTACCAGTAGACGTTCCAGAAGTGAGTACAGTGGTCCCAAGTACGTGTATGATTGTGCTCAACGTAATGCTGCATTGCAGGGTACGTTTCTGTTTTTCCCGACACAACATACCAAATATACGGACTCATTGTAAGTCCACCCAGCGTCACGGTAGGTCCCTTTGCCTAAGTCAGGTTGTCCCTTCATTCATGCTCTGCCATTTGTATCAGAGACTGCTTCTCGTCCACCGCTCCGATATGCGACCTCACGTACCTGGTCTACCGCCGCCGCCGATCCTACAATACAGACTGGGATATCCCGCTTTGTTCCAGCAACTTCCGAAAAACAATGTCGGTGGATCTATCCAGGTACATCAGCGCGTGAAAGGGGCTCGGGATCAATTTGTGTTGATCTTTGCCCCGGATTCTAGCCTGCACACTTGCCAGTCCACATTCCTTCTGTCGCATCCCTGCCGACGTCCGGCTCGCCAACGAACAGCTCGCGTCAGGTCTTCTCGGCGAGAAGGGGGATCGCTCAGGCGTTCTCCCACCTGGCGGGTGGGTGGCTATCGAGTCCTTGTAGACCTCATGCAGCACCGCTGTCATTGGAAAACCGTGACAAGGCAGGCGCATGTACTTTGTGGGGGATGTGGTAAGTGTTAAGACCGAAGATCACCTCGACGGGCAGCTCTCCTGAGTCTTCTACTTTTCTTTGGAACGCAAGTGCGTCCACGTCGTTTGGGCCGTGAGGTATCTGGGTAATTAATTTCGCCGGCTGCTCCGTGCCCTGTGTTCGTTTGTGACATTTGTCTAGGCCACATGGCTGGATGTAAGGCGACGTGTCGAACCTGTACATGGGCAGCTTGATAGACAGATCTTCTTTGTGGCGCATTCTTAATCCAATCAACGTTGAATACCCTCAAGGGGTTCGTCCAAAGCGATTCTCAGTGAACTCAATCAAGTCCTGTACGCTGATTGGAAGGCCAGGTATTCCCGCTATCATGCATGCTGCATGCGACAGTCCGGATGCATAGGTGTGGTACGTGCAATGCGAGGAGCGTTCCATGAATATTAGTGACTTGATGCGAACATACACGCTGCTTGTAGACCAGATGTGTTCTTTCCTGCCGTCCTGCATGCCGTCGCTCAAAGATTGCAAACGAGCACGCCGCATGTCAGGCTTTGTTCTCTGCACACCCAAACCTACAAGTACATAGGGATTTTTCTCACATGACGTTGTTCTCGCATCAAACGTGGGCTATTCCAGGATTTCCTCCTAAACCCAATCGGTGCACTGCTGTGGGTGTCGATGCCCCATATGTGGTAGTAGGAGAGTTCAACTATAAAAAATCTAACGTAACATCTGCATGACTCAGAATATACTGCGAAAGGCAAAGGCTCATACCACCGTAGTTTATAGCCGTGGCAGTATCGCCGTAGGGGTTGCATGTAAGCTGACGCTTGCTAAGCATAGTGGACAGTTGCCTACGACTCAATCACATCGCCACTAAGCGAGAGCTGGCTTATTGCACTCATGGTTTACAGGAAGTTTGAAAGCGAAAGGTCCATTATATAACAGTACATATAGTGCAAGATATCAAAACGCTAGAACGCTACACTGGGTAATAAACAACGAGGAGGAAGTGATCAGACAAGAGAGTGGAAACTGGACCGGAATGAAGTGAGGATCAAGCAGAATGCGAGTAATTTAGAAAACGATGGGGAGATACCATATGAGCGTGGTCTAACGTCCGTAAAGAGGCATTGGGATATGTAGTGTATGTACCAATGTAACGAGATGAGGATTGAGAAGTCGAGCATAGTAAGGTGAAATGTGCAGATTGAGTGTATCGACCAACATCACAGAAGTGACCTTGGAGATCGTCACGGTTGTCATGAGAATCCAAGCTTGTGGAACATGCCATCCAAGGTTTTGAAAGCAACTGGCTTGACCAAACTAGAAAAGCATCAACATGCAAGTTAAAACAAAAAAATAAAAATAAACAAAAAGGAACATACTATCCATCGACGCCGGCTTCGAAAGCCCGGCGCTTGTCTTCGAGAGAAGACATGCCAGTAAGTGCGAGTATGCGAGCGGCCTGCGCGTCGCGCCCATTCACATTTGTATTGCCTTTACGCCGAGAGGCTTCAATATTGCGCATCTGAGCAGTAGCCCCAACGCCTAGTGTAACAAATGTACGATCAGAACGGACCTCCCCACCAGAAAGAGGGCACTTACCATCCAACACAGGCATTGATAGGTCTAGAAGCACGACGCTAGGGGGAATTATAGTTATTGGCTGACGTCCGCATCGGATATAACACGACTACCACTCACTCGAAACGGCCGTCCGACTCGAAGACACGAACACCATCAAGACCGTCGGCGGCATCACGGTAGTCATATCCCTTGTTTCTCAACCACTTGATTCTAATAAACAGGGACATCAGCAGAAGCATCACGAGTTAACGAAAAGATCTTACAGGAGATTCCGAAGGATGGCGTTGTCCTCCACTACTAACACCCTAACACCGTTCTTGGCGCTCCCTGTACCGACCGAGGACTTAAGGAGAGTACCTCCAGTACCAACGGCAACTGTAGGACTTGAAGAGTTCTGTGATGTCGCACCTGAATCCGACGTGTAATCTCGATCTGCATCTTCGTCATCCTGCTCCTCTTGAGAGGGCAGCTGCGTCCAACTCGTAGCTGGATGTGCAGTGAGGGCACGGGGACCAAGACTAGGACGGGGAAACACGGCATTGGGATGTCCAGACTCTTCCGAGAACCGACGTGGCAACGGGTTTGAGAAGGGGCTTCGCTCACCCATATCCGGGCTTACAGCGTGACCATTCGAATGAGGAGGGCCAGCGGACAAGGGTTCGGATGTGTACTTCAATTGAGAAGATTCGGCGATATGCAGGGCATGTAGACAAAGCTTGAGCACCGAATATAGACGACATGGCCCAACAGGTTTGTATGCAATCCGGCAGAAGCCACCTATGTGCTCGTAATCTGCGACGACGCTCATCAAGCGGGGGTCTCCACGTGCAGACGACAAGATGATGTAAGGTCGCCGGACGTCCTTCGCCTCAACCGCCCGAGCTACCATGGTGTGGTCTTCGTTTACGATCACGATATCCCCGAGGTCCAGACCTTGCGCGACAGAAAAGCCCCACCTCGAAACAAGATATGACGACAGCACGTTCTGGAGCAAACGTTCTCCTCGATGTGACTCATTGAACCCCACAAGCGATATTGTAGGGCGCCTGAGAGTGTCATACAGCTTCAAGAGTTCTCCATCGTTGTTCGCGCTTTCGTAATCTTCAACGGGCTCTGCGGTAAAGGTTACCCTGATCTCAGTCCCTACACCCTCCACGCTCGAAACATCGACCTTGCCGTCAACACTGCTGGACCGAACTATACTGTTGACAATAGCAAGGCCTAGTCCGGTACCCGTCTGCAGCGGGTTTTCCTGGGAGAATGGGTGGAACAGTTGGTTCTGCGGGTTACAATCAGTACATCATCACGGTAATCCATGAGAAGTATGCTCAGACCTTCAGGAAGTTCTGGCTGATCCCCTGCAACCCGAGATTAGCCGATGCATACAATCAATACATTCATTGACATACCTTGCCAGTGTCAATGACTGAAAGCTCAAGCTTGACAGTGTTAGCTGTGTTGTGATCAGAGCCCGGTGGAAGTTTCCGCAACATAACATGGACGTAACCATCCTACCGAAGATAGCATGAGCGTCACTATACCGCCGGCAAGGAGGGACCGTACCGAAGTAAACTTCAAACTATTCCCGAAGAGATTCATGAGAACTCGGCGAATGCCACCTTTCTCGCATTTGTATATCCATCCCTAACGAAAGTTACAGCTTGAAATTCAAATGATAGGGCAATGGACCTTACTTCTTTATTGTGACCAATATCAATGACAGTTTCGACATGCTTGGGAGTTTCAGTAGGTTGCGCTGCGGCTGGTTGATACGGTTGTCGGTCAGGTGGCGAATACACGCTACCGATTTCAGACGTGAACATTCTTGCACGGTGCCCGATCCAGCATCCTTCGGTTGCTTCTTCCACCAGTTGCATTATATCGACCCTATACAGGCCCCGAGGTCAACACAGACAAACAGACGTCTCGAGTATTCATAACTCAACTTGCTGCGATGAATAATGTTCTCAACGCCGCCAGATTTGGCATTCCCACTGAGCTTTGTGAAATCCAGAACATGATTGACGGTTTCTACTAAGGAAGTACCACACGCTTGTACAGTTTGCAGGAAGGACGCTTGACTATGGTCTAGTTGCGTCTCGGAGAGTAGCTCGGCAGAAGCGAGAATCTATGGACGATCATTATCACGTGCAATCAACAGGACAAATTACTGAACATACCCCGTGCAAAGGTGTTCGAAGTTCATGAGAGATACTGATAGAGAGATAAAGTTGTTAGGAGGGCCAGGAACTGAGAGACAAGAAAACGAACTTTGAGATGAACAAGCTCTTGGCTTTATCTGCCAGAATCATGCGACGCTTGAGAACAGCCGAAAGAATGATGACCCCTGGAATGAACAAGAGTCATTAATGAGTCATATTACCTTCAACGAGTGATCGAACGCACCGATCGCTCTAAGATACGACAGTTCGTGTCCCTCCAACTAGTACCGAGATGAACATTAGATCATGCAACAAGATACATCAAAGACAAACTTACGAATGGCGTGGTACGTTCCCCGGTGCTGTAGGCGCAGAGCACAGCGAATGGACGCTTGTCGATGTTGAAGATCGGCACAGCTAATTAAGAGGTTAATCAAGATCCACAAAGTTCGTAATGCACACTTACTGAGAGCGTACTGGATTCGCGAGGGTAAAAATGGTCGCAAACCAACAGGAACAACACCCTCCGAAATCTTGCCATCAGGATGTCTCGCAAAAAATTCGTGTAGTTTGGCATGTTCGTCCTGACAGAGTGACCTCGTTATAGTCCCCAGTTGCGGATCGGCATGATGTATACTGATCGAGGTTGAACTTTCCGCTCCAAAAGTCTCCAACACGTCAACATGTGAAACGTCCATAACAACAGCACCTTCGAGGTCTAACGTTCGATGCACAAGTCTTGCTGCACGCTCATATATCTGCTCCATGGATGTTCCAACGAATAGACCATGACTCTTTTCACCTTTGGAATCCTTATCCACTTCGAGACATTCGCGAGTGAACTGCTCCATCTAAGGAGATACGTAAGTAGACATAGATTAATGGGAAGTGAAGGCCCGTACCGAAGTCTGAATCCTATCCCTGATACGCAGTTGGATCTGTATAATGTTGGAACAATGTTATCTGACCAGACATAGGACGAAGGGCGTACCTTATCGCGCCACAACTCCAGCTCGCGCATGGCTACTTGCTGGTAGGACGTTAAGTGTGCTCTCAAAGACAAAACGTTACGCAATACACATACCGCGAACTCCTTCAGGGTATGCCGTTGCCGGGGACTAAACTCGCGCCGGGGGGTATCATCCATAATCGAAAGACTGAACGATCATTATTAACAACTGTTGGAGCGATCAAGCTCCCTCACTCACGTGCCAATGTTGAACCCATCCTGAGTCCTCAGTGGACAACCAGCATAGAATCTGATGTGAGGTGCGCCAATTGTAAGGGGCTAGATGACGTGTTATAGATCGAATCACAAAACCGAATGGTACAAAATGACCTTACATTCTTTGCAAATCGCCAGTCATCCTGTGCATCTAGGACTACTGTCGGCTCCTCATCCCTAGCCATCGGGGGTTCAGTAAACAGGAAATAAACAGGGAGGGGAATGAAAAGTACCTTTGGAGGATAGTATGGGCGTCGAATGAACTAGTTCTTGGTAAATTTTGCATGCCAAGGCCAGCTAAACAATGAACAGGTATCGAATGTAAGTGAATCCAACAATCAGAACGCGGCTACACCTACATTCAGATTTGAAGAAGCTGCCGAATTATTGAGCGCAAGTGACCAAATAAACTACAGGCTTGGACTTACACGTCATTGCCGTCAACAAGGGCAATCACCACTATTCGGGTGCTGAACACCAGTTTTACAAGGTGTGCTATCCGATCGAAGTTCATGTCGTGGCCCGTATTCCAGATGTTGAATCTATAATCTAAGTCAGTGTACCGAAATATGCTGGTTCTATCATAGTTTCATACTTGTATAGAGCCCTTCGGCGTTCAAGCTCATCTGGCGGATTCGGTGGAGCGAGGTATCCGAGCTCATTGTACATTTGCTCCTCCTTCGCAGCACGTCCTTGTAGAATCCCGATAGAGCCATCTGATGCTGGCCGGGTCAACCGCAAGCGTCGCTCGTATAGAGCAGGCGAAGTCACAGGAGCAGAAGTTTGTCGCGTTAGACAGATCCGCCGAGAAAGAGCAGGGACAGTCGACGGCTCAGCGTCGAAGGGTGGAGCGGATGACTGGCGCATCAGATCTATGTCTGGTCGTATTGCGCTCGAGCTTCCGAAGCTTGGTTGATCGCTTGTGACGGATGAAGCACTCTCGGCCCTGTGACCATCTACACTTCCAAAGTAGTCATCATCTTCGGTCTCGGGGAAGCCGCGAATGGGTGCAGTGGCAGGTGCCACAGATGGACCAATGAAGGGAATCGAGGATGGCGGACTCGAAGACTTGCTTTGCTCTGATGATGACTGCGAGGCAGAATCATCAGGACTCGCCTGTATCGTGGGCAGTTTGTCCTCCACGTCTTGCGTCCCTTGCCAGAAACTACTCAAGCGAGTCTTTCGCACTCCTGTCGGTGACTGCAATGGCAGAGGTTCTGGTCGTGCGTACATATCGGGCGGATGTGAGCCAGGAATGGTTGCAGTGACGCCACGCATTGGATCTGTCAGTTCATGCTCGGGTGAAGGCAACGCCAAGGGTGCTACAGAGACCCGCGCACCTGCCCAACGAATTGCAGCCGCCGATGTAGCAACGTCGGCATTGGACACATTGGGCAGCCGAACTTCACCAGAAGAGCTCGATCCCGAATTTGACGATGACCGTATATCAGCCCATGAGTTCCGTATGCGATGTGCGAAGGGACCCAGATTCATTGGGAGTATATGCGGGCGCCGATCCGATAGCTTCGAGATACCTCCGTCTGGAAGTGTGGAGGTTGATGCTTTAGTTGTCGACGAAGCAAGGATGGGAGGTAAGTGATATGCCGGTGGTGCAGACCGAGTGAATCCTTCTACAGAATCGCGAGTCACGTCTTCATAGTCACTGGGAACTCCGGAGGATGTCTCCTCGCGCAAGCACGATTCCCCCAAACTCGTTACCGGTGATTCGAAGATTGGCTCTGAAGACTCCGGAATTTCGATAACAATACTGTGGAGGACAGATCGAGAAGGTGGCAGCGATGCATGTAGGTGTGACCGGGGTGGCTGTGGCGTCCTGAGAGGATCCCATCGACCAAGTGCATACGCATTAATGAAAGTCGCCCAATCATAATCAACCTGTTCATCTGTCCTTTCGTGACCTGTGTTGCCCTGAGGTACCTGTTCATCCGACGGAGATGAATCAAAAGGTGAAGGAAGAACATCGACTACACAACAAATGATATAACTGGTCAGATTGCACTTCAGCTGGAATCTTGCAAAGCAATGCTCGCCTGCACTGGCAAGACGTGAGGCTTCTGCCCGTAGCCCTGCTACAGCGGCATGCGCACGCCTGTTGACTTCCTCTATTGATGGCTTCTCGTTAACAGATGTTGATTCTCCCTCAGGCGAGGGCGTCCTGTAATGGTCCGAAGACGTTCCCACAGACAATTGATCACATACAAAGGATGTAGGTAGTAATATAGATTTGTCCTCTGCCGAGGATGCGGTTGAGGGTCTTCGAAGCTTAGGCTTGCTTGGTTTTGGACCAAGAGATAGACGAGGTATCGAAATATGTGGTACAGCAGATGCAAGTGGTAAAGTTATGTCGTTCAATGCAAGCGATGGTACAGAAAAGGGGCCAGCTTCATTTCTAGAGGTGTTTGGTTGAATTCCGTCCATCGAACTAGTGGAGTAACGCTGGATTAACAAAGGTAGAATTGAGAGTTCCAGTCCGATGATTTCTAGCTGTTTCAGCAGAGGCAACGTGGAACAGCGAGAGCGGTATAGTAGCCTGTTGTTCCCGGCAAAGATTTGGAACTAAGAGACGAAAGAGGAGACATCAAGAGGGTGCTGGCGCGTTCACCAGCATACAACTCCAAGGGAGGATTTCGAGTTGCTGCTAAACACCGGCCGTGTCTGGACCAATATGCAATCCAGCCCGGCCTGCACTAGTGATATCATACTTTCAATGTCAGCTGATTCTTTTCACGTTCAGACTACAATCAGTTTCAAAGTCAGCTCTAACCACATTACAAATATTGGAGCCCCGCGACAAGGTTGCCTTGCTTGAAACGGCAATTTCAGTATTCCAATGCTCTAATGTCCCATAACAGACAACTTGTACTAGTAAAACCATTACACATCTACTACAGCTAGCATACTCCACATATACAGCGGAAGTGTCAGATTGTCGTTTTGTGTCGAGAACGCCTCAAGGATGGAGGCGAGACCGGCCACCACAGTATACCGGATGAGCTGTATAGGTCCAGTACTCCTATCAGCGTCAGACGGTGACGAGTACGGGAGCGACTCACGGAGAAGTCTTCCGTAAAACCACAAACACGCAACAGCCAAGCAACCGCGACTACGGACACGGTGAACGTCACACTACCCTCCACCGTCTTTGGAGTCGTTGGAGTCCAACGGTGTCGGCCTAGCCGCTTACCTGCTATGGAAGCTAACGCATCTCCGACGCCTAATACCAATATACCCGTGTATTGCAACAGCTGTGACGGGCTGCAGGATGCAATGAGGTTAAGTTCAAACACAGATGGTGGAGAGCTTACCCCTCGAACCAAACTGAGTTAGCACACCCAGTCAGGAGGTAAAAGTGACTCAAGATGGCAGTGCCGCTATCCTTGGAGTCCAGGAACTCGTTCATGAACACATGCACGGAGGCACCGAATGGATATAGCGCAAAGTACCGAACATATTCGGCGAATGTGAACAAGGCGAAGGCTGCACTGAAAGAGAGATGTGCAAATGCAGGCTATGCAATGTCAATGGTACTCAATCAAAGCGCAGAAACTCTTCAGTACTCACATCGACAATCACACCCGGAAGAAACATAACCACAGCCAAAGCGTGGAAGAACTTCCGCCTTGCGTTCACGCTCAATGTTGGCACATGTCTATCCGCAGCATCCAGCCAATCAGTGGCGACTCCAGATACACCAGTACCATTACCAATATTGGGAAGATTCGGTAATGTCGGAAAACCTAAACCTAACGGTCCGCTTGCATCTACCAGAGGAGTGGACGGCCTACTAGGATCGCTCTGGTGACCAGGACTGGAGTTCCCATTTGCGGTGGGGAGCCGTGACCGGTCAAATGTGGTTGGTGCATCACCAGCAACAGACATCACACTCCTATGTCGAAATCGTCGAGATCTTGCCAACTGCCTGTTCCAGCCTGCAACGCTCAAACTGACCAATAGGGTCCAATAGACCAATAGAAGCGGTCGGGTCCATTTCCGCTTGCCTTCCAGGAGCCAGAAGATAGCCCAAAGCCAAGGATCACGATTACCAAGACACCATCGAGTCCAAAGTCCGATAAGTCCCCCCACGATCAGCACAGTTCCAAGGTAGAATCCAAGCGCTAATAATCGACGATGCTTCTGCCGTTCTTTTGGAAATCGAAGACGACGAACTGGTTGTTGTGATATGTGACGGGAGAGATACAGGAGTGGTGAGAGCAAAAAGCCAGTGAGCAGAGAGCCGGGTATAAGCGCAATCTGGTATAGCAGCAATGGTGTTGGCAAACGATAAGTTTTGATATACGGCGTCGTTACGGGCCAAATCTATCGGAAAGCTGTCAGCGCCCACCTACTTCCAGGCAGAATAGTCAGAATACACGCACACGAGCGATAGTTAGGTTGACGCTTTCCATGAAAAGAACTGTTGCCCCAAAGCAAACCAATCCTAGCTCGCCAAGTGTGAATCCGCGGTGAGCCAAGCGTACCGCGGCATACAGTGAGAATTGGAACATCAAAGAACTGACGACAACCTCGAAATAGTTCATATCTGCAGGGTTGAGTGAGTATGAGAACAAAGCCGAAAGAATGCCGAGGACTTGAACTTACTCTGCCATATGCCTAAGTTCAGTTCCGCCAATGAGATTCTGACGCACAAAATCCACAAAGTCACCGATACCGAGAAAAGCGCGTAGAGATAGGTCCTGCGACTCTCTTTTCTTGGGACGTGGCGCAATTCTCCATCCGGGATAGTTGTTTTCCGTCGATGTCGTGCTTCGGTCACCCACGACGCACACGCATGGACGATCAGAATCGTCGAGCAGAACGTAGCCTGATTGACAAGGTTCCGTCTTGAAAGCAGCAGTGCCTCGAGGGCAGTATGCGGCCCTATCGCATTCTGCAACACGGTTGGAGGTTCGATAAGCCAATTGGATGGGAGCGGGATTTGGGGTGGTGGTAGCGATTTGCTTGCTTTTATGGTTAGATAGAGGAGCGCGCATGCTATAAATGGTCCTGCCAATAGTCCTGTGAGGATGCCATCATCAGCGGAATCCCTATTCAGGGACCAACAATCAGACCACCAGAATTAAAGGTGTTCAAAAAGGAATGCACCTATAGTTCTTTGGGACTGTCATCCACACGAAACCCGTCTCCTCGATCTTTGGGGGTGCAGCTGAAATTAAATGAGAACCGCGTCTATTTTCGCGTGTATCGAATGAACGAGGTGAGTCAGGGCGCGTGGAAGGGGTTTGGGGAACGGGCAGGGGAACAGTAGCCTTGGAGAAGGATACCCGAGTATAGAGGCAATAGATTACAGACGCTATAATGAGGAGGGAAATTTCTTAACGTAGCAGGTAAGTACCAAGAATCAAACATATTATTGGTGTGAACCAACCTATCGAGATCCACATATCCGGAGAGTAGGGTGTTTCAGAACATGTGCGGAGTTTGACGGCGATGAAACCTAAAGAACTAACGAGCAACATGTTTTCGATAGCCTGCCTAACGTCCATAGAAGCCGACCATGGTGTCCTGGAAAATGGTAAGCGAAATGAGAAGCTGACAGTTGCAGGGAAGATGTGGCGCAGTGGTTGAACGGGTTGTGAATGCCGAGATCGAGGGAATAAGGACGGCGAAGAAGGTCTAAGAGGCAGTGAGTGTCCGTTTCCGTCGTAACTGTGCTTGACCATAGGTGACCGTGACCGTGTAAAGGGTATACGGTCTCGGATCCTGGTAGGACTCGCCCGACGCGAGTCTCCTGACGGGGAAGATGGACGTTGAGTGCTCTTCGAATGTTTGGATGTAGTCCCATTCATCCGCACAATGCGCTTTGTGGCGTCGCCAATCACATGCTGGGACTCTGTTCTGCCGCGAGCTTGTTGCAAACCTGCATCGGTGTCATAGGTTTCGTCGCTACTGTCAGACTGAGAGCTGGAAGACATTGTTCAACAAAATAGGATGTAAAATGCAGTAGCAAAGAGACGTGCCTTGAAGACCCAGCTTGGTAACTAGTGCTCCATCCCTGTTGTTGTGGTTTTGGGGTTCCCGGGGCTAGTGAGGGCTGACGCCGGCGTATAACGAATTGAGTCTTCCGACTCTGCTTGGAGGCAGGCGGGGACGGCGAAGAATGAGATCGAGGCAGGGTGACTCGGTGAATCTTGGAGACTTGTGATTGGTGTTCGTGTACAATTGTCTACATTTGGTTGGTAGCTCGGTTAATTGTGGGGTATGTGTTTTGATTTCCCACTCACCGTGCAGCTGGTGCAGTTTAGCACTCAGAGTAGAGAAAGTGTACAAGAGCCAGCATTCAAAGGGCAAAGACTATGGTAACATTTGAGTACCAGATCAACGTTGAACGCAGACGATTGGCTGCGGGACAGTTGCGGGTGATATGAGCGTCTATTGAGCGCCTATGGAACGTGGTTCAACCAGCTTCGACCGATCGTGCGGCAAGGCAGAGCGTAGAATTCGAACCACACCACGCTGCAAATTAAAAATATCGAGCCATGAGAACGACAAGTGCATTAGAAGACAAGATAACGCTTGAATGCGGCGAAAAGCAACAGTGTTTTTCCCTCGCAATATTGACTCGTGAATTGAGCAACAAGCGATGCTGGCAGAGGTGTGTAGGCGCCCACACAGGTGAGGCGCTGACCGGTAACTTGGCGCGGCTCGGCGCGTCGCGTATGCAACGAGGCCACTCTGGAGCTTGTATGTTTCCTTTCATCGTCCATCGTCGCAGTACCACACAAACACATTCTTAGTAAGTTCGCGCAGAAATAGCGCGTTGTTCACGCGTAACATTGAGTATATTTGATTATCGCAGGCAATCTGCTTGGTTTCGCAGGATTCCGACGTCCCTTATTCTCATTCACTAAGGAACAAATACGCGTATCATCGTCACGCACGCTGAGAGCGGGTTCCGTTTGGATTCCAGCACATCATACGCCGTGCCTCTTGTGGAGAAACTGTGTAAGATCTTTGGCATATCTGTCAAATCACTGCTACCTGCCAGCTGACATTCAGGACAGTCACTTGTGCGATCGCGTCGCAATTCTAGACTTTTCATCTTAGACATTAGAACACGCGGTATGTCGGACAAGGAAGGCCCTGTATACCTCGAGGACCTCGAAATACCCAAGGACACGCCGAAAGACCCAGTGGAGAAAGAGAATAGCCAAAGTTCTGTTGACTCGACGCAGTCGGAAAATGTCACTGTCACTGTCGAGAAAGCCAAACCCGCGGCGGCGATCAAGGGTACCAAAAGACAGCGAACCCTGATGGACATGTTCACCCCTGCTCCTGCGGCCCAAAATACCAAGAAGCTTAAACTCGATAGGTCTGGCTCAAGCTCTAGTCTCACCGCCAGGACAGCGGCCACGGGTTCGGGTCAGGCCAACGGCATGCAGTCTTTGAACTCCATCCCATTCTCGTTGTCGTCGTACCAAAATTCTCTTTCTGATGAGGAACGTCAACTTTTGACCCTCGAATGTGAGACGATGGGCAAAAGCTGGTGAGTATCGGGACTCTTGTGTTGTTCTTTGAATACGCGTGCCTGCTGTTTCCCAGTGCTTTGTCTTCCTCACGCGTGATTCGCGTTAAGATGAAGGGCTTCTGTCGGGTGTGGCGCCGTTGAATACTGTGGTGACGTCTGACGATGTGAACGGAAAAACTGATTCGCCTTTCTTTTGCTACCAGGCTGAAGTTGCTCAAAGACGAGATTCGCAAACCTTACTTTATTAAGCTAAAGCGTTTTCTATGGGAAGAAGGAGTCAAGGGTGCAAATGATTCCGCCAAGTCTTTGAAAATATACCCTTCGCGTAAGTATCGAATCCGCTCCGCACTTTCACCACATACAAACAACCTGCAATCAACCCTTAGCTGGTAATATCTATTCCTGGTCAAACCTCACACCCCTTGGACGTGTCAAAGTCGTCGTCATCGGTCAAGATCCTTATCATGGACCCGGTCAAGCTCACGGTCCGTTCTTCTCCTTCCACACGTTTTCTGGTGTATCTCCATAGTCCTCGGATATTATCTCTGACATCCCAAAATTATCGTTTAGGTCTAAGTTTCTCCGTGCCTAAGGGTATGGCCATACCACCTTCCCTGCGAAATGTAAGTTTCAGAACATAGCGCGCTACTAGCGTCCTTGTTCTCGGGCACGCGGTATTTACTCTGATCCTGGATGACCTTTTAGATATATACGGAAATCAAATCCGAATACCCCGCTTTTGAGATACCGAAACATGGGTGAGTGACCGGAATCGATCGTCTCTCTTCAAGTCCTTAAACTTGTTCTCATCATATATGAACAACACAACGTGACTAAACACGTTTTCGACTTACTAGAAACCTCACTTCTTGGGCCGAGAATGGTGTGCTTCTTCTGAACACCTGTCTCACTGTGAAGGCTGGATCGCCAGGCTCTCACTCCGGCAAGGGATGGGAAGAATTCACCGACAAGGTTATCGACGTCGTCGACAAATATGGCGGGGCCAATCTTTCGGCCAACGGTTCCGCGATGAACGGGCGAGGCCGAGGCATAGTCTTCCTCGCATGGGGCTCATGGGCTGCGAAACGGGTCTCGAAGCTGAGCAAGGTCAGTCTGCTTCCTTCTTTTTTTCCTCCCGATTTCTTCCTACTGACGCCGACCTTTCACCTTCACCTCGTCCCGCTCTGCAGCAAAAGCACCTTATTCTGTATAGTGCCGTGAGTGTCTCTTACCATGATTGTTCTGCGTGGCAACGGCCACCATCGTTACCAACATCTCCCGCTCGGCATTTTGCTTGACGCTTTTTTCTTTCCTTTCTTGACAGCATCCGTCACCGCTCAGCGCACACCGCGGCTTCTTTGGCAACGGTCACTTCAAGCAGGCCAACGAATGGCTGGAACAAAAGTATGGTCCAGACGGTTGCGTGGACTGGACCAAAGTTTGATTTATTTCAAAAAATCGTGCCCATAATCTCTACTCTATCTATTATTCCATGCAGTCCCTCGACATGTCAGTCCCGCTTAACTCCAAAAACTTTAGCGGAATTCCGTCCCTTCCGGCTGCTTCTGCATTGTGCATCGTGCATCCTTGCTAACAAAATTTCTCTTTTCCGTGCTAGTTGACATCTTGAACAGCCTCTTGTTCCGCAGCGCGAAGCATATTTTCCTGTGCATACTTACCCACCAAGCAGTCGCCTTACACAGGTTACTAGGAACTTAATCACCATAGAACAGTGCCATGGGGTCTTCTACGCCCGATACCCCGACCGAGTAGCGTGTGGAAGAGGAGCTTGGGTTCTCTGTCTTGGACGGCACCCACGTTATGCGAGGAGTTTCCTCGACAGTGTGCCGTCACAATTTTTATTGTACATATTGACACCGGTTACTTGCATGCGGACAATTTGGGTGCGGCGGATGTGCGTCTTGGTTACGAGGGAAAGAGGAGGAAAACGTGACTGGAAACACTGGGCGTTGGCAATCGGAGATGAGGGACGGCGGACTTGGGACTTCTCATGCTGGTTACCTACAACGCTGGAAAGTGCCGTAGACAGTGCCTGAATTGCCTAGTTTTGCCTTCCCTGGAGACGGAGGAAAGTGATGGAGTGACGTACATACTTACACTCTCGAACGCGATCCGGAAGTTGGATATCAGGTAAAAGCAAGAACGTGTTCCTATATATGCATACATAGTGGTGTCAAAAAGAGTGGGGATGTAAGGTATGGTTAGGTGCCTGCACCAGCCGCAGGTATATGCGAGAGATAGGATAATATAGAGTAGATAGCTGTGCGACCCTGCAAAAAGACAACGATAGAATGACTTCTGTTTACTGTAGCGATACAAGAATGTCCAAAAAAGAGAAATATGCGACTTCTTAAACGACGACGTCCTTGGGAAATGGTAGCAACGACAAGATGCAAAGGTGGGAATCATGACTGATGGGAAAATTAAGTCGGCATTCGACCTACTCTAGACTCCATGTCATACACGCTGGTACGTACAGAGGCCACGCCCTCCGGAGAAGGTATTCGAACCATGTGCGCAGACTGCTGCTGTGCATGAGGTAAGGACGATTGAAGGCCTTGATGGTTCATGACGACAGGCCGGTACCCTTGCGGCTCGGTGATAGACCGTCTATGAGGATAGGGTATTGAGTTGTGCATGGTATGCGAATTCCCGTGGGACGACTGGGACGAAGGAATGACTGAGGTAGGGGAATGGTTGTGCATTTGTGAACTGTCGTGAACGGAGGTGGAATAAGTGGGCTGAGTGAGGGCATAGCGTTGACGGTCGAGAAAGTCGTAACCGTCAATTGGCGTTCTATCGGCGGAAGCAGGAGAATACGGCGTCATAGATTGCAGATACAGAGGTTGACGGGATGACGACGGTGATTGGGTAGAGTACGGGTAATGTGATTGTGTGGAAGACGCCTGCATGGAATAGTTGGTAGAGACCGGAGAAGTGTGTTCTGTGTGCTCCTTGCGCGCCGTTAAGGACTCACCCCATGTAGCATTGGCGACCGCGGACATTTCGTGCATAGACCGTTCGGCATTCATGGTGGGGGACATGGAGTGCGTCCTTGTGGAGGTCGACGATGGAGACGGGGTCCCACTGCCAGACGCAGGGACGACTATGCCTGAGGGGAGAGTGGTAGTGCCACCGACAGAATCTACAGAGGACAAGGGGGACGTCTGTGCTCGCGGTGTGTAAGGCTTGGGCTTGTCCTTGCCAGTAGGACCCTTCCCCAGTGGCGGTCTACTCGCCGGGGGAAGGTTGAGCGCGGCGCGCAGGGTGTTGTTTTCTTCCTCGAGCTCGGCGACTCTCTGTTCCAAAGCCTGGAGAAATGAAAATGAATGGTGCGCACACGAGAGCGAAGCGTAAAAGACATACTTCGAGGTGTGCAGCTCTACGGGCCCTAAATGCTCTCTGGACATCGCGAGCACGGTTTGGAGGAAGATTATCGTTGCGTTTCCTGCCGCGTTTGGAGGACATTGGAAGAGAAGAAATAATGGTTGTGGGTAGAGAGAGGCAGAGGGCGAGGAGTTGAGAGTTTTAACGAGGGGGCCGAGAGTGATTCATAGGACAGATATAGGCTCTGTGCCGAGGTGCATCGGCAGATTTGGATCTCTGTTGTTTGGCGCGTCGATCGGGTTGTGAATTCGCTAGAACGGGCAAATGCTTTCAAACCAAGCAATCGTCCGTGCTTGGGCCCTGCCAGAGAGTCACCTTCTTCGCGCGGGATCTATCCCTTGCAGTCGCATCTCTTCGCGAAATCACAATGCACATTATGAGATCTGTTGTCAGGTCGCATCCATCCATTTCCCCGCATCGCTTCTTCCAAACTGCGTAGTCTTCCAACACCTCCTCATTGCAGCCTTCCTCCGTGATATCTGTCCCCTATTTCTCCTTTCTCTTCCTCCCCCATGCACCGCCCGGGGACCCGTGGACGCACCAATGCCCCAGACATCTCCGAGTCCATCGGTTCTTGCCGCTCACCGCCAGGTCTGCTCCTCCCCTCCGTCGGCAGTTTCACACGTCCAATGGTCCGTCCTGGGCCAGTCACAAAGCTTCTGACAAAAAGACGCACAACAGCGCTCTCTGAGACCTGCGCGCGGTTGCCTCCGCCGCCCCCTGCGCCTGTGATTCTCTTTCGAGTTGTTATTTGATGTGACCATGTGTGACTTTCTGGACCTTTTCAGACCTTTTCTCGCCGCGGCCCCTTGTTCGGGCAACCTAAACCCATTGCAGTGCTCCCCATCTTCCCCTAGCACGTCACTTCGATAAGATCCTGCGGACTCTTTCCTAGCATGGTTTAGCGTACCATCAGCTGGGAAGCTTCGTTGTTGTGTACAGGGTGTGGTCATGGTTCTATGATCTTGACTACACACCGAGCCCTTTCCAGTTTCGCTATTCGCTTGTCACCTTTGAAACCATTGCCGAGAAGGCGGATCAGTCTTCTTACAAAAGTAAACTCTTTTCTCTTTCTCTGTAACCAACAAAAAAAAAGTAATATAGAATGCCGTGCAATTGTCCAAGTATACAATGTGATTAAGTTCCGCTATACAATGAGTGAACGGAAGGAGCTATAGTGCCTCCGAGCTCCACCTCCTGTCAAACCCTTACACAAACAACTTCTCACCCACGACCCGTCCGAGCTTCCCTGCGGGCCGTAGCCATATCCTTGTCTCTTTTAGCAAACAACTTGTGTCTAGGTGCCACCTCTCGAGCCAATTTCTTGTTTGCAGACTTGTTTTGCTCGATATAAGACATGTGTTGACCACCGCTGAGTGCTGAGAGTGAACCTGTCGTGCGATCCACTGCTGGGAACTTGTTTGCCCCGAAATCTTTAGACGTGATGGTTCCCGGTAGATCACCTTCACCTGCCCGAACGTCGGTTCCAAGGTCTGCTTCGCTCTCGCTCGCGAGGAGGACGGACGAGATGAGCTCTATCTGCTCATCGCGTGTCTTATAGACCAGGTCCGGAAGTTCCTCGAGCCCGTCCAGATGAGTAATCACCTTGAAAGCGTAGCCCTGATCTATGAGGAATTGCTGGCGTTTCGTACTGTAGAACATCTCCTGCGTGTCCTTTGAAACAAGGGAATAAAAAAAGGCATTGAACCCTTCATCATTTCTCCGCTTGGCCCGGAGAATTCGCCCTATAGGGAGTGCCGCGCCCACGTCAGTATCCTCCTGCCAACCTGGTGGTAACAATCACCGGGACATACCTAGTCTCTGGGCTTCTTGCCTTCGAGAGCCAAAGTGAGACGATATTTGGATCAAACATGTCGCCTCTGGCAAGTCAATGGACGTATCTCCGACCTGCATGGGAATAAATGCCATGAATACCACGGCGCCACTGGAGCGTCTCCGAGGACATACGACTCACCTTCGACAGAAAAATGGTATTCACCGCCGGATTGTGCTGGAAGTTTTGCAGAATTCGCATGCGCTCGACCTGGCTCGTCCCACCGTGAATGTACAGTTTGCCTAATTTTCTTGCGTAGGCCTACACGGTAGCGTTGTCGCCGATCAACTTCTTGTCATGACATGGATACAAGAGCGCCACAGACTCACCTCAAGAGCATAAACGTTGTCCGAGAACACAATTATCTTGTCACCCCTGTCTTCGTGATATTTTATCAAGAACTGACAAGCTTGGAACTTGCGGGGGTTCATGCAGTACAATAGCATCCGTTTTCGTGACTGTTCTCGAAGGTATTCACGATAGAATTCAGGGGTCATTGGACACCAGACCTCCGCGCACTAAAAGAAGGTGAACAATTGATACGCCGATGTCACCGCGCGAGACACTAAGCGATAACCAAGATCGTACCTGCACGTTAGCGATATGACCCTTCGCCGCGAGATCCATCCAGTTAGCTTCGTACAACTTTGGTCCAATCATGTAGTTGAGATCTGCGATCTTGTCATCCTCTCGAACCAGTGTCGCTATAAGAAAAAAAATACAAATTCATCTCAGCAACCGCATCGAACAATGATCCCAACTCCACAACAATCCTTCGCGGGAGAAGAACAAACATTAGACCACTTACCAGTGAGACCTAGCTTTGAATGGGCCTTAATGGTTGTCACGACGCGACGGAACATTGCCGCGGGGACGACATGGACCTCGTCGAGAAGGATGAAGCCCCATTCTCGAGACGTCAGGAACTCCATCATCTTCTTCGATTCATGAGACCGGTTGTGGGTATTGGCAACCATTGAGTAGGTTGAGACGACGATACCACTGTCTCCGGCGAACTACCCCAGGGAGAAAATAAATTAGTTGGAAGCCAGAGAATAAACTCCGCCGCTCGCGCGGGACTTAGGTGCTTACCTTCTCTTTCTGGTCCGCAGTAAATACCGCAATCTGTTTGTCCGTCACATTGGACCACTGCATAAATTGTTGTCTCCACTGCATGACAGATACGCTGAACTAGCTTTAGCACGAGTCTTACTAAAGTCGGCGGAAAAGAATAAGCTCACGATGAAGTGCACAGGACAAGGCATGACTTCTTAATCGTGCATGCTGCTGTTATCCCCACCAGCGTTTTGCCTGCGCCACAGGGCAATACAATAATCCCCGAGCGAGCACGCCTATGTTCAAAGTGTAATGAGCGGTGTGTAAGAGATAAGAGAATCCTTGCGAGACGGGGACGCACCCATTGCCAAACATCTTGCTTAAACTCGTCTCTTGATAAGGCCGGATGACGGTAGACGGTTTCAGGTCGATATCGAGATTGGCGTTCACCGTGTCGTTTCGGAAGTCATACTCCTCCAGCATAGGGTACTGGAGATCGCTACATCGCTTCTTGACCTCCTATAGACCGCAGTAGTTGAGGCACTGAAGCGGTGAATGTTTAATAAAATGCTGTACTTACGTCTACTTTGGCATCATCGATCTCGAACGCATGTACGTTCTCGTCGTCCTCATCGACCTCATCTAGAAGGGAAAAGCATCAGTTGGACATGTTTGAGGACCCTTTATACATTGACTGGCCATACCGGCATCAACCCCTACTACGGAGGTAAATAGCTCCGCGTCCTTTGAGGCTGCAGCACTCGGCGCTGTCGACTTTCCGCTGACAGTCTCATCCTTCTTTTTCTCTGCCTCCCGTGTGCCAGGGATCACAAGAGCCCCCTTAACAGGGGCTTTGGAAGTCGTGAAAGTGGCCGCCTTAATGCTGTTATCGACTTGCTGAGTGTGCACACGAGCTTCACGGATGACACTGTCTTTGAGGAGGTATTGTAGCGTCTCTGGATGCGACGACTCGACGAAGTATTTATTGTGCTTCAGCACGAGTTTGACCTTGCCATATGACAATGTTCGTTCGCGGATGAATTCCACTATGCTATCAGGCACCGGAACCTTTTTTTCACCGTATGAATTTTGGCTCGCTGTGCTGTAAGGGTAAGTAGACTGACCTTTGACAGTCGGTTCAACACCTTCCGGTTGACTCAAATATTAGTAAAGGTCCGGAAGAGATAAGGCGCACGGCGCACGAACTTCTATTATATCCTCTGTCTGAAGACCGACCGAAACCGCGGCGTATAGCGAGTAGGAAGTGAGCTTGTACTCGTGAATGAAAGCAGGTCTGACGACAACTGTCTAGTCTGGTAGTTACATAATTGCGCAAAAATGCGTACCTGCTGACAGGCTCGCTGATAGCTACTAGGAAGTCTTGTGCCTGTTCAGCGATAGGAGAGAATGCTTCAAGTATGATGTGTCCATCATCGGGGCCGATCCAAAGTGGCCGAGCAGCATGATCGGGTTTCAAATGCAGCCATGAAAAGTCCTGATCCATAAATATATGGGAGACAAGGTTGTCTTGTTGCTGACGGTGAGCAACAAGAGAAGATTCGTTAATTTCATCTCCAACATCATTCGGGTGTCTCGTCTGAGCGAGTTTGCGGGTGAGGGCGCTGACATTTATTTTAGCAGGACGAGAGAAAGAAGAGCTTCCACCAGGGGTATATTCATCGTCGTTGTCCACTTGGACGTAGTCATCATCATCTTCAGCGTTCTTGCGCTTTCGTTTGAAGGGAAACGAGCTCTCTGGGGCAGCTATGAATCGTCTACATAAGCTACGGCCATGTCTTGGAAGCAAGTAGAAGCGTACCTTCAGCAGCGCGTTTTCCAGCCATATCTATGATCAAGCCGATGTAATGAGAGAAAGACGGTACGGCAGTTAGTGTCTATCAAGTGGGTTACGAAAGGAAGGAATGAAAGACGAGAGGAGGTCGAGGAGGTCGAGAGTCAAGATGTTGTCAAGCTAAGCGGTGCAGGCCATCCTGAATGAAGTATGTCAGCGCTTAGTCAGCCGAAGTGCAAGCGGAGTGCGAAAATTCTTGGTGCGCCTACAACAGGCCTCAACGTCGACAACGTTGACAAACCATTCTTGTCCTCTACCCTCATCATCCCCCGCCGTCTCATTACTCACTTTTCTTGGTTTGCAACATGTGGAGACCTGCCACTCGCGAAGTTACGGGAACTAACGAAAGTGAGCACTTGCATCATCTTTGTGTTCACGAACCTGTCTCAAACTGCTTTACAGTACCCCTTGGAAATAGGCGTCGCTTCGGGCCTGCGCCAGTCGGGGAAACTGCTCCCCCTCAGTTGGCACAGCCGTCCCCTTCAGCGTACCCTCGCCCACAAGTGGCGAGTGATAGAGAGAGCTCTCAGGGCAGCCGAAATGAATCACCGGCGCCCAATGCTTCAGGTTAGTACAGACCATTGACCTTTTTACTTACAGCAGCGTTCTATTCCGTGCCTTGCTATGGTTTGCTCGTACTCACGACAGATCTTGCGCGTGCAATGTTGCCGCTTATGCTGACTTCCAAAGAACTGATTGAATACTAACACTTTTTTTGACATTTGCTTATTCACTAATGTAGCTGACCCAAATGCCCCACGAAAGCGACGCAGTCGTTGGGGTGACGCGAAGACCGAGATTCCTGGATTGCCTACCGCCATCTCCGCCAACGGTGTCTCCCAGGCTCATCTCGACAACTACGCCATTCATCTGCGGTTGGAAGAAATCAACCGGAAGCTCAGGTTGAATGACTTTATCCCTCCCGAGCGTGAACGGTAAGTGCTTTGTAATCACAGTATCGACGTATCGACAAATTGACTGATCTCGTTTGTAGCTCGCCATCTCCACCACCGACATACGATGCTCACGGTCGTCGTACTAACACACGTGAAGTTCGCTACCGCAAAAAGCTCGAAGACGAGCGCATCCGTCTCGTTGATCGTGCTATGAAGAATGATCCCAACTTTCGTCCCCCCGTTGAGTATCATCAGCAGAAACGTTCCCAGCGACCCTCCGAGAAGGTCTATATTCCGGTCAAGGAATTCCCAGAGATCAACTTCTTTGGTTTACTGGTTGGTCCCCGTGGTAACAGTTTAAAGAAGATGGAGAGAGACAGTGGAGCCAAAATCAGCATTCGTGGAAAGGGGAGTGTCAAGGAGGGGAAAGCCAGACCCGAGCAATATGCTGAAGATGCGGAAGAAGACCTCCACTGCCTTGTCACTGCTGACTCTGACGACAAGGTTACAGCCTGTGTTCGTATGATAAACAGAGTCATCGAGACTGTAAGTGTTCAGATTATCTCTTGGATGTTGGATGTCGTTCTAACCTTGTTGTTTTTAGGCTGCCTCCACCCCCGAGGGTCAAAATGACCACAAGCGTAATCAACTCCGTGAGCTTGCGGCTCTGAACGGAACTCTTCGAGATGATGAAAATCAAATCTGTCAAAACTGTGGGGGTGTCGGTCATCGCAAGTATGATTGCCCAGAGCAGCGTAACTTCACGGCAAACATCATCTGTCGTGTTTGCGGTAGTGCGGGGCATATGGCTCGTGATTGTACTGTAAACAGGGACCCCAACGCAATTCATGCGCCCCCGCCACCCTCATCTTCCATGGCTTTGACGAAAGGCGGCTTCGATTCGGAGTATGCCAGTTTAATGGCGGAGTTAGGAGAAGGGGGAAAGGGACCAGGTGGAGACGCAGGAAAGCCATGGACCGGCTCGGCTGGACACGATATCACCGCTGGCGGTTCCAACATCCCCCCTTGGCGTCGCCCAGAAGTTTGGCAGAGCAGTACGACAAACGTTCCCCAGCAGAATACTGGCTTCCGTCCTCCTCAAGCAGGTTACGCTGGAGGATACTCTGCAGGAGGTTATGGCGGTGCCGCTCAATGGGGCCAACCAGGCTATGGTCAGAGTGGCGGCGGCAGCGGCTACTATGCTCAAACCCAGGAATACGGTGCAAATTACGCACAATACTACCAAAGCCAATATGCTCAACAGACTGGTACCCCAGCACACTAACCCGACTTATTCTCACCTCGCAGCACTTGCAAAACTCACATTCCGTAATGATATCATTTCACTTTTCGTCAGCTTCTGGACCCAGTCCCCTCCTACCGACGCGATCGGGGTTTGGAAGTGTGGCAGGTATACGTGACTCATGTTTCTTTCGGTTAGAACGTTGACGGATTGACGCATACTCACCTGACGACTGACCTCGTTGACGTTTCTCAGCTTAGCATCCTTGTTTCACTTTTCTGTTTCGTCTGTGTAGCTCACCCTTCTTTTAACATAGCAAACGTGTATTCTCTGATACGATACCAGCTTGTACTGAATTGAAAGTACTGATCTCAGAGTGAATTTGACATCATATGTGTGCTATCTTGAGTGTTAGTTTCCGGCGTCCTAAGAGGACACGGTCAAAGCTTGTGGCTTTTTCCTTTTCTTCTTTTTGTTCCGACGTCGGATCGCTGTGTCCTCTGAAGGAGTCTCTTCATCACCATTTGCACATGGCGCACCCTTCCTCTTTTTATTCTCGGCCTCCGCAGTGGATATCTGGCGCACAAATAAACTGACAAAGAAACCGTTTGTGGCGTCCTCACCGGGGGAACAACGGACCAGGGACGCAGCATCAGCTGCACCGATGTAAGATATATCAGGGAAGTCTGAGCGCAAACTCAAACAATGATAGGCACGATGATACTCACCTGGATTGTTCATTTCCTCAGGGATACCGCGTCTTTTCCAGGCCGGCAAAACGTCTCCGGGTGAAGCGAGGTCAAAGCGTCCACTCAAGCACTCTTCTGACTGCAAAGCATCTCGTACAACATGCTCATTTTCAGCGGCGTGAATACTGCATGTTGAGTAGACAATGCGCTTCACGGAGGGAACTGCGGAACTTTGAATTCAGCGACAATAAAAGGCTAGATCACTGGAGTCATTAGATACCCACACTTCATTGCATGCTTGATCATCATCAGTTGGAAATCGGCCAGTTTGTTCAATCTTGTTTCCCTGTCATCCATGGACTCGGATTCTTCAATGTTCAAACTTACGTTTGAGTCACGGCACTTAGCATCTAGATGTGCTGTCACATACCTGATTCTAAAAGGTGATCCAATCTGTTTACGATACCGGAGCCACTACACGAGGGATCAAGAAGACTATCGGTATCTCACTAAGTAAGCAAGATCTGATCCAAAAGGGGTACGTTGAATGGGCGGACGTACATATGTGTAACAGAATTATATTTTGGATCATCGGGGGACACTGTTAGGAAGTCCGCGTTGACCGGCTGTACATTCTTGCATCTAGCTTTGGCTAACATCATCTGCAGGGTGGCGAACCGCCTCTTGTCCCGTTCGAATGCATAGAGCTAAACGAGTCCGCATCACATGAGAGTTGTTATCAATACCACCATCAACATTCACAGCTAATGTCAACAAACGCACCGTTCCTTTGTTCTGCATGAGAGCAGAAAGGTGAGACGTCTTATTTCCTGGCGCTGCGGTTGCATCAATGACGACGCCGTTATCATCATCAGGGGGTGACAGGATGTACGCCGGAAAGCAAGATGCCTTGTCTTGGAGAATCAATTTGCCGGCGGTGTAGAGGGGGTCGTCGCTCAGTTGAATGTCGGGAGAGAACAGGAGGAGATCAGGAATATGTTCATCCCTAGCAAAGCCTTTGCTGCGACATCAATGGATGATGGAATGAGGTTTAGGGATGTCAGCGTGTGAAAGTTTTCGTAAGGAACTTGTAAGTACCTATGGGCGAAAGGACCATCCAGGCTGTAGCCACGGGCTATGAAGGTCTCGACGGCCTCCTCGGTCGACCAACAAGACGTATTGATACGTACATAGCGAGGTATTTTGGCTGCGAAGATAGTTAGCTCCCAAGGACCTGATGACTAGATCTAGGGACCGCGCACCAGCCCTTTCATCGCCAGTTGCAGCAAGCTCTGTGACGGACTTCACCCCCTTCTTGATCTTGATTCGGGTGAACTCGCTGTGAAGGCGAGTTTTATGTCGCAAGATAGCTTGTTTCACAGGACCTTCGCTCGCTTGAATACCTTTCGCCAAAAGCAGGTCATGCAAAAGGACCAAAGCTAGATTACGAGAAGTAATCTTCTTCTCTTCCTTCAACAGTTTGGATGCATCTAATACGTCATTCAACACAGACTTGTCTGCGCATGGAGAAACGTTTCACTCGGCTCACTGGAGCAGAAAAGCGGTGCTTGGCTCACATTTCAAGGTCTCAATGACAAGGGCCGCAGTTCGTTTACGGTCCTTCTCCGGCAACGTCGCAATGACGCCTTTGATAGAGCCCTGCTTGGCATCCAACCTGTCTAGGACTTTCGCTCCTTCAAAGTAGAAATTCATTGTGTTGTGCTACTACAAAGATATAATCGAGGTTAGCCTCATGTGAAGCTGGTCGAATAGACAATGTCAGACAAGATAGTTCAATTCCAGACAAGCAACATCGACACATGTGACAAACTCTCTTGGGCATGCATAGGGACTAGAATAGAGAGAATTAGCGAGACGATCAAGGGATATCCAAAAGATACGAAGGAAGTCAGAGATAGAACAAAAATCGTCACTTTCTGGACAGAACCAGTCGGACAATGTAGATAAGTTTGATTGAACATCATTCGAAATAAACAAAGCACCAGAGGCTATAAGAAACAGACACTTACAAAGTTGTCATATCATTGCGGAGGCTTTGAAGTCTTCCGTATACGAGATCTTGAGAACTGGAGAGAATGAGTGAAAGAGTGAAGGAGCAAGTCTGCGAAGGTTTTATTTTATTCGAAGCGCGGGCGTTTCCGGCCTACACGTGGCTGAACGCTAGGGCGCTTCTTCCGCGCGTTAACAGCACAATTGACCTTGACGTTTTCCTCTTACACCAGGTCCACTCCTTTTCTGCTCTCTCTACCATCATCAGTATGCTTTCCTAGTACTTCTCCTGTCTCGGAATATGACTTGAACAGCTATTTTATAGTGCCCGTAGAGACAGCACTGTACGATCTCTTGGGTGTCGAACCCGAAGCCACTGAAGGTGTGTCTTCCATTACTTCAGGCTGCGGCTTGGCACTTACGAGGGCGGAACGATCTGTAGATGAGATCAAGAAAGCTTACAGGAAGAAGGTTAGTGACATTCCTATCCTCGATCATTGAAATTGAAGCTGACGTTCCTTGTTCAGGCCAGGGAACACCATCCTGTACGTAAACGTATGCAGTTCCAGCGTTACGGTAATGATTGAGAGTATTTGTTTTTACTTCAGGATAAGGCACTTCTTTTATACGTATGCTTTGTTAGCCATGATTCTGACCACATGAAGTGTAGAATCCCGATGATCCTGAGGCAGGATCGAAGTTTCAAGAAATGGCGGCCGCGTCAGTCATTTTTTCTAATTCGCTCTTATGGTCTTTGACACCCTATTGTGTCTTCTTTAGCTATGAGATCCTCAGTTCAGTGGAGACACGGGAAACCTATGATCGTTTCGGTATGGAAGGCATAAGTGGAAACGGAGGTCGTGGTCCATCTATGGACGCGGCAGATCTCTTCGCAGAGCTCTTCGGTGGGGCTAACTTCGGTTTCAACTTCGGACCCGACATGCGACCACGGAGGACGCGAGGTGAAGACACTATCATTAATTATGATGTAACGTTGGAGGATCTGTATAATGGCAAGACGGTGAGGATGAATATGGAAAAACAGATAGTTTGTCAGGTCTGCAAAGGGTGAGTGCTTCATTTTTAACAACGTGATATGCGCGGAAGGTTTAAACGTTTGTAGGTCAGGCGCGAAAGGTAGTGCAAAACCGAAACAATGTGCTAAGTGTGAAGGCAAGGGCTGGACGTTCATACAAACACAGGCATGTCTTCATTTATCCGATCCCGATTCGCATATACTCAAATTTTCTGCTTAGATGGGCCCGAACCAGATCGGGACATCTCGTGCAAGATGTTCAGAATGCGGTGGTCATGGAGAGAAGCTTCGAGAGAAGGATCGGTAAGTAGGGAGGGATATGTACAACCACCTTCGCGACTGATGCTCTTGGCTGGTAGATGTAAAAAGTGCAAGGGCGAGAAAACGGTGAAGGAGAAGAATCGTGAAGAGATTCACATTGAACGTGGCGTGCCCAATCGAACAAGGATCGTCCTTAGCGAGGCTGGAGATGAAGAGGTATGTGTATTTATTTAAAAGTTGTGTGATATTGATAGCTGAGCGCGGCTGGTACTGGTAGCCTGGCGTACCTCCCGGCGACGTCGTACTTGTCCTAAAATGCAAACCCCATCCATCCTTCGAGCGATCAGGGAACGATCTACTAACGACTGTGCACATAACCCTCTCTGAAGCGTTGCTCGGATTTTCTCGGATATTGGTGACACACCTTGACGGACGAGGTGTGCACGTCACGAGTCCAAAGGGCAAAATTATCAAGCCAGGCGATAGTATCATTCTACGTGGTGAGGGTATGCCCATATACAAAAGTCCCGACCAAAAAGGGCACCTGTATGTCATCTTGGAGGTCGACATGCCTGAAGAATCATGGCTCAAGACCGTTGATCAACCGGTTGGTTTCAAATTGTTACAATGTCATATAATAAAGTGAGTACTGATGCTTTGCATTATGCAGGCACTTGAAGCCCTACTGCCACCCAAGAAGCCGGAGATGGATCCCAAACCGGCGGTCATTGATGAAGTGCCGTTTGAGGAGAGGGACATTGTGGACGTGCGTGAAACGCCTTTCGCTGGTTCCAACTTCTTTGATCATGGATTTGGTACGCAGTTCGGTGAGGGCGACGAAGGAGATTGGGAGGACGAGGACGAAGAAGATGAGACGGGCGAACCCGAATGTCGACCTCAATAGTACTGCCTCTCATAGAGCATCTTCTGGACGATTTTGGATTTGGTTTGGGGTGAGTAATTGAGTGATGAAAGATGCTTTTGTTTCTTTATGGTCGACTTGCATCGTACACATAACTTATAGCGTCCTGTCTATGCAGTAATATCGATATACCACCACAGCTCTCGTTTCTGGCTAACTTCTAACGGTTTGCTTGAAGCATTCTATGTCATATCATAGATGAATTGTTGTCAAGAGGGGAAACATTTATTCCATTTTGAACAGCAGTGAGCTCCATCAAACGTCATGAATTGGCAATTAATGCGAGTATGTATCTGCGGCGTAGACGATATAAAAGGCGGACGAGGTGAGTATAAATATCTGTACGAGTCGTACGACGCGGTCGTATCCAGTACATATACGCCTACCCGACTGGCTCGATCCATCATGCCTCAACGACTCTGGTTTCTTACTCAGGTCTTGTGCGCACTGGAACCTTTGCGACTGTGTGCAAAGATCAATCCGGACGTGTCTGGCTAGATAATGAAGCTATCGTAAGTGGATTGACCCCTATTTCTATAATTATGTTTTAAAGTGGTAGTAACCGTCGTACGACCATGCCACTCTGCAGGAATCCCTCGAGACTCGAGAGTTGCCGAGACAAAACCGCTTGCCTGCACACCGGTGGGTCTCAGGTGTCTCTCTCCTCCTCGCTGGGGATTGCTGTCGAACTAAACAAGCAGGAAAAGAACATCTTATCACACTCGTTAGATGCAGGCTCGGTGGGTCGCTGTGTGAGTCGAAAGCTCATGTCGGGATCTTCGGGCGACATAGAGCGGCAATCTAATCTTTGAGTGGCCAGTCCGCTGGTAAGCGCTTCGCATAATCAGAGCAGCGTTAAAATTCGAGAGTGGTCTGACCTTTTGCATGGGAACTCAATAAATAGCCCCTCTGCCGCCGTTCCTTGGGTTCAACAACTCTTATTTGTCCATAGCGGCGGCGACATATACCAGGTCTCTCTGTTCTGCGGTACATCTAGCAAACTGCCATGGATCTCGTTCTCGACATCCTCGACGAGTACGCTTTCGACAAAGTTTATGCTCAACTAGTGCCAGCGTCGGCGTTTGCTTCATCCTTGAACTCTACTATCCTCGCGTCAACATCTGCTGGTCTAAACAGCACTCTGAACTTGCCATTCATCACATCAGGATCTGCCTCCTCGGCATGGTCACACCTAGTATCGTACCTCCCTCACCCTCCTCTCCCTGAGGACCTTCTACTCTCACCAACGCACACGTCGATACCCCTCACTTCCGCATGGCCTCGAGACTATATACCGCGTCAAATAATATCCCTCAGTGTCGTTACCATGGTCGGCATTTATTTGCTTTACTTCGTCTTCGCCACCCTATCGTACTTCTACATCTTCAATCATGAAATGATGAAGCACCCGCGATTTCTCAAGAATCAGGTCAGGCAGGAGATTATGTGTAGTGTGAAGGCTTTCCCTGGGATGATGGCGTTGACTATGCCATGGTTTATGGGGGAAGTGCGGGGGTATTCGAAGATGTACGCCAGCATCGACGAATACGGCTGGCCTTACTTCTTTCTCTCTATCTTCCTGTGAGTATTTGCTTTTGGCGTGGAAATATTGCTGTCGCTCATCACTCTATTAGGTATCTGGTATTTACGGATTATGGTATCTACTGGATCCACCGTTGGGAGCACCATCCCATCTGCTACAGGTGGCTGCACAAGCCGCACCACAAGTGGATCAGTAAGTCCACTCATCTGCTATCTGCATCATTCACTGACATAAGATACCATGTTTGTAGTTCCTACTCCCTTTGCATCTCACGCGTTCCACCCTCTGGACGGTTACGCCCAGTCCCTCCCATATCATGTCTTCATATTCATCTTCCCCTTCCATCGTGTGCTCTATCTCTTCCTTTTCGTCATCATTAACTTCTGGACAATACTTGTGCGTTTCTCGTTGTTCCTTGGCCAATCTATACTGATAACCATATTCACAGATTCACGACTCTGATATGATTACTGACCACCCCCTTGAGACGATTGTCAACGGACCTGCTCACCATACCCTTCATCACATGTTCTTCACGGTGAACTACGGCCAGGTTCGTTCTACTGTTTGTTCTTCTAGTTTCACGTATACCAACTCATTCGCGCATAACCAGTACTTCACCTGGGCAGACCGTATGGGCGGATCATACCGACAACCTGCCAAGGAGCTTGATCCTATGCTTGATATCCAGGCTCTTGAAGCCAAGAGAAAGCAAGATCTAGGAAAAGACCAATAGATGGTCATAATACCACCCTTGCCACGAAGTGTACTATCACTACAGCAACCTCATGAGCAAGTAGAGCTAGGGGCCCGGTAGAAGTTGTCGCGTTTGTCGAAGTGTTGTCGTATCTCTTCTGTTATTCTAAATCTGTTGTGTTTGCCTTTATATTTTTCACGGCACCAACTGCGTAGTGTGTATCTATTGACTATTGCTAGTGTACGATCTTCATCACAACGCCTATAATATTCCTCACAGTTATACACCTGGATTCTTTTTCGCGACTCGAAAGATACTTGATAGCAGAGACAACGCACGCGCCGATCGTCACTGTGACTTTTTGAGTCGAACATATTGAGCGTCTATTCAACCACAACACCACAACCACCGGTTACAACTTGCCACTTTGCTTTCACTTTACTCTTCGCGAAGGAATGTCTTTCTTCTCGGGCGCATCGACGTCCACTGCTGTATCGGCTCCTGCTGCAACAGAAAAAGATATAGAAGTTGCCGACCCACCTACCGATTCGATCTCTTCGCTTGCATTCTCGCCCCAGGCGGATTACCTCGCTGTAGGCAGTTGGGATAACAATGTCAGGAAACCTTCCGACTTTGGCATTGATGTGCGCGAATGAGTAGAATGCTAATATTTGCGCTATTGTGGTTCTTCTACTGTAGGTTCGGATATACGAAGTTGGCGCGAGTGGCCAGACACAAGGAAAGGCCATGTATGGCCACCAAGGGCCCGTGTTGAGTGTTTGTTGGAATAAGGTGTGTATTTGGCGCGTTCAATAGTAGTCGAAGTTCTCTCTTTATTGGTTGGGGAAACTACGTTAAACGTGCTAATGAGGTCTGATGTGTGTATAGGAGGGAAATAAGATCCTGTCGGGGGGAGCGGATAATGCTGGTCGCTTGTTCGATGTTACAACAGGACAATCTCAACAGGTTGCCCAGCATGATGCACCTATAAAAAGCGTACGCTGGATTGAGACGCCTCAGGGTGGGATTCTTGCTACTGGGAGTTGGGATAAGACTTTGAAGGTACGCCACTTCCTCTCATTCTCCTCTTGCGCTATACTCATTGGATTGAATAACACAGTATTGGGATTTGAGGACACCAAACCCTATCTCGACAGTGCAATTGCCTGAAAGATGCTACACCATGGACGTGCAGTACCCCCTGTTGGTTGTGGGAACCGCAGAGAGGCATATCCAGATATTCAACTTGACTAATCCTACGACTGCATTCAAGGTATCTTACGCTATATGAGTCATCGTACATGCAGAGGTACTGATGTTGCGGGTCTTAGTCGATGGTATCACCGCTGAAGTGGCAAACCCGAGTCGTGTCGTGCTTCCCTTCTGCAAATGGTTTCGCAGTGGGAAGCGTTGAGGGTAGAGTGGCTATCCAGTGAGTTTGGCTGTCGTTAAGTTTGTCGTCTTTCATCTCTGAGAGGGCTTCATCTTCATCTAGATATGTAGAAGACAAGGACGCATCGTGCGTAGCAGACGCGACATCATAGTATTGTCTAATTTGATCTTGGTCCACAGGAACAACTTCTCGTTTAAATGCCACCGACGAGATCAATCACCTACGCAGAAAGATCAGTCTCTTGTATATGCTGTAAATGATATCGCCTTCCACCCAGTACACGGAACGTTCTCCACCTGTGGTAAGTTCTGCTGTTATACTCCCGAATGCTCTAATACCTACAAGACCTCTCAGGTTCCGATGGAACGATCAACTTCTGGGACAAAGACGCGCGCACACGTCTGAAGAGTACGTCTTATCATCTCGTTATCTTGTGCTCATCATCACTCTCATCCGTACTGATCGAGACCGAACGTCCTTAGCGTTCGAGCCTGCTCCCGGACCAGTCCCAGCTACTGCCTTCAACCGCACTGGCGCCATTTTCGCATATGCTGTTTCGTACGATTGGTCCAAAGGCCATTCTGGTATGACCCCTGGTCATCCCAACAAGATCATGCTTCATGCATGTAAGGACGATGAGGTCAAGAGGAAACCCCCCAAGCGGTAGAGGTCCTTTTTTGGTTCTCTGAGAGTGGATATTGTTATGGGGGATGGCCATGCAGTGTGTCTCTTGTTGTTTCTATCTTGCTTCGTGAAATATATATTCTGTCTTGCCTTGCGTTTCTGTGGATTTTTGTGTGGGCTGTGTTGTAGCTGCATCCTATAGACGCAAGATCTTTATTTTTCAGTGAATTATAGCTATTATACAGTGAAGCCCGCAACCTTTGCAGGAGTAATGAATGTTACAATCCTTTGGTGGTATTCGAACCCCGACTTCACGTTGTTTGCTGTTGTTATATTCCCAAGAATTTGCCTTTTATGGTAATGTTATTTATTTGCTAATGTCTTCTTCTACGCTCCCTCCTTGGCTTGACCATTTCTTGCCTACGTTTCCTCGATACGCATGCATGCACGAGCAGCATAAAAACATCAACCAACCTGGGAGTTGAACCCAGAATATTCATCCTAAATATTGGGGTTCATGCATGCCACATCCGATACATTAGGGTCCATGCATGTCACATCTGATTATTCCCCTTATGACATTATTTGCTTCACTCCACTGCATAAGTATGCTCATGCAACCTCTGCCATCCACTGTGTAAGTATATTCATGTGGCTTCCACCATAGCCTGTGTGAGCATAGTAATGTGGCCTCCACCATATCCACACGGTCTCTGTCATGCCTTGCATTACTCTCTTTATGTAGTCTCGTGCCCATCCATTATAGAGGAAGGGACAAGCTTGGGCAGGGAGACACAGATGGAAGACACTGAGCAGACACAAGCTTGCTCCCCCTCTACAACATGCCAAGGTTTCTATTTCTATTTCTCCACCTCGGCGTATCCTGAGTGTGTACCAACTGGGAATGAGACTACTCTTTATACAGCCTTGCATGTCAAAGTTGCATGTTATTGCCAATTCTAGGCACTGATTATTTCCCTTTGACGTATTCACATCCTACAACTTCAAATCTCCAGATCTTTTCTTGCATGCCATATCCCACATAAGCATGCTCATGCAGCCTCCATCATATCCCACATAAATATAGTAACATGGGCTCTGCTGTATTCTGTGTAAGCATAGTAATGCGGGCTGCACTGTACCCTGCGTAAGCATACTCACCTGGCCTCCACTGATCATTTTCCTTTGACACATTCTGATCCAATCTTCAGATTATTGCCTTTATGATGTCATTTGTAAGACTAATATCAGGTGCTCATTCAGAAGGTATTTTGCCTTCCAGAATTCTCCAATGTGTACCTGACAGCTTTCATGCTGACAGCAGAAATATATAACATATTTTTGTTCTCTCTAGAATTGATATACATCTTTCACATCTCCTATCATGCCTCGCAAGCCTACTGCAAATGCATCTCCTTTGTACATACTCCATATCTAATACTCATCTCATTGATTGACCTATTGTGTTTCAGGACTGAAGATGACAAGTTCAAGAAGGTGTGCATATAATCACTTACAATAATAATGCCAGCTAAGTCCCGAGGTGGAACTATTGGGCAATGAGTCTGCCAAATCCAAGCCCAAGCCCAAATCTAAGCCCAAGTCAAAGGTGAAGCCCACAGCGCAAGCCATCACTGCCTTCAAGAAATGCCATCTAATCTCAGAGTCTGAGGATGTACATCTTAGCACTTGCATGAATAAGAAAATAGGTTGACCATTATCTCTAGGATGAGGTGTGTATGCTGCCAGATCTGTCTACCCTGTTATTGAGTAATGATCCCAGGTGAATGAGGTTCCTGCTCCATCAACTAAGAAGGGCAAAGAACTTGCTCACCAAGCAAACACAATGGTAGATCTCATTTCTTAATCCATGTTGTAACTCTCATGACAGTTTCTACTTTCTAGAATCAGGGGAATAATACAGTAAATATTATATTGTTTCATTCAGACATTAGCTTAGCATATAATGTTCTAAATATTGAGGTTCTGACAATGCCATGTGTTGAAACCTGGACTTCTGCTGCTGCATATAAATATGTCTGCCCCCCGCACCTGCACCAATTACTCTTTCTCCCACCTACCTCTAAAAGATTCCATTTCATCATGTCCGCATCTACTACTGCTCGCAAGTCTGCTGCTAAACCTCTCACTGCTCGCTGTTCCTCAGCTGCTGCAAAGAGTGCCACCCAAGCATTTGATAGCCTCAAAGACAAGCATGTTGAGGCTGATACTCAGAAGTCATCTTTTCACCTAATTTCTCAATATATGTACTGATACGACACCATCAAATTGCACAGAACCAAATTATTGGATCAATATCTTATCAATGCATGTTCATCTTTTCTTATATATTGAATTTCTTAATTATATGTGTCATATCTTATCAGAAATTGAAAGCAAAAGGGCCTGACAAGACAGCTATTGCAGTTGCTGTAAGCCCTTCACAATATAATCTATATGCCTTGATCTGATCAGCAATGTTATAAGGGCCCCAGTGCACTTTCAAAGAAAGTGATTGCAGCTTTCGTAAGTATATCCTTCCAGCCATCATAAGCCCCTTCATATTTACATTCTATATAGCCTGCATCTTTTGGCCATAATCTTGCAAGTGGAGGTGTCAAGGTTCCTATAGCTTCTATTCATGTAAAGGTCTGCAAACAATAACTATGGCATTATCTCCTTCAGTGTACTAATACACTATCCAGGCCCTGAGTGAGGCTGAGCAGGCAATTGGACCATCCTTTCTATGCAATGATTCAGTATTCTAATACATCTCACAGGCCATTTATCAGAGGCAGGTTGCAGACTTTATGGTTTTGTGCTGTACAGTGCCTCCTCAGGCCATTGGTGAGCATTGAGATCTGACGAGCTTGGCGATGCATGTCATATCCACTGGTGGCAGTATTCAGACTGCAAAATTGCAAGTCAAGTCAGCTCAGACTGCTATCAACACATTCTTGGCACACCTCCTTGCAACAGCCATTCAATTTGTTAATACTAGCTACAAACAGCTCCAACACCTCTGTGACCTTGAACTAGTATCATTGGATGATGAAGACAACCCAAGGGAGCTTGCAGCAGATCAACAGTGATCATTACAGAAAAAGGAGATGAATCTCTATCATCCAATTTATCTTTCAATATCACCTAATCAGCTTGCTCGATACTATGAAGCTATCTTATTCCTCTCTACAGTGATGCTTGATCAGTCAAGTGTCATAGATACAGGTACATCTGTACACATTGCTCTCTCAACAACTTCATATTCATCTATTCTATTTCAGATTCAGGTCTGAACATCAATTTGATGCACTTCTAGATTTGAACATTGAAGCTGTAACTCATGCCTCTATCCAATTCATAGCTATATTTCAATTCTTCCTAGTCACATTCCTTCTTTCGATAGTGTCTGTCCAGTTGTACTAGTAGCTTTTTCTGAATCCACTCTCCATCTCTCTCTATCACATCAGTAATGCTCTTCTTGCAAGCTATCTTCTGTTATCCAATACAGTCTAAAGTCTTGTCACTATAGTAATATTAAGAGTGGTGTGAAACAAATATGAATATCTTGTATCATCCTGCTGCTATCATGGCTTTAAAGAATCACCATATATCAAGCATCTCTTCTATGTCTCCCCAACCAAGCTGAACCACTATGTTCTCTCTAATTTTATTGTTCGCTGTGAATATTCCCTCTACTATGTCATATCCCATCTCACCTTTACCGCTCTTAGAAATGACTTCATTATCCTCTGTTGGTAATCTGATCGTCATCATTCTGCTCATCTTCATCTCCAAGTTTCTCACTATCATCTCTGAGTCCATTGTTCTGGGACACCTTGCCCACCAGAATAGCTAGAAAGTCTTCCCAGCCTCCATTGTCATATCATCCATCTCTCAAATTGAGCATCAAGTAGCGAATCTTCATCTCTATCACCAACAAAATCATTATCATCTTGACCAATAGTCTCCCAGTTCTTGTTCATCCTCTTCTGCTTCATCTTTATTTGCACCTTTTGCAATCTACTATCTATCTAAGCATGCCACTATAAGTGCTTTACAAGTGCATGTGCTGCTTTAAATATCTTGTTCTATACTGCATCGACCAATAACAAATCTGCCACATATATCAGACAGACCTGTGGACCAAGCATCACATCTTTGTAATAAATGTAGGCCCTAACAGTCATTCTTATTGAGAAGAGTACCATTGTGATTCAGAAGTCACTCACTGTAGTGCCTTCACCCTTCAGTCACTATTTGGAATGATATCTTCTTGATCTATTCTCATACACATCACAGTGTCATCATCTTCATTGCACAGAACTGTGGCCTTGAATGCCTTGCCCTCTCATTGTCCTAATAATGTGGAAATATCAATGATGTCCTTTGCCTCATGTGCATTTCTCTCTAGGTCTTCCAATGTTAGTGACATCTTTTTCTCACTTCTAGCCCAATGTTCATGATGAGAATGCACACATTGGACCATCTTCTTCAACCTGATGCTCACTTGTTGAAAGAGTATAGCAATAATATGGCCATTGTTGTCTTCATCACTATCTTTCTCAGACTCTCTAGAGCGGAGTAGCTCCAGTTCACTAGATGAGAGAAATTCCTAACACCATCTTTAGTTAGTTTGCAGTCTACTCAATGGTAAAATAATTGACTTACTATTATTTCTGCGCAATCAGATGAACCTCCTTCAAGGTGACCCTGAAGAAACTTCTTCACACTATAAACTATGCGCAATTCTACTGAGCCTTCTAATGCATCCTTGAGCGATAGCTTCTCAATTATACTATGATGCTCTGAACTGTAAAATAATACCTATATCATTGTATGCCATTTAGATATAAAGATAAACTCATACTGGAACAATGCCGGAGCAGACAATTCTGTTGGACAATCAACTTGCATATCATTGTAGTGCAAAAGGACCTCTACCAAGTTCTTCTGTTCGACAGCCCCAAGGTAATGTTCATGTACTCACACCCATAATAAGTAACTGGCATTTAGATGCCCAGCATGTCGTGTCATATACGGATGTAGTTTTGTTTAGTCTGTACTCCAGCATTCACCTATAATATATGTGCTTGTTATGCTCATTACTAAATCTTCTCACTCTCAATATGATTCTCCTAAGAAGAACCGGCTAGTTGGAGCCATCTAAGCCAGCATGAGCATCACTGAAGTGGCACAGCTTACAGGCATTCCACACCAGACAGCATCAGATATTTGGCACAAGTCTATCAAAACTGGCACCACACATAATTGCCCCCATTCTGGTCGT